CACTAGTTGCTCATTCATGCTCACTAAAACACCGCTTATGCCCCCCGCGTCCCGACTCCAGTCTAACTTCTGCCCGCTCGTGGGCACGAGGACAGAAGCTTTACCAGCGCCGCTACTCACCCGGCCTCCTTGTGGCTGGGCTTGGTCGACATGTCCAGTATGTATGGCGCAAGTTGCAGTGACCCGACACGTTGCCTATGTACATTTTCATCATCGATCCCAGCCGGCCACCTTCCAGCTTCCAGCCGACCTCTGGGTGAGCGCTCCGCACGTTTATCCGATACGTTCGGCGCACTGGCTGATCATTGGATGAACGCTCCGTCGTATGACGGCGTGAATTCGCGGACAACGTTCGCGCCGCGGCGGAGAGGGGTTTCGGCCTTTGGTCCACGTAGTGCCGCTCCTGACTACCGGATACCGCCCGAAAGCCAATCACGGCCTACGTCCTCCTCCTCAGCTCACTTCGTGGATGGCCCAGAACCTTATCCAGCTCCCCAATCTCTTCTCGCGCCGGATCGATTCTGGGCGGTACATCCTCCTCAAACGAGTAGCGCCGGTCCCTGCGGGGCAATCTACCGCGCTTTGGAGTTCACAGGCCGTGACAACGAAGACCTTACCCGCGCCGTCAAGGTCATTCCGCTCGTCGGATGGAGCACCGAAGACCACTAATTCAACCTCCCGCACGCCTGCGTCGAAGCCGACCTGCACTGCCGCATCGCAGACCACAAGCACATCGTGGGTTTCCGCGAATTTCTACACGACGCTGTATACGCCTACATCGTCATGGACCACTGCCTGGGGGAAAACTGGAGAGCGCGCTGCCACAGCGCGACGCACCCGGCATGGACGACACAAAGACCGTCAAGCACCCCTTCCTCCGGATTCTCGACGGCGGTTAGAGCCGCGTGCCACAAGCGCGGCGTTGTTCACGGCGACCTATCGCTGGCGAAAGTCCCGGAGAACCGGTGCATGACCTGCACCTGGCTTGCGGACTTTGAGAGTGTGGAGCGCGCGCGGGACTGACAGCACAACCCGTCCGGGCGCACGGCGCGCAGGTAAGGAACCTCTTGAGTTCTTGGTGCTCATGCGTCGTTCGTACCGCAGAACCATCTGCGGCCGCGGTGTCTCCTCTTCCTTCGACGTCGACTCTCGCTTGAAGATGTACTGCGACTCTTACGCAAGGCGCTCCCGATCCCGCGGGCGCTCGAGCGCATACGCGGTGTCCCTTGCGGATCTCCGCAAGGCAGTACGCGCGTTGGATATGTTCTGGGCCACTGCGGCCGAGATGATTAGGAGACGACGGCGCCGGATATGGTCAAGAGGCAGAGTAGCGTGGCAGAGGTCCTGGGCGGGCTGCGCGGTTCGGCGAACGCGGGACTTGAGGGTGCGCGTGGGTGTCGAGGTCATGGTCATCAAAAGCTACTGGTTCGGCGGAGGCGGTTTCGGTCTCTAATTGCTCGTGCTTGTCCGCAGGGCGTCAGAACTTGCGTACCGTAAGACGATTGGATCTGTCCTGTGAACGGCAGGTCGTTGGCCGACTCCCGTCATGTGATATGTTGCCTACTTGCTAGATGTGCATCATACACCATTCCGTTTTTGAGAACTACTTGTGCACTAGCCCTCCGACAGAGCCTGAAGACCTTCAAATCAACGCCTCAAACACCTCCACATCCACACCTCCCCTAGCGTCCAGCTGCGCCTTCTCCCACTTCCCACCAATGCGCTCCAAACGCCCCGAAGGCCGGTGACCAGCCTGCGTCGCCCGTGTCCGTCGCTCTCCATCGATGTCGAATTCAGCAGCGGGCGGCGGGCGTGCTCGCTCCCGTCCCGCGCGGATCGAATCCGTGCACGGGCCAATGGCCGGGCCGAGGTAACGCGGGCCGAGGCCGTCGGACGAAGTGCGTGCCTGACCGCCCTGGGCCTCCTGGGTTGATGAAGCTGGGCGGGGAAGAGGAGATGGATTGAGGCGAAGGACGATTGCGCGTCGGGGGAGGGGTCCAATCGAGCGGGAGGAAGGGACGGGGGCACGGTGGTACTCAGTTGTAGCATGCGGATGTGTGGACAGCTCGAGCTTGAAGTGGGCGGGCGATTGTGATTAGCCTCTGAACTGGAATACAGTAGATGGCGACTTACCTGCCACCACTCAAAACCAGCAGAATGGATAACAATATCGCGCAAGGACAACCAGAGCCAGCAGTATTGCCAACACAGCAAAAGCGCATGTTTTCCGACACCACAGGGTTGCGAAAGAAGGCATAAACGCGCGTTCGGTAAACGCAACGAGCCAGTCTGGAGGCGGGAAGTCGCCCTCTGCAGGAAAGCCCATGTTGGCAGCAAGGCCCTGAGATGCTAGAGTGCTGGCAGGGACAAAAGAGGGGATCACCTTCGAGTTCGGGTCCCTGAAGTCATAAATACTTCCGCACGACACCGCTTTGCGCCGATAAGATCCCAGAAATGCCTGGCGTCAGAGAGACCGTCTCCATCCCAGCGGATATTGACAGGATTGACGGAGAAGACATACATTTCGACCTACAGATCACACATGCATCCGAAGTCCGTCGCGCGGTGCCTGTGTTCGGCGAAGACCGCCTAAGCAAAATGACCCCACCGAGGCACCGCCTCTGACAGCGCGGAGACCGCGTCGAACAGCGCAGCGTCGTCCGCGCTCATCGCCCGCACATCCCGCACATTCCCAACGAACGGCTGCACGTCTGCTTCGCACGTCGCGCCCTCCGCCGGCAGCACCCCGTCGTCAAAGTATGCGCGCACGTGTTTCGCGGTGCACAGCGACGGCGCAGAGATCGTGCAGTGCCCGTATGACTCCTGCACGAGGAGCCCAGCGCCTGGGAAGCGCGCCCGCACGCGTCGCGCGTCCTGCAGCGGGCACACGGGATCGTACCGCGGCTGGAGGATGAGCATCGGAGTGGCAGTTCCGTTCGGGCAGCGAGCGGGCCCGTATAGCGCCAGACGGGGCGCGCGGATGTCGGCCACGCCGCGCAGGTGAGCCAGATGCGCGCCCAGTCAGGGGCAGCGAGCGGTGAAGCCTCTGACAGCTCCTCGAAGTGCTTCGCGAACGCCGCACGGTCGAAAGCGTTTTCCTCGCCGTCGCCGCAGGCGATCGGAGAGAAGGCCTCGTTGAAGACGATGTCGATGGGCGCGGGAGGAGGTCCACAATTGCACTCCGCGCGCAGTGGCGCGACGAAGGGTGCGACGTGTGTGAGCATGGTAGAGTTGGCGTCTTCGATGGCGCGAATCGTTGCTGCGACGGAAGGCCACGATGTGAGGGGACTGTACGCAGCAGAGACCGTCAGGGATCTGATGGATGCCTGAGTTGCGAGGACAGGTGGGTTTGCCAGAGGGATGGGAACGGGGTTGTCCTTGAGTCCTTCGAGCACGTCGAAGTAGCGTCGACGGATGCGAGGGACAGATGAATCCCAGAGCGGACACTTGTCGGCTCCCGCCAAGTAGCAGAAATCGAAGAGAGAGTTGATGGTCGCGTCCATGTCGACGAGGTTGGAGCTCCACTTGGCCTCACGGTAGTTGTACCCGTCGTAGACGCCGTCGATGGCGAACCGTCCAACTTTTTCCGGGAACATCGACGCGAAGTACTGGCCCAAGACGGTGCCGTAGCTCTGGGGTACATAGTCAGTATGGTTCTGGGGTGCAGAGCGAGAGAATACACTGACGAAGCCCCAGTAATTGACCTTCTCCTCTCCCAGTAGATTCGCGATCTCGACCATGTCGCGCACAACGCTTGGCGTGCTCATGTACCGCGCGATGCCATCCTCGCTCCCAATACGCGACACACATCGCTCTCCGACAGCGCGCTCGCGGGCGTAGTAGAGTCCGACCGTATCTGGTTCGGATGCGTTCAGAGTTTGATGTCCGGCCTGCGACATCCAGATCTTGCGCTCCGAGTCCGTGTCGAAGCAGCTCGCCTCTGGAGTGCTCCTCCCTATCCCACGAGGGTCGAAGCCGAGAATGTCGTAATTTCCACCAGTGAGTATGCTGAGCGACATTCCAAGGTACTCCGCAACGAAAGTGCCCGAGCCGCCCGGACCGCCTGGGTTGATGAATATAGAGCCGCGATAAGAGGATGTATTGCGGGTGGACGAGAGCACGCGGCGGAGCGCGATGGCGGTCGTACGTTCGTCTGACGAGTCGGTGTAGTCGAGAGGGAGGAGAAGGCGTGCGCATTCATGACCGTCCGCGCAGGCCGTCCACCGAAGATCCATGGATGATTCAATCTAATAGCCGCCGAAATGTCACGGTGAGCCTTTCAGGTCGTGCACCTTGGCTCGCTCGTATGGCCGCCAGCACTCACATTAGACCAGTCGAACGTAGGCGCAGTTTCCAAGGGCGGCGTGAAGTTCCTCAACGGACCATTGAGGAGATAAAAGGCCATGGTGACAGCCAGACCGGCGAAGATCGTCACTTTGCCACGTCTGGCGGGCTGTCTCAGAATTACAGGTTCGGGGTGTGTCGCGGTGGGTAGCGTTGCAGCCCAGACGTCAGTCTTCATGGTGTCGTCTGAGCTTGGAATGGCGAGGTGCGGTGTGGGACCCACGCAAATTCCAAAGACGGTTGAGCGAGGGCGAAGTGTGAGTAGAAGATGCCCGACATGTTATGAAATGCCACGCTCACCTATATATGCGCACCCCGCGCAGGCTGGTCAATTGATGTAAACAAGGACTGCGCCGAACCGGATCCTTGATCTGTGACTCAGCCTGGCCCTGGAGAGGAGGCGTTGGAATTACAACCGATCCAACTGCGGCACAGCTGGCCGCACAGCATCAGAAATCCATAGCACCAGAACTATCACGTCCGTGACTTTCGCGTACCGAGTCCACCTTCCGGCGTCGGCCTTCACGGCTCCTGACTCCAGAGACCACCGTCTGCCGTCTGCGGGTTGCCCCGCGCGAGGAGGGATGCCGTCAAGGTGTGTGCTTACAAAGGAATATCAGTGTCTCAAGTTGAAAGATCAGCGCTAGCGCCCAGTACTTGCTACGCCTCTCGGCGCTTGTACACCTTGCAAGCCCTTGTTGACAATTGTGCATGTGAGGACCCGAAACTCTCTCTCTCACTCATCGTCAAGAAATCCTCTAACAAAAATATGCACTGTTTCAAACCGCTGAACACTAAGTAAAACCCTAACATTGGTACAACTGCGTCGAGGCCCTGTAGTGCTTCCAGCAACTTGGCATCCTCCTCCGACAGACCGTGCATTCCCCTAACCTGCCCGACGAATGGTAGCTCATCCACCTCGCATACAGTGCCCTCCGGTGGAACCACACCCTTCTCGAAGTACGCCCGGATGTGCGGGCAGTACAAATCGATGGCGCAGACAGCGAGCAATGCCCGTGTGAGTTTTGTACCACCATGCCCGCGCCTGGGTACCGCGCGCGCACGACCTTCGCGTCCCGTAGCGGGCACACCGGATCGAAGCGCGGCTGCACAATCAAAAGTGGATTCGCCGTGCCGTTCGGGGCGGCGAGCGAACCTTCGTGCGCCATGCCGGGCGCACCTTCCATGCCGCGCACTGAAGGTAGTGCACGGCCCAGATAGGCCCCGCCCGCGGAGAGTTCCCAACAAGGCGGTTATACGCGCGCGCGTACTCGTCCTCGTCAAAAGAGTATCGGCGGCATCACCGCAGGCGATCCCGAAGAACGCCTCGTTATCGGCGACCCACGGTAGTGCGCGCGCGCTGCACTCGCACTTGGTCTGGTCGACATCGATCCACTTCGCGAGCGCGGCGAGCGCGGTCACGTTGCGTTCCTCGATCGCGACGGACGACGTCGACGACATGGACGAAGAACGTGAGCGGCTTGTACGCGGCACCGAAGAGCATCGCCACAAGCGAGTCCTGCGTCACGACGTATGGCGGGTCTGCGAGCGCTATGGGCACGGTCACGTTCGACGGCGTCGAGGACGCGTTCGTAGCGCGCTTTGATCGCTTCCGGCGTCGGACTCGTAGAGGCTGCATTTGAGGGGCCCGGCTTGGTAGCAGTAGTCGAACAGCGAGTCCATGACGGCTTCCATGTCGAGGAGGTTGGTGCTCCAGTGCTCGGATCGGTAGCTCTCGGCGTCGAAAACGCCATCGATGATGACCCGTCCAACCTTGTCGGGGTACATGGCGGCAAAATACTGGCCAAGGACAGAGCCATAACTCTGAAGACATAGTCAGTAAGGGTCACAAATTGCTGCATGAGACTCACGAAGCCCCAGTAATTCAGCTTCTCTTCGCCAACCCTCGAGGAGATTTCGATCATGTCGCGCGAGACGCTAGCGGTGCTCATGTACCTCGCGATACCGTCTTCTCCGCCGATGTTCGCCTCGCACCGCGCACCGACGATTTCTTGGCGCGCCATGGCCACTCCAGTCGTGCTATCCGTTCGGTTGACCGCCCAAGCCCCGCGCTGGGCGTCGAAGATCTTGCGCTGTGAGGCTGTGGTGAAGCAGTCCGCGCGTGGGGTGCTCGCGCCCGTCCCGCGAGGGTCGAAACCGAGCACGGTCGAACGAGTTGACGATCTGCGAGATGTTCGCGCCTGCGCGTCCAGCGAGGTCGGTGCCTGAACCACCAGGGCCTCCGGGGTTGATGAGGATAGTGCCGCGGCGAGGGGTCGTCACTGCTGGACGAGGCGGAGGGCGATGGCCGTGGTCCGGTTGTCGTCTGGGTGGTGTAGTCGAGTGGGAGGAGGAGCGCGAGCACTGGTGTCCATCGTAGCACGGTGTCCATTTGATCTCTGTTGACGGTTCGAGCTGCATATAAATGAGTAATCTGTTCCACATACGCCAGATCTAGTACCCACCGTATACCAATCGAAGTCAGAATTGAGCCATTTTCTATCCCAATCATGCCTATGGGTGCAGTGGCTGCAGGCCCAACACCTGAGAAGGCAAGCCTGATGGTTGCTGCCGCGACTAGGAATATGACCACATAGACGTGACGGTTGTGTTTCTTGCCATCGCCTGAAGCTGCGGGCCCAAAGGGTTCCACTGAAGGGAGAGTGTCGGAAGACTTTTCCCCGCGGTGGACGTCCATCGCGATGGCGAGTCCAGAGGAACGGATGACTGCGCAGGACGCGTACGACGCCGGATCGCGCTGTTATATGAAGACCCGTGAGATAGATGCGGGAGCAAAGTTCACTTATTGCAGCCGCAATTCATTCCCATGGGTACCTTCTGCAGACACGATTATTTGAGAGCGGAAGACTCACGTGTCTGAGCGTGTCTGTCGTGGTGAGTGCACTTGATACACCGCCCACGTAAGAAGAGTTGTTGCGAAGATAGAGATGCGTGCCTAGAGACTGGTGCAATATGTTTAGGCTCTCCGGTTGCTCTCCGGTATGAACGGCGGGCTTGTCGGCCCGTTCTCCTGCCGTCGGACTTTCAGTCCGAAACAACCGCTTCCCGAACGACCTCAGCCCGATACCCCAGGATACCCACTGATACCCACCGCAGTTCCACATTGCACGCCATTGTCCTTCTTCTCGACCATGTCCCATACTCTGCTTAGGCGAGCTGCTCTTCCTTACTACATTGGCTTGTCGCGCAGCCTCGCTCCCAAGGGCGCCGGTTTCTTCAGGTCAATCATGCGCAAGGAATAGACCCGCCTCTCCAAGGCGTCAAGATTCTGGACCTCACCCGCGTCCTCGCAGGACCCACAGCGACTATGCTGCTCGCTGACCTGGGGGCAGACGTCATCAAGGTCGAGGAGGTCTCCAGAGGTGACGACACGAGTGAGCCACCGCGTCGCGCGACTAAACTCTGTTCACAGAGCATCCCACTGACCCCTGTCCTGCCCTGGAGGATCTTGGTATCCGCCTGCTGCTCCTCTATCCCCCACTTCCCCCGAGGAGGCCGCGCATCTACCTCCGGAGTCGGCCTACTTCCTCGCTGTGAACAGGAACAAGCGCTCAATCACCATCAACTTCAAGGATCCCGAAGGTCTCGCGATTGTGCACAAGCTCGTACAACAGTCGGATGTCTTGGTGGAGAATTTTGTCTCAGGAAAGCTTGCGGAGATGGGTCTGGGCTGGGAGGATTGTGAGCGCATAAACCCCAGGCTCATCTATGCTAGTATCACCGGTGAGCCCGTCCCTCAGATCACACACAGCACAACCCTTAGCCTGCGTCTCAGGATATGGACAAAGCGGCCCGTATCGGAAGGCCGCAGGATACGACGTTATCGTCGAAGCAGAGGCGGGACTCATGCACATGTGAGTGTATGCACCTTATACAACTCCCCCTGTATTCATCGTCTGTACAGCACGGGAGAACCGGATGGTCCGCCTTGCAAAGTCGGCGTTGCTGCAACTGACATCGCGACCGGACTGTACGCACATGGGGCGGTCATGGCAGGGTTGCTGTCTCGAGCTCGTACGGGAAAGGGCGTTTGGATTGACTGCAACTTGTTTGAGTCTCAGGTCAGCGGAGCTATAGACTTATTCAATAGACTGTGCTTCTCATCCCTTTACTAGCTTGCAGGTCTGGCCAACATCGCGTCGAACTATCTTATTGCTGGTCAAGAAGGAGGCAGACATGGCACATCACATCCGTCTATTGTGCCTTATCAAGTCTTCCCCTGCAAGGACGGATTTATTATGATAGGGGCAGGGAATGACAAGCAGGTTGGTTTCACCGTGCCAGCTCCATTTCTTGAGCTGATCATTCGCACAGTTCAAGCTTTTCGCTGAGAAGATTCTGGAGCGTCCGGACCTCCCTACCGATCCCAAGTTCAACAGCAACAAGGCCCGCGTTGCGAATAGGCAGGAACTTATCTCACTCATCAACGACGCCCTTATGAAAGAGGGCCGTGACCATTGGTTGGCAAAGCTGACTGGGCTGGGGTCAGTTAGCCATGTCTTCTCTTGACAACCGGCCGCCATTAAGCTTTTGATCGATAGAGTACCATTTGGGCCTATCAACAACATACAGCAGACATTCCAACATCCGCAAGTGGAGGCGCGGAAGATGATCACTGAGGTAGAGGTGAGTTCGGTCAGGTCCACGCCACGAAGGGCTGCTCATGATGGCTTCCTATAGCACCCCCGCGCGGGCAGGGTTAAGCTGTGTCCCCAGCCGTGACATATAACGGTAAAAGAATGCCCGTCAACAGGCCACCGCCATACCTGTCACAACATACTACCGAGGTATTTCCCATGCAGTGCCTCGTCGTTCTTCCCGCTGATTGCATGTCGTTAGGTGCTCGCCGAGCTAGGATACAGTGATGAGGAGATCGCAGTGCTCAAAGCGAAGAAGGTCGTTTAGCCAGTCCAATCGCACCTGTACCATCTGCTGTGAGCGGGGCCTCTTATGATGGCCCCGCCCGGTGAAGTCATGGCCTAAGGCTGCTTGGGCGGTACATGTCCGTTCCTTGTTCTCAATCATCTTCTTTGTGGCGCGGGCGCGGGCGGGCCGGGTCGACATTATCGACGGAGGGCGCTCTAGTGTGTAATTTGCCCTTCTCCTAACATCTCTATCTCACCAGAAGGCCAGACCCTTCTCACAGTCCATTAAGTTTGATCTGATAGCTTTCCCCCACGCCCCTGCGAATGACCACTTGTGGCATTCTCAATTGAACCCCCTCCATGTCCCCGCTCCTCCGGTGTCCTATCCAGGTTCGAGATCTCTGCGCCTGGTCAACGTCAGGCCCGGTACGGCGGTACAAGGGGCCCACCTGACGCCCGGGCCGGCCGCCAGATGTCCATCAACATTCGAAGCTATCCTTGAAATCATCACTGATGTTCCTCACGTTCTCCAGTCCGACATATAGAGCGTGCTCGTCTCTCGTCGCAGCTTTTCCGCCTTAAGCCCTACCTGCGCGTCCCATTTCCGCGGCGTGTCCGCTCTTCCTCCTCGCTCGCAGCTCTCCCCTCTACTAGGGTTTCTAAACCTCGCTGGGGCTTCTCGCAGAATGCGTCATCCATTCGCTATGGTGCAGAGCCCGCGCCCTGCATCATCTTTCTCGATCCTTCCTCTATCGCCTACCGAGGAGCCTGAGCCAGGCCCGTCTCAGTCTATCCCCAACCCACGTTCGATCACATTCAACGACCGCGCCCATGCACCCAGCGAAAACACCTCCGCTTTGCCCTCTATCCTCCCTCTACGCAAGGACAACAACATGGCTCCGCGCGGGCCCAGTCGGCAGCGTTCCTGGACGGCAAGCCGCGCACCTCTGGGCACTTTGTCAAGCACTCAAGTAAGCTCACGCTGCTCCTGAGTGGGCAGCGCGAGGGCACTCGCATGCCGCGGTATTCGAATGCGGATACGATTGAGGGCGTCTTAGCAGTCGCACGGTCCAGCGGTGTGCTCGCGTTGCAGGTCAAGGTACGCCGCTCTCCACCCGCTTCTTGAGATCCGAGAACGCCCTTGTTCACAAGTGGTCCGATGCTATCCAGGTCCAGGGGGCGATACACATCGAGGAGATTGCGGGTTCTGGCTCAACGGATATCCGGATTGTGGACGACGTCATCTATTCGTGGGACGCACAGCAGGGCGTGTTCCCACCCAAAGCGTCGTTTCGGTACGCACTTCCCACCACGTACCTCGATCCCGTGGCGGGCAGTCATTACCCTCTGCCTCCAACATTCTCGGAGGAGTTATGCGGGATCCCGGGATTTACGGTGGACGTTTCGTACGCGATCGTGGTAAATTTAACACTGTGCGGGGCGCTGCGACGCTTTGGAGGGCGGTCAGCAGGTGCGTCGAATCTGCACCTTTTCCTCACGCCCCACTGACGTCTTTCGTCCCAGTGTGAGAGTGCCGTTTCGACATGTACAGCAAACACGACCGGCGTACGGTGGTCCCTTTCCTCGAAATGTGGCGTGGAAGTCGGAGGAGTGTCCGCGGACTGTGTTTAAATTCCGCATGCACGCTGTCCGTCCAGGTGTGCCGCCGATCAAAGTGCAGGTGGGGTTTCTCGTCCATGTCCTATATCGGCGTGTAAACTCACTTGAGGCATAGTTGTACCTCCCTTCGTCACAGATCTGCCCGCATCATGAACCAATGCCCTTCCGCGTCACCCTCAGTGCAGAGCCGGAAACCACCCTCGACTCGTTCGCGGAGTACCGCCCTCTTCCTGCTTCTTTTCTTCCCCTCTCTCCGTCCCCGTCCAACAGCTCCTCCGAGTCGGCGCGACCACACATTTCCGCGCGCCGCGCGCCGCCGCACTGTCCAATCCGCATACGCGTCATCCGAACCACCGTCGTCGACGCCGGCCGTGCGGCTTCGCCTTTTCTGCCAAACGCACGCCCACCGTGAGCCAGCATTTACGCAGGCGGGCGACGACGAGCTTGCGGGCCTGGGCTTGGGCTCGGCACGTCCAGCTCAGGCAGCGAGTCGACCGGGCGCAGCAAGAGTCTGACTCGAAGCCGCAGCAGGAGCGCGCTCAAGTCCCCGGACCCGGCCGCGGAGGAGAAGCCGTTCGCAGACCGGAGCTACATGTATGCCACGCAAGTGATCGGGCAGGGCGCCGTGCACAGCGCGACGCGCGCAGAACCGCGCGGGCGCGCGCTGCTGTGGTCGGGCGCGATTGCGCTCCAGCCGCCCGCGGGTGCGCGGAATGGGACGCGTTCAGCGGCGCGTTCGAGGTCAGCGGGCTCAAGGTTGTGGTGAGTGCAGGACGTCCTCGTTCGGTTCGCTCGACGCTGTGGCGGGTGCTCTGTGCGTCTCTGGGGCACGGGGCATTTGCGCAGCGCGGCGCACGGTTGTCTTTCGTGCTTGCACTGACGTACTGGCGCGCGTAGGACAGCATCGTGTTGCAGATAGACCCGCCGTCCGGGTGCGCGGTGGAGTACGAACCGCTGAACGAAGCCATACCCGTGCGGCTGACGTCGGACGGGATGACATCTAAGAAGGCGGTGCCTATCTCGAGCGTGGGGTGATTCCCATTGCTCTGAGACCTGTGCGAGGGCTTCCCAGTCGACTTGTGTATTCTGGACCCACTCGTGTATTCTGGACTTGGCACCTCCTCTTGATCATCCACATCACGCTGTCTTGTTTGTCATCATCGGAGGCATCGGTCGACGCGATAAAAGGCCGCCGTGGCGTCCTTTAGGTTTAGCCTCTGAATACGTTTCCTTGGGTACCTTCGACTGAGCGAATGCTTTTGCGGCGCGCGCACAACGGTGGGAACTTGAAGGAAGCGAAGCGCCGGTTTGGGCGGCACCTGTGGGCGCCTCTGTCGTGGTCTCCACATGTTCCTGCGGACCTCCACATGCTCTCCTGATGCGTTGCGCCTCCACGCTTCATCTTCCACCCTCTGCGCACGCGGTTTTCCTTCCAATAGGCTGCCGAAGATGAACTCTCAATACATCCTCCCGCTCAACCCGGCTTCAGTCATTCATATGACTTCACCCCACCTCCGGAGTGCGCGCTCGCGGAAGGCGGCGAAAGCTGCCGCGGCCCATCTCGACCGCTGAACGTTCCTCCGTCACCCCACCATTGGCCGACCATCCTCCGGAGCACAGACAAGCGGAGGCCAGCGAATGTCCGGCCACGCCGTGCGGGAACGCGCGCACCGTTTGAGCGCAGGGATGACGGGCAATCCGCACGCCACGATGGGGGTGAGATAGAGCGAACGAGCAGATCCATCAGGCTCCGCGCCGTCTCCGCCGTCCCCACCGTCTATTTCGCTCAGGAGCTCCGGACTCCGAGGGTGCGCACGCGTGCCACGGTGCGCGCCATATGCCACCCGAGCGAACGCCATTCAGATTTAGTCGCCGCGCTACCGTCCCTTCCGTCCCATTTCTCTCGGCCGTCCGAGCTTCCTGCCCCTCGTCGCCTAGGCACATCCCCACCAGCCAAGCCCGCCTCTGCCTTTCGTGCAGAACACCCTCGCCCGGAACGCACAACCCGGAAGCGGAGCAACATACCCACTTCACCGCAATGTCTACGGCCAGTCTACCAACATATGCGCCCCCTCCGACCGACTTCGCGCGGACCCCTACGTACTCTGCAGAGCCACAAGCTTATGAGCAACGGCTCGCGCTCAACCTGCCCACTGCGCGCCCTTCGAGCGACTTCGTCAAGCAGGCCAAGAACGTCGGCTTGAGGCTCTTCGCGCAGGAGAACAACGCCAGCCTGCCGGTGTATGGGTGCGGGGCAGATGTCGAAGGCGCGATTACGCTCGCCAAGACAGAAGGGATAACTTCGGTTGAGGCCAAGGTACGTCTGTTCCTTCCTCTACTTAGCTGAGTCGAACAGGGGCAGGCTGACCGAGTCTTGGCGGACAGATTGAAGGCAACTTGATCCTGCGCGAAGTCGCGGCAGGTGGTACCACGGCGCACAAGCTGTGCCTATCGAGGGTCACTCTGTGGAGTAAGGACAGTAGCACGGAGCCGTGCCCGCGTTCTCTCAAGTTCTGCCTCACGCTGCCCACGACATTCAACGACGAGAAAGACACATACGTGAGTGCGAGGGAGGCCACCGTGTGCGCGCATATAGTCACTCTTGATTTGTCACCAGCCTCTCCCCCCGACCCACAACGTCCATTTGGCTGGCATGCCAGGATTCAATGCGACCATCGAATACCGGGTTAGTGCGATCGTGTCCTACACCAAGGCAGCGACCGTGTTGAGACTGGGCAACGGGTACGTATTCTCCGTTTGTATTCGAGGACCTTTTCGCTGAACAGTATGTTTAGAACCGTGTCTACTCCGTTTGTCTACCTCCCGCGATCACGACCGGCTGTTCCGCTTCCTCCGCCAATGCGACAGGGAAGAAATTCATCCAAATTCATTGAGGATGATGACTGGCGTCTGTCGGAGGCGGTGATGAAAGCACGGTTGGCGGGAGGAAAAGATATTCACTGCCAAGTATGTCTGCTTTCCTCATCGATCATCGTTGTACATTTTGACAAGTTGCGCGCAACAGTTCTACATCCCTGCAACACGTGTATTCAGTGTCACTGAAGCAGTACCGTTCCACGTCATGTTCCAGTCGTCTGCTTTCTCTCTAGCAGCTTTTTTGCCATACGGACCTACAGCCTCCATTCTTGCGCCAAACAAGCAATTCACACGGGTTCGGGTGCTGCGTCAGTCCATCGTAGACGTCAGGTACTTATCAGCTCCTCGCGCTCTACGTCCACGGCTCACAGTTTGTTCCTTTGAACGCAGAAATGAGCTGATTTCGGGTACCAAAACGGACATGTGGCGGGTGGACACAATAGGAGAGGGGGAGTTCAGACATGCAGTAAGCTGAGCAGGACGCGTTTGATTAGCACCAAGTATCTGACCAGTCGCCCTCTCTCACAGGGCGATGGTCCCGATTGGTTGTGCTTCAGCGGCGAGATCCGGCTGGACAAGGGCGTGAAGGTCGGGGGGTTCAAGGCCGGTGGTCTGAACATTAAAGTACGTGGTTCTCGCCCCCGGCCTATGTCCGACCGGTTCGGCGTACTGGGTCCCTAAGGCCCGACCTTCTATCCACAGGACTTCATCGAGCTGTCGATGATCCCTCCCGAGCCGGCAAGAGCGCCTTTCAGCGAGATGCGTCTTGTGATCCCAATCCGGTTGACGACAGACCCGTGGTCATCAGACGGCTCGACTGCGCACGCCATTATCGACGACTTCTCGACACCGTCCCCTCCGTCGGAGAGGGCATGATACAGGAGACCCCAGGCCAAGTTGTGCGCACCGCCGAGTCCAATAACAGGATTGGACTATGGCCTTGGAGGCCTGCACGACGAGAAGACGAAGCGGACATTTTCCATGCGGCATCGTGTTGTAGCATATAGCCCTTCCCACATATTATGGAAGATATTCGACGACGGGCAGTCAGTGCATCTGGAGAAGGTGAATAGGTGACACTCGGTGCGTCGCATTAACTGAACGGCGAGCACTGGGACTGCATACCGATGCCGTGTGGTATTAGTATGCAGTGCCAGTGAAAACCCCGTTAAGTGCACATAGGCAGCACGTCACGAGAGAAGAGAAGCGCTACACGATCCGACTTGGCTGTCTGGACGGCTTCGTGGTGACCGGTGCAGAACGTGGTCGATCGCGAGGTGTGCGGGACCGAACGAAAAGCTTCTTGCCGGTCGCAAGGCCCGAGCTACAGACGCAGAAGGTCCGAGGGGGGTTGTTGGGATCCACGGCTCGCTCAGCAGGGCGGAGAAGTAGGCGACCCGGGCCATGTCTCTTGAAGCACATCCTCCGCCCGGTCTGAACATGGGCGAGCCGGTCGTGCTGGGGGAGCGGGGGCGTGTGAGCAGCAGGCGCCGGGGGTGCGCATGTCGCGCTCATGTGCCTTTGACGCACGCTCGTCTGCGCAGGGAGCATGGATGGAGTGCACCCGCCCTGGAACGTCACCCGCTCCGCTAGAAGCTGCCCCGCGTCCCCGACACCGCCGCGGTCCCGCGCAAGAGCCTCGCGATCGGTCCCTCCTGTGATCTTCGTCCCTTGTAGGCTTACCTCGGATCCTGCCAGTCTCCAGCAGCCTTGGTTGCGGGGCTATAAGAAGCTCGTCCAATGCCCACTCCAGCCCATCCCTCTTCGCTTCCGTACATTCCCCTCCCCCTTCTCTTCAGCAGCCTACATTGGCCCGCGCGACGCACTCTTTGCCCGAGCACATCGTCCGCTCGTCATGCGCGTCCCCGTTGCCCCGCTCGCGTCAGTGTTTGCCCTCATCGCGCCCATTGCAGCCCAGCAGATTTACGACATCGTCAGTGCTTCCGTCCTTCTTTCATCTACTCTCGTGCTCACTGCGATCCGTGCTCTATTGGTCTACAATGCTCACCGCGATAGTGGGCGACAACATGGGACAGAGGCAGCTTGTTCACCTACACCAACCTCTCTCCCAACCCCATCAACTTTGCGTCGCCCGGCGCTATCGGTGACGCGGACATCGTCATTACCGACACCTCTACCTACCAGTCGGTGTGGGGATTCGGAGCCTCCTTGAGTACGTGCCCTTTTGCTATCTGATTGCCGTTCTCCGCTGGTTTCTACCTCCGTTGGTCACCTCATTCGCCCCACCCCCATCTGATGTGTCGCATGCTCCAAAAACATTCGATGCTGACTTCTTGCTGCGCAACCCGTTGTAGCCGACTCTTCTGCGCTGATCCTGAACAATCTGAAGGTGTGTGCGCGTGCGCGGTCGGTCATGTGGCCGCGAACGTGATAACAAAGAAGCCTGACATGGATGCGCCCGGGTACAGTCCGCGAACTCAGCGAGCTACTGGAAATTGCTGAACTACCTCTTCGACCGTGAGTGCCGTTTAGGGTGCGAACATGCGTTCAGGGTGTGCCTGCCGCTGACGACGTCTTCCCATTGGGGCCTGTCGTCCTCTGCACCCCTCAGCAACCGACGGCGCGAACGCCGCGGGTTTCTCCTACCTTCGTATCCCCCTCGGCGCATCCGACTTCTCTGCCAGCGGTGAGTGCTTCCCATATCGCCGCGGGCGGAGAGCCTGCCTGCTGCAGCGACCGTTTGCGCACATCGGACGCATGCTCACACGATCATCGCCGCACGCGGATGGCAGTATACAGCTTCGATGACGTCAGCGGCGACACCAGCCTGAGCAGCTTCAGCGTCAACAGCGCCCGTCCTATCTCTTCTCCGTCCTCAACGACATCCGGAGCATCAATAGCGTACTGCGCATCCACATCCTTCCTTGGTCTCCGGTGAGTCTGTTGAGAGGGCGACGTATCGCAGTAAATAACGTATCTGACCCCGGTCGTTATGACCGCATATAGCCAGGATGGATGAAGGACTCTGGCACGATGAGGGCGGGAACTTTCTTTCTCAATATGAATCCACCTGTGAGCGCGGCTTCCGCATGGGTTCCCTATTTTCGACTGACGCGGGGAACTAGACGCCAGCTACCTCCTGAAGGCTCTACAAGGTTTCAAGAACAAGGGCATTTCAGTCTACGCCATAAGCATCCAGGTGCGGTCAGCATCGAACCCTTGAACTTTGGCGGTCTTACCGAGGTCCCGCCCGCGCCGCAGAACGAACCGGAGAACTCTGATTCCACCTACCCGACCTGCAAGATATCCGCGGCGCAGGAAGCGGCCATAGGCACTACCCTCCGGAGTCTCATGAACAGCAACGGCTTCTCGAGCACGAAAATTGTCGGCTATGACCACAACTGGAACGATGCGGGAGGGTACCCCATCCAGCTGGTACGTGCGGGCGCTCAATCTGCGCTCGGTGGAACCCAATTTGACTTGTGGACAGATGCAAGACGCGCCGGACGCCTTCTCGGGCGTTTCCTTCCATTGCTACAGCGGTTCCGTGAGCCAGCAGGACACCTTCCACTCTGCATACCCGCAGAAGGAGATCTACTTCACGGAGTGCTCAGGGGTCCAAGGGAGCGACTGGTGGAGCGATATCAAGGTCCGTGCTCTAGATCTCCCGCGAAGTGTTTTGTCATGGGGACTTACCTTGTCATCTGTTGGGCGTAATCCTATAGTGGTACATGGACAACCTGTGCGTATGACACCTCGGGGCGTCTGCCCATCTTTCTTTCTTTCTCTGACATGGCAGTTTGACACTTGACACAGCTTTATTGGCTCGATCGAACACAGCTCCCACAGCGGCCTCATGTGGAACCTCGCCCTCGATGGCAACGGGAGTCCGATGCTCCCAGGCACTGGCAGCTGTGGGACGCCTTGCCGCCCGTTGTCACCGTCAACAGTGACGGCAGCTGGAGCGTCAACCAGGAGTGTGAGCGACCTTGTATGCATGCGATCGCGTAGGGTATGCTGACGAGTCGTCCGATGCAGACTACGCGATGGCCCAGGCCTCGAAGGCCATCTCCCGCGCGACTCTGGCGGACCCTGGGGAAAGCGCATCGGCGTGAGCGTCGGGGGAACCCTCAGCTGGGGCTTGCGCGTCGGCGCGTACGTCACCGGGCGCGTGAACTCGAGCGACTGGCTCCGTTACAGCCTCGTCGTCCTCAACTGGGACGACCATCCGGACGGCCATGGGACCCGACCCCGGTGAAGACGACGATCGAGTTCCGCGGCGTGCAGGCGACGTACACGTTCCCCGTCGGTGTCACCACGCTCTGGTGGTACGCGCCGAACCAGGGGAACTCGTTCGGCGAGGACGAGGACGCGGCATGGGTAGGGAACAGCACCATTGCGTTTGAAGACGTCGAGCAGATGCCTTTGGGCGCGGAGGAGGGACGACAGCGGTTCTTCCGGTTCAACCGCCCCCAGTAAACTTCCAGTAATCGCCCGGTGGCTTGGCTTCATGAACACCTCGGACGGAACACGCACTTCGGACTCGAACGAACCCATCGGACCGCCCGTCTGGCCCGAGGACGACACTACCTGTACTGTAATATATCCCCGTTATACTCGGCATGACTACGCTTTGCGCCGCTGTCCCTTCATGACGTTACGACTTTGATGACATTTCCCGATGTTTAGTGTTTTTGATATACGAGTTGTGATTTTTAATGTGCGCCAAGCCATACCCAGTTGTGATTGCGACTTCGAGAATGAGCTAGGCATTACCTTGAGCCATGCAAGCTATGCGTCGACCATGAGGCCTGAGGGTCGGTCCTCATAGATATCAGCCAGCGCTTGCCTAACAGAGCACAGACGCCGAACCGTGTAGAGAGGACGTCCTTCCTCGCCCATACATCGTATCACACGATGCGCATGCCGCGTATGAGCTGCTTACACCTTCAGATCTTTGTCTGTCGCTTCCCCGAACCGCCTGCATTGTCAAGGCTTTGTTCTTTGAGCCTCAGTGGTGCATATCCATCGAATCTCGATGCCAAGCTCAGCCGAATCACTGCAGGGCTGCACGTCCCTGAACCGGGAAAGCCAACAGGACGAACACGGATCTAGCGGATGGTCCCGGGAGGGGGGGGAGCACAGAGATATTGAGGTACCCTCGTTTTCTACCCAAGTTCCAGCTGTCCCCTCTGTTGGACTACCATTATTGAAGGTGCCTCCGAGCTTTTGGTAAGTTATCCCGCACGTTATTGTTTCTTTGCGTTTCTATCCTGCTCTGGACGTGCTGAGGCTCTACGTTGAAGCCGAGGCTTCCGGTGTGGATTCGTTGAAATCGACATTGGACAGTTATCAGATAAGATGAAGCAGAAGACCTGGCACTCCGAACCGGCACTCCCAAATCCCACTTCTCTACCTCCCCCATTAATCGCAAAACAAGAACGCCAGGATGGCGTGCATTGTTGGAAGGCATTTGTCGCCCTCGTCCCATTAGTTGCCTCACTCTACGCGGTGCATGCGCTACTTCAACTGTCGACTCGGACGACTTTCTCTCAGGCCCCACTTCGCTCAGAGTCGGTGGATGGAGACTTTGACTGGTACGCAGTAAGTGACCCTCAATCCATGTTTACCTCTTGTACCGTAGCTTACGCTTCCACCGTGCCAAGCTCGAGCCCTCCTCCGACATCCGATGGGTCCCCTGCTTTGACAACCACGAGTGTGCCCGCGTCCTTCTCCCCCTCGACTACTCCCGCCCCACGGACGGACGGACGACCGCGATCGCCCTCCGCGTCGTCCCTTCGAAGCTAAGGGGGACACCCGGCTACCGCGGCACCTTCTTCCTCAACCCCGGAGGTCCTGGTATCGCAGGTGCCGCCTGGACTGGGGCGTGGGGTGCGGGGTTCGGGACCATCGCCGGAGGGGGGTACGATGTGTTAGGCTTCGACCCGCGCGGCACGGGCGCCAGCACCCCGCGGGCGAGCTGCTTCACGAGCGATGCCGAGCGCAAGATCTGGAACTCGCAGGCGGGGCACAGGCTCCTGAACGCGTCGGACGCGGAGTCCGTCGGGTTGTACCTGGCAAGGGAGAAGGCGGTGGGGGAGCGGTGCGCGGACAGGATCGGGGGCGAGGACGGGATCGGGAGGTTCATGGGCACGGCGAGCGTCGCGACGGACATGGCGGGGATCATGCGGAAGATGGGCATGGAGAAGATGAACTACTGGGGATTCGTGAGTGGGCCTTGTTGCCTGTATGCATGCGTTTGTTGGCTCACGCTGCCGCCGTTTAGAGCTATGGGTCTATCCTCGGCCAGTACTTCGCTGCCATGTTCCCGGATAAGGTCGGACGCTTCGTCATCGACGGCATATACGACGCCGAGGACTTCCGCGCCGCGCAATGGCACTCCAATCTGGACGACGTGGAGGCCGTCATCGACAAACTATTCGATCTCTGCCATGAAGCGGGACCCTCTCGGTGCGACACCTGGGAGCCCTCCCCCGACCTCATCCGCCAGCGGTACTACAACGTCCTCGACTCTGTGAAGCTTGACCCCGTCCCCATCCCGCTAGCAGACCCACCCATTGTGGTGACTGAACTTGCTCTCCTCAACCAGCTGCTCGGTGCCACGTATGGCCCGAACTTCGCCTGGTCCACCATCGCCTCCACTGTCCGCGCCCTCGAGACCCGCAACCAAACCTCGCTCGCCTCCCTCGCGCGTACCATCGCGTCCCCTGTTAGCTGCGACGGCTGCGTCGCCTCGCCCGCGCCCTGGCGCATGGGCAACGACGCCATATACCCCGTCACCTGCGGCGACGGCGACCCGCACGCCTTCGACCCCGAACTCTTCGCGACGTACTACGCCGCGATCTCCGCCGACGCCCCGCGCCTCGCGCCCGTCTACGCGCGCCAGTACCTCTCCTGCGCGACGTGGCCAGTCTCGGCGCGTCCTCCCTGGCGGTTCACGGGCGCGCTGCGGCGCCGAACGGGACGGCGAGCCCGATGCTCGTCGTCCAGCCGCGCTTCGACCCGATCTGCCCACTGAGCGCGGCGCGGCGCGTGCGGGCACGCTTCCCGGGCGCGGGGCTGCTCGTGCAGGACTCGCACGGGCACTGCTCGTTCTCGGCGCCGAGCGTGTGTACGGCGAAGTATGTCCGGGCGTACTTCGAGGAGGGGAGGCTCCCGGAGGAGGGCGCGTCGTGCGCGCCGGACGTCAAGCGGTTTGGAGAAGACGTCGGAAACGTGGTAGCTGGGCGGGTTGGGGAGGATGCTGAGTTGTGGGGGTCGTGGATAGGATGGTAGACGCGGGTCCAGTATGGGAAATTTGGGGCCACTAGTTTGTGAGTGCCCTCTGCTGCCTGGAAAGCAAGACCCTCCCCTCATGCTCCAGACATTGCATGGAAAGGCGCCGGTCTGTACCACTGTTCAGTAGGTATGGAGTAACTGCTACTGGCACCCCCGCATATCCTGCACCAAAACGAGCGGCTTATGTTGCGAGAAGAGCGGATTCCGGATGCTGTAGGCGGCCGGTACGTCACTGACCACTGACTGCACCGGATGTGCGGAAGTACTGCGATGATTACTACTGCGCTAGGTGCGCTCTGGACTTCCGGTACTGTGCCGCAGTCGATTCCAGTGGACCGGTTGTAAGTGACTGTAACTAACAAGTAAGCCCCGTTCACTTATCCAGTGCTTCACTTCCAGAGCCTCAAGCAACGCCGCCATCGAGCGCCGTCAACTGTGCGTATGAGTCACAATCAAGGGCCGGCCTTCGAGGCCGCACAATCAAGGAAGCGTATTGAAAGTGCTCGGACCCTCGAACCTTCGTTTCGCAGGACTGCTTCCCACCCGGATGCGCGTATATAGCGGGCGTGGCGTCCCAGGCTTACACACACGTTGTCACCCGTCTCAGCAAGCTCGCCATGAAGACTGACGGCGGGCTGTAACATTGCCTACGACGGCGTCCTCCGAACTCCCCGGCAGTCCGCCAAACGAGGCAAAAGAACGGTTCTCGCCTGTCTGGTGATTGCTGGAACCTTCTACCTCCTCAATGGTCCGTCAAAGAACTCCAAACACTTGGGAGCCGAAGCCTGCGCACTTTCGATTGGTCTACTGTAAGCACTTGCAATCGCCTATTGCAAAGCTCGACCTGAAAGGCTCACATTATCGGCGGCTACTAGATTGAGCCATCCAAGGATCTGCGGTGGACATCCTGCGCCGACGGTCAGAATGTGCACGCCTTCTCCTCCCTCTCGACTACGCCAACCCGTCAGACGAACGTACGACCGCCATCGCGCTCCGCCGCGTGCTCTCGTCCACCCGTAACACGTCCTCTATCGCGGCTCTATATTCATCAACCCAGGCGGTCCGGGCGGCTCGGGCACCTTTTCGCGGAGTACCTTGGAATGCCCTAGCATACTCACCGGTGGAAATTACGACATTCTCGGCTTTGACCCTCGTGGAACAGGGGAGAGCACTCCACAGGCGAGCTGCTTCGACACGGACTCGGAGCGCAAAATCTGGTTGTCGCAGGCTGGACATCAAACTCTGAACGCATCCAAACCGGATACGGTCGGCCTCTACTACGCCCGGGAGCGCGCCGTTGGAGAGCGATGTGCGTCGCGTATCGGGGGCGAGGACGGCATCGCGCGCTACATGAGCACATCAAGCGTTGTGCGCGACATGGTCGAGATCGGGAACCAATTAGGGAAGAGAAGGTCAACTATTGGGGATTCGTGAGTGCACCTTTGGGTCTATATTTCAGCGTCTTATGTTTCACTAGAGCTACGGCACCGTCTTAGGCCAGTACTTCGCATCGATGTTCCCGGACAAAGTTGGACGGTTCGCCATCGACGGCGTCTTCGACGGGTACAACTACCGTGCGGCCAAGTGGAGCTCCAACCTCGTCGACATGGACGCGACCATCAACTCTCTCTTCGATTCTGCTACTTGGCGGGAGCCGAAAGTGTCCCCTCTGGGATCATCTGTCCCTCGCATCCGTCGACGCTACTTCGACGTGCTCGAAGGACTCAAGGACAACCCCGTTCCCATCTCCCTTGCAGACCCACCCATACTAGCGACCCAGCTATCAATCATGGCCCTGGCGGTCAATGCCGCGTACAGTCCCCTCACATTGTGGCCTTTCATTGCGGCCACGATCCGCGCCATCGAGGACACCAACTCCACCTGGCTCGCGACCCTCGCGCCCATCCTCGCGCCCAGCGCCGAGTGCAAGTGTGAGACTGCCCCCGTCCCCCTTGGCGTCACAAGCAATGAAGCATTCTACCCGATCGCATGCGGCGACGCAGAGGAGAACCCTTTCGACCGCGCGGCGTTCGCGAAGCACTTCGAAGAGCTCTCAGAGGTCTCTCCGCTAGCCGCGCCGGTGTGGGCGCGCATCTGGCTCTCCTGCGCGGCGTGGCCAACATCCGCGCGCTCTGTCTGGCGCTACATGGGCCCGCTCGCCGCTCCGAACGGGACGAGGACCCCAATGCTCATCCTCCAGCCGCGGTACGATCCCGTGTGCCCGCTGCAGGACGCGCGGCGCGTGCGGGCGCGCTTCCCGGGCGCGGGGCTGCTCGTGCAGGAGTCATACGGGCATTGCACGATCGCGGCGCCGTCGCTGTGCACGGCGAAACACGTCCGCGCGTACTTCAACGACGGGACGATGCCGGCGGAGGGCGCGACGTGCGAGGCGGACGTGTTACCGTTCGTCGGGAACGTGCGAGACATGCGGGCGATGAGCGCGGACGACGCGGCGTTGTTTTACGCGGTCTCTGCACTATCTGAGGCGGTGCCGCGGTGGGGTAATCTGGCTTAGGTGGTGGAAGACAGGTCAGCGGAATCAAATCTGCTTCTGGGCGCATGTATGATTTGTATCAAGCATAGACCGAAATGCATGTTTTAACGGGGTGTCCCCACCTAGTACGTACGTGGCGAAGAAGACCACGGGACGACGTACATAAATCTGAAGGTAGTCTGGTCAATAGGGCCGCTACTAACGGCAAAGACACGAGACTCACGAAACCCCGTCAATGCGATTCCGAGCACGCGTGCCTGTCGGTACCTCTTGATGCGAGACGATGAGAACGACACCATCCAGAAGTCGGCAGATTATGCACTCACGAGTGGGTGGATAGACGTCACTCCTGGACGACTTGTACCTCCGCGCTTCCACGCCTGAACACGTCCGGAACGTGGATCTGTAACTGCGTCTGGAGCCTAGTGCGCAGCCCCTCCGCGTCGCGTAACGGTTCATGCCACACGTAAGCGAAGCGAAATACGACCTGGGCGGAGCAGAGTGGATGACGCTGCATTACGGGCTCTAGAGCGGAGAGGCCACGGGTGTCGACATACGCGGGACCCTGCTGAAGACGGGGAGCGTTGAGAAGGATGGCATTGGCCGGGGAGGCGAAATCCTTGAACCAATCGAACATGGGGGTCTCCAACACAAAGGTCAGGCCCCGAAGGGCGCTGGATAGCGACTCGAGCCGCTGGGGTTTAGTGAGGAGAAGTTGCGCAGCATTTTTCCAATGTGGACACAGTGCGGTCGCGCGGAGTGTGAGCTGCGTCAGGGAGGTACAACAAGCGATGATGCCTGTGACAACAGGGAGAGGTGTGAGCGGTTCAATGTACACTCAAGAGGCATGAAAGATCATAGGACAACTTACCATCTGTACGAGACACTGTCACAGGGAGAGAGATGTCCAAGTCCGACAGGTGGACGAACGCGGCGGAATGAATGAGGGTAGAGATGTCCACAGTCTGCTGGTAGCGTACTGGAGAGGTGATCCTGAGTGAAATCAAGGCGAGGCGAGTAGGGGTTTGAGCCAAATGGAGAATCAACTGCGTTAATAGGGGTTCTTGAGCGGCGTTGACTCCGTCGAAGTGCAGGCGCGTTAATGCTGGTAGATGGTAAGGGCGTAACGTAGCGTTCTCGAGGCGGGCGGAAGACAGGCCCGGGGATCCGCATTGCCTGAGATACAACTCCGAGAGCGAAGGCAGAACGCGAATGATTGTCCATAGGGTGCGGAAAGAAGGGAGTGAGCAACGGTAGAATGAAAGCGTTCGCACGGATGAGTAACGAGTGAAGACGGCGTAAGTAGAGGGATGTGGTGGATGTTCAACCCAGGATACGCGGGATATGGACAAGTTGGTGATATTGGGAAAGTTATCGGCGAAGTCGTGCAAAAAAGCAGGGATGGGGACAACCTGGTGACCGCCAGATCGCTGGGAGAACGCGAGATGGCGAGTAGAGCGTCGGAAAGGCGCCATGGTGTCGGAATGGTATCGTACGACTTGCTCGCGCAGCGAACGGTACGTCGGCGTGTCAACGGCAACGCATAGCTCCAGTAGAAGCTGGTGTCTAGCTGACACGACCCATGATCGACAGACGAGAGCGCATACAGAGAGTGTGGACTTGTCCGGCCATATATGTGCGATGATGAGATCCATGAGCTCTGGAGGGAGGGATGGACTGGACTGGTGAACATGTCAGACCCATAGTAAAACATTCATAGTAAGCGCAGTATACCATGGCTGTGATTGTGAGGACGGACTTGGGTTCTTGCTAGTGGGGGAGGGACTCCGGCGTGGAATTTTGGGCATATCCTCTGAACAGGGTCGTTACTTACTGCGGAGGCAGGCAGTGCGCTAAGCGACGATCTGGCGCAGCCTTTTGAAGGACGTATTCTCATGGATTGCCAACGAAGACATATCCTCAAGCTACGGGATTGATCTTGGGAGTGGACTGTCGAGGCGCGCTCTCAAACTCGAGAGCTGGTGTTCAGTGTGTAAGCTTAAGACCTTCCAATAAGCGCCAATGACCGGAGATGAGGTATGTCTTTGTTAACGGCTTCTGCTAAGATTGACACAACATTGTTGATGTTTCGACCAGCCAAGCTTCCCCGATTGTCCTTCTACGCGCCGCCAACCAGAACACGTCAACGGCTCGATACTGGTGCTTTTGCAATCGATCACCGTCCAAATGGACGCAAAAACTTCCGCAGCGTCGATGCCTCCTGGCTGGATTGAACAACCGACCTCACCATAACCTCGACCTACGAGTGGCGCGCTCTACCACTGAGCTAAGAAGGCAGCGTAAGAAGAGCTATTAAGTAAATACAGATTGTATGTGCTCGGCGCATGTGCGCAGTGCTCACTTCGGGCGTCGATCCCATTCTCCTCCCCTGCTTCTTGCTTCGTGTACGCCACCACGGCCCCGGACGAACGCGACACCTTCAACCCGCAGCACCGGGCGATTTGGTGCCATAGAACTGACGTCTGGACTGCTGACAGACCCACGTGGCTCGCTGGCGAAAGCGAAGACAAGGCTGATGGGTTCCAGTGGTGGTCGCTGGGCTTCCGTGCATCGACCCATCAACGGCCAGGGTGGACTGGGAGCCTGGCCAGTCAGCTGGCAAACGTGTTGCCTTGCCTCCGCCATACGCGGTTGCCATATTCATGCACCCTGCTTCTGCCCCTCATAAGCTCGCACGAGACCCCTCCGGCTGCCCACTTCCTACTCCCAGGCCACTCCTTCCGTCTATCGTTCACTCTCACGCCTGGCACCCTGTCGTTCCTTGCCCCTTCATCAGACTAACCAAGCCCACCTCATAAGAACCTCCACCGACGTCCCGCACACGACCCCAGCACACGATGCTCTCCTGGGGCCGAACCCCCAGTGCTGAAGCCACCGGCAGCCAGGCCCGCACGCCTCGTACGCTCGTACTTTGCTTCGACGGCACTTCTAACCAGTTCGACGGCGAGGTGAGCTTCCACCATTTCCTCTGGGTACCCAGTCTCACATACCCCACCCAGAACACCAACGTCGTCAAATTCTACTCTCTGCTGAAGAAGGACGACTCGACTCAGCAGCAGCTCTGCTACTATCAGGTCGGTAGATCTCTCTCCCTAGAATGGTCCACATGGCAGCTAAATCGATATCGCATATAGCCAGGTGTCGGGACTTATTTCAATCCCGGAGTCGTCTCCCCACTTTTCCAATGGTGTGCCAAGATACTCGACGAAGCCTTCGCATGGTGCGTATTCCGCAGCACACCCTAACTCCCCGCAGTGCCCGAGCTGAGCGACTGCAATTAGGTACTTGGATGAGCACGTTCGTCAGGGCTACCAGTTCCTGATGCAGAATTGGACACCCGGCGACAAGATCTGTATCTTCGGTGCGCAGCTCCGACCTTTATACGGGCGCGCAGCTCACCACGTTCTTCTCTTCGCCCAGGATTCTCGCGTGGCGCGTACACGGCACGAGCTCTGGCTGGAATTCTGCACAAGGTCAGTGCGAATATTTCGCTAGCGCCTCCGAACCATGTCCGGATACTGATGCAGACGCGTGACGCGCACAGATCGGACTCCTCCCTAAGGACAACCTCGAGCAGATCCCATTCGCGTACAACCTCTACAAGAAGACGGATGAGGCCAGCATTTCTCTGGCGGCCGGTTTCAAGCAAAGCTTTTGCCGCGAGGTGCAGATCGAATTTGTCGGCGTCTGGTAAGCGCGCCTCTGCCGCCCCTCCTACGGGGGTGCAAATTCTTCGACGCCTCGGCCCCTGCGAGCTGACACACGGCGACGCGGCACACAGGGAGACGGTCTCGAGCACTGGCGTAATCATGAGCCGAACTCTCCCGTTCACGACCACGAACGCGACGATCAAGACCTTCCGCCAAGCGCTCTCGCTCGACGAGGTCGGTCTCGACTCGCCAGTTCTCCATTCGCGTTGCGGCTGTCTGTTTACGCGGTCTGTGCCGCTTCCAGCACCGCGTCAAATTCCTCCCGAACTTGTACCATCGAACTGCGACGCCGTCAGACGGGCCCACGTCGTCCATGTTCAGCCTGCGCGGGCTTCGCTCGATGCGGGCCGCGGCCAAGCGGCAGAGCGACATTGAGGCTGGTGAAGACATCAAGCCCGCTCCTAGCGATTCCGAGGACCCCTCATCTCCTGCCGCTGTCCCCGAGAACGAGGGCGGCGCCGCTGCGGAGGGAGAAACCGCGGTAGAGGGCAAGCGAGTGAGCAAGCCGAAGGCGCTCCGTCAGAAGAGCCTGAACGCTTTCGTGGGCAAGTTCCCGAAGGCGGCACGCAAGAACGCGACGACGACGGAGAAGCCCAAGGTCCGCGCCGAGCCCGTCGACCTCGAGGCCGCGGCCGCAGCGGCGCCCCCGTCGCACACGAGCGCGGAGGACGCGTCTGCGGAGGCGGCGGACGTCGTGGGCCCCGCGCCCAGGGACGTTGCAGACGCGGGCGCGTGCGACGTGCTCGAGGTGTGGTTCGCGGGCTGCCACTCTGGTACGTGTCGCGTTGTGCCTGCACGGTCTCTCATCGGCGCTCATCCCTACTCCTCCCGTGCGCACAGACGTCGGTGGCGGCTCCGTCTCGTCCGACACCGTGCACTCGCTCGCGAACATCCCGCTCTTCTGGATGGTGCACCAGGTCGTGCTCGCGCAGTGCGGCATCGAGTTCGACTCCGCCGCGCTCGCGCGCGTGGGCATTCCCGAAGCCGTCCTTGCGCCCCCTGGGTCGACGGTCGTGCCCGCGCCCCGCCGCACGCGGCTCGACTCTGAGGCCCCAACCCTGCCGGTGAAGGACCGCGACGCGGCGGGGAACTCAACCGGCCCGATGGCGGACGCGCTTCAGCCGATCTTCGACCAGCTGCAGATAGACAAGGCTTGGTGGCTGCTCGAGGCCATCCCGCTCACGTACTCGGCGCAGGATGCCGACGGGACGTGGGTGACGAAGTGGTGGTGCGTTTTTCAGCCGCCCAGCCGTCATGCAGGGAAAGGGGAACTGAAAGTGGGTCGTTGCAGGTTCCCTGGACACTATGGGCAGGGCCGTCAGCTGCCCGCGGCGCCGAAGTTCCACGTGTCTGTCAAGACGCGCATGGAGGACCCGACTCTCGAGTACGTCCCGCGCGCGGTGTGGACCGCGGGCACCGAGACCTATGTGGAGTGAGGATGAAGTACCTGGAGACCGCTGCGGCGGTCACTGCGATTTCAACATGCTCGATTTGTGCCTTATTGTCTAACATTCATGACCTAATGACATCTGTATACCTGTCTTTACCTCTAACTCTACCTACCATCTAGCGATACTCCAGCGCCCCCTTGGATTGTAGCACAGCACTTGTTGTAATGTACCGCTTCTCCAGCACTCCGGCAATGTAATACTTTGTTGCTTCAATTATCTCTCTATCTCTCTGGGATACTGAGTCTGCCGACGTGTAATGAGATACTGTTTAGTAAGCACAGGACGTAGAGGGGTCACAAATCAGTGATGCAGGTCCTTTCCATCACCGAACATCACTATATAATGTTACAACAGACTGATATACACATAGCATTATCGATTCAGCTTCCACATCCCGTCTTTGACCAAGACCAGCCCTTCTCGCCTCGCGGCCTCCATGAACTCCCCGAGCTGTTCAATGGTGCGGTCGTATCCCTGCGCAAGCTTGAGCATGTTGTGAATGCGCGAGAGGTCCAGGGAGCCGAGGTTCGTGAGCATCCCTTCGACAAACTGAACACGACCATCAGCAACGCAGCACATATCATTGTACGCAAAACCGAGGGACAGCACCTTCCAATACACCTTCATCTGCTCCGCTTGTTGTTCCTGCACCGTCATTACCGTGGGAGCTTCCTCCGCCGTCACTGCAAACGAGCGTCAGCGGGTCCGTACACTGTGAGACGAAAGAAATAACGCACTCGTGCGAGTGGTGGGCTTCGGCCCCTCTGGGCTGTCTTCAGCGATCTCTAGCAGCCGGTACAAGTTCACCTCGTCTTCCTTGAGCACCCCAAGGTCGACCCACGTGCCCACACCCTTCAGAACGGCAGGCTGAGTGATTTTGAGCTCCGTAGCGATGTCCGCGGCGTTCCACGTGTCTGAACTATGAGTTAGCAGCGCGCGTGGGGAGATGCAACAGGAGGCACGAGCATGCCTTTGCGAGAGAAAAGCTCGATGATGGCACCCTCAACAGGCTGCACTTCCGCGTTGACTGTGCGATCTTGGAGCTCGATCTCCAAAGTGATCGTGCCGAGATGCGGGAGCCAGTAGAGCCGCTTGTCGGGCTTAAAGGTATGGAACTCCTTCGCGTACTCGTCTTGCATGCTGGAGAGGACCATTGAGGTCAGAAGGTGTGCATATGAGATGAGATGCTCCACTCACTCTTTGAACGTGCCTGACATGTTCAGGTTGCTGGCTTGCAACGGAGGCCAGAAGTGACGCGACACGATAGTAGGGTGTATCGGCATCTGTGCAAAGAAGTCAACAGCAAAATCGAAAGGATGGCACAGTATAACGCACCGGTTTCCGTGACTGAACATGCTGGTCGACTCGTCGAGAGTCAGTCATGTCGCGCAACATGACCTCACACACTTGCAATGCAGCCTCTCCGAACCTGATCTTGAGAATTTCGATGTTCCGGCGCTGTTCAAGATTACGTTTGTAACCCGTAAAGCTTTCTGACAATTCAATCTCACCTCTCGCTCGTAGTTGCCATCTGTGACCGCCAGTAATCGTTGGGCCAGGAGGACTTGCAGTTCTTTCACGAAGAGGTCCTTGGAGTCGTAGATACTGACAAGGGTGCTGATGACGTCGGTGGGCTTGTTCGTGCGGAAATCTATCACGAGTGTGTCAACCTTACTGAATCTAGTGGAAGGAAACGAACATACCTGGGCCAGCATCTATCGGGTCAGGCTCCCAGTTCGGGTCGGTGAAATCGTCCGCTTGGCGCTGCTGTAGGGGCTGGATTGGCTCGTTCTCGTCTACAAGCGAGTCACCACTCTCTCCATCTCCTACAAGACTTGCTACGATACATCGAATGGTATCTGGTCGCCCTCTATGCAAGGTTTAGAAGAAAGTCACGAAGATGAAAACACTCTTACCTTAGGTATTTGCGGATGGGATCTGCCACTTTGTACAGCAGCACGCCTGGAGGGTCTATGAGGCGCAGACATCTAATTATCGAGACATATTGGGTGATGATGTCCTTGGTATCAGCACCGGGGTGAAGTAGACGCTTGTTGTTCCTGCGTCACTGATGAGTATGTGCCACTCGGAAGCGGGAGCGACACTTACGCTTTACGCAGCGTGCTGACTAGTTGACTTCGTTGGTCGACCCGTACTAAGCACTCCTTCAGAGAATTGTTGAGTACATCCATAAACGACACGACATAGCGACATACTTTGATGTCCTGCAGTGCAGGTGTCGAGTCTGGAAAGTCGATGATGATATCGAAGATTTCCTCCGTCCTAAAATGCTACTTCAGAGAGTTCCATTATCCGCGACGACAGGAAGACACATACCGTAGGTCACAGAGTGTTCTACACACATGATAGTCGAATCTAGAGCCTACCCCTTGAAGCATAGACCGTGCCTCGTCCGCTATAATTTGTTTCGATAAACCTGCTCGTTCCGGAGACCAACAGTACTCACAAGTCCTTGCCCCTCTGGCGTATGGCATCACCATCCATGGAACCACCTTCTCTGCCATCCAATCTCTCAGGGCCGAGAGCATGGACTCATCCCACTTGCGCTTGCAGGTCTCCATCACGTGTGCTTCGATGTACTCGTAGCATACGCTCGCGATGAGCGACTCGTACCGGTCCAACAAGCCTAGCATTTCACATGCGGCCCATAGCGGAAGGTCTGGGCGTGCTGGAGCAGCTGACCATATGGTTGGTGGTTCGGCCGCCGGCTGGGTGACCAAGTCGAACGTGGACGCAATGAGAGCCTTGAAACCTTCGGAGAACAGTGGTGGAAATATCGAGTAGATCTGGGTCTGAAAGCCAAGGGTGTACGCAGAGAGGAGAGTGCTGCCGAGCCTATGTAGAGCAAGCAATAAAGGTGGGTGACCGCTTCAATGGGGGCCGCGAAGAGGGGACTCACTCTGGTATAGGTGACCATGCCCTGTACCAGTCGACTAGCCTGAACAACATGTTCCCTATTGACTCTGGAGACCGTGTTTCCTGCTCAACCTCAACGGCAGTGCAGGCATGGTAGGCGAGACGGCACGTACTTGGTACTCCTCCATGAAAGCCTCTATCTCTTCCTCTATGAGATGTTGCTGCTGTCGCATGTTCTCTAGATCGCCCAGAGGGTTTAGAAGATAGACGGGTGCTGGAACAGACTACTTACTAACCCAGAAAGTTTTCCATGAGAAGTGGAAGCATTTTCGCCTTGCTCAGAGTGTCAAAGGATGCCCTGACGTCTTGGACGTCTTGGGTTCGAGATTAGTACCGTGGACGCAGGAAAGGTCGGCGAGGAATGCTCACTATATTGCCTGAGGGCGGAAGGAGGGTCGTTCAAGTTCCTCGGATACAGAAAATCTGTGGTGGTTCGCCACGCCTAGCGCATATAGAAGAGCAGGTGTCGGTGCCGGTCACGATCAGGGAGAGGGAGTTGAGTGGCGGACCTCGCTGAAGGATATAAGGCCCGAAACCCCTGGCTCTCCGCGATTGAGTCGAGCAAATGAGTGGTTCCATTTGTTGCCGACTTGCTGTTCTAGAGAGAGTGGGGCGGCCATGAATCAGGCAGCAGGAGGGGATAGGGAAAGGAGAGGTCAAGCGGCGAACGCTTCGAAGACGCGTGTGGGAGCCTGGCAGTGGCAGGAGCGCGTCGCGTCCGCGGCGCGCACGGGGTCAACGCGTCTCAAGCTTTCCTCTCCTCCCCCCGCCCTTGCGGGACGTCCTCCTGTGTCAAGCTGAGCCGAACGCGGCGTTCAATTGCCTTCACCTTTCTCCTGACTGTTTTCTTCTGGCTCTGCTGCGCGACCCAATTCGCCAAACCATGGCATATACACCACCTACGAGACCTCCCAGTGAGCCGATGACCATGGTATACAAAGTTGTCGACAACCTTGCTATCGACATCGACATCTACCTCCCGACGCCCCCACACGCCAGGGACTCTCGGCCCAAGTGTCCTGCAGTGGTCTACTTCCATGGAGGCTCACTCGTAGTTGGAAACCGGAAGAGTTGGTTCCCCACCTGGCTCCATCGTGCGTACTATTCGTGCCTGGCTGTGTGTTCTAGTAGCCAACGCTCTGCAAGGCTGATTTCCATCGCTCGTCTGGTGCTCTCGGGATCTAACAGAACGCGTTGTGTCTTCCGGCATGGCCTTTATCTCTGCCGACTACCGGCTCATCCCTCCATCTACTGGACATGACATCTTGAGCGACGTCAAGGATCTCTTCAAATTTCTACAAGACGGTGTCAACCCTCGCATTCGAGAGCTCACTCTTGACCAGCCGTCTTTCGAAATAGCCTCAGATGCCATCGCTGTCGCAGGAAGCAGTGCAGGAGGTCTTTGCGCATATCTCGCCGCGATCCATGCGTCGCCACAACCCAAAGCTGTTCTCTCCCTGTATGGAATGGGTGGTAATCTACTGGTAGGCGGTCTTGTCTTTGATCTGGACCCAAGCTTGAGACTGATTGAAAATGCAGACAGGGCAATATCTAGACAAAAAGCTCAAGCCTTTCTTCCGTGGCCGCGAGTTACTTGACATTGCCGACTTCGCTGAGTTTGTTCATCCCGCGTCTGCCCACCTCCCACCCCTCGCAGACTCGCCCTTGGCATACCATCCTCCAACGTATCACATACCCGGCTACCCGGCCAATCCTCGAATGCTTGCAGGACGTCTCTACCTGCAGACAGGCACCTTCTTGGACTACTACACCGGTCAGCACGAGCCTAGCCTCAGCGTGGCCCTGGTTTCCACTAGGCAGGATGTGGACCCCCCCAAAGAGGAAGTCATACCAGTTCAACATCGTATCCTCTTCCCCCAATTCTGCGTGTCCGCTGATCTCCCACCCATGTTCATCATTCACGGGTCGACTGACACCGCCGTGTTCCTGGATGAGTCCCAGCGGCTCCATGGTCTGTTGGAGAACGCAGGTGTGCGGTCCACCCTCAGAGTTGTCAAAGACAAAGAACATTCGTTCGACTACGATCCAACTGCGGAAGATGAGTTTGGCGGCCCTGGTGGCTTGTTCGATGAGGCAGTCAACTTCCTGAAATCATCTTTGTTCTAGTGAGTGCGTTGCATTGACTGCCCTTTGCATATTCTAATTGGTATGACAAGGAGCGTACGTGACTTGTATAGAAGCAAAGGAGAATGTATCAAATACAGACAGAGCAGGAGAGACCCATATTGAAATATAAGCGAAGCCGTCCGAGGAATGTCCCAAAGAATGTCCCTGCCTGCCTATATCAAGACTCGCTCATCACCGCTATCGCCGGCACGCCCACACCGAGTAAACCATCATTTACAGGCGACTCGCACGCAACGTTCGACGCCCACACGAGCTCCTCCGCGCTCAGCGTCCGCGCGGCGAACGCCACCGCTGCGTCCTCAAGGAGGGGAACGATCTTCTCTGACGACTCCAGCGCCATCCGGAGTCGCTCCGAGAGCGACTCGGTGACGACGAGCTTCTCAGCCCACTCTGCGGACGTCGGTGTGTTCGTGCCCGGCGACCCCGCCTTGCCCATTTCTACTTGTTCGTGTGGCGCGACCGCCCGCAGCACGTTCACGTTCTCCGGGACGGGGAACGGCGGCGGCGCAGCGTCCGGTGACAGCGCGGTCTTGACCCACTCCGCGTCCAGATCCTCTTCCCAGTCGAGCGCGCGCGCGAGGTCGCGGAGGACGTCGTCGCACTTGCCGAAGAGGAGCACGTCGTCCGGGCGCATGCCGATGTCGCCCGCGAAATCGAGGTTGATGAGCACGCGTGGGCAGTGCGCAGGAGCGAGGGCGGCCAGCTTCGCGAAGGGCTGCACGGTGAGCGAGGTGCCGACCACGAAGAGCAGGTCCGCGCTGTCGATCTTGGGCATCGAGCCCGCGAGCGCTTCAGGCATCTGTGGGCGGGCAATTCGGTGAGTGCTTCCCGCTGAGAAGGAGCAAGACCCGCTGACTGATTCTCCGAAGAAGACCACGTCGGGCTTCACCAGCCCCTTGCAGGCCGCATTCTCGCAGTAGAGCACCCTGCCCTCCTCGAGCGCCGCGCGCATGCGCTCGTCATCGACGGGCCGCTTGCAGTCGATGCAGCGCTGCGACGCGAAGGAGCCATGCGCCTCAACGAGTTGCTCCGGGGGGATCCCCGCCTGCCGCTCCAACGTGTCGATGTTCTGCGTGAAGCACGTATGCAGGAGCCCGCGGTCTGCGAGGAGCTTCACGAAGCTGTGGGTGAGCGTGGGCCGGAATCGGCGCGGATACAGCTCGCGCGTGAATTTGTAGACTGGGAAGCGTTGAGGAAGCGCATGGCGAGTGGTCGCGTGACGAGGGGAAATGTATGGGTCACCGCGGGTTCAGACGTCATAGCGGGAGCACGCACATGGAAGCGGGTTGAAGCGGAAATAGTTGAGCTCGAGGACTGCGCGGGGGTAGGGGAGGTTGAGTTGGGCGAGGCTGGCCTGCCATGCTCAGGTCAACAGTCGCTCTGCGGGATGCTCTAGGTCCACATGTACATACATATAGTCCTGCACCAAAGCCAATGATCAGTCCCGCATTGATCAGACACAAGAGCAACATTTCATACCTGTCTTTGGCGATTTGAAGTCTGGGATTCCGGAGGCCACACTGACACCTACGCTCTGCTCAGCCTGCGGCCTTTCAGCGCCTATCGAAGTGCAACCGCTCACCTGAACCAAGCTGTAGAAGAAAAATGGAGGTGAGAAGATAGGCAATTTTTGCGCAGGCTCACTGAGTCTTACTATCACAAACACTCGCTTGCACTGTGGGGACTTCATGTACTTCGCGATCGAACGTACATCCCGATCCTCGAGCACAACGGTAGGGCCATCGTAGAGCATGAGAAGCTCATCCTCGTCGTCCATGTTTGCGGTGGGATGCGTGGAGCCGCGGAACCTCGTGGATGGAAAGCTCGTACACGAGGCGGGGCAGGTACACGTTGGATACCGGCGAACCTGTGAGGCCCGGGAGGTATCAGTGTTGAAAGTGGCCAGTATGTGGCCTGCGCGCAATTCTGAGCGGAAGTGCGGACGTGAACTCACAGGGGACTGGCGGGGAGGCGTGGCTGACGGGACGTGAGTAGATGGTCGCCGGTGAGAACGAGCGCGTCAGTGCGGCAGGCAGGTACATAAGGATGTTCCCATGTCGGACTGCCGCCCACTGAGGTTAACGTTTACAGCAGAGATATCTGTCGGAAGTAGGTTTCAGTGCCCTGCCCGTTGCGCGCTTTCGAACCGTCTTCCCCGTTCCCAGTAGCGCTGTACCGCCCTGCGCGGAGTAGAACACCGGACGTCGAGACAAAGGATCATCCATCCGTGAGGTGCTGGTGCACGTACAAGCGAAAAAATGGTCTGACCCTCGCTACAGCTTCTCCTTCGCCGTCTCCTCCTCGCGGTCCGTCGCGGACTCCGACGTCGGTGGCCGGCTCTTCGCCACTGGGACCGACACATCGTCCGTCGCCTTCGGAGAGTCCTCCGCCGCTCCTCCTTGCTCGCCGGCAGACGCTCCTTCTGAGATCTCCAGCGCTTTGCCGATCTGGTCGACGAGCTTCTCAACCTCCGCCTCCACTTCCGCGTTCTCCGCCTCCGCCTCTTCCTTCGCCGGAGCCCCCGCGACAAACGCGTCGGGCTTCTGCGACGCGACAACGTCCGGCGCAAGCCCCAACGTCCCCTCCTTCGCCGCACCTTCCAAGTTCTCCTTCGCAGCCGAGTCAGCGCCCTCCACGCTCGGCGACGACCGCGCGAGCTTCTTCAGGGGCACGAGCACGTCCGTCTTCGCCCACTCGCGCTCGAGTTCGTCCGCCCAGCCGAGCGCCGCGCCCAGCTCGCGCACGACGTCGTCGCACCGCCCCAGCAGCACGACGTCGTCCGCGCGCCGGCCGATGTCCCCCGCGCGCTCCATGTTGATGAGCACGCGCGGGCAGTCGTCCGGCACGAACCCGGTCAGCGCCGCGAACGGGTTCACCTTGAGCGACGTGCCAATGACGATCAGCAGGTCGGCCTCGCGCAGCTTCGGCACCGTCTGGTGGAAGAGCGCGGGCAGCTGTGGGGTACCGATGGCGTGACGTGAGAACGAGCGGGAAGACGAGACGTATGGCGGAATTTGCGCACCGACTCGCCGAAGAAGACGATGTCTGGCTTGACGAGACCCTTGCACTTGTCGCAGTGCGCGACCTGGCTCTTCTCGATAGCCGCGCGGAGCCTCTGCCCGTCGAACGGCCGATGACATTCGATACAGTGTTGATCTGCGAAGCTGCCGTGGGCCTCCACAATGCGGTGGCCGGGCACATTGGCTTGACGCTCCAGCGTGTCGATGTTCTGTGTGAAACAAGTGTCGAGGAGCTTGTGGTCGGCCAGGAGCTTTACGAAAGTATGGGTGGGCGTCGGGCGAAACTTCCCGGGGTATAGCTCGCGGGCGAGAGTGTAGACTGAGAGACGGATTAAGCAGAAGAATGGGCGAATGACGTCAGAGCGCACATGGAAGCGGGTTGTTGCGGAAGTAGTTGATTTCAAAAACGGCCTCGGGATACGGAAGATTCAGTTTTGCCAGGTTGTGCTGTGGTCGATACGATCAATTGTGCGGCGTAGTATCCTGACAGCAAGCATACGGACGCACATAAAGACCTAAGGCGCAGTTATGAGCCATCGGTAGTGCACAAGAAACATTTGAGCCTACCTGTTCCTGGAGATCGGAAGTCGGGAATGCCCGCGGAAGTGCTGACACCTACGCGAGAGCAATGAAGACATCACCGACTCCATGACTATAAACCTGGTCTACCTGCTCCTAGCTGGTTGCATCGAGACCTTCGTCAGCCTCCGACGCGGCCGAGATAAGATGCTCGCGCACCATGACGAAGACTTTCCGGCAATCGTCGGATTGCATGTACTCCGCGACAGAGACAGCATCCCGACCAACAAGCTTCTTGAGCGCAGGCTGCGGCAATGTATCGCGGTACATGGCGAAGACGGAGGCAGGAGAAAGCAAGTTTAATCTCTCGCCGTTCGGGACTTGGATGGAACATATACAGCCCGGGAAGCGCCCAGATATCTGTCTTGGGCTGTGAGAACGGGCGTCTAAAAGCCACATCTGGGACCGCAGTGTTCCCAGTCCCGCGCGAGTAACACGCTCTTCTGACGTAGTATCCATGGACAGCGGATAGATGGGCCGGGAATCAAAACGGCAGAGCCTCAACGGCAACGCGGCATAGCTTTCAGGTCAGTGCCGCGCGCATAAAAGTCGTACTTCACCCCATGAATACCAGCCGCAACTGTGCATCCTATGACATTGGCTGACTCAGGTTACACCACAGAGCGTGCCAGACGGGCGGCCGTCCAGTCCTCCAGCCATGACGCGACGAAGATGATGATCTGCTCATGAATCATCTGAATCTGGGACGGCTCCTCTTGGAGCTCCATGCGTCCGTTCTCGTCCCAGTGGTGCACGCCCCCTGCAATCATCGTGAGGGCCCGATAAAGAATAGACGGGCCTTGAGACGTACCTCGGATGACTTTGAAAGGTCTCAGAATAGTGTCTTCCCGAGGCTTGGCGTAGTCGCTGTGTGGGGTGACGGGCCTCCATGGGTCCACTGCGGTGGGGAATGTACGTGTGAGCAGATCTATGAGATGGGAGAATGATAACGGGGCACACCTTCACCGTCAATGATGGCCAGACGGTCCGCGGCGATGTCATAATCACCCAAAGAGTTCACGGCTGTCAAGTTGGGGAAAGCTGGTACTTGGAAGTGCTTTCCTGGGGGGTAGGCCTGAAAGCAGACATGAGACTTGCCCTGACGGCAGAGAATATCAACCAACCTGACGGCAGATCATGGACGTGTACTCGAGGGTGAGTAGACTGGAGACGATGCGAGGGTGTCCTGCCGGAGGCGCAGTCTGTCGACAGCAAAATGTGAGCAAGGATTCCAACAAGTGAGGGGCGACTGACCGAGAAGTATCCCCACTCAGTGCAAACCTGGAATAGCCACAGCCTCCACTCTTGGTCGAGGCCAGTGTCGAGGAACTTTGAATCGTCAAACGAGCCGAAGCACTGTGGTCTGCGTGAGACAGGGCCGTTCCATAACGACTGATGTGACTTACCTCCTCGACGTCACCATTGGGGCAAGCCGCGACAAATTTCTGCGTCATAACATCGTAACATCAGAATGAGCCCACGGCGAGGACAAGGAAAGAGCTTGCCTGCTTGATGTAACGTGCGTAGTTGTAAACTGGGACCGGAACCATCAAATCGCCAGCAATCTTGACCATGTCTTGCTCGGCGTCATACGCAGCCATGTGCATGTCCGCATCTTCCTCGAATTTGCCATCTAGAGCGGCGCAGAAGAGGTCCCAGCCCGGGTTTCCAACTTCAGGGTCCCAGTTCCTCGCTTGCCAGAGGCCGAGCGGACTCTGCGTGACGTCGATGGTTAGAGACATTGCTTGAACGAGTAATCATGCAAATGACAATACCTCAACCAAAGACGCAAAGTCCTCGTCATGTTCCAAACCGGCTAGACCAAATAGCCCCTTGATGGCATTTCCAGCTACGGGCTTGCCCAACATGCTGTCGATGATCTGAATGGAAAGCTGAAGGTTGCCCGAGCATTTTAGGTCCGCAGCCTTCCTAATGATTTCCATATACTCCCAGTTCTCAAGACTTGCGTGAGTCACACCTAAGGGCATGAACATAAGCGGCATGAGCTGCTGAGATGTAGGCGGAGACTCACCACTCGAGGCAATTGCACCGTAAACGAGCTCCGGGTAGAGAACGCGCATATGCGCAGCCCGAGCGCCAGCATACGATCCCTGATCCAACACATCAACTTAGAGGGTTCACAATGGCCGTTCGGAATGTGTATCCACTCACACCATAGTAGATCCAAGGATGTTTGGGGGCGGTGAGGTCCTCTTCAAAACCGTTGAACTTCACGTTGGCCATAAAGTTGGCTGAGTCCGCTGCGGACTGCGCGTTGTTTAGGAAACTGGTGGAAACGCGCGGGTTGTAGGAGAGCGTCGGAGAGCGGCATACGCACGATAACTCACCGCAGTGAATCCGTAGTGAGGTTCTGGACGGGGAGCGATTTGCCTGGAACGATACGTTAAGCGGCATCTCCGGTGGGGGACGCAGGCTCGTCACGCACCATAGTACCTAGCAAACAGAACACGTTCAGGACGAGCACTCCCTCGTCGCGAATGCGCACTCACCTATGCTCCAACACGATCCCGATCCCACCAGTCGCCCGCGCCAGAATCTCCATGATCCCCGTGTCCAAGAACGGCAGCCTGTCCATCCCCGACGTCTCCCCTCCGTCGAGCACGAACACCGGCGAGTCTGGGCCAGGGACGTAGTGCCGTGTGTTGACCCAGTACCGCTGCTTCCACGTTTCGCTCCCGTTCGCGAAGTGGTCGAGTGGCTGCTCGAACCACTGCGCAGGGAACTTGCGTGCGAGGTCCGCGTTGCGCTCGAGCTCCGCCGCGGGCGCGCCGGTGTACCCCGAGGACTGGACGAGGAGCGCGTCGTGGGCGCTGTGTGCCTGTGTCCGTGCAGCGTTGAGCTTCCAGAGGTTGACAGCCTGGGGCCCGAGGATGCGTATGTGGTCGATACCGCAGACAACCGGCTGGGCGAAGACGAGGGCGACGAGCACGGTCCTCCACTTGGCCATGGTGGTGGGAGAGAAGTCAGTGTGCAGGGTGGCTGCCTGCGAACGCGAGAGATACAGTGTCCCACGGGTCCTTGAGACGCGAAAAACATTCCGGCCGATATCTCTGCGTTTTCGGGTCGGCTGCCACCACGTTTTGGCATTTACATAGCTCTACATAGTGGCTACCTCGATGAATATTTTAGGGCGGATACGATGTGCGAGAGACGAGTCCAACAGGATATGACATATGGTCCCGAAGTCCGCACCCACCCCTCCTTGAGACGGCCCATTTCGGGAAATAGATCATAGATCTCCCACGGCGCGCGTTGGTGCCTAGTCACTTGATCCACCTGAGTCGCGGTCGTGGTGCTCGATGCCGTCCTCCTCCTCGTCCCCATCACACAGGAGTCCGAGTCTGTGATGTATTTCGCTCATTCAGGGTGAGGTTTCTGTGCAGGACACGGAGAGACCAGTCGACACAGCACAACGCGACACCGTGTGAGAGTGTCACGTGGTAGGTGTATGTCGGCCCAACAGACGCCGTTGACCCCGGAATCCCGGGACATGCCCGGCATCACCAGCCCTGTGGTATAATCGCCTGAAATCTCGCAGAGAGAGGGCTAGAGTTAATGGAAGTCATGCCTCGCATTTCCGGAGCTCAGGATGTTTCCATACTCATGATTATATGCCATTTAAGTTTGCTCACACACTCGGAAATGCGAAAACATATTCTCATGATTTCAACTGGCTCTGGAATCAGCTGGGATCATTACTCTAACTACAAGGTGCATCATTGTGCACTGAAAGACCATTTTTTAAACAATTGTAAGCATGTACAAGAGGAGTCATCGTGGTCTGTCTCAAGGACCCGTGGTGTCTCAAGGACCCGTGGGACACTGTATGACGAGTCTTGTCGTGAGATCAAGGGACGCGTCAATCACGTGGACTAGGTTTCTCGCGTCTCCAACCGGCATGCTTCAACATACAAATCACGTCGAGTGAAAAAAAAAACAAAGCTACAGTGATGCGTTGCGAGTGAACAGCGTTGTAAGGGAACAATGGGGTGGAGTAGGATGTCTAGCGCAATCGTGTGTGCTACAATACACGGAGGCCTCGTGGAGTCAGAAGCATAGACGTTTGGTATTTGAGCAGACTACAACAGTCGGTGGGACACGGAGACAATGATGTACAAGACAAAGACACACCAACACCTATGAATGTCCAAAAGGGGAGTCTAGTCGTCCGACTTGATACATACGCGCCTATGCTCTTCCCAATCGAGCCGCTGATGCTCGGCGGAGCAGTACTTCACCAGCTTGCATCGGCTACAGACGAGACCGGCGAAGGATTTTGCGCGGCCGGTAGGATCGCACATACTCGCATCGCTCCGTTCATCCACGCTGCCCTCCGACCCGCTGGAGGGCACGAGCTCCTCGGTGAAGCAGATGTCGCATTCGATCCAGTTGCACATTTCGTGGGGATGGGCGCGTCGTCCATACCGGTAGCGAACCTTCTTCTTCGACCGAGGGGAGAGGACGACTGCGTACTCCGGACCGTGCTTGGGGAAGCGGATGAGCTCGCAGCAGTTGTCCGTACAACCGGGGTTGGGGCATCCGCTGGGGAAGTCGTGGTACATGTCCATGGAAGGAACGAATGCGGGGTGGGCGAACAGAATTTGCGAGTAGGACATGGTTTGATGAGAAAAGAGGACGATAAATGGGGGCCGCTTCTCGTGAAGAAGAGCGCGCAGCGTGAGATCGATTTGGGGGAAGCAAGGAGTTCTTCGATCCAGGGCGCTGCTGAGCAAAATGTCTGCGCTGAAGCTTAGCACGCGGCGAGAGGCTCAGGATGAAAGGCGACAGAAGCACCCCGGAGCGAAATTGATCGCAAAGAATAGAATGCATAAGGGACAGAGCACACTCACAATCATGGTTGATTTTCCGCTCGACACTGGGCTTACAGTTCCCCGTGGCTGTATTCTGGCAGACATACTGGAAATAATCGGCTACTTGATCCATTTCATGGCGCTTGAGATCTGTCACGATGACATAAATATCGTCGCAACCGCGGTCGTGCATGCCTCGGAGGAGCATCAATTCTGGCAGCTGATTTTGACAATAAGAAGACGCGCTTCATGAAACGAAGTCACCCGAACACTCACCATGCTAAAGATGACCGGCATCATCGTAAGGCGCTTCATCGAGCGGTGGTGGTAGACATGGGTGACCCAAGTGCGGTCGAGGGGGATGAGACGGCCAGTGTCGACTGTGCGGGTAAAGATGTTCTCGGGGACGAAGACTCCCTTGTTCCAGAGGAGGAGCTGCTCTCGGCAGCAGTGGTGGGCAACATGCTTGTGCTCGCGGATGCGCTGGAACCAGTCGAAGTAAGAGTCGGGACGATGGGGGCGCTCGAGCCATTTGTCGATGAGCATGTCTGTGGCATCGTTGTCGAGCTTCTGGCACACGAGCTCGCTCATGTCGAGGCTCGGGGGGATGAACTTGGAGTAATGCCTGCCGGGCATGACGTCGGAGGCCAGGGAGTCGACGTCGGGGCGACCGAGAGGGAAAACACTGGCGAGATGGAGAGAGTGGGAGTAGAATTGGGCGTCGAGGTCAAGCGAGGCAGGCGTTGAGAGCGAGGCGGGAAAAGAGCAAGCGCTGGAATCGGGGATGCTTGGCGGGCATGACGCGAAATGGCCTGCCCTGAACTGTGCCCGCCGCAGACGTGTCTCCATTGCAATGCCAGTCCTCCCCTGCTCCCCCACTGCTTCTTATATCCCCTTCAAGGCGTCTGCCAGTCCTTCACCGCTCAGTCTTGTGAACGGCACATTGCCCGCGAGTCACAGCCTCGGTCCACCTTCCGTCCGGTCACTTGACGCCAAGTTCCTTGCCTGAATGCACTCTTCAAAGCTTCAAATTGGCTGCACACAGAGGGGCCTTCTGCAGTGCACAGGCTGAGCGCTGATTTTTTTGGGTTCGCGAGTCATTCGTGAGTCCGCTCGGGGGTCCCGATTCTTGTCACGGCACCCTTCCCTCCCTCTCTCGAAGAAACGACGCACTGCATCTGTTCAAGTTAGACCTAACGCACCAGGTCTCTCGCGCTCGCCACGGCAGCCGAGACACTCTCGGGAGTCCAGGATGCAAGTGCTTCTCAATCGGTATCTGGCAGGACCATGGATCGCATCGGCGCCGCCTCTCAGGCTGTCCTCGACGGAAAGGCTAGTACCGATGTCGGCTCTCCCCACGGTCCGCGACTTCTCTGCTTCGAGACGTCCACCGTGCGCACCGAAGACACACCCATGTTCGAACTTCCCTTCACGAGTGATCTGCGTGTCGTTTGCGCACTCGATTATCCTCTCACCAAGAATCGATGATGTCATCACACGCTCTGATCTAGATCGAGCGTCTCAAAGTCTGGTCTCGCGCGAGACCAGACCATATCTCCGTCTCTCACTCTGACCTAGAGACCCAACGACCATGGCCATGCGATACCTCACCTCCAAGCTGGCTCAACAAGTAAGCGTTCCTCCTGCTCGGCATTTACAACCTGTGATAAGAACCCAACTAGATCGACGAGGAGTTGATGGGCACCGTCGGCGCGTTCAGCATCGACCAGGTGCGTCCGGTAACACATACACAATGGTCGTATCATGGGAGATGACCCCCCACACAGCTCATGGAGCTTGCAGGGCTGGCGTGCGCCCAGACCCTTGCGACGGTGTATGGCAAGGAGAAGTACCCGCGCGTGCTTGTGTGCTGCGGTCCGGGCAACCAGGGCGGCGATGGGCTGGTCGCCGCACGACACCTAGGTGTGTAACCCATATCATCTCTAGCTTGCGAAACAAATATCGAGTGGTGCATGGCCGATACCAGGGCTATTTGGTTACAGGCCAACGATCTGGATGCCCAAGGTGCGCATCTATCGGCCACTTTCGAAGGCAGGAGGATGACAGCCGCGCATGGACTCTTTGTGTAGCCGGGCTCCAAGGACATTTACAAGGTGCGTAAAGCAAAGTGATCGTGCCCGACGGTGGCCCATATCGTTTCCCCGCAGCGGCTCAAAACGCAATGCGACAACATGAGGATCCACGTCATTCCGCCGTCACAGGACACCCAACCCCTCAAAGACGCACTGGCCTCTTCAGACGTGATTCTCGACGCGATCTTCGGCTTCTCCTTCATGCCACCCGTTCGCGCGCCTTTCGATGCCGCGCTTCCGCTCATCGCGGGCTCAGGACTGCCCATTGTCTCCGTCGATGTCCCATCCGGGTGGAATGTTGACGAAGGCAAGGCCGACGCATTGGCACTAGACCCAGAGGTGCTGATAAGCCTCACGGCACCAAAGGAGGGGGTGCGGAAGTACAAGGGTCGACACTTTCTCGGGGGCCGCTTCGTGCCGACGTGTGTGGAAACGTTTGTGACATTGCGAACTGGAGACTGACCTGCGTTCCCCAGAACACTGGCGGAGAAGTTCCAGCTCAACCTCCCAGAATATCCCGGCATTTCTCAGATCGTGGAGCTGCCTCTGGCGGACGAAGCCCAGAAGCTTTGATGGCACGGGGAGGAAAACGTCGGTCGTGCAGTCCGTCTTCAGGATTCCCATGTAATGCAAGATATGAAGCGGTTCCAACTACTAGTACAATGCGCGCTCCGTGTGTTCTAGATGTCCCCTAGTAGTCGTTTCCTATGGTTCACAAGCGGTGTTAGCATGAATGCTTCGCAAGAGTTGGGCGGCACTCACAACGCTTCTGGCGCATCGCTCAGGATGGTGGGACCGCCAACCATTTCCCGTGCCCATACGTCTCGCATGAACCAACCTACATGTCCAACGGCGCACCCAAGCAAGTCGCCTGCCGCTGCGCGCCAGGTGCCGTTCAGCAGCCACGCGAGGCCTACCAGGGCGAGGGGGAGGTAAGGGGCGGTGATCGTCACCAAGCCGAAGAGAGAGATTGGTGTGGAGGGGTGTCGTCTTGACCAAAGGTAGATTGGTACAAATGCGAGAGGTGAGGAGAGGAAGGGGAGATTGACAAGAGGAGAGAGTGCCTGCATGCGAAGGACGGCGTGAGAACGGGGAGTAATACAACCGCAAGATAGTGTGCTTACGAGTAGCATGATGGCGGAGAGGAAAAGGAGCCAAAAGTAGTCTGCTTTCTTGTTCGCAAAGGAAGACTCCTCGAGCAATCGACTATACCGCATGCTACGAGCATGCATTCAGTCGCAGTAAGGAGACGGGGAACAGTAACACTTACAAGAAGAACATGTGGAATATGAAGTCTAGAGAGATCGTCCCAAAGTAAAAGAACGTGGTCAAAGCACGCCATGGCTATAGCAACAAGTCACCAACTGTCGCTTCGAGCACTACAATGAAGTACGCACCTGCATATTCGTGAACGCAGCCTTGAAGCTGAAATACAGCTGAAGTGGAGTCACCAGTTGCGTTTGCTAGTCATGTGCTCAGTTCGGCAGATTAAGCCACAGTATAACAAGCTGCTCACCACGGCCAGACTGGTCGCCACAGAGATAATAAGCCACGCTCGAGTAACGGGTGGGATCTGAGTGACCCAGGCTTCAATCCCCACAGGCATGATGGGTGTCTTGACGGTATTAAAAGGGGGTAAAGGAGAATTCGGGGTCTATGAGCACTGGGAGTTAAGCGTCGTTAGAGGGAGTGACGGCGGGGAGGATGGTCATGGTCTGCAATGCGGACCGTTTGCGTGCCACCGCCCGTGGCACGAAATCGCAAGCGCCTAACAAACGCGAACGTGGCGCACGTCATACCTTCGTCACGTGGGAAGTCGTCTTCAGCGGGCGCCTCATGCGACTCTCCAGATATCTCCGAACTCGCACGCAGTTCTCGTCGCTCTTCTTGGGCTCCTTCACGAGGGTGAAAACTCGACAATGCTCAAGATTTGTCACTAGAAGTACACAAGCCTACAGACTTCACGCGGTTCACGTGTACCAATCGAGTCCCGAGTGAGTTCGTCCTAAGTAAAGTATAAGTACATCCATCTCAACCGCGCCCAAAGCTAACAGAAAGCTTCCTGCTGAAGTTCCTGATATGACCCATGTCAATCGATGCGCCCCCTCGACGCATCTTCATCAAGCCCGTGGACAAAGGCGCAGGACCCTCTTTGCGAGGCTCCTCCTCCGTCCGCTCTTCGTCCGCACCCTCCATTTCCTGCAGCTCGCGCTTCGCCATCAGGCAGATGATCGCAATGCCGGATCCGGCGCATAAAAGCATCTGAGGGAAGAACCCAATAGCATCTGCGCGTAACGTCAGCTCGTACAATTTTCTCAGGATGCCTTCATGAGGTCCTACCAATTAAGACACCTATAACGTTGTCAGTTCATCGCTCAACACAACCAATCACGACCACTCACCATCGAAGCCAGGCGCGTCCGGCATGGAGTTGCGCAGTTGCGGCACGGCGAGCATGATCACCAGCACAGCGACCAAGTGCCGCGTGTACTTCTCGCAGTCGTTCGACTTGGACGACAGCACGACCATTCCTAACGAGGCATGCGCCAGCATCCAGTTCGCCGCGAACAGGAGAAGAGCGAACATGCGAGCTTCCGGCGGTCGACTCACGTCCAAGCTGAGGTCCCGGGACGCCTCATCTATCGTGTTATCTATCTTGGTAGTGCTGGCGGAGTCGTCGGAGATGGTGACGAAACTAGATGTGAGTGTAATGGTCGCCATCTTCTGCAGAGGGAGGCTCGTGTTGTCGGTCGCCGAGACCACCCTGATAGTGCTCGTGAGCAGGTAGGTGTCGAAGGGATACAAACGAGCGTTGTGGACATCCAAGACGTGATCGTCGTCGAATTGGAACAAGTTCTGGATACTGACGAGCATCCAGTCAGAGACTCCCGCAAACCAGGCACCATGATTCACAGCTCACCTGTTTCTTCGTCCGTTGGAGGTCCATGGCAGAGTGGTCGGGTCGTAGGATGCAGCAGGTTCAGGATTCCTGAGAGGAAGGTAAGTACATTTACATCCTGCCGAGATTCGTGGCTCTTACCCGTCGACGAAGATGTGCAACGGCATGGCGGGAAGCCCACAGTTATTGCTACCATGGGTCCCCGCAGACCCTGCCAGCATGTACGCGTCACCACACGCGATAATGGACCACCGGATAGTCAATGCTGGTTCATCGATATCGACGTCGACGTCATCGCCGATGAGAACGATCTTGAGGTGGAGGTAAGCGCTTATCGCCGCAGATGGTGGGTAACCTCATGCTCACCCCAGGGCTGTTGGCAGCGACGTCGTCGAGCTCGGCACCAAATGCGGGTCGTTGGTCGTCATCGGGGATGAAGGCGAAGGAAAGACAGGATATGAAGAGCAGCGATAGAATGGCAGATATCCACACGAAGAAGCCAGGGCCGAGAGGGATGATGCCTGCTTTCGTGGTGAGTGGTTTGTATGTCTTAGCTGCCGGGCGAGGTGTTGGTACGGGCCTAGACGATGCCCTTGACGCCGGGAGAGTTTCCGGTGTCGAGGCCCTCGGTCTTGAGGGTGCGGGAATGGGTGTCGATGCGGGGATTCTGCTTCTGGCGCCAGTGTTCCTAGCGCCACCGCCATGACGAGGAGGCAAGGGGGCGTACGTGTCCTCGGAGGTAGAGGCTACAGAGGCCATGGACAGGGAGGAGCCGGGTCGGACGAGACCGGTTGTGGAGAGATATGAGTGTCGGTGCGACATGACGTGGACAATGAGGGTATCAAAGGAATGTGGTACGCATACGCTGAGCGTGTACAAGCGTAGCGAAGATGGCGGGCGAACAAACGTCCTACCAGCACAGGTTGCACGGGGAGAGGGAGTGCGCGGGGAGTGCGCTTGCACGCGCGCCCCGCTCCCGCCCTCGTCGCCTTATTACGACGGCTTGTTCGGCTGCGCTGGAATGCCTCCCTGCATCTGGCTGGATATCCGACCGTGACTGCTGCCATCGGCGGCGCGCGTGCGGAGATGCGGTGGGCAGTCCCGCCGACGCGCCTGATCTGACAGACATCCATTCCGCAGGAACCTCTCAGGGTCCTCGCCCGCCAGCCGGCCGGTCAGCGGGCTTTAGCGTCCTCATGTTACGTCTTGCAAACACCGCAAATCGTCTGTTGGACGCCTGCCAGAAGCAGCCAGCCGCGCGGTCCCTTCCTGCGACTCGCTTGGCGCTGTGTATAAATGCCTTACGCCCGCCGATCTTCAAAGCTTCACTTGTGGCATTCTTGCTCTTTCACGCATATGCCCACGCCATCTCTTTCGTGCAGCGGATAGAAATATTACACCTCACATCTACCAAACCGAGCTGCATTCGCTCAACCCGCGCCTTCACGCCTTCGCGCTTGCAAGATTGGCACGAGGGCATCTTCACTCTCATAGCCGTATTGCACACTGATCGGGAGTGATTTTCCCGCACTACTCCCGCTTAGGGACACTCCAATTCACCGGCCGTTCACGCACATCCGCGACTGCACTGCAATTGTGATCTCAGATGCTGACATTGAACATTGCTCGAAGTCGCGGCCGAACCGCGCCGCGAGTGACCGGGACTCTACAGCATCGCGCTGCGCGCAGAAGATGGATGTTCGCGGCGTTCCGCCGGCGCACACGACTGTATGGTTCATTGTACAGAGTTTTCCGATGACGCCCCCCATTCAGTGTGCACGTCCCTGCGCATCATCTTCCAACACCTTTCCCAGTACCTGAACCTCGTCCAACGGCCCGCCCTCGTCCCCTTCTGCTCCAAAGTTGCTCAGGACCCCGGTGGCGAACGCGAGCGCATCCCCGGCGTGTCTCCGCACCTGCTCCTCCGAGCCAGCGCCGAGCCCCGCCAGCGCGCCCGGCTCCGCGCAGAGCAGGTTCCAGAGCGTCTTCGCGAGCTCGAGTGCGTGCATGCCTGTCGACCGTGTCGCCTCAACTCAGGAACAGACGGGAGCCCCAGGCCCGCTCGTGGGAGATGGGAGGTGGGACGTACCGATCTGAGGGTAATTCGGCGGGTACACCACCACGTACAGCGCGAGGAGCGTGAGCCCGGCTTCGACAGCGTGGCCGTACGGGCCCTCGTGTGCCGTGCGGCTGAACGCCTCAGACAGCGCGGGAAGGTAGTCTTCGTGCAGGACAGCGCGGAGCTCGAGCGGCAGGCCCTCGAACATCCCAGGCGCGGTCGGGATGCGGACGGAGCCCCGCGCGACGTCCCCGAGTGCGAACTCGCGCAGGGCGGCGTCTAGGTGTGCGATTCCCTTGTCGTCGGCGCGCGAAGGCGGAGCGCCGCTACCGTCGGTGGGTGAGTCTGTATCCGTCCGCAGGGGTGGGGCGGGAACAGGGTCGATGGATGACTGGAAGGTGCAGAGTCGGCAGCCGCATGTGAAGCCGTAGTTTGCGCGCAAGGCGTCTTGACGTGTTCGATATGGGAGGGCGGGGTCGAGATATGGAATCGTGACCTACCGGACGTCGAATGCGGAATATTTTGCAGAACGAGAAACAGTGCAATTTCGTGAGTATGACCTCTGTACTGACACGAAAGACAGACGAACCTCTTCGCATTCTGCAACATCCCGCAAAGCTACGACATCCATACGGGGCGCTCCAGACGGAGTAATGATGTACTTGCAAACGGCTGAAGGGGCGCAGGAGTGATTGAACAGACGACTCGCCAGCGGAAAGACCCCGTGCGCGTAAGCGTCCAGGTGCGAGTGAAGCACGAAGTTGTTGTTGCCAAATCGCGCGTAGAGGTCCGCTGCTAGCGCGAGGGTTTCTGGCGTTTGCGCACTCGCCGGAAGGCACAGAGGAGGGACGAAACCGTCTGACCTCGGAACTCCGAGGAGGTCCAGCATCGTGGCATGCGGATGATGCAGATCGTCTTGTGCGCGTTCCCCGCACCATACATCGGGGTCGACTAGAAGCTGGGAAAGCAAGAGCGCATCCACTTGGTCATGGCTAGTAAGAGCTTGATACTGGTTTGACGCGGTGAAGGTGTTGTAACGCTTGCAGAGTTTCCTATGATGCGCCTTCCATGCCTTGCCTTGACCTGCGACGCGCGAAGTAAGCGAGCGGGAAGATCAGCCAACATAGCACGCATTCGCACATGCGGTACCACAGTACCAGAAAGACGCGCACCCTGAGCACCTAGAGAGCTGCGCGGAATCGGTCTGCACTCGATGGCATTCGTCGCAGCGCTTGCCCTTCTCAGAGGGGAGGAGAGCAGTCGACAGAGCGGGAATGCTTGCGATTATGGAACCGATTCGAATGGTTCCAGTTCCCACAGCAGCATTCCTTGCATCCGGATGTGGCTCGAGGCGAACCAAGAGAGGTGGGTTCATGGTGGGAGTAAGCAGAGCCGAGGTAAAACCAGCATCGGATTGCTGAGCATAAATGGATACTCTCCCACGGTCATTGAGTCAATGGTGCACAATACAAAGCTGCATAGAAGTGCTACATTATCCACCGAGACTATTCGACGTCGACGTTGATGATCGCAATATCCTCGTATGGCTTATCCCCTTTGTTTGTTTTCACGTTCTCGATAGCATGCACAACCTCCAAGCCCGACAAAACACGACCGAAGATTGTATGCTTGTTGTCAAGCCAAGGGGTCGCGTTTGTCGTGATGAAGAACTGCGAGCCGTTCGTGCCTGGACCTGCGTTCGCCATACTGACAGTATACGGTCTGTGAAAACGTACTTGTCAAGCCTGACTCTAGGGTAACTGTTGCACGACCACTCACCTATCATGCCTGAGTTCGTCGGAGAATTCATCCTCGAACTCCCGTCCCCAGATGGACGTCCCTCCCGTACCATCTCCAAGAGGATCGCCCGTTTGGATCATGAACTTTGGAATGACACGGTGGAAGATGACGCCCTCAAAGTAGCCCGTGCGTGCGTGCCCGACGAAGTTCTCGACGGCTTTGGGGGCTTGCTGTGGGAACAAACGAATGTGCATGTCGCCAAGCGTCGTGTGGATAGTTGCGCTGTTTGCAAGGGGTGATGGCCCCCCTCGGATGGCTGGTGCTGCAGCTGCAATTGACTGCTCTTCGCGCGTTGGGCGCTCGTTGAAGATGTCACGGTCACCAGACTTATCCCTGTGGGCAGTGTCAGAGATGTCAGAGTCACTCCAACAGAAACACACGTACTCTGGGTCTAAACGAGTGAACATGTAAAACCTTGACCGCTTGTACCCAGTGCAGGACAATGTAGGGTCACGCACGGCCTTCTCCGCGAGCAAGGGATTTGACGATGCTGCTGCGGCCTGACATAAGGTGTAAGGTCATGTTGAACAGCCGAGTACCATAACACTCACAGCGGTGGTCAAGCCCTTCCTTGCAGGCGCTCCTTGGTATAGTGTCAAATGCATGAAACGGACGGTTTCATCTTTTCCCAATAGTCGGACTACCCTGTTGGTCACCGTGTTCACCACTTGCCTGAATTCAGAACGTGCACATCGCGACGAATGAAGGATGCTCACCCTTAATACCGAGCAGTGTCGGGTAGATAATAAAAGAGCCGCTCTCATCCCAGACAGCGTTGATCCACATCCCCGGTATGCGGTCGTCTGGTCCCGGGAGCTCCAACTCGCGTTCTGCCGCCAAACGACGACCGAATTCCATGTCTTCGACCTTGTACACGGCGGTCCCTGCTTGCTGCATTTCCTGGATCGCCACGAGTGATTCGTCGTATTTCCGTGTCATCTTCCCTGACAGGAAGGAGAAAACGCGTATTTGGCGATCGGGTAGGGAAAATGTGACGAAGTGCGAAGAGTCCGGGGAAAGGGTGATACAGGTCGGCGTTGATTTTGACTGTTCACATGCGATGATTTGAGCCAGTCGCGCCCCCAACTAAGAACGATTCGCACCTTCTTAAACTCGTACAGATCCGTCTCACTCTTGTAGTTCCACAGCCCAGGGACATTCTTCGGCAGATCAAAGGGCTCTAAAGGCTGCCAGTACTCGACAAAGCCGCCTTCGTCAGCGGACACTACGCAGTTGTATCTGTCGCTGTACTGAGGAGGTTGTTCAGGACTGGAACATGCTACGAAGGGAGGTCGACTTACGGTCATGATATGTACGGATGACCGATGGAGCTTGCCAATAGTCTCAAGCGGAGTTCCATCTCCTCTACCATCATACAGTCGAATGGTACCCGAGCCACGTTCTGAACTGCAAGGCACGTCAGTCGCGCGGGAGGAGAATGAAGGGTGACCTGACATACATTGCCAAAATGCCCATTGCCTGTCCCCGCTTGTGCACCCAACAACACGCATGAGGTGTATATCCGAGCTTGAGCATGTTGATCATGTCTCACGTCTCTATGAGCACCGAACCGTGCTCGAGCGGTGCGTGGAACTCACCGAAGTTAATGACATCGAACACTTTTGCGCTCCCATCCTCCGCAACACTCGCGAACAACTGCCCATCCGCACTCGCAGAGACTGCGACGACAGGGGCGAGATGCGCGCGGTAGTGTTTGACGAACTCGATGCCCTGCTCTTGTTTCTTCCACAACTTGATGTGCCCATCAATGGACGTCGTCAGCAGGAACTCTGTTCTGCCAAGGTAGACCGTTAACTCAGCAGCAGCACACCCCGAGCACAGAACTAGGAGATACCTCGTAAACACGTTGAAGTTGATGGCTTCGCGGTGCATGAAACTCTTGTAGTAACGGTCGGCGGAAGGGAGGTGCTCGAGGTAGAGCTTTTCGTGGGGCAGCACCTTGCGTTTCTTCTTCACGACGCGTCCCTCCACATCCGCAGGCATGGGCATGGGGCCTACGTCGTCTTCCGAGTCGTCGACCGCATCCATAGCGTCCGGACGGGGTTCTGCATCGTCGTCTTCAACCTGGTGACCGTTCTCCGCGTCTTCGCCATTCCGTGAACGTTTGCCCAGAACAGACGCCTCGCGTTCGGAATCAGACATATGAGCGATTGGGTGTCAAAGAGTGAGGAACAAGTGAGCGAAAAGAGAGCAGGGAGTCGGAATGTGGGGAGAGAAAGAGTCCCGGCCAGCGCGGAAGACCGCCACGCGTCTCCAGATCTCCCACTCCTCCAGCCCGACCTAACGCTCATCTCAAGTTTATGTGTATCCTCGTGGTCGAATGTTTATCCAAAATCGCAATGACAACGGCTAAGAGAATAGGTATAGCTTCGCAAGTAAATACTCGAGGTCCGATGACTATAATATGTGCTACATTACGACGCAATCATCCTTGCCACCCCCTTCCGCCAGGAACGCTTTCTCTTCCTCGCTCAAGGGAATTCCCTTGCGCGCGCGCTCCTGGATCGCCTTGCGCCGGCTCTCGCGCTCTGCCTTAGCTCGTCTGAAGATATTGATACAGTGAAAGGAGTCCAGTTGATTGTCGATACAGTGGAGAGATTAGGCCGCGCCGAAGATGGATGGTGGAACAAAGGATAGAGGAGTATAAGCAGTTGGTTTCGGGGACGAGCGTTCAGGTGGGTCGTGAGGATTCGTGTCGTTGATTACGGCGGTGAGGGAAGACATGGTAATAAGGATAGTCGAACTGTAGCTCGATGAGTGATCCACTGGCAAAGAGGAAGACGGAAGGGGCTTACCGTTCAGTAGAGGAGAATGGATTAGGTCGCGGGGCCCCAGAACCTGCAGGTTTCGAAGACGAGGAGGCAGTCGGTGGAGGAGTTTCTTTCTTGACAGGAACCTTCGGTCGCGCAACGGGTTTGCTCGCAGCAGCACGCTTGATTGCAGCTAAAGCGGCGGTAGACGCCACGCTAGTCTGGTTCGACATATTGTTCCATGTAGACGCCGCGCTGGAGGGCTTAGAAGTAACCGCAGCAGCCGAGGAGCAGGAGTGATCCTGAGGGAAGCGATGAGCAGGGCAAAATTGTTGCTTGCATGACTATACAAGAGGGTCTATTGAGCTTTGCGCAGAAGAGCGAGTTGCAGTGGACTCACACCACAACGGATGGGGGCAAAAAGAACTTTGCCACACTTCCCTCTGGCACACGTAGGAGCAGACTTGCCCGTCATCCTCCCGGTCATCACAGAACACTCGGTGTTGATATGCTGCTCCATGCGAATGTTCGGGTCCTGGCCCGGTGGGATGGCAACAGGAGTGTTACAGAGGGGACCTACTGAAAAGTAAGCCACCCAGTTTCCACCAAAGAAGCAGAGTAAGGGGCTTACAAGACGGAGCAATCCGGTCATGCTTCGCAGCATCGTACTTCTCGCAGCTATGGGCAGTGGGTAGGAAGTGGTCTCCGCAGAATGGCTGGGCACAATGTTGACACTTGAGTGGGAGGAAATCAACGAGCCCACATATCGGTGAAGAACATTGCTTGCCGACTTCCAGAAGTTGGTGGTCTCTGTTGGCCGGAGTGGAAGTGCCAGACATAGCGTTGGTGGGTGGGGAGGTAGTTCTGTGGGTGCTAGTATGGGGTGTAGTCGTGGTATAGAAGTGTCTCAAAACGAGGGGCAGAGAGACTTATAAACGGAAAGCCACAGAGAACGCGCGTCCACCGTGGAGGAGGACGCGCAAGCTGGAGGAGGATGCGCAAGCAGCAGTGGCCTGCCAAGAAGCTTCGCGCAATCGCTAGGCTGCTTAGTCACCCAAGGTTGATTACCTGAAACGGCGAAGTAAACGCTTGCTTACATAGGCGCTGACTCGACAAGCTTCCTGACTCAGTCTGACGCTGCAGGATCGATGTGGAAATTTGGAACGCTGCTGGTTGGTAGGACTCGGCTTTACAACACACATTGACACCACGATCGCGCTATGTCCGAGGCTAAACCAACTGTGATCGTAACCTTTGTGAGTTCAGAGCATAGGAGTACGGACTTGGGTGGGTTGTTGATCCAGATTGATTATAGATTAGACATGGCGAATCAACGGATAACTTGGTAGGTTCTCCCTGTACAGGAAACAACAAGGCCTCATATTGGAGGGCTAGCGTGACCTATGGGCGGGGTGGAAAGACGCGCCGTTGAGTAACCATGGCATGTAATGATTGTCTGTTCAAGGCAGGGCTCAGTCTAACCGCACAAATCGTAGGAATGAACGTGAGGATTTCTGTCTTATCTAACGTCCCTTCTTAACACAACAGCACTTCCTAGCAAGCTCAAGCACTCGCTATGTCACTGTCAACTACCTGTTTGTCCGCCATATACGCTTCTCCCTTGAAACGCGCGCTGTGGACAGGCCAGGCCGTCCGCGACCAGCAACCCGATCCAAAACCACCCTTCCAAGAGTCTCCGCTCATACGAGAGCAACACTTCGGTGTGGCCGAGGGCCGTCCGTGGTCGTGGCATCAGAAGGAGAACCTTTCGCTCGAAGAGCACTTCGCCCAGGGAATATATCCGGTCCTTCACGAGCGTCATCAGCATTTCCCCGAAGGAGAGAGCGTGGACGACCTTTTCGTCCGAGCATCACGGGCTATAGATGAGCTTGTGATGCCTCACGTATGGAGGGCGGCTAGAGAAGGGAAGACCGAGGTTCACATTGCACTGGCGAGCCATGGACTCTGCATTGGTGAGCTCATCCCGGCGCTGCTCTTGAAGGACTCCCAAGGAGTGCATCCGGGAGATCAGTATCGCGGATTACGCAACACCGCTTGGACCAGATTGACGGTGGAAGTGGAGGTAACCTGCCGAGGTATCCACGAGGAGATACGAAGACTGACCCCTCTGTAGGGCGCCCAAGAAGGAGCACCACTTACCTTCGAGGATAACAACTTGCCCAATCTCCGCGTCAAGTCACCGACATCAACCGCCATGAACACTTGGATAACGTCGTAAGTAGTTTCTACTGCACGGCATTTCACCGAGTTGACTGTCGCTGCACAGGTGCGCCAGAAGGGAGGGATTGGAAGTGCGGCCCACGACCCTAAGCAGCAAGACATTCGCGCCTTCTTCGGTGGGGGCAAGATTGCGAACAATGTAGATTTGGAAGAGGGTCGCAGCCTCAGCAACGCAAAGGATGAGGCAGACGTAGTGATTCAAGGGACACGACTTTAGCTCGAGCGTGGAAGCAACATTAGACTAATTGTGAGATATACGACAATGTGTAGAGAGCTGGGCTTTCGCTCAGCATGATTGGGAATGCGAAATGGCAACTAACTCACCAGGTACCATGGCCGCTAGTGTGAACCATACGGGAGTATCTTTTTGAGCCGTGCGGTTTGTGAAGGGCTGGAGTAGGCAGGTTGACCAAGTGCGTTTATCCGGCTAGGCGTTTTCGACACGTTTAAGTGACCGCGTCCTGAACGCCCCTACATCCCACATCTTGGTCAGGAACCACGCCCGTGGACCAGCTAGCCCACATACCCGCTTGAAGACGCCAGAGGGCATTGACCGCCACCTCTTCTTTGCCCCCTGATGGGTCTTGAGCTTTGGGAATTGTGGTGCTGCAGTGGTGGAAAAGAGGCGCGCGGTGCCCATGAGACGAGCTAGAGAGAACATGGCAGCACAGAAAGCACAAGGGTCGCGGGTAGAGGATAAGACCAGAGTTCGCGTCACTCAACCGGCGGGGCGGCGCGTCCGACGCGCGCTCCTGCCAAGCTCCTGGCGTCTGCAAGTCCGAGCCACTGGGTCAAGCGGGTGTCGATTGCATCTGACCCTCCTTCATCCTCCTCCACCTACCCTACTCATATCGCGATGGCTGCCAACCCCCAAGATGACGCCGAAAGGGTATGCATACCTCACCCGGTGCTTTTCCACTTGCAACGCTCACAGCGTTCCTGCAGATCCGACTGAAGAGGCTCGCTAAGCTCCAGGGAGCGCGTCCTCTACCCCAGTCGCTTCAACGTCGGCGAGCCCAGCCCCTGCCACTATACTTCCTCCAGTAGCTGCGCCTACGAAGCCTCCTCCGCCCCAACATCCCCCGAATCCAACGCCCGTGGTGCCAAAGCGACCCGTTGAACCCGCGTCAGCCGCACCTTCACCCGTGCCACTGAAGAAGAAAGCGCTTGCAGTCGCCGCGCCAATACAACTCGATCTGCCCCGGTGGGAGGATGCAACGATATCGAACGTATTCGGTATAACGCTGAAGGTATGTCGCATTTATGTTGCTCAAACCCTCTGAGATATGCATCGGCGGGCAGAAAGAAGTCGCGGAGAAGAGCAGCTATGAGATCGTATGGCTGAAAGGCTTGGCAGAGGAATTGCAAGGAGAAGGTCAGCAGCAAACGATTTCGTTCCTCCATGCAACTCCCCTTGTCTTATATTTTGTAATCAAGGCGTTCCACTGCAACTCAATGCTGGAGTGGCTGACCGCACACTAATAGCGCGCCTCGAGCTAGACCCACATTCCATGTCGTGAGTACAATCCCGCCCATGTTCTTTGCATAGTTTCATCAAAATCCCAGGGACGACCTTGAGTTCTTGCCTGTTCTGGCATCACTACCCCGCAGCAAACTGTGCTTGAATATTTGATCGGATGCTGGAAACGTCTCAATGCTTCCAGAGCCGTCATCCTCCGCAAGGTATGTTGGTTCGCAACTGCCTGGTTGCTCCTAAGACTCATTTTGTTGCAGACTCTCGTTCCACTCCATCAACAGCATGCACTCGACACGCTTGACAAAGTGCGGGACCTGATCATCAGCTACACTGGCCTCACCCTCCAAGAACCCGAGATGTTCCCTCAACCGAATATCCCGGGTAAGGAGCTAGGTGCTGCAGAGCTTGTACCTTCTTTCATGTCACTCTCCGCGCTCTCCGGCCCTTACCTAACTTCGGATTCTTCATCAAATCTCCTGACTCCTCCACTATCGAGACGTTCCTGCACGACATCGTCAGACGTTTCGAACCTGACAACGAGCTTGATACGGTCCTTGGGCCTGTAGTCGTGAGGCTGTGCTCTCATGAGTCTCTGCAGGCCGGCTTTGCCAGCGGCGATGGCTGGCGAGGTGTGGTCAGTGGGCTGGAAGCTCTGATCAGCGTCAAGGCCATTGCAGCAATGATCACAAGACTGCCAGAATGGAACCCAGACGTCCCTGTACCCGAGTTCGAGCTCAAGAGCGTGATGGGTCAACTGCTTCGACTAGGGTATTCCCTCGTGAATGGGTGAGTAGCGAACGCGACAGTGAAGTAGAATTGTACTAACCTTCTTTGTCCACCAGCCTTCCATCTCGGGGACATACTTCACCAACCACGAAACGCGTCCGCAGGGTGAAATCACCTCCGCGATGGCTAGTCTTCGTGGAACTCTGAAGACACTTCAAGTGAGCATTTTTCTTGCGATCCTACTGCTGGTCATTGACGCTTTTCAAGGCTTCACTGTTCCAGATCTTCAACACCCTTGTCCGCGCCTCCCCCGACGCCAGGGAAGCGGTGTTGCAATACTTTTCCAGAGCTGTCAACATCAACCGCAAGCGTGCCGGCATGCAGGTCGATCCCCTGACCGTGTCCACGGATTGCTTCGTCATGAACTTGCAAATCATCCTTTTGCAATTCTGCGAGCCTTTCATGGATTCTCAGTACAGCAAGGCAAGATTCTGTTCCTCAGCAATGTGCATATACTGACACTTCCGTGCACCAGATGGATAAGATTGATCCTGCATACTACGCCCACTCTTCCAGGATCGATCTCAGCGAGGAAACACGCATTAACGCCACAAATGAGGAGGCAGAGGAGTGGAGGACGCAGAACGAGACGATATCTGGTATGTCTTGCTTTTTTATCATCTTGTTCGGGAGGACTGACGGGGTGGACAGCTCCGCCGAATTTCATCTCTGATATCTTCTACCTGACCCTTGCTGTTAACCACATTGGTCAGCAGAAGTTGACCAATAACGTCGAAGAGCTCATGAAACAATACGACGACATTCGACGCAACCTAGAGATCCTACAGGAAGACCAGTCTTGGATGGGGGTGAGTTCCGATTATTGCTACATTCTGGTTTGAACTAATCCCCGTGTAGACTGCGTACCAAGCTCGCACGGAGGCTGTGATCAATGCTGGCAAAGTAAGTTCAACCAAACTTCACTTGTGATATCCGCTTACTTCTGAACAGGCCGAGAAAGACAAGGTGTATGCGGCACAGCTTGCGTATGAAACCCAGCTTTCAGAGCCCGAGCTCGTATTTCGGTCCATCAGCTTCGCGAATTTGGTGTCTACTTGGTTGGTCCGACATGTCGACCCGCTCAAGCGGCACCCAAACCCCGCCATCGTGTACGTGATATCCCATCCATGGGGTAGATTCGTATCACAAGCCTGACGTTGTGTGGTTAGGTTGCCGCTTCCCAAGGATGTCCCAATATCATTCCGCGTTCTTCCAGAATACCTTGTCGAAGATGTGATCGAATATCATCTCTACGTTATTCGGTACGAGATTCATAGGCACCTCTTGGGAAGGCATCTCATTGTTCGCGTAGGCAATCTCCCAAGAGCCTTGAGCTTTCTGGCAGGAACGAAATGATTGTATGGTGTCTCACTTGGCTGACGTCGACGTGGTTCATCAAGAACCCATTCCTGAAAGCCAAGATCGTTGAGGTATGCAATTGGCTCCTCCCCTTGTACGATTGACTGCATAACCGGACAGGTGCTGTTTTTGGGGACATGGAGCTGGGGAGAACACAGAAGTGTTCTCACTACGTTACTCAACACCCATCCTATGGCGCTCAAACATCTCATGCCGTGCTTGATGAACTTCTATGTCGGTGCGTGTTTGTTATCGTCTAGCTCTATCAACATGCTTAGGCGCGTGTTTTCAGAGGTCGAGCAGACAGGGGCCAGCTCTCAGTTCTATGACAAGTTCAGTAAGTGAGCCTTCACCACAAGCGAGAGCTCCTCTCACTGGTTGTTGTAGACTCCCGGAGGAACATCGCGTATATCTTCAAAGTTATCTGGAACAACTCCCCTCATCGTGATGCGCTGAAGGATCAAGCAGCGTTAGTGGCACCACCTCATTTTTGTTTAGCATGACCGCCATGGCTGACATCTTCGGGGCAGTCACCATTCGGACCGCTTTGTCCGCTTTGTCAACCTCATGATCAATGATGTCACCTATCTCCTCGACGAGTCCCTTACTCAGCTTTCCAAGATCAACCAGATCCAGACCGAGATGAAGGACCGGACGTCGTACGAAGCACAGCCCCAGCAGTATCGTCGCGAACGCGAGGGCGAGCTTCGCACACTGGAACGCCAGGCCAGCAGCTACGTCCAGCTCGGCAACAGCACTGTCGGGCTCCTGAAACTCTTCACGTCCGAAGTCAAGTCGCCGTTCATGGTGCCCGAGATCGTCGACCGCCTCGCAGCAATGCTCGACTACAACCTTGATGTGCTCATCGGACGCTCGCAGCAGCTCAAGGTGAAGAACCCGGAGAAATACAAGTTCAACCCGCGCCAGCTGCTCGGGGACTTGATCGACATCTTCCTCAACCTCAGCGACCAGGGTGATTTCGCGCGGGCCGTCGCGGGTGACGGGCGCAGCTACAGGAAGGAGCTGTTCGAGTCAGCCGCGAAGACGCTGAGGAAGAACAACCTGAAGTCGCCGGACGAGATCGAGAAGCTGAGGCTTTTCACGCTGAAGGTCGAAGAAATGAAGGCGACGCTCGAGGCCGAGGATGACCTCGGTGAAATCCCTGACGAGTTCCTGGGTTAGTTTTTGCGCATACATTCTAGTCTGCATGCGCTGATCGCTCTGCACAGATCCGCTCATGTATACGATTATGCGCGATCCCGTCACGCTCCCGACGTCGAAGGCCGTTGTGGACCGCGCGACCATCAAGTCGCACCTACTTTCAGACTCAAAGGACCCCTTCAACCGCACGCCTCTCTCCCTAGATCAGGTAGAGCCTAGTACGTGTCCTTTTTTAGTGGTGGGCTTGCCCTAGTTTTTAACGCAACTCCGCCACAACTAGATGTCGAGTTGAAGCAGCGCATTGATGCATTCCTCGCGGAGCGGCGCAACAAGAACACTGCCCTCGATAAGCCGGCGGAGGAGGTAGTTCATATGGATGTATCACCAGAGTAGATCTGAACATTGTAGCCTAGTGTATCTACACGTTATGTACTGTTGTGTTGGAGCAAAAGGCTTCCGTGTTTGTACGTCGTACCGACTGTCTGTAGATGTAAAACGAAAGCCCGCGTTTAGAAAATGCATGACATGGGGCTAGAATACGGGAGCATCCTTCAAGAACAGCTGCTTCTCTTCCTTCTGCACCCAGCGTGCGATGGCGTTTGCGGCCCCTACAGCAGCGCTCTTTGGCAAACGAGGGGACAAGGCCAGGTACAACTCAAAAGGCTGAGTGATCTGAGGTGGCGTGTTAATGCTTGTTCGTCCGAAAAGCCGGCTCACGTACCCAGCCCATCACACACTCTTGACTAGTTCGTACGTACTGGAGCTTGAGTGTTCGCTCCTGGCCTGACTTTGCGTGGATCGCGTCGTACACCGTCTGGTACAGCGTGACCAGTCTGTTGAAGGGGAACGTCAAAGGATGTCCAAGAAGAAACCGGAGGAAGGCGCACCTCCGCTTCTCGTTCAAGTCGTCATACGGCTCCTCGAAGGTGGGCATTGTCAGTTGGACGTGCGAGCGCGACTTGTACACGAAGTGCCTCAATCCCGGGACGCCAAGATTGGAGACAGAGTACTCGGTGTCCCCCTGGGCGATAGCCCTCGCGAGCATCCGCGACAAGCCGTCATCGTTCAGCCTCTGCAACGTACTGTATGAGCCTATGCAGGACGGAGCAGAAGGAATCGAACACTGACGCGTGAAACGGTGTCGCACCAGCTTCGCACGGCGTCGAAGTCCGCGCTACCGCTGACTGCCACGACGGCGACATCGGGCACCGAGCTGGGCGCAATTGCGACCGTCGGAACCCGGGGACTAGTGGCCACGTCAGCCGTATCTGCAGGGGCAGGGCCCTCTTGTGCGGTCACCGGCGCACCGTCCGGTGCGACTTCTTGGGTGCTTCCTTGTGTACTCCCCCGTGTGCTTCCTGCGTCGTCTAACGAGGTGGACGAAGACTTTACTGGAGCTTCCGGAGCGTCTTCCCGGGGAAGGAACATCACGTAGGCATTGACGAAAGCGGAGGCATTGAACTTCGGTAGACAGACGGGGAGCCAGGACGCCGCAGCGGAGTTATTGAGGATGGATGGCGAGTGGATGGTGTTGATGAGGATGTGAAGATCTGCACTTGGAATCAGCAGGAAGAGGTGGTCAGTGCAGGAAATGGTTACTCGCCTGATGGATGAATAGAATGTTTCCTTGGTCTGACCAAGGTGATAACACGTCCCTGAGCTATCACAATGACGTAGAGTATGTCCTACTAGTATTTCAGAAAGGTTCCCAAGAAGACGAGCGTCGGCATGAAGCTCACCTTGATCTTCGATTTAGGCACCAAGATGTCCGCGACCGACTTCCTCAGCACTGGGTCAAGTTTCAAGCAATGGAGCGACGATGTGCTCATAGCCAGGTCCCACTCCAGTCTAGCCAACAAAGAATAGAGGAATGGTTCTGCGCCTGAGCAGGGCATGAGATGGGGTGAGCAAAGGTCAGAGCATGGAGCGGACGTACCTCCTAGTAGCCGTCTCAGGTCGAAATTCCGCCGTTGCTCGAACATTCGCCTCAACTGTTCAGCTGAGACTATGCTCAATATCTGCAAGTGTAGGTATTCCAGGTGAAACCTGGCCTTGCTTCACTAGAGTGAGCACAAACGGGGAAATAGAGCAGGAATGAACGAGGATACTGACCACTGATTCCGGCTCACCCCAAGAGGAAACACAAACGTAATACAAAGGCGGCCGGAGGAGGAAGACTATATGCAAGTCTCTCGAGTTAATGCTCCGCAGCTTGTCGTTGTCGTCCAAGAAGATAGAGATAAGGGCTTGGACAACACCCAACATGGACGTTACACCATCCGAGTTCGCGTCTCGGTCACTGCAGGGGTGTCATTACATGCGAAGACGAGAATTTGCGCACTACGAACCTGACGAATACCGGCTTTCCTGCATCTGTCAGGACGAAGTACTGGCGGGTGGTGTATCGCTCTGCTGGAACTACGACGTTCTGTCAAGAAACTGCTTGCAAGTCAGACACAGAAACGCGGCACACCTGGTGTATACGGGACCTCTTGTGCATGTGTAGAAGCCTCACTAGCCCGTCGTTTCATTTTCCCGATATCTGGTGCCGTTCAGAACGGAGCGAGTGTGCGCGAGAGGGAGTCTCACACCTTGAAACGACTCTTTCTTGCTCAGAGTCCGGCGTAACTGCTCGCGGAGAATCTTCTTGGATTCTTCGTTTCCTGCACGAGACTCCACAATACCGGCAGCACTTCCTTCGTCGCCGTCGACGAGGTCCACGTCTGCGTCAGGCTCTTGAACGATCATGATGCCTTCAGCCCCCGACGGGGAAGAGCTGCTTCCCCCTCCCTCCATTGCCGTGGGAGCCACAGAGCCGGGGGTATGCGTTGACGAAGATCCATGGCTGTACACCCGAAATGAGGACACCGATGCAACTGAACGGATGGCGGGTGGGGTCGCGAGGCGGGAAGGTGAGCGACCCAGGTCAGGGGTGCCAGGATATGAGGGCACGCGAGTCGGAGTGCGTGAACGGCGCGGGGTAGTCGACATGAATTGTCGGTATCCGGATGAGTAACCGGCCAAATTCGCAAGACGTTGAGGGAACAGTAGTCGCAGAGAAGTGCGCGTTGACTGGCTCACTTGCAGCCTGGAGGGGCGGTCGCGAGGATGGTGAGGGGAGACAGACAACCGATCACTTGTCCGGCCCGTCCACACCTCATCCTCCTCCATCAGCGCACCTTGGTATCCGAGTCTATCTCTCGTCTCTTCCTCCCACCGCACCCACTGGATATATGGTGGTACAGGCGAACACACCTCTGGGTCACCGCGGCGAACCCTGGTTCGAAGACGGAAACATCGTCCTTCTCGTCGTGGACACGGATTCCGACACAACCGTTGCATTCAAAGTCCACCGAGGAGTCCTTGCGCGACATTCCGAGATCTTTCAGTCAATGTTCGAGATCCCCTCACCCACCCTGGAGAACGTTGAGATGGCCGATGGATGCCAGGTTGTGCGCATGCACGATCGGCCGACCGAACTGAGCGCACTCATCCGCGCGCTGTACGACGGAGCGTGAGTCTCAGTCCTGCAGTCAATCATTTGCATCTCGCGTACGGAGTAGAGCTCTACATGCGGCGTCCGTCCTACAGTCACGACGGGAGACACCTGATGAGCCCCGCCAGAATAGGACCAAGAGCTACTCCCAGTCACGGCATTGACCTGGTGCTGCGCATCCCAGACGGCCAAACAGTCCCAGCCTGGTCCTATTCGGGCGGTGGCCACCTGGGCCGTCCCGTCGTGAATGGTGCGCCCTCCGCGGCCCCTTTCTCGATATCTGGTTTCTCAACCACGTCTTTTTGCGATCCTTGTCATTAGATCGTTTCTACATCGCGGGATCGAGGACTTCTACAACGTCGCGGGCATCCTCCGCCTCGCGACCAAGTACTTCGTCGCCCATCTTCGAAGAGAGGCCATCAAATATCTCCTCGAGATATGGCCGCACACAATACAGGGCCATGACCGCTTCATCGAGCGGGCCGTCAGGGCACCGCTCGTGGGTGATCTCACGTACCCGTACGTGCACCCTCTCCACGTCCTCAACCTTGCCCGCGAGACGCACGTCAACATCATCCTCCCCTCCGTGCTCTACTTCCTTTCCCTCTACGACCTCGCCGACCTCCTTCGGGCTGACCACCCCAAGCTTCTTGTCAAGCATCCTTCGCAGCCGTCCAGTCAAATGTCTCCTCGCGACGTCAAGGATTACACCCTCATGTACCAGCATAGGCTGCAAATCGTCTTAGACTTCATCCGCAAAGGATGCTCCGGACGCGAGCCGGCGAATACATGTCAGAGCACTACCGGACGGTGTCAGAAAGGCTTCATCCGCTTAGGCACACGTCTATCCCAGTCCTGGGTCCCTCGAATCGGGCCTCTACACTACATGGTGCAAGCGGTAGATCATCTGGGTGAAGATCAAGATATATGCGCGCAATGTCGAAGATCGTTCAAACACGATACCCTCAGGCTACGTGACAAGTTGTGGGCCGGTCTGCCGGCGGTTCTCGGGCTGCCATCATGGGAGGAGCTGGAGAAGAGCGATATGGCAACTTGATGGCATGGTTTCTCATTCATCTTGGGTCGAATGTGGAATGCGGACTTCTACGGTCGCCACATGGGGAGGCATTGCGTATAGTCGTACATGTATTCGGCACCCATGGATATATCCTATCCCACACATCCCATTGTACATCATTCTACTACCCGAACGATCCAATAGACTTACCTTGCACCCACATCCCGCGTCGATTTTGTACGTTCCCAGTGCACCACCACCGACTCCGCTTCCCGAAGTCGCGTCAAAACGTTGAACTGCACAGCACCGTCAGCGCGAGCCCAACAAAATTCAATGTGGGTCCCACTCACTGCACTGTGCGTCGAACGGGGCTCCGACGCTGAACATCCCGCATCCAGCGGGCAAGTTGAGTTCGTCCGCGCCTCCCTTCGTCGCCAAAAGCAACGCCTCTTTCCAGTCGACGGACAGCACCTCCTGCCCTTTCGAACGCCCCACGATTCGCGTGCCCTCATGCATGCGCGACACCGCAATGGTCTGGCGCATGGCGCTCATGATGTCCACCAAGTATCCGCCGGCGACGTCCGTCCCAAGGCCGACGCGGACCCCGATGCCGAGCGCCTCTCGCAGGCGGGACGGTTTGGCGGAGAACTTGTAAGCGTTCGAGAGCGGGTAGTGCGCGACGGCGGTGCAGGTGGCCGCAAGGCGCGACAGGGACGGCGGGTCGAGGAAGGTGCAGTGCACTTGGATCGTGTGCGGCGTGAAAAGATTGTGCTGTGATAACCATGTCGCAGTTTCAGCCTACAATCGCGCTCTCGCTCTGCCAGATGGAGAGGTAAAACATCGCAGGGGCGGTGCTCGGCGCTCAGCGCTCGGCGCTCACTTGTGCGAAGACCTCCATGTCGTGCTTCCCACGCTCCGATAGAACTCACCATACCTCGTCATGGGCTTAAGTTCTGCCAGGTGGCTCTGGATGCAGACTCACGCCCCTCTCAACCGAGAGCGTGCCTAGATGAAGGGAGGCCAGATACTGCGTCCACGCAGGGATCACAGAACGCTTGGGCCGCTTCGAGGGATGCCTTGGCGTCGGTTTCCATGTAGGTCGGTCGCGTGGATTTGTCCATGGAAAGCTTCCCGACAAAAGCTCGGACACCCGCTTCTTGCATCACACGAGCAAGTATAATATTAGAGATTTAAGCTTTGTCTGCGACAGGAACATGTCACTCACTTAGTCTCAATCTTGATAGTGCCAAATAGGAGGACCGCGGCAGACCCATGCTCGCTTAAACGTGCGACCAGGCGTTTGTACACCTTTCCGGCGAGCTGAGGATCTGCGTCCAGGCGTTCTTCTGCCTTGAAGGCATATTCGTGAAGCCATTGCATCAGAGGTAGATGCAAGCCGGTACCCTGGTACAGACATTGGGGGGCATGAAGATGAACATCGCTGAAGGTGGGCATCATGAAAGACCCCGAAGGGACGATGACTCGGTCCAGTAGGTTCGCGGGTTCTGCATCGCTAGGATCAGCAAATCAATCGATGTAGCCTTCGGCGTTGACTAGTAACTCCTGTGGTTGCGGGTCAGATGGACAAGTAGTCGATGATAGTACCTGTGATCTCACGAAGTACATGGTTGCGCATTATCTCGAGCTGGCCAAGGGCCGGTGTATGAACATAGTCGCCCTCGATAATCATAGCAAGTGCGTATACGGACCCAGCTCAAATGGAGGTTGATCGATTGATCCGAAATCCGCGTTGCGCGACGCGCTAACAGACGCGTCTGACATGTGACCGTGCGAGACCTTTCCCCGCACAACTTGTCGCGACTCGAGCTGTCTGCCGGCAGTGCACCTTCCCAGGTGTGCTTCCACCACCCCTACTCCTGCTAGTACTACCATGTCGTCTCCACCCATCTTCACTGCGACCTCCGCGTACTCCCTCGCGTTTGTCACCGGCGTCGGTGTTCTCGCGTATGTGGCCTCCAAGGCCTTACTCCCGAAGACCGCGCGCTGGCAGGATCGCTTCACCTTCGTGTGGCTGGTGAGTAGTTCGCCCGTGCAACGCGGATACTTGCTTATACGCACACCGGGCTGGGAAGGCGTTCGATGGGATCATCCACTATACCCTCGAGGGCTCATTCGTGTACTATTCGATGTTCGGACGGCAAGTGAACACGAGCTCTGGACCTATGGCACAGATGTGTACGTGCAATGCACCCTCCCTATCTGGCTGCGCCGCTGACGATTCGGCGTGCTCAGGGAAGGAGTATGCATTGGCCGACGCTCGCTGGGGTGTCTCTGACCCCACAGTTGTGTCGCTGGAGCTGCTCACGGTGTTTGGTGTCGGAACCATGTGCTTCTACGTCCTCAAGCAGCTCGTCGGCGACGACCCAGCACGTCACTACTGGATCATTGTGCTCAGCGCATCTGAGATCTACGGAGGGTGCGTTGCTATTCTTTTCTGAGATTCCGGCTTGGTTCAAATGCTTGTCAGATGGATGACCTTCTGCCCTGAGTGGTTGGTCGGCAGCCCGGCTCTCAACACGTCGAACTGGCTCCACCTTTGGGTCTACCTCTTTGTGAGGACCGTTTTATTTCGTCCATCTGTTTGCTGTCTCATCAAAGACGTGCTCCTCACAGTTCATGAATGTCATGTGAGTGTGCTCACGATTTGTTGACGTCCTATGTTCTGACTGTCATCATTTCCAGCTGGGTGGTCATTCCTCTTTGGCTTATGTACGACTCGTACACCCATATCGCTGGTGCCCTCCGTACGGCTCAACGCGCCGAACGAGCCAAGAAGAACTGAACGTCCTATCCGTTACTTCAGTAACCACTAAAAGTTGAGACTCCTGTCAACCACACGCTGTGATTTGAATTGCTTGGATTTTGTCGTCGATTTACTGTACCATGTTAGTTTTATATCACGATTTTAACGATTGCATTCGGTCAGACAGCAGTACAAGCGAGAGCGACATACACAACAAATGGCACCTATACGACAACTCAAGCCATCCCCGCGGCTTTCCAGACATTCCCATCTGCGCTCCGCACGAGCTCTCGCCACTTCTCCGCCCACGGCCGCAGCTCGCGTTCGAGCCGCGCATCACCCTTCAGCCACTGCTGCTGGTCCGCAAAGACGGGTCGACACCGTCTCGGCCCCGCTTGCTCAAGCACTGTAGCCAGCTTCGTGTGCTTCGTCGGGGTCGATGGCGCGCTCCCCGTGCTCATCCGCGAGCGGCTTGAGTGCGTCGACGACGGCTGCGCGGTCGTGCGTGCCCTACGGGGCGTCGACGGACTCGCCTGGCTGGCCCGGTCGTCGTCGCCCGCCGCGACGCGTGAGGCGATGCGCGACGACGTGCGGGGGGTGAGCGGGAGCCCGGCGCTCGACTTCGTGGGCGAGAAGAGCTTGCGGCGCTTCGAGGGCGTCGCCGTCGCGTCAAAGTCCTCTTCCTCTTCTTCTTCCTCTGCTATCGGGCCCTCGAAGGCGACTTTGCGCTTGTGGGTGGGCGTCTGCGTAGTGAGTCCGACGCTGGAAGCCCGGAGGGCAGACTTGGTAGGGGACTTGGTAGGGGAGCGTGGTGTCGCGGCGGGCTCTCGAATAGACGACTCGGACGCCTGTCGCGAGGGAGCGGTAGGGAATGGGGCAGCAGGAGGTGCGGCAGCAACTTTGGAGGAAGAGGCCCGGGCGACTCGCGCTTTGGCTGGGGAAGACGAGTCGGCCTTGAGGGCCTTGATGTTGTCTTTGATCAGCTTCTCAACCGCCTTGCAGGAGGTGAGAAGGGCTTCCGTGATCTCGTCAAACTGATCTTGCGGCACAGCGTACTGGGCAAGTAGTGAAGGCGTATCGACTTTCTTCGCCTAACCGCGCATGTATTTGTCACACTCCCTCGACATGCCGCAAAAATGCACCACGTACCGTTTGTGGCCCTATCTGCTCGCACGTCCAGCTGAACACCGCCAATGTGATCGCGTCGTACGCGCTCCCATGCCGCCTTCGAACTTCGGTGTTCGACATCAGTGCTCGCTCTGCCTCTTGCATCCACTTGACCACCACGTCCTTCCGTCCTAGCCTATGTTGCACTGCGAGAGCCTGATATGTAACGGTGCGTGCCGCCTTCTTTGAAGCTGCCTCCGCTGCTGCCGCTGCCTCGAGCGCGGAACGGACGATGGCTAGGGTGGTCTTCCATACTCTCGGCTTCAAACAGGACGCGTTCTGGGCGACCTTCTCGGAGAGATCGGTGTCTCCAATACTAGGCGACTTGTCAGTCTCGCTTCAGAGCGCGAAATATGCGAGGCCAAGGACGTACTCTTGCGCAGTAAGGAAAGCGCATATGGCTGGCAGCCCGCTTCCACCATCGCCAAGGACATAGCCTGATCCCGGCCCCGTCTTCAGGCTCGCAGTATGCAGTGTCTCTTTAGCCTTTTTGAAGAGGTTTTCATCGTGGCAGAGTTGCTTCAGCAGCTGGTGGTGAGGACGAGACATGGCAAGGGTTGTCGAAACAGGCGCCAGCGACGCGTCGGTGGCTGAGATCAGAGGACTAGGCGCCGACCGGTCAAAGGAGTCGGGACCCCCGAGACCGCGGACTCCGAATGGGATCTCCGACTCCGAGATGACATCATAAATTGTTTAAGTACTGCGTACTCGTACAAACGCTACACGGCTCTAATCCATTCCTCGATATTATTATTCAGACAGGCCCAGCTAACGGGGAGTCCTGGTCAGACCGAACAGAGCACACATGCAGGCATAACTCACTGTAGTCGTACACCAAGCGTACGTTGATCTCCTCGCCGCCGGGACCATGGAAGTAGACGTGTCGAACATAGCGTTTCCCACCGCCAATATCTTCGAATCCCCAGGTCTGTAGTTTACCATCAGCTCCAATCCTCCACTTTCGCATTCGACTGCACACGACTCACCTGCTCGGAAGACCATTTGTTTCCGTTCTTCTCGGGGTCAGTTCGCGCGATGGTGTTGATGACCTGGCCGTCAGCCAGAGTCTCAGGCAGCCAGTCCTTCTTCAGCCACTCCCGCTCGACGTTCTCGATGGGCGTGCGCCGGCTCATGGAGAGTACGGACCCGAAGATCTTGTCGTCGTGCGGGCGCTCGGTCCAATCCAGGGTGCGGTACTCGTTGGACGCGCCGATGCCACCGGTGAGGACCTGGTCGATGTCGATGTGCTCGACGCCGTTATCGTCCTTGTAGTGCCTCACGGTGAGATAGACAGTCGCCATTCTGATAGCTTGGCGCGTCCACCAGCTCATGCCCTGCAAACGCAAGATATCATCCGTATCGTCGCTCAGCGACTTGTTCTGGCGCCGTGATCCGACGCGATGAGGGGACGTCAAATGTGATTAAGGTACTGAGAGGCTCACCATCCAGTACTGGCCGCTGAGGTCGCCGGAAGTCATTTCAGCCGGAGCAGCCATGGTGGTAGAGCGGTGGTAGATAGGGTTCGAAACGAGTCGACTGAATGCCGCGGACCCAGTGGAGCTGCTGTGATCAACCCTACCCAGCACACAGGCGCCCTTCGGGCCCGCGGGAGGCAGATTGCAAGCACGGTCGAGGCAGATCTAAAGCAAACACAATCCCTTGTCACCACGGCATGGATCTAGACCCCTCTTACGACATTCGTTGACATGCCTGTATATTTGGGGCATAGGTTCCCTATCACACCGAGCAATCGTGTGGGTGGGTCGCGCGAAACCATCCGTGTTCTCGGAGCAGAAGACGGTGGCCCCGTAGAACACTACGCTACTAGGACGAGTTTACTCTGTAAAGCCACCGTATGATCCCAGGGAGTCTGCACAGCCGCAGCGCGAGCGTAGGCGCCTGGCTCTCAACCGGCGTTATCGCTTATCCTGGCTCCGACGGGCGCCAGGCGCTACGCCGCCGCTAGCACCCTGCCAGCGCCGCGGAGGTGACCGGCAACGACGAGACCCGTGCAGGCTTCCCGTCCCAGCCAGTTCGCATTTCTCTACGCCATGTCCGCCTGCATGAGATTCACGCGCCGTGTAAGTCCGCTCACGTTGCTTCAGGGAAGTAACAGTTCTCATCCGTTGGCTCCGTTCGCAGGTTTGGCGATCCTTCGTCGACAACCAAGGTGACATTCACTGACTGTTCCGTGTCATCGGCAGTCTCGTCTGACGCGACGTTGACAACTCTCACAGGGCAGACCAGCGGTGCTTTCCAAATGTTAGTCGGAACACCACTTCCGAAGCTTGATGTTGACTCGCCCGTGAACTTCAGTTGCGCATCATCTCTGCGAAGCCTGGTGACTCAAAGCCGCCCTCAAGATTGAACCCTATAACCGTGCGCCGAGCATCATCGGATCTGGGTGCCACATAATTGATAGGGCCCTCCCACAGTGAACCGTGTCGGTGTACGCATTCCCCGGCCGATGGGTCCCAGCTAGCGGTCTGACACGGGTTGTTTTCAATAGACCGTCACGGCGGGCTCATCATGTCACTCACGGACACACTGGCTCTCTCGCCGTTGCACAAAGGGGCAGTATATGACAGGTGTCTCGGTTGATATCGGTACATCCTTTGTCAAGCCGGCTGGGCGTGTCGGAGAGGAGCTCACCGCCACGGCTGTGTCACTGCGCTGGGTAATCTAGGGCTTTATCTTTTCATCACTCTAAGTCAGGGCTAACCTGGATGCGACTGTAGGCAAATCGCTTGCGTACACCCGTGTAGACTTCTACAATGTGCAGGGTCAGCTTGCGGCCTACGGGCGTGAGTGCCATGAGGCCATTTTTCCGGATGTAGGACTCTGATCATGATCTCACGCCTACTAGATCACACGAAATATGTTGGCAAGTCGGCAGGGCATAAGGTAAGAATAACCAGATGTCATCAAACCCGCCGCTTTAACATGTCCGATCGGCGCAGAATGACGTCAAATTCTCCGATGATGGCGAGACGGTAGTAGAAGGCAAGGACGTCGATTAGCGCGGCATGTTCACTGTTCATGTTATCCCGCGGTTATCGGGCGACACCGGACAATAGTCGACAGCCGTTGTTCGTGCGCATGTGAGTGAAACATGACGGTGCACGCCGCTGATTGTTGCAAAATTGGCCATGTCCACCTCGTTGCAGGCTCGGCAAACACCCGATAGACATGATGCCACACGTCGCTCCAGATGACCCCTAGTTGTCTTCCTGCTTCTCTATATCTAATGGGCCGTCTAGCCCGTCGGAAACGAGGGCGATGCTGCATACGCGCTGCGGTGACTGAGACAAATCGCTTCACCTTGATAACGTTTTCCCCACGATGCCGATGCACAGATGTTGGTACAAGTACTCATCAGCAATATGGCACCGACGAACCTCGATTCCACTCCGCAGGTTTCGACGCAGGTTTACTTGCTGCCTGCGCCGCCGCTTCGAACTCCGGGATCCGCTTCCAGCTCCAGCTGCATCAAGGTGGCTATTGCGATGCAGACTTGACGACACGAACACTCCGGGGACCGGGACAGGCGGACACCGTGGACTGCTTGGCACTGTGTCGCGACAATCGGCGCTGAAGGCACACGTCGCGTTTGCTATTCGAAGCTGTTCCTTCGGACTTGGCACTCAGGGTGGGTTCGAAGAAGCTGCCAGGACATTACAGCACGTTGCACTGGATTCGCGGTACCGTGGCCCCAACACCACTGCCGCAGCGAGGCCCCGACCAGATAGACCCAGCCATCTCGGTTCAACGTGTCGATAATCAGGGCGCGGAATAAGCCTCGTTTACTCCGAGGTTGGGATCCCACGCCGAAGACGGTACTATATTCCAGCTATACAGAGCGTCAACCAGCGTAAGTGCCCACACCCATGATAAACTCCGGCCGTCTCGCGGTTGTTGCAGCCGTCATTGTGCCGATAACGCACTTTTTTCCTTTTCTTTTTCTTTTTCTTTCTTTTTTGTCGTCCTTGTTTAACGCCCTCGAGGAACGCACTGTCTGTGTGGCTCCAGACCTTGGACACCCCACCCTGCCGGTGCCCACGGCCTGGATCCACAGCCTCGCTCTTCGGCGTGTAAAATTTTGATCCTCCGCAAGAGGTTGCTGTCTCAGACGAAATGGTATATTGATATTGCCCATTTTCTGCACATTCATCCAAGCACACCTCAGGCTATATCTAGGGCAGTGGCCGTCCAACTAGGGATAACATCCCCCTTCTCTCCAAAGTCCACAGTGGACACATCTCCACTCCCCGACGTCCACCATGGTCTCCCACTCATCCCTCCCATCCTCTCGCGAGGTGGACGTGACCGACGTCGTCGCTGCCCTTCCCTCCCTTCCTGCTGTGGCCCGCACGCCATCGATGCACCCCCATGGCCCCCTCGCCCCATCGTCATCAACCGGCTCGTCGACGGCCAGCTCATCCCCGACGCACAGCAAGCTTCAGCTCTCCGGCGACTCAGAGAAGGGTGCAGAGATCGGTCCCTGGGAGGGCTACCTCGACGACCCGCTACCGGAAAAGACCCAGGGACATCTCTTCCGCAACGCGCGCTTCCAGATCATGTCTCTCTATCGTCGTCTCTTTGGCGTCGTCTTCACCGTCAACATGGCCCTGTTTATTGTGGCCTGCGTGCGCAGGGCGGATGCAATGTACCTCGGTCAAGTCGCCATAGCGAACTTCTTCGTGGCCATTCTCATGCGCCAGGACTACATCATCAACGCGTTCTTCGCAGTCGCCTGCCTTGCGCCACAATCGTGAGTACGGTTTTGTGATCGGTGTTGCTTAGAGACGAGGGTCGCTAAAACGTCATCTTGCTAGCTGGCCGCTGTGGATCCGGCGGATCCTCGGTCGAGTCTACTGCATCGGAGGCAGTGAGTCTACTTCGCCCCCACCTGCTTCGATTCAGATCTATACTGATCACCCCAATTCCTAGTTCACTCGGGGGCGGCAGTGAGCGGGACAATTTGGTTGGTTCTATTCACGGCCCAAGGTACTCGTCAATTTCTGCACCAAGATCATGTTCGTCGTATATCTTAGTTTGCCGGACTCGTAACTGATTGCGGTGTTTAGATCTCTATCCCTACCTTGGTGTTTGCCTACACCATAATCGCTCTTCTCGTGGGGATGATCGTCTTCGCTTACCCTCAAGCTCGCATTCGCCATCACAACACTTTCGAGACGGTCCACCGCTTCTGTGGCTGGACTGCGATTGCGCTCGTATGGTGCCTTGTGAGCACGATCTACCCTCTGCTCTGACGTCATTGATGGGGTCCCTAACGGCATGCTCTCCGCCAGGTTATCTTCCTTCTCAACGATTACCGTGTTCCTGGACAGACTCTGGGACGCACGGTCGTGGGAGCCGCGCCGTTCTGGCTTGTGCTCGTTATGACATGGTCCATCATCCTCCCCTGGCTCCGGCTCCGGAAGGTCGTCGTCCGCTCCGAGGTCCTCTCGAACCACTGCGTGCGCCTCCACTTCGACTACAGTACGTTCTCTGCCTCCTCTCCTCTTCCCACCTTTTCGCTCTCTCGCCTAACTGACGCGCCGGTCCCCCCAGCGAACACCCACCCAGGCCACTTCGTCCGCCTCTCCACCGCCCCGCTCACCGAGTGGCACTCCTTCGCGACGATCTCCGTCCCCGGCACCCCCGGCTTCTCCACCGTCGTCTCCCGTGCGGGCGACTGGACGTCGACGTGCATCGCGGCGGAGCCGACGCGGCTCTGGGTCCGCGGCGTCCCGTGCTACGGCGTCGTGCGCGTCACGCCCCTCTTCCGCCGCGTGTTGCTCGTCGCGACGGGGAGCGGGATCGGGCCGATCGCGCCCGTCGTGTACGCGCAGCGGACGCAGCTCAGGCTGCTGTGGAGCGCGCCGAGCCCGAGGGAGACGTTCGGGGACGCGCTCGTCGACTCGCTCGTCGCGGCGGACCCGGGCGCGGTGATCTACGGTACGTTTCGCCGACCGATCTGTGGTTACCGCCGGGGCGCTCACGACACACCTCGCAGACACGCGCAAGCACGGGAAACCGGACATGGTGAAGCTCACGTACCGGATGGTGCGGGACTTTGACGCGGAGGCGGTGGTGATCATCTCGAACGAGCCGCTGACGAAGAAGGTGGTGTACGGGATGATGAGCAGAGGCATCCCGGCGTTTGGGGCTATCTGGGACTCGTGAGGTGCCGGCGCGAGGTCGCTCGGGTGCGTATGTGCTTGTTGTATTTATGGGGCTCTTTTTCGGCGTATTGCTTGCCTGCTCTCGAACCACGCTCTTTTTTATCGAACTAGACTTATATTTATCTCGTCTTGAGCCATACCGGTGCTGACCCCCAGGGGACGACCATAAGTTTTTCTTGAGTGCCGGTCCGAGAACTGAGCGGCGAGGTCGCTGGCATGGTATTCCTGCGATGTCAAGGACGTCCACATCAGGTTCCCCGGCCTCTGCTTGATCTAAGCAACAAGACTGGCAATCATGACCTGATGTTGAGCGAAGAAAAGTTGTGGACGTCATCTTCAATTTTAGGACATCTCCCGTGCGTCCTTCCGAGATTCGAAGGCAATAATTGACCGGCCGGGCCCGTGGAGAGACGATGCAGCCGCAAAATCATGGCAATCGACGCGTCCGATCGAGTCTGCGACAACCGGTCCGAGAATGCCGGCGGGCATCTTCTGGAGGCCGCCGGTCTTGGCTGCCCGTTGAAGAGGACGGAGAACTGAGACGAGGCCCGGCTCGACAAGACTCGCGTGCTGCGCCCTTGGGCCATGGCGATCGTATTGCACACACTTCACATGCCGAGTCCTCTGTCGATGCAGGCCCGATGGCAGGCTGCCCGTTTATAATTACCCCGGCGGCGCTGGTGGCAGAGCAGCGACACAAAGGTACACGCCACGCGGGCGTTCGGAGCCGTTATACTCACGACGAGTCATGGTTGCATACATTCTGGGACCGTTATGTATTGACACGCTGATCCTAGTTCCTGAACAGTTTGCTGATCTCGCAGCTTGTCGCTCTCACAATTTGCAACGGCCTGTTGCGAATTCCCAAGCGTGCCGCAGTACCCCGGCCGTCATCTCCGCCTGGACCATCACGCCTCTCCCCGCTCTCGCGGCCTGAAAAAAACCGTTCGAATGCGGAATGCTCGAACAACAAGGCGAGCTGCGAGACCTCGGCTCACCGATCACCACTGGCCCCTGGGTGCTCCGTGTCGGTGGTCTTCAATCTGATCGCCCGCAGGCTCTCCATGGCAGATGCGGACGCATTTCGTGAAAGGCGAAGGGCGAAGCTGATGTTGAAGAACACCTGACAGACCGCCCAGCCCAGCTCGCTTACCCAAGCACGCGCCGACCGCGTCCGCGACACAACAGGTCGCAGACTGCACCGCCGCCGCCTGGCAGGGACGTCCGATTGATTCCCAGACTAGTCTCCCCCGAAGACGCTCTGATAAAACGCTCGCTCGCCTGAGCCGAGGGTCCGCGCTTCCCCGATCCCCTTCCCCGACATGCCTCGCTCGCTCGCCTCGTCTCTGCTCCTCGCCAGCGTGCTGGCCACCGCTGCCCTCGGCCACTCTCATGCCGACGCCCACGCGCACATCCACGCTCGTGCTCTCCCCGGCTCCTGGTACCACGACCGTCGTCACGAAGCGCACAGACTGTTCAGGAAGGCGGGTGATGGCGTATCATATCCTGCGGTGGGCACCCCAGGTCCGTTTTATTTTTGTCCTCCGGGAATTTGCGCGCACGGGTGGTTTTAACCTCGCGTATTGCCCTTCTAGAATGGGCGGCCGGGTTCCCCAAGGACAAGACCATCGACCCCAGCACCATCCCTCAGGCCTGGATCGATGCCCTCAACGCGGCCAAGGCTGCTGGCAAAATCCCGAACATCTCCCCGTCCACTCAGACCGTTCCGTTCACCAGCCCGACGTACCCCGGTCTCGACCCCAATTCCAAGGAGATCTGTTCTGCGACGTACAAGTGCAAGAACCCGGACGACCTCTGGGACGCACCCGACGGTGTTTTCGCCTCTTCTTTCGACGACGGTCCCCTGCCGGTGCGCACTTCAGCTTGTCCCGGGCCGGGCTCATGCTCATGCTCATCTTTTTTTCATGCGCACATATAGACGTCTATGGCGCTTTACGAGTTCCTCAAGTCTCAGAACGTGGTCTCCACGCATTTCATGATCGGCGTCAACATTCTCCAAAATCCTACCGAATTCCAGTATGCGTTTGAGACGCTCCAGAGTGAATCCGCCCGCGTCCTTCATTCCTGGTCTTCATAAAATTGACCATCATTTCTCCCAGGTGACATCGCATGCCACACTTGGTCTCATCCCTACATGACCACTCTCACCAACGAGCAGATCGTCGGCGAGCTCGGATTCAGCTTGGAGATCATCCACAACTCCACCCAGGGCCGCCTCCCTAGGTACTGGCGTCCACCTACCGGTGACTCCGATGAGCGTGTTCGCGCCATCGCGAAGGAGGTCTTTGGTCTGACCACAGTGATTTGGAACCAGGAGTGCGCAACAACCTATGTCTTTTCATCGTCTATGGCTTTGATATCTTATTGTCCTTTTTACCCGCAGTACGGAGGACTGGAACATCACCGCTACAGGCGTGATCACCCGGACCACGGTCGACGCCGACCTCACTAAGTGGATCACCACCGCGCCCAAGTCCCCCGGTCTGATGATCCTGGAACACGAGCTGAGCACCGACAGCGTCAGCGCGTTCATCGAGCACTTCCCACTCATCGCCCAGAACGGCTGGAAGTTCGAGTCCGTCGCGCGCGTCCAGGACGGCCAGGCGTACCAGAACGCCAAAGACTCGAACCCGGACACGCCCGTGACGCCCGTCCCGGTCGCTGTCGCCGTCCAGTCCTCTCCTGCTTCTGGCACCTCTGGTGCCTCCAAAGTGTCCTCCGGGGCGTCCTCCAAGACCTCCTCTGTCAAGAGCACGCAGACTTCCTCTGGAAACTCTAACACGAGCGCGGCGATAACGATGGCGTCCGCGCGCGCGGCGACGGTCGTCGCGGGCTCGGTGCGCTTCTCGCCACCCTTGCGCTCGCCTTGTAAGTGCTCTGGCGATGAGCGCCGTGGACATATGTTTGCTTGACTGTACTCTTGGGCTTGCGCGGACTTGTACGGGCATTCTATCTGACAATGGCTATCGAACTACTGCCTCGACTTTACCCAAATACGACTCCAACATACCAGCTGTGGATCGTACCTTGCTATCGTTTCCATCATGCTATTCCATAGCGTTGCAACGCCACCCTGTCTTTACATTTACATAGCCTGCGTATAATTTAAGTCGATTTGACACGTGATAACGGGGTGCTCGGCCTCGGAGGAGTCGTAGGAGGCCTCGCAGGAGACGGTCACCCAACGTTCGCATATGTCATTATAAGCTGTCGCCCTGACAGACATGCCCACGCTCACCTGAAAGCACTCAGCTGACTTGCAAATTCCCGCACCCTCCTTAGTCTCGGACCACGACGCGCCCCACTCATCTCCGCGTACCATTACACAGCTCGAAGCTAACTCGAGATGCGCGTTGAAGAGGGCTTCCAACCCGTGAGTTTGGGATCACATTCTCCAAATCAGTACCGCTCAGCGCCTGTAGTCTCACGCTGCTTCAACTCCTTTGTAGGTCCCCTTCGTGGAAGGGAACCCGTACACGACCGACCCCATCCTCCCGAGTCTGCTGGAGCGAATCCTGCCTGCAGGAGCATTCGAAGAGGTCCATGACGATCTCTCACGTTTTGGCGGAGAGGTTCTGACCAGTGCGTCGCGCGCCATCCTGCAACGCCGCATCCGAACTTGATCTCTCCCTCCCTCCCGAAGCGCTGCGCGAGCTGTGCAAACGATCCGCGCCGCCAGAGCTCGTGCAGTACGACTCGTGGGGCCGTCGCGTGGACGAGCTCCGGACGTCCGAGGGCTGGCGCGCCCTGAAGGAGGTGTATCACCGCGAGGGCGCGGTTGCGATCCCGTATGAGCGCCGGTACGGCGCGCACAGCCGTGTGTACGGATTTGCGAAGCTGTTGCTCGCGAACGCAGACTCGGAAATGGTGCGTTCGATGTGTGGAAGGACCCGTCGAGCATTACTGAGTTGCGTGTTGCACTGTCAGGTTGACTGCCCGATGAGCATGACAGATGGCGTTGCGCGAGGTGCGTGCGGGACAGGACGCAACGGCAAGGAGGTCCACTGAGATTCGTTGGTGGATGGCAGTGATAGAGCTGCAAGGCTCGTCCGAGTTGAAGCGCGACATCTTAACGCGGCTTGTCAGGTCGGTACCTGCTATTTCCAGAACACACAGCATGTCGACTCAAAGAGTACATCGCCAGCCGGGACCCTGCTCAAGCTTTCACAGCAGGACAATGGATGACGGAGGTAAGCACGCTCGCCCGACGGGAACGACACAATCACATACTATTCTCCTACTTCTAGCGTCCCGGCGGTTCGGACGTCTCTCGCACGGAGACGACAGCGACCCCTTCTCCCTCGCCCATCCCATCCCTATACGGGCCCGAATACACCCTCGACGGCTTCAAGTGGTTCTCCAGCGCGACCGACAGCGACGTCGCCCTCGCCCTCGCCCGCACTGGCCCCACGTCCGCCGGCGCGCGCGCGCTCTCCCTCTTCCTCGTTCCCCTCCGGCTCCCGCTCTTCCCCGCCCCTCGCCCTCGCCCGCGCCGACGACGACGAACGGCATCCGCATCCACCGCCTGAAACGCAAGCTCGGCACGCGCGCGCTCCCGACCGCGGAGCTCGAGCTCGCCGGCACGCGCGCGTTCCTGCTCGGGCAGGCGGGCGACGGCGTGCGCGCGATCGCGCCCGTGCTCGGCATCACGCGCGTGCACTCGGCGGCGACGTCGGCGGCGCACCTGCGCAAGGCGTACGCCGCCGCGCGCGCGCACGCGGAGGGCCGCGTCGTCGCGCGCGGGGCGCTGCTGCGCGACGCGCCGCTGCACGTCGCGCAGCTCGCGCGGGTGGGGGTGCTGTACCGCGCGGTGGTGCACCTGGTGCTCGGGGCGGCGGGCCTGCTGGGGAGGGTGGAGTGCGGGACGGCGAGCGAGGAGGAGGGGTTGCGGCTGAGGATGGTGACGCCGGCGGTGAAGGCGTTCGAGGCGGAGATGTGCCCGGGCGCGGTGCAGGAGTGCATGGCGTGTCTGGGCGGACAGGGATACATGGAAGAAAGCGGGTTCGCAACGTGAGGGCTCGTTGGTGAGCGTGCGCGTCTGTGCTCATCGTTTCTCCTTTCTCCAGGCTCATACAGGATGGGCTTGTGGAGAGGATCTGGGAGGGGACCACCACCGTTCTCTCCTTGGACTTGCTCCGCACTGTCGAGAAAGGCGGTGCTTTGAGGGCATTTGCTTCGGTGAGCCACCGAACGCTTCATCATGATTGACGACTCACGTTCATTCCCACTCACTATCTAGTGGGCGCAAGTTACTTTGGACTCCTGCCCCGGCGCCCTCGCAGAACAGCTGGGTGGGCCCTTGAGCCTCCTCCGGTCGGCACAGTTATCTCTCCAAGATGCCTACGTCGCGCCAGTGCATCCGCTGATGCCTCGACCGGCCCTCTTTCTCGTTGCCTTCGTCACCTCGAGCTTGCTCATGTTGGAGCATGTAATCTGGGCCACGACCACGGCACGACCGGAAGCATCGACCGAGGTTGAGGTCTTCCGGCGTTGGGTGCTCGAGGGTGGACTTACGAGCGCTGCGGAAGAAGTGGCGAGGACTAAAAGTTTGCCTCGGGGGAGGACGGAGGCTGACGGAGAGATAGTGTACGGGAAGAGGTCGCCAGCGAAGCTATGAAGCGAAACTCGCTCGGAAAGGTCATGACACATCTGTAGTGGCTCAATTGATTGCTAATCCACCACCATCGAGACTTGAGAGCGTTGTGCGAATACATGAGTGAAAATACAGTGCTTGCCTACTGATACATGGAGCCTTTTAACGATCACGAAGAGTACGGCACAATATGACACCTAGAATCGTACACAATTGTGAGCTCCCCGTGTGCATTTCAGGTATCAATGGCTTACCCCAAAAGACCTCTACCGCCCCATCCTCCCCTAGGGACGAAGGTAAGCCTGACCTTCTGTTCGGCAGATCGCAAAACCTCCAGCGTGATTGGTTGCTAGATGGCCAGTCAATCAATGGATACGATGGAGACGAAGGAATTCCTACATTTTCTTGTGCAGCTACTAACTCGGCTAGCGGTTGGAGGGACGAGGAAGTGAAGGAAGACTTCGTGAGAGGCCCAAAGGATAGGATTAAGTCTTCTCGAAGCAATCCCTAGTAGTACAGCCTCATGAGACGCTCTTCCTTAAGAACATAGGATGAACACGCACTGCGGAAGCAGCTGGACTCCCCGGAGCGACACCATCGACCCGCGCGAACGCCGCGAGCGATTCCGACTGATCGTCCACCACCGGCGCGGGCTCCTCGTTCGCGCGCGCGCTGGGATCGTATACCTCCTGGAGGGCGACCATGATGCGATCCATGAGAGCCTTGAGGTCATTGCGCAGCTCGATAATGCGGACGCGCGCGTGCCGGACGGCCCAGACATCTATGTCGGCGCGCGGAAAGCCTTCAGGGTCGACGAGAGGTGTGTCCATCGTGACGGAGTTGCTTTGGAGAATCGAGTACTGGGCTTCCATCTCGGCCTCCAGCGCGTCTTTGCGCGCGATGAGAGAACGAGCATTTTCTGAAAGCGCGGTGTTGTGTGTTCGAGGGGGTAGAGCGAATCCCATTGCGGTGGAGGCGAGAGTAAAGCTGAGTAAAGAGGCTAGCAGCAGTGGCGTGTCGCGTGCGCGGCCCGTGAATTCCGAGCGTCTGACATGGATTACAGCTGCTATTGATCGGATAAGTAAACGCGTCGGTCCAATGTCCACGACGCGCCGCTCGTCGCTGGCATAGCTCCTTTCCTCGCTCCCCCCACGTTCCTTTCTCTCCCCCCACCGGACTCTACCAGCATGGACGAGTTCGCAGACGACGTCTTTCCTTCTTCAAATGCTCACCAACGCTCCCGCCGAACCTCCTACATATCCCACACCTCCAGCCAAGTGGGAGCTGCTCCCAACTGGCCACAACTGACCACGACAGGACCCACACTCAGGCATCGGTTATCTGTGCACAGTGTTCGCAGTGATGCGTAAGTGTATTCCCAAAGCCAATGCCCTTCCTGCTAATTCGCTACCTGGCAGTTCGGAGACGGACCGCTCAGAAATTGTTGCACCAGTACCACGCAGACATCACATTCTCCAGACCGAAAGTCGACACTGGCTTGCTACACCTCCTCTGTCCCCTTATTCCCCTCCCATTTCCCCCCTGTCTACCACCGCTATATCTCCCTTGCGCCAGAAACGTACAAGTCAGAATCTCAATACAGCCGCAAGCCGCATCCTGTCTTCGCACCCATCATCAACCATTCGCCAGCCCCGCAAGGAACCCAAGTCGGACGATGAAGGTAGCATGGCGAGGCAGTGGCTGAGGTGGATGCACCATGAGAATATGAAGGCATGGATTGTCCCCTCCCTCCTGCTGGCATCCGTCTGGATGAAATGGGCCGTAGGATTAGGATCATACTCTGGTCCGCAGTCTTTACGAATTCTTGTCAATATCAATCCCGTTTACCGTATACACAGGGCAGAGCACAACGCCTTTGTACGGCGACTACGAAGCCCAGCGCCATTGGATGGAATTGACCATCCACCTGCCCATCCGGCAGTGGTACAAGTACGACCTGCAGTACTGGGGATTGGACTACCCACCCCTTACGGCATACGTATCATGGCTATGTGGGATTGTGTGCGTACGAAGTCTTCATGCTGAATGCACCTGACGCTAACTCGTCCTCAGAGGCTCATGGATAGAACCTTCCTGGTTTGCGTTGGATGAATCTCGAGGAATTGAGTCTCCCGAAAGCAAAGTCTACATGCGGTCAACCGTGCTCGCTTTTGACACCCTCATATACGTGCCCGCACTGGTCATGTTCACGAGAGTTTGGCAAGGGTCGCGTTCATCGCGAACACAGGTGCGTCTACGATCGTCTTCACCGCGCGTCTCATATATCAACCGCGCCATAGAATTTTGCTCTCTTCGTGCTGCTTTTCCAGCCAGCTCTGTCAATAATCGATTTTGGACACTTCCAGTACAACTCGGTTATGCTAGGTATACTTTATGCTCAACTCAATCGCCCTAACGTTAACGTCTGCCATAGGATTTATGCTGCTTGCCATGAACTTCTTCGCAATAGAACAAGATCTTCTCGGTGCCGTGTGTTTTGTGCTCAGTCTAGGCTTCAAGCAGATGTCGTTATACTATGCGCCCGCCATCGGAACATATCTTCTCGCAAAATGTGTCTATCTTGGGCCGTCCGATGGGTGCGTACTCAGACAGGCTGGAAGAGTGCATACTAAGCCGTCTCCGCAGTGCCAAATTATTCGTTCGTTTAGGTGCTGTGACTGCCGCGTCATTCGTTGTACTCTTCCTTCCATGGCTTCCACCCTTCGCCCCTCTTTCTGCCATCCTAGATCCCATCACGCGCATATTCCCGTTCGGCCGCGGTCTCTTCGAGGATAAAGTCGCCAACTTCTGGTGCGCCAGCAACGTCGTGCTCAAGTGGAAGCTGTGGGCGGCTCAAGGCGTATTGATCAAACTTTCTACTGCTCTGACCGCACTCGGCTTTTCCCCAGCTGTCGCCACGCTCCTCTTGAGCGGTTATAGACTTCAACAAGCTGCCACTGCCGAGAAGGACAAGACCTCTTCCAAGCACACTCCTCTCTTGCCACTGCTCCCATACGCACTCCTCACATCCTCTCTCTCGTTCTTCCTCTTCTCCTTCCAAGTGCACGAGAAAACTATCCTAGTCCCCCTGCTCCCGATGACCCTGCTAATGTCCGGCGCATCGCCGGATGAACACACCTTCGAGCTGGGCATGCTCATGAACAACGTGGCTATGTTCAGGTCAGTCTTAATGACTCCCGTCTTAGCATGGCTCGTCTTACTGTGTTTACAGCATGTGGCCTTTGCTCAAGAGAGACGGACAAGGCGTTGAATATGTCGCTCTGTTGGTTCTGTGGAATATGGTCATTGGATACAACCCGTTCAGCAGGCCCACACGCTCCTACCTCCGCATGCTTTCAGTCGTAAGCGTGTTCCTAGCGTTCCTAGAAGTGTTCTGACTCCTACGCAGGCCACATATTCTGCGTGCGCGGTTCTCCACCTCGCTGAGCTGCATTCAACCCTCCACCTCGCTTCCCCGACATCTATCCCGTGCTCAACGTTCTTGTCAGTACTCCAGTCTTCATGCTGGTCTGGCTTTGGAGCATCAAGCGAGGGATTGAAGTCAGTTGGGCAGTCGGCGGTCTTGGCTCGAGCTCCCGCCCAAAGTCGACCACAGCTACACGTCACAAGCCTGCCGTCCCATCGGTGTCTGCGTCAACGCCCGCATCTGCAGTGGAACTGACGTTCCCGACCTTTGGTCAAGACATGGACGACAATCTACGAGAGCAGGCCGGAATGCGGACGAGGAGCTCGGGAATGCGGACGATAAGTCTGGGATTCGCGCAGGGACGGAAGAGGAAGGCGAACCCGCCAACGAGAACGGCAGTGTCGATATTACACAGGAACAAGTGTTCCAGCCTTCCACGGGCTCTTGATACATACTGGCGTGGTGTAATCTCGAAATCATTTATGGTTATGGTTATGCTAGCAAGCCATGGGATTACTACGGGCGTTCTTTTGCCCCGGACATCTTGCTTCTGCCCACCACAAGCGAGATGCACTGCGGTGAAGAAAAGTCAACATAGCCACCCCTTCAGATTCGTGGAACATGTGCAATGACAAGACTGCACGCGGATTCGATGCCACGGTGACGAAGGCGTTGCAAATCCTGAAGTTGACGCACGTAGTGCAGCATGTGCCTCTAGTAACCCTTCGACGATTCTGCAAGGATCTCATGTTCGTTGGATTTTCCATACGGTGCGCCTTTGTATTTGCAAATGATTTAAGAGTTCACCGGGAAATGGCAGAACCGGGTATCTCTTTGACGCATTTGCCCTCCGTGGTCGAAAGACGACGACACAGTCGTTCTGCAGCAGTTTTCTGGCCTCTCTTCGAACGGTTAGTAGTCCTTATAAAACGGCAAGGGAAGGGTGGTGTTCTAAAGGGTCGGTTTCTCAGGAGCAGCCCTTGTTCAAGAACGTCGTTCTAATCCACGAGCCACATTACGACCAGTTGTTCTTCATCAATATTCCCCTGCTTCAGCTTCGCTTCGGCCACGTCGCAAATGTGACACCTGGATCGAACGAATGCGCGCGGATCTTCTCTGATTTAAACATATCGTTCGTAGAAGTTCAAGGGAACACTTCTAAAGTAGTTTGTCTGGGCCATGATTTGTCGATTCCCTGGTTGGCTGACGCGTGCTGTATATAGCTGCTGTCTGGGCCGCCTCCCGGCCTGGTCAACCTCTTGAACCTCGTCGTTGTCAACACCGCACGCGAAGAACAAGACTGGTCCGTCTTCATTCGCGACAAATGTACTGACGACAAAGGGTTCGACCAAGCATCGAATGCCCTCTCAGCCGCGCACCCACCACCGATTGGGGATATAGTGGCTTTCACTGCTTGTCTCCTCGACTTCCGCGTCGCATACGTTCCCGTGGAAGGCAATGCGGCCTTTCTGGCAGGAGTGCCCCTAGATATCTACGAATGCGTGGTCGGAGGGAGCCAACACGGAGGCGGGCAGGCGGGACAACGTCGCATTAACGATCACATCTTGCTCAGATTCTCTTGTCCGCAATCTGTTTCGGCAATGTTGTCGGAAGGGTGTGCCGGGATGCAAAGCCAGATTGAAAGGACTGTTACGGAACGATTGGGCCTCTCACAGATCGCGGTAACAGTTGTAGTTCACCATTCTGTACAGATCATGGACAGGGTAGCAATGTGATGAATCTTCAAACACGCAAGCCGGTTGCCACTGCACCTCGCGCGAGAAACAAACAGATTGGATTGGAGTAGTAGCGCTGAGCGAGGGCTCTGAGCGTCTAGTTCCGACCGCCGGCGTGTGCCGACTGGAACTGCACAGTTGTGGCACACAAGGTTCAGCCACTCAAACGCGCTGCCCTCCTACACACTACTGACGTCCGGAATCGGGTACGACATCCTCAAGACTCCAAGATGGGTGCGTACGCCGGCACTATCCTCGACCTCACCGCTCGCTCGATGCTAATACATGCACTTCGACTCTCTCAGTCCGTTACGCCGCCGCCTCCGTCGCCCTGAACCCCGAGAAAAGTGTGTTCAAAATATCGATCAGGGAAACGAGGAGAGACTAACGAGATCCTGGTGCGTCTGCAGCCTCCCGTGCCCGAGGTGAATACCTCCGCACGCACTTCAAGAACATGCGTGAGGTTGCGGCCGCGTTGACTGGTCAGTGGTCTGGGTTGCGTATGGGCGGAGAAGTTGCGGACTGAAGGAATGGCGGACCGCGGGTTGTAGGCCTCAAGCTCACCAAGGCGTACACCTACCTCGCCGACGTCTCGGACCACAAGCAGGTCATTCCCTTCCGCCGGTTCGCGGGCGGAACTGGTCGGCTTCCCAGGCGAAGCAGTTCGGCACCACGAAGGGTGAGTCCTCCGTTTTTGTTGTATTGCCGGGGCACGAGTTGAGAGGAGGATCAAAGGTCGCTGGCCCGAGAAATCCGTAAAGTTCGTCCTCCGTCTCCTCAAGAACGCCGAGTCGAATGCGGATGCGAAAAACCTTGACCTCGAGGACCTCTACATCAAGAACATCGTCGTCCAGCAGGCTCCCGTAAGTTCACCATCTAATGACCCATCCTGTCTTCATCTCATCTCCCTCTCTTGCGCAGAAAACCCGCCGTCGCACGTACCGTGCGCACGGTCGCATCAATCCCTACCAGGGCCACCCCTGCCATGTCGAGATTATTCTCTCAGCAACTGACTCCGAGGTCGAGCGGGCCAAGGACAAGGACGCCGTTGCCGCCTCATCACTCTCCGGCCTTAACAGGCGACAGGTCGCCCGCAGACGTATTGAGGCTGCTCGCGCACCCGCTGCTTGAGCTCCAACTCGATTGTCTGTTGTGGTACGGGTGTTGTAGGAGTGTAGATGGAGACTCATGCCATCTGCTTGCGATGCTTCTCCAGCGTCGTTGTCACCATATGTATGCGTATGCCATGTCGCCAAAACGAGAAGAGATGAAGCGATACTACACATGGACTATGCATCTTTCCTTACGGCTCTATATGGCGTCGACGATGAAAGGGGACTGGAATGCAGAATAGAAAGGGTAACAGCGTACAGAGCACAGCGACAGCAACAAGGTCCAAGTCGTAGGCAGGCCGACTACTTCTTTTTCTTCTTCCCTCGAGTGCCTGCTCCTCCGCCACGTCCTCGTCCGCCTCGCCCACGTGTGCCTTTGCCTCGACCGCGTGTGGACTGCTTGGCCGCAATGGAAGCTGCTGCAGGGGAGTCAGATCACCAATGCTGCCAAGGACAGAATACACGAATTCACCAGGAGACTGCCTCGCGTCCTCTTCTTCCTCAAAGTCCTCGCCACCATCTGTGCCCGTGGCGTTGCTCTCCCTTGGGGTGGGCATGACGCTCTCATCGCCGCTCTCCTGCGTGAGCGCACTGCTATCGCTCTCTCCGCCGACGAGCCCCGCGGTGACCTTGAGCTTGCTTTTGCCCTTGCGGCCGCCGCGCCCCGCCTTCGCGTGCGCCACGGGGGAAGGCGCCGGGGACGACGATGGCAGGGACGCGGTGGCACGGGTGCGGCGCGACACGATGAGCGCGTCGATGGCGTCATCGGAGGGGAGGGCGAACTCGGCGCGGAAGAACGGGTGCCGGGAGAGGTTCTCGGAGGGCGACGGGGAGCGGAGGGGGAGCGGGGGCGTGCCGGCGCTGACGCCGTCGCCGGGGACGTCGAAGCCGTCTGCTTCCTGCTCCCGGAGAGCGGCGGCGGGCGTGGACGCGGTGCGTGGGGCGGGTTTCATGTGGAAAGCGACGGGGTGGGGGTGGATGCGCGAACGTGAGCGGAGCGGTCAGCGCGTGTCTGCGGAAGAGGCGCGAACGGGGCAAGGGCGGGGGCGAGGTGTGGGGACGAGCGATGTGGAGAAGAAAGAGACTGACGATGTTCTCGAGGATGTCGAGGTCGTAACACGCGTGCAGCTTCGCCCAGAGCTCCTCGACGCTCACGCTCTGGCCGGTGTCGCGCCGGATCGCGTTGCTCATGGTGAGGACGTGGAAGTGCCGGTGGATGCCCACCGGGCGCGCGCGGGTGAGCGCGCGGAAGAACGAGATCTCGCCCTCGACCGAGTCCAGCCATGGGTGTTGAGGCTCGTCTGCATCCATGTCCACGTCGTGCGACATGTCGTGCGCCTTCGGTCGTGTGCGTGCGCGCCGGTGAGGAAGGAATGAGTGGAGGGCGGGAGGAGGTGGTGGTGATGGTGGTGGTGGAACGTGACCGGGGAACGGTCTCAGTACAGTATGGGCGCCAGTAAACGGCTGGCGGCGGTCCGGATTGACGCGCGAGATGTAATCGGGCGTAGTTTGACTCTCTGGTTTCAAGCAGAGCTCAATGATCACAATACGAAAAGCGACCTTGCAAAACACACCATTCAGGATCTGTCTTTGGATACGTGTAGCTGAGAAGCCTCACATGAACAATATATTCTGCTCTGGTATTCGGCCACTTTTCAGGATGGTTTCGACCCCACCGGGATGCAAGGTGCCAACTTCCAAGCACGACTCCCCCGTGAAGGGCGCACCAAGACCGCCCGACATAAACCACCCGGGGGCCCGCAAGATCCATTAGCCGGTCGCCACGTTGGTCCTTGTGGTCGACTGTGGCGAGCACAAAAGAAGCGAAGACGTAATAGCCCTCATAACAGTGTGGATAAACCTGTACGTCGCCGTGTGCCGGCAGGATCGCCGCCCCTTTCAGGCGCCGGGGCTCATGGGGCTCCCTCCAGACCTGCCCAGACACGAATTAGGAGGCGCAAGGAGCGTCACAAACGAAAGGCGGTCTGTACTGCGTTAGAAGCTTCGGGGGGACAGCTAGACGAACATGACATCGTTACTTCAGGCATATCAATTGCTTCGCAGGATTTGAACAGAGGGTCACAGGGAGAATTCCTCCGTCCACTAAAGCGCTCTATGCGTGAGCCTCAAGTGTCGCGGAACCATAGGCCAGCCCCTAAGCGGAGATATCGCTCTCCATACCATGCCTGATCGCCAAGTTGACAGTGTGCTTTTCCGTCCCGGAGGAACCGACCGCATTCGACATTAGATTCACCCCCTGAGTAAAATAGCGTACTTTCGATGTCAACGGGTGCGTATCCCGCGCCAACACCCGCCGTGGGGCGCCTCATCCCTTTTCCGCGGGGAACCCCCGTCCCCTCGACGCAACCACCGAAGCGCGTGCGCCAACTCGTCGCAGGAGGGCGCGTCAGGCGTCGGTGATGCAGCCGCGGCTGGCGTCCGAGACGAGCTTCGTGTACTTGTACAGCGTGCCCTGGGAGACCTTGAGCGGGGGTGCGGTCCACGCCGCACGACGGCGGGCGAGCTCTTCAGGTGCGACCTCGAGCTCGATCGTGTTCTTCACGGCGTCGACGGAGATGACGTCCCCGTCGCGCACGAGCGCGATCGGGCCGCCGACCTGCGCCTCAGGCACGACGTGACCGATGCAGAATCCGTGCGAGCTGTCGGGTGGGTCGGGGAAGACAAACACGGGGGGTGGCGGGGGGAACCGGCGTTAGGTGCGGATGCCGGACGCCGGACGGAGTGGCGTCCGAGACGGAGGGAGATGTATTTGACAGCGGGAGGCGGTGGAGAGTGCGGTGGGGGCGGTAGCGGGGATAAAGACAGGTTCCGTCAGTCGTGGCGCATCACGGAGCTCGAGGCAACAACCACTCACCCGCCGCTGAAGCGTCCGTCGGTAAGACATGCGACGTCATTTCCGAGCCCGGCGCCCATGATCAGGCTGGTGGGCTTTAGCATCTCGGGCATGCCTGCAAACGGTCAGCGCGATCGGTGGTCAGCGACTGGCAAGAGGGTATTCGTAACTGCGAGACGTACCTGGGCCACCCTGGGGGCCGAGGTAGCGGAGGACCACGACAACCTTCTCGCCCTTCTTGAACGTGCCGCCTTCAACAGCTTCCACGAACTCGTCTTCCGAGTCGAATGTACGCGCCTTCCCACTGAAGTGAAGACCTTCCTTGCCGGTGATCTTAGCGACGGCTCCGCCAGGAGCGAGGTTACCACGCAGAATACTACTCGCATGTGTCAACCTACCGCAGAGGACTAGACGCGGGGTGGAGCGTACCGCAGGTGTCCTGTTTCCTTGATCGGGTTCTCCAGAGGTCTGATCACATCCTGGCTGCTGAAATCCAGCTCGCCATGCTCATGTGTCCAACGATCGAGGTTCTCGCCCAGTGTGCGGCCTGTCACGGTCATGATGTCTCCGTCGACCAGCTGTTTTTGAGTAGGTATGCAAGAATCTCTGCAGGCATTGGTTGCAATGTCAGCATATGCTCAGCCACGAGTGAGGTAGGCGCGTACTGGGGATACCGCCGATCTTGTACACGTGCTCCATCACGTACTTGCCACTGGGCTTGAGGTCGGCAATGAAAGGTACGCGATCCGACACGGCTTGGTAGTCCTCCAACGTCAAGTTGATGCCCACCGAGTGCGCGACAGCAGTCAAGTGGAGCACGGCGTTTGTTGAACCACCCAAGATCACGGTGAGAACCTTTCGCACAGTCAAGTCAGTGCCTTGGGAAGACATCCCGCCGCAGAGTACCACATACCATGGCGTTCTCGAACGCAGAGCGTGTCATGATGTCCTTGGGCAGGATATTCTTCTCCAGAAGATTGCGCATGGCCTCGCCAACAGACTTGCATTCCGCCACCTTTTCAGGGTATTCCGCAGGATACGAGGAGGAGCCGGGCAGCGTCATACCCATCGCCTCGGCCGCACTGGCCATGGTGTTCGCGGTATACATCTGTGACATAATTTTGGTCAGTGAAGCTTCATCGCATCAGCAGTCAGACTTACGCCTCCACAGGCACCCGAGCCAGCACATGCATTGCGGATGGTTGCGTGCCGCTCCTTTTCCGCGGCCTCGGTCTTGCCAGCTTCGAGGTACTTGCCGTACGCCTGGAACGCGGAGACAATATCGAGCTGAGGCGCGTACTCACACGACCCTGGGCGGATTGTGCCGCCGTAAACCATGATGCCTGGTCTGTTCAGCCTGCCCACTGCGCATGCATGCTTCAGGGGCCGTTGCGCGCGCATATAACGAGAAGACGTACGAGCCATAAGGACACCAGGCATGTTCTTGTCGCATCCGGGTAGTACCACCATACCGTCAAGCCAATGGCCACCAGCGGCGGTCTCGACCGCATCGGCGATGAGGTCGCGCGACTGGAGGGAGTACCGCATGCCGTCCGTGCCCATGCTGATTCCATCGCTGTAGAGGGGCGTGTAGCGCGTTAACAAGGAGGATGAGACGCGGCAGCACAACGCCCGCACCTCACACCAACGGTACCAAACTGATAGCCAATGATCCCTGCGTCCACAAGCGACTGCTTGACGTGCTGGCCGAGTCCAAAGAGGTGCTTGTTGCATCTGGGGGCGTATGACGCATGAGGGTTAATGCGAAAGAGGCGCGTAGGAAATAAGGAACACGAACGGGTTGCCTTCATACCTGCGGCGCAAGGTCGTCAGCCCAACGAGATCGACAGCCGGCGGATCGCAAGGAGGTTCCGCGTGGGGTGATCACGAACGGAACGCACCAGACACAGCCCACGCCAACCATCGCTTGTTGAAATCGTCGTCGGTCTTGACGCCTTCGGTGTCGTAGAGCATCGCTTGGCTCGCGCCTTGATCCTTGGGCTTCGTGACCGTGCGGCTGTAGCGGTTCATGACCGGCTTGTCGGCGCATGACGGCGCGCCAGTCGCGAAAGCCCTGCGAAGACCAGCACGGTGGAGGAGGGTGCGCGGTGCGCGCGCGGGAAGGACGGAGGGGAGCATGGCTGGTGATGCCGTGCGCAACTTTTGTTGCGTGGCGCGTGGTCGGGGGAGCTTGGTCGAGCGAGGCGGGACGACGACGACGGACGTCGAGTCACGAATCGTGCCCCACGTGCTGCGGTGCACGTGGGGCGCGTCACAGCCGGTCGTCGCACGGCCCCAGGGGGTGACTGCGCCAGATGACTTATGAGCACCGCTTCGGCGCCTATTTAAGAGATACACGCCGAGCGCTCGCGATCGCTGTGGGGCTCCAGACAGGGGCGCAGATGCGATCGGTCCGGGTCCTGCGCGCACGCGTTGCTTGAACTGGCCGTGGATGAGCAGCTCTCCAGTGTCCATCGTCGAGGATGTTGGACTCACACCCGCTCCGCACCCTCAGGCCACTGGCGGGCGTGATGCAGCGGGCGTGGGCATAGCCGACGGCGCATCAGAACTCGCGAGCGTTGAGAGCTTGTATCTAGATAGCGATCCTAGCAAACGTGCAGATAGACCCCCAAAAGTTCCGGACCCCGGCTCCCTGATCGAGCCTATCGGAGCATTGTCCGTAATTGTCCGGTGACGCGCCATGCGTCAAGTGCGCGCAACGTGCCGTGCGCACATGCACTAAAACCCCCCTCGTTGCCCGCTGCGCCCGCCTCGTCCGCGACGGGCGCGCGTGTGCTGGGCGGGATCTGCTGTCACCGGCGGCCTGCCCAATGCTACCCTCCTTGCGGCGCACGCTAGACATATACAGACGAAAGGGGCAGGATCAAGTATATTGCCTGTCACACGATCGCGTTTTAGGTCGCCAAGTGTGACCGTGACTCGTTCTACAGAGAGCTCGGAGGTCACCGCTGCTGTAAATTTCCACCCCAACAACTCTACATCCCGCCCCCACCCCGCCTCCGCTGCGACTCGCGCGGCCGGTGTTGTCCGCGGGTCCACTGCCGTGCATGCCGCCGCGACCACACTATGGGTACTAGCCACCACCCCTGCGGATTCGCACTGTGCCCTGCGGGTGACGCAGCGGCAGCGAACAGGTGATAGCGGACGTCGACGCGGAGTGTGACTTGGGCTCTGTTTCGGCTGTCGGGTATGGCTGGATCGATCGCGCCTTCACCGCAGGCATCCCCGCTGCCGGCGCCTGCGAGCGCGCGATACCGCGATCTGGGTGCGTCTCATCGTCCATCCGCGCCGCCATGCCCTGCCTGCCCCGGCTCACCCCCAGCACGTCGTGCTCCTTGCCGCTCCCTGGGCTGTCGATTTGCCCCCGCCACCACCACGACCGCAGGCTTAAAGCGGAGGCAAACGCCCCCTCCCGCCCCCTCTCCAATAGGCACCTGGGTCCTTGGCGACGGCTTTGCTTGCTTCTGGTGCCCCCGAGCGAACGTAGGTGGCTCGCAGCGTCTGAAACCCTCCGCGGTCTGCGTCCTTTTTCGCGCACTTGAAACATTTTGTTCCGTCCTCGACGATCGACGCCCGGTCCACCTCTCCTTTGGCTTTGTTTCCGTCGCCCGCCACCGTGCCCTACCCGCTCGCGGCTATGGCTCTTCATCCCTCTCCTTCACCTCCGCTTCCGCTGCCCGCTGCGCCCGCGCTCGTCACCATCTGGACCCGGGGGTTATCCCCTTTCATCCCCCTCGCGCAAGATTCCGCGCGGACGGCCGCTGAAGAGGCCCCCAGGCTCGCACCCGTCCCGGCATGGACCCCCACGGGAGCGGGCCCTCCCAACGCCACAGTAGTCTCCCGCCCAGCCTCCAGAGGCTAATGGTCTCCGGCCCCTCCCCTCGCCACCTCGCAGGGGGGCCGGAGACGAGCAACCAGAACCCACCTCTCCAAGCTCGAGCGGACGAGACCACCCCGCGCAGGGGCCGCACGCGACGCCCAGTCTCCTCGCCCCCAGTCGCAGCACCAGAGCGACGCGCTCCGCCCGGCATGACGCTCACCGCCGCCGTTTCGACGACGACCGGGAGAGCAGCGATAGCCTGCCCGCGAGCCCCCACGGCAGCGCATCGCCCCCGCGCGGCGGCGTCGACGACCCAGGTGCCGCACCACTCCGCTTGCACCCCCCGCCCCCGCCTCCCTCTCCGTCTTTTCTGCCGCGGCGCGCCAGCCCGCCCTCCTCATACCACCCCCAGGCGTCGTCCGCTCGGATCCATTTTACTATGCGGCCACTGCCGCCCACCCGCCCAGCCACACCCCGCCGCCCCAGCCGGGACAGAGCCTCCTCCTCCCGCCGCTGCGACACCAGCCCCAAGCCTGCAGCCGCCGATGGGTGCGCTCGTTGGCCCGGGCATGGCTAGCCCATCGCCCTTGATGCGGGATACGGCCAGCCCGTCTCGGGACGGCCGTCCCCCGCTCCCCAGCCCGCTGCGGGCCCCTCTCGTCTGCAAGAAGAGCCCGCGGCGCCGCCGCCAACGCGGAAAGCCCGCGGCAGATCCAAGAAGCCCAGCAGACCGTCGCCCGAGCCCGCAGCGAGCCCGCCGAGCTTGCGGCGGGGCCGCCGGGGCGGCGACAGAGCCCGAGGTGGGTCCCGTTAACCCCTCCCGTCGTTGACCACGCTCGGTAACGCGCACCCCAGACGTCGCTCCCGCGCACTCCCAGGCAGGAAGCACCGTCACGAGCGCGACCGCCAGCAGCAGCGGGAGCCACAGCGGGACCGTCGCCCTCGTGCCGCCATCCGTGCCGCTCCCGCTCCCCCGTCTGCAGCAAGGTTCGGAGATTCCCAGGCGGGGCCCTTCCCACCTCAGCGGGCCGTGCGCCCGCCGTCGCGGGGCGCGTCACACTCGCCGCGGCGGTCGTTGCCCGGGAACGTTCCTGGCCCCGGCGCCAGCGCGGTGGCGGGCGGGAGTGGCGGCGGTGGCGGCGGGAGGGGGAGCACGGGCGCGCCGCGGCGGGAAAGCCCCATGCTGCCCACGGAGCCGTACGCGGTCGCGGTCGGCCCGACGGCGTACCACGTCCGGACGCTCGTGCCCCTCGCGGCGCCGTCCATCTTGCCGCCCGTGGGTCCTGGATTCGTCGCGGGCCGGCTTCCAGTGCTCGAGGGCGCGCCGCCGCCACCGCCGCTGTCGGCGGGGGCGTCGTCCCCGTCGTCGTCGTCCGTGGCGGGGTCGTCGCGCCGGGTGTCGGTGTGGGAGGCTCCCGCGCCGGGCGAGGAGCAGGGCCCGATGGAGGCGGGGGCGGCGGGGGGCGGGAGCGTGCTGGGAAAGCGGGGGCGCGGGGGGCGCGGGTCGAAGGAGTCGAAGTCGAGCGGGAGCTCGGAGAGCTCGGAGCAGGCGCACGCGCCCAAGTCGAAGAAGACGCTGATTGCGTGCCACTTCTGCCGAGGTGAGCGAGGTCGTGGGACGGCGCGCGCGCGCGGGGCCGGGCGCGGTCTAGCCCGCGGGCGAGCAGCTCGCTGACGTCTTCGTCCGGGACGGTAGCCCGGAAGCTGCGGTGCGACGGCCAGAAGCCGTCGTGCGCGAACTGCAGGAAGCGCAGCAACCCGTGCACGTACGAGGCGCAACCCAAGCGACGTGGGCCGGGCAAGACCCCGCGGGGGAGCAGCAGGAAGCGGGGCCGACCGGCGGACGCGGGGCAGGACACGGAGCCCGAGGCGGGCTCGCTCGCCGCCGCCGGGGCGGGGATGGGGTGGCGGGGGCGAGAGAGCGTCGGGGGGAGCCCAGGGCGGGAGGCGCACTCGCATGCGGCGTTTGAGCCGCAACTGACGGGGCCCCAGCCCATGTACCCCGGCGCAGGCTCCCGCGCTCCGTCGTCCGAGTCGCCCTCGTCGTCATACCTCCCAGGCGCGCCCGCCCTAGTGCCGTTCACGGCCTACACCCCCGGCCCGAGTCGCTCGTCTGCGTCCGCGTCAGAGAGCGTGCAGTCGTCCGCGACCTCGTCCGCGCCGTCGGTGCCGGACTCGGAGGAGAGCACGTCGTTGAGCACGGACGCGTACGCGGAGCCCCTGGACGACCTCTAGACCGAGGCAGCTCGGAGGGCGCGCCGGAGGAGGCATTCGCGGCCTCGCATGGATTCGCACTCCGCGCACACGGTGCTCGGAGCAGGTGAGTGTGGACGCCGCGAAGGGCGCTTCTGCTTCTGGCGTGGGACGCGAGCCTGACACGCCTTCTTCCGCTTCTCCGCCTCGGCCGGGCTCAGCTCCCATCCGCCTTCGCCGTCACCCGGCAACTTTGACAGCTGCACGCCCGCCCGCGCGGCCACTCCGCCTCCGCCACGCGCGCCCCCGCACCCACACACCTCTCTATCGCCCAGGCCCCTGCGTCCCGAGTCCCCGGCCGCCGCTCTTCGTTCGTTCGTCCTAATGCTAGAATGTGCCCGTCCCCCGCGGCGGCGCACGCTAATTCGAATACGGTAACATGCTCCTGCGACAATGCCTACCCCAGTCCCCATCTATGTCTCTAATGTATGCACGCTATAGCTCCGCTAGTGTAGACTCGTAGAACGTAATCCACCACTAATTCACGGACGAGCTGCAGAGGCCTGATGGAGGCCGCAGCTGATGCAGATGGGTGCGGGGCGCGCCCGGCGGAACACGATCGTCGCGGCACCGTCAGAGACGGACAGCAGCACGCGGGCCGCAGCGGTGGCGCGTTCGCGATGGACGGGCGCGCGGGGCAGCGCAGCGGGGGACGCACACGGAGCGCGGAAGACGCAGCGCGCGCAGGGCCCGCACTTGCATGTGCATCGCGCTGTTGTTGGTCCCCCGCAGGCGGGAAGCGGGCGCGCGGGAGGATGACGTGCGTGCGGGGGGTGGCACGGAGCGAGCGCTGGGGGGCGCCCGTCGCCGTCGCCCGATCCGGCAGCGGCTCGACTCGCGTTGTGCCTTTCGCGCGCGCGGGCCAGGCCCGCCTCCGCATGCCCCGCGCCGGCGCCCTCCAGCCTCCCGCGCCTGCACGCGCTTCCCCGCGGCAGGCGGCGGCAGTGGCGGCGAGCGCCCGCCGCGGGAGCCCGACGCGTGCGCTGCCCGAGGCTGCCACCCTCCGCCCCCGCGCGCACCGCACCGCGCGCCCGTCCGTCGCACGCGGGGCGCACGCGCTGGGGCTCGACGGGTCGACGTTCGCCGTGCGCTCCGGGCCTAGAATCGCCATTGACCCGCGGGGAGGCCGCGGCGGAATAATGGTGAAACAGCGCCGGGGTCGGAAGCGGGCCCGGTTGATAGGACGGAAGGGGGCCCCGGCGGGGATTGGCCAAAAGATGGGGCACTGGATTCGGTTCGGATCGCTGAGCCTGACCCCGCGGCTACGTTCGGCGCCGGAAGCTCCCTGATGGTTGTATGCGGTCGAGAACGTCCCATCCCCGCTCCGCCGCGCCGTACTTCCCCTCCCGCCCCTTCTCCTCTCCTCTCATGCACCCCATCGACCTACGTCGCCGCCGCGCCGAGGTCGAGCATGAGCATCCCTTCCGCGACCTCCCTATGAACCACTCCTCCCTCCCTCGCCCGCGCTCCGACGACCTCCTTCCCCGCACGGACAGGATGCCACACAGGATGCCCCCAGACGGCCCCGCAGCCTACACCCTCATGGTCGCAGGTCGCCGCACAGGCAAGACCTCCTTCCTCCGCCTCCTCCTCGACTCCAGCAACGTCGCCTCCACCGTCTCCCGCGACCAGCTCGCCTCCGTCGCAAAGTTCGTTCAGGGCTCCTCCGCCCACACTCCGCATGTCCGGTCCGTCTCACTCGACATTGACCTGGCGCCCGACGACCTCGACGCCGAGCACCCCCTTGCCCTCACCCTCATCGACACCCCCTCGCTCAACCCGGAGGACGACCCCGACTGTCAGAGGACGCTGCAGGAGATCCTCCGCCATGTGGAGAGACGGCTGGGCGATGGCTTGGACTCCGTGAGTGCTTCACCCCCTAGGCGCCCTCCGCGCTGTACCCTAATCTCGCCCCGGCACGCGCCCCCAGGACCGCCAAACCCTCGCCTCCGACCCACTTGTACATTTGTGCGTGTCCTTGTGCTTCCCTCCGCCTTCCCCCCTCCGTACTCACGCTGTGCGCGCACGCCCACAGATGCATCTACTTCCTCGACCCGGACTTCATAGTACCACCACCCGTCCCGGCTCCCCCCATCTCCATTGTACCCCGTGCACGTACCAACAGTCTTTCTACTCATGAGCACGACCCTGTCATCCTAGAGCCCTCCGTGGCCAACCCCATGCTATCGCGGCCCATACTCCCCCAGGCTGACATTGCCGCCATCCGCCGCCTCTCCGCGCGCGTAAACGTGCTGCCCGTAGTCGCCCGTGCCGACACTCTGACCTTGGACCGTCTCACCGCGGTGAAGATGGCGGTCCGCAGAGATCTCGCCGAAGCGGGCATCGGGTTTGGTATCTTCGACCTCGACATCCCGCTCTACGCCCAACTAGAGTCCACCGTCGCGAGGGCCAAATCCGAACACGGCTACATGAAGCACATGAACGGCTCTCCCTCCGGCTCCACGCCCGCCACGCCCACTCTCCGTCTGCCCTTCGCGCTCATCTCGCCAGATATGTATTCGCACAGCGACGGAGTCGCGCGAGCACCGTTGTCTCGTCATGAACTCGCACAGCTCTACGTTCCTTCCAAGCACCTCGTCAACCAAAATCAGGCACCACCCAAAATCATGCCCGGCAAGTTTCTCCGGGTATACCGCTGGGGCTCGCTCGACGTCATGGACGCGAGCCACTCCGAGTTCCTGCACCTCCGGGGCGCCGTGTTACACCACATGGAGGTAAACAGCCTTTTTTTTCTGGCCCTCGCGGCAGCCTGATCTTGCGTTGAACATGTGCTGACGCGCGCCAACCCCGATCGCAGACCCTGCAAAAGTACACGCGCGAGTACCTGCTCGAGAAGTTCAGGGCTGAGGTGCAGCCTGTCTCGCCTCCGCATGCCCGCCAACCGGTAGCGGTCGCGACCCGGCTGCCTCCCATGCGGGCCACACGCCCCACGCTGGCGATCGACACTGCGCCACCACACGCCAACGGTAACGGACACATACCGCTTCAGCATCAGCAGCAGCAACAACAGCAACAACAGCAGCCACAGCCACAGCATCAACAGCGATCTGCAATGGTAGACGAGCCCATGTCGGCGCACGTCTTGTCAGCCGCGGGTCTGCACGACCTCTCGCCGAAAACGTCGACCTCTTCCCGTGAGTGCTGGGTGTGTCGGGTATTACTCCACCACTGACATAACCCCGTTGCAGGGTCCCAGCGTCAACGGACGAAGAAGATTCCGGTTGCGTGCAACTTCTGCCGCTGTAAGTGAATGAAGCTGTGCGCCCGGCCTTATCTGCGGAGACTGACCCAGACCCGCAGCCCGGAAGCTACGGTGCGACGGGGGCAGGCCTGCGTGCGGCCAGTGCTTCAAGCGGTCGAACCCGTGCGACTACACGGCGAGCAGCAAGCGACGGAGCACGGGCAAGCCGCGGAAGCAGTACGGGAGTGAAAGCGAGGGTGACAGCGTCGAGGACGAGCAGGGCATGTTCGATCATCCCTCCCACTCCCCGTCCCTCGCTTCCTCCGCGCCGCACTCCCGAAGAAGCTCCAACGTGGGCATGCTTCTCACGGACGCCCTTCCCCCGCTCAATCCCGCGCCTGACCCACGCGACGCCCCTCCCGCCGTTCTCCCCCCGATCAATGGTTCGATGGCCTACGGCCCAGCCGGTGCGCGCAGGCCATCCTTGGGCACGGAGCTCCCACCCATCGCCACCCTCGCACCCCCGCCTGGCCCCTCTGACGACGGCATGTCGCTCGCCTCCCTCGACACCAGCGAGGGCTCAGGCCCCCGCCGCCGCACCTCCTCCGCCTCGTCCAGCATGGTCTCTGGGCGCGGCAGCCGTGGGGGAGGCTCCAAGATCGTCGCCTGCAACTTCTGTCGAGGTGCGTAGATCGCCGGCGAGCGGTGCAGCACGAGTCCGTGACTGATCGGCCGTGCGTTCTGCCCTCGTTCCCACAGCCCGGAAGACTCGGTGCGATGGTGCGCACCCCACGTGCGGCAGCTGCCATCGTCGAAACGTGCAGTGCAACTACGTCAACGACGCGGCCGCCAAGGCGCGCTCTCGCTCCTCTGGCAGCGGCGGAACGCCTCCCGACATCTCAGCGTCGAACTCGTCGCGCTCGTCTCCCGTCTCGGTCTCGATCGGGACGCCCAGCCTGCCCGACGCCTCGAACTCGCTCATGCGTAGACTTGGGGCCCTCGACCCCGACATGCTCCCCAACCCGGCCAAGAAGATGCGGTTGGAGATGAGCGCGCCGTCGATCGCCGTGCTCAATGGAGCATAGGACTTTTATACGCATCCATGGACCCTCCCCCCACACTGTATATTGCGAGCATCACCCCCCACCCCTCTGTAGTACCGCAGGAAATGGACTGTCTCTCCTTCTCGTCTCATTCCCCTCCAGCTCTTTCTAGATCATGTTATGAGCATAACCATATCCCCGCGTTCTTGATTCCCCTCGTTGAATGTCTCTCCACAACTCGCAGCATCGTCTCTCCCTGGCCATCTCTCATCTCCCCCATCCCCCACCATCCATCACTCGCATCCTTCCCTGCTCACGAACTCCTTTTCCCTGCCGCCACTACGATACACGGCCACTGCTGCTCGCGGGGCGCTCTCGCCCCACATTACGAATCCGTCTCGTCTCGCGTCTTTGGTTTTGGGTCTCGGGATCGTCTTCTCGTCGATACGCTTGCTCGTTGTGCATCGGAAGTGTACTATAGCCTTCAGACCACAGTCCGTTCCTTCTCGTCTCCCGTCTCCCTCCGCCGCGTCTCCCGCCTGCCTCGCACGCGCCGCGCGCACCCTCCGCTCGCTCCCGTCCTCGTCTCTCTCTATCGTCCTTGCTCTTGCTCGTCTTGCTGCCGTCGTCGCTGCTTCCGATCTCTATTCCATATTTTTTCGCCCTCCCACCGAACCCGCAGCCCCCACCGGCAGTTCCAGCCGGCGAGCGTCACCGCGTCCTCGCACGCGCTCCGCAAGAGTGCTGCTCCGTTCGCCCGGACATCACCGTCTGACGGGCTAGCGGCACACGCCAGATGGCTCCGTCCGCCCGCGCGAGGGGGCGTTTCAGGATGCGCTCTGGAAAACGCGCAACAGAAGACGAGGGGGTTCGTCCGTGATGCGGCGCGCGTGGACGAGGGCAGGAGGGCGCGGAAGCGGGCAAGGAGGCGCACCGAGGGGACCACGGCCGTCTGCCGGGCGGTGATGGTGCTGCTCGTGCGCACTGCGCAGGACGTGGCGCGTCGTCGGCAGCCCCGCTTTGAGGGACCCGGCGGAACAACCGCATCAGCCGCGGCGGGCTCCACCGTGCGCAGGGCGGGGTGCACAAGGTGTGATCACGTATAGAACCTCTGTGCGCGTGCGTTCGTTCTGACGAGGGCACGCGTCCTATACACTCTAAACCTTCTGACCTCCGCGCGGCGTGCCGTGCAGACCGATTCGTGCGGAAGCACGCCAGCCGGGTGAACACGACCGAGAGCACTGGGTCCCCGAGCAACTGTGTGGTTGAACTGGGCTGGCCCAGACCTGGACGCGTTGTGGGGACGGTGCGCTGGGCGGACGCGAGATCCCGCGGCGGGCGACGCGCACCGAGCCAATGATTGCCGAGGCGGGTCGTCTCTGGACGGAGCGCGGGTGGCAGCGCCCGCTTTCTAGTCTCGTCCGACACCGCACAGGAGCGTGGGGAATGGGACGGAGATCTGATTGACGGTTGTGTTGTGGACGTCATGTCGCGGTCTGTGCTCGCGGTGTGCTTTGCGGGATCGCTGAGCAAGGGCAAGGCCGGGGGCAGCCCTGGGCGGCCGGGGAAGCGAGTGGACGGCCAAGGCTGGCGGCGCGGCGGGCGCGGAGGCCAGCGCGCCGCTCGGACCAGAGGGCGTGAGCGTGCGCCCGGTCGGCCTTTGTCCAGCACCATCTGCCCTGTCGCCGTCGCGTCCTGCATTCCGCACCCCTCCCCGCCGTCGCGTCTGTGACCGTGTACCTGTCGGCCTGTCGGTGTGGTCGCTGCATTGTCCCCTCGCTGGTCGTCGTCACTCCATCGCTGGTCGTGCACCCCTCCTCCTGCCCCCCGCTCATTTCCCCTTTGTCTCGCCCTCGCTGATACCCACCCTGCTGTCCAACACCACCGTTTCCCCACTCGTTCTTGCTTCCCACCGCCTCGCTTGCGACCTCAGGCCTTCACTTCACACACGCTCACCCCGCACCCGCATACACCCACCCCACCCACATCCCCCAGGGGCAACATAGTCGCACCATGTTCTCCTTCCGCAAGAAGCCGCAAAAGCCGACCTCCCCTATACGCACCTCGCCCTCGCTCCCCGAGCTCAGCGCGCAGGGCATCCCCTGGCCCTCCGACCTCGTTGACCTCTCGCAGCTCCCGCACTCTGGCGATGCGCACGTCTCCCCACCCCGCGGCGCCGCGAAGACGTCCTTCTCCGCCGACGTCGCCGGGCCCGTCGCGTTCCACAAGCCGTGGGCGGCCCCGGGCAAGCCTTCGGGGCAGGCTGGGAAGACGATCGCGAGCCTGTACGCGAGCCACCCGCCGGTCGCGTTCGACGGCCGGAAGTCGAGCATGTCGAACCGCTCGCGGCCGGCGCAGAAGCGGAACAGGAACCCGACGACGTTCAACCTCATGGTGCGCCCGTTTGCGCGTTTTCTCTCTCCTTGCGAGCCTTCTGCTTACGGAGACAACGTGGGTGGCGGTTGTGGTGGCGACGGAACTGGTGGTTGGGTGGAACCGGGCACTGGATTGGTGTTGGCGTTGGTGCTGGGGTCGAACGCGCACACAGATCGCCGGCGCACAGGGTACGGGCAAGACGTCGCTCCTCCGCCTCATCCTCGACACTGCGGACATCTCCCCGACTGCGACGGCGGACCAGAAGGCGGCGATGGAGGGCTTCCTGCGCGGCTCGCCGCGGTGCACGGAGCAGATCCAGACCGCGTGCGTCGAGATTTGCGAGAGCAAGTACGACCGCCTCCTGCTCTCCGTCATCGACACGCCCGGGCTCGACTTCCAGGACGGCCACGAGCTCCGGCTCGAGCGCCAGGTGACGACCATCGTCAAGTATCTCGACGCGCAGTTCGCGGACACGCTCAGCGAGGTGCGTGCTCAGTTCCCTGCATCTATCTTTGCTTCGTGTTCCTTTGCCACCCCTGCCGCCGGGCACGGCTTCTGTGCCTTCGGCGGCGGTGGAGGCGTGTGACTTGGAGGACGCGCTGTGTGACGCGCTGTGTGACGCGCTGTGTGACGCGCTGAGAAACCACGTCGATATCGACTCTCTTGGCTACGGATCACACCCTCATCATGCCGCAGTACCCCCATTCGTTTCGTACCATTCGTTGTACCGCGTTATGCCGCGTTGTGGCCTATCAGACGTTTTAAGTTTTGGCTTCCCTTGTTCGGCATCACCGCCGGCGAGTACATGAGCGCTAACTGTGCCCGCAGGAGTCCAAAGTCGTCCGTCAAAGTCGAGGCGACCAGCACATTCACCTGTGAGATCACAGCCCAACCGCACATGACATGCTTCTCTGATTCATCTCCGACCCGCAGACTAATCTACATGATCGATCCCGCTTCGATCATGAACGTGTCCGCGCGCCGCGCCCACTCCACCTTCCCTAGCAAAACGCGCTCCGAGACGACCATCGGCTACCGCACGAAGGACGTGGTGAACGGCGCCGAAGAATCGGACGATGAGGAGGAAGACAGTGAGAGTACGCTGACGATGTCTCCGGTCGACCTGCGCGTCATCCGTCGCCTGTCTGTGCGCGCGAACGTGCTCCCGGTCGTCGCGCTCTCAGATTCCCTGACTGACGAGACGCTCGCCACGGTCAAGAAGGTCATCCGCCGCGACCTTCGGAACGCGGGTCTTGACTTTGGCGTCTTTGGGCCGACGATGGATGACCCGCAGAGCCCGCAGGAGGAGCCGCGCAGCGGAAGGAACGGCACTGCAGTCCGTGTGGCTAGCGACGACATCTCGAGTGCCGCGAATGGCGACGCTGCTGGCACTGCACCAAGCACCAACGGGGACGCACCAGTCGCGAACGGCAACAGCCACGCCCTAGAACCCTCGTCCTCGTCCATCCCCAGCACACCCACGGCCGCTGAAGACCCCAGCCCCGCCTCGGAGGACGCCCGCCCGTCGCGACCGGTGATCAAGCTTCGTGCCACACGCCTGCAGCGGCGGCCATCGCTGTCGCGGTCGCGGCTCGAGGCTGAGATGGCAATGGTGGACGACACGACGCAGCCGGATATGATGGTGAACGACAACGAGTCCGTCGCCTCCGTTCGCTTCTCCGCGCACATTGTCGCCAAGACGGATCTCATGGACACCCTCCCCTTCGCGCTCATCACGCCCGAGCACGTTCGCCGCCGCCGCGCCCTCAAGGGCGCTGTTGCGTCGCCCGTCTCCGCGAACGGGAACGGGAACGGCGCCGCGTTTGCCAGCCTGAATGGGCACGCGGACGACGGCGCGGTCACGCCCTCGGAGGGCCACTCGGGCGCGTACCACTCGATGGTTGCGTCTCCGACTTCGCCCATGTCGGCCACTTCCAGGCACTTCCCGTACCTGCAAGGGCCCCCGCGGATCTGCGCGGGGTGTTTGTCCGCCGGTTCCGGTGGGGCACCGTGGACGTGCTCGACCCTGCCCACTGTGACTTCAGCGCGCTCCGGACGGCGGTACTCTCGACGCACATCAAGATGCTCAAGATCCGGACGAAGGAGGTGCTGTACGAAAAGTACCGGACGGAGAAATTGCTCGCGCGCAGGGCGACGAGGAATATCAGCGAGGACGAGACGAAGCGGTTGCTGGAAGGTGCGTTCCCCCTCGTGCCATCTGGTACGCGCTCTATGCTCATGCGTTCGTGGCGCCAGACCTCGGTCTGTGATCGGCGCGGCCGGTTGCTCGCGCCGTGCTACCCTATCTATCCCCTTACTCTTGTGTATCCCTCCGCATCCAACCTAGCCTTGGAGCGCCTTGCCGTACATACCTGCCAGCCCTGGTGGTCTGTTCGCGCTCGACGCGCCTCGGAACGTGTAGCCGTCCGCCCTCATTATGCTTTATTTGTCGCTCCCATCTCTCACGCTATGCCCCCCCTCCCCCTGTAGCTAGCCCCGCATTCCTCCCGTTCACCAGTGCCCCCAGTGCTTACGACTCCGCGTATGGCCCTCGCTGCCCGGGGCTCCTCCGTTTGGTTTTCTTCACAACCACTGCTGCTGCCGCCCTTCCGCCTCGGTTCGAAAACCGTACACTCGCTCATCTCTCCCCATCTGACTATCCCTCTCTCTCCCTCTCTCCTTGCGTGGCATCTAGGATCTCTGTCTTTCGTCGCCTTTGACATTCCGTCGCTGCTTACTACGTGGGTCGGATAGCTATGTACGCGCTGACAAATCCAATCTATTGACGCTGCTCCTGCCGCTGCTCCTGCTGTTACTGGCGTTGCATCGGAAGTGCAAAACGTGACGGTAGCGCAGAATCGCGATCGTGCTACGCGAAAAGTCGGAATGAGCTTTGAAGACACGTCGACGGGCGCGTTCATCCGCATACTCAGCGATGCTCACGGAGCCCACGAACACGCACGGCACATATCCCGCCAGTCCGAATCCAATTGATAGAGTGCAACGCCCAAAGATTGCAGTCTCCAATGCTCTGACAATTGGCGCGCAGTCTGCTTGATGGCCAAGTTTCAACATTTCCACGGACACAAAATAATCTCCGAGCTTTGCACATGTGCTCTTCTCGCTCTCCTGCACTTTCATTCCGTTCGCTCTGAAAATATCCATGGAGGTATGTTACACGATTCCAAGTCTATGTGCCACAGCCGAGAGGAATCGAAGGAGATACAGCTCCCCGAGGAAACATCTAACACGTACGGCGCAACGCTGTCACCGCTGTCGCCGTTACTGCTTCTCCTGCGCGACGAGCGCCTCCACCTCCTCGTCCGACAAGCCGTCCAGCCGCTGGAGGAGGTAGTCGACCTCGACCTCCTTCGTGAGCGGGATGATGTAGTGCTCGTAGAGCTCCACGACGCCGTCGACGTCGATCTTGCGCCGCGCGTCGCCGTCGCCGCCGTCGTCCTTGAGCGGCTCGCCGTCGAGCGCGACGTTTTGGGCGTAGAGGTCCGCCTTCTTGCGGAGGCGCTGGAGGAGCACGCGCTCGACGGCGGGCTTGGTGATGAGCCCGTCAAGCGCGGCGCGGTTGCGCGCGCGGATGTGCGGAACGAACGCGGCGGGGTCGTCTCGGAACTTGCTCTCGGACACGAACTTGCCTACATCGCCAGTCGTGCGTTCAGCGCACACGCGCAGACGACGACGGGGACGGGGACGGGGACGGGGACGGGGGAGACGCACCGTAGTGAACGCGCTTGGAGATCGCCTGGAGGACCTCGAGGTCGACGAACGCGGCGCTCCCGTAGTTCCCGTCGTCCTCGTACTCGGCGTCGCCAGAGATGCCCGCCGCGCGCTTCTGCGCGGCGAGCGCGAGCGTCGCGGCGCGGGTGATGCGCGGGACGATCTGCTGGGTGTAGAAGGAGAGGATGGACCGGTTCACGTTCACCGTGTTCGGGTACAGGATCGGCGGGAAGGCGAGCGGCTTGAGGATCGGTGGTGGGAGCTCCGCCGGGTCCGTGAACGGATACTCGTCTGGGCTGCGCGGGGCCAGTTCGAGGAGGGGGGAAGCCATAGGCAGTCAGATTGGCACTCGTCTTGACTGGCCCGCAGCAGCGTACGGCATGGGACGGACGGGGACGGGGCTCACCTCGTGTACCTCCTTGCCTTCGCTGCGGCGCACACGACCCACCAAGCACATGCGCATCAGCCCCCGCGGCGGCAGCGCATCGAACGGGCGGGGGCGAGGGGTCGGTACGCACCGTGGAAGGTCTCGGTCTCCTTGAGGAACCACTCGAGCCAGGAGCCGGAGAAGCCGATGTCCTTGAGCTCTTGGAACTCGCCGCGGCGGTATGCGCGCGGGTTGTGCGCGAACTGCGCGCGCTCGATGAGCGAGAAGATGATCGTGTCCTCGAGGCGGACGAGGATCGCGCGGATCCGGTCGAGCGAGAGCGGATCCCCTGTGGTGTAGTTCGTGAGGGGTAGGGAGCCGCTCGCCATCGTGATGTCGTGCAGTGGGGGCGGATGCGGGGATGGGGATGGGGGCGGGAGCGAGGATGGCTGCGGCACGGTCGCAGTGGGGGAGAGAAGCAAGCTTGGGGAGCCGGAGTTGACGACGTCCTGGACACGGACTCGCACTCGCCGCCGCTGACCACTGCCTCTGCCTCAGGACATTTACATTTCATTTCTCAGATCTGATTTAGAACAAGCTGCATTACAAAGGGATCCTGGCGCCAGGAAGGGAGACGTACCTTGCCATGGTTTATTCCGTGAGCTAATCCTCGGAAATCCCAAAGGCGACGTGACATTGCTCTGCGTAGCCGCGTAACGGGGATGTGGGACAATCGAAAAGGGGAAGTTTCCGACTGGATAACCCAGCTGCAAGAACATACGCTGCTGCGAGTTGGAATGAAGCGTGCGTGGAGGCGCACTTCAATGTGGGGTCTCGATCCTCGGACGGCACTGGCGTTGGCCATGGGCGGCTGATTGTCCTCGTCCTGGCTCGAGGCATAGACTGATCCAGTGCATATATATGCCGTCTATGATGGTCTCGGTGAGTGAACCGTGTGGTTGCGGCATCCCTACTGCTGACCCTCGAAATTTCCCAGCATTCGACTGTGTGCGCATGAAAAAGCTTGGCTTCTTGATCAGCGGACCGCAGGGCTCCTCCAGAGCAAAGTGACTTCTGCACCCTGGGCGAGAAATCTAGTCCCCGACCTCGTCATGCTGCGGGGAACGTTCGCGGCGCGGAACTACTTGGGACGGTCCGCGGTCCGTGCGGGCCAATGCCAGCCAGTGACGCTCACAGAAGTTCGCTCGTCCCGCTATCGAGCCAACCATCCTCGACGGACGTGAGAACGCTCCCCACCCTCGCCACCTCGAAGCCTCGGAACACGGCTAGCCGTACGCATTGTGTCCTCGCAAATTGGATCATGACTCGCGCAGACGGTCGAACGGGGGAATCGTACCCCGCGCCGCGCCGACAAGAGCTACTTAGCTAAGCTCTGAGCTCATCGGCAGGACTTGTGCGCCCCACGTCTATATATGCGTCGGCATCAAGAGTTCGAGACGAATCAGAGCTCGCACCCACTGTTCTCATCCACTCGCCATGGCCCCCGCTGTTGTCTACGGCTCACAGACCGAAGAGGTCCCGACGCTCCTCGACCCTGCCGTGCTGAAGAAGAATGGCACTGTCGCAACGAATGGGACGTACGACGTCAAAGAGGACTACGACGGCGACTACCGCTTCGCCCCCATCGAGGAGGCGCAGGTGTCCCGCGCCATGATCAAGCGGTGAGCCTTCGTCTGCCCCGAAGCCTGCCTAAGAGCTGACGCGTACGCCCCGCCCGCACAGGTACTTCGCGATGATGTACGAGCGCGTGGTCTCGGACGTCGTGATTATCGGCGCTGGCAGCGCCGGCCTCTCCTGCGCGTACCACCTCGCGACCGAGCGCCCCGACCTCAAGATCACGATTATCGAGGCCAATGTCGCACCAGGTGCGCCTCTTCTCCTCCTCGTCTCCAACCCGCGCACGCCTGACCCCATCCCCTCTCCGCTCCTACGCAGGCGGCGGCGCGTGGCTCGGCGGGCAGCTCATGACGCCCATGGTCGTCCGCAAGCCCGCGGACCGCTTCCTGACCACGCTCGGCGTGCCCTTCGAGGACGAGGGCGCGTTCGTCGTCGTCAAGCACGCCGCGCTCTTCACCGCGACCGTCCTCGCGCGCGTGCTCGCGCTCCCGAACGTCGTCCTCTTCAACGCGACCGCCGTCGAGGACCTCGTCGTCCGCCCCGACCCCCTCGCCCCCTCCGCCCAGCGCGTGGCCGGGGTCGTGACGAACTGGACGCTCGTCGCGCTCAACCACGACACGCAGAGCTGCATGGACCCGAACGTGCTCACCGCGCCGGTCGTCGTCTCCGCCACGGGCCACGACGGTCCCATGGGCGCGTTCTCCGCGAAGCGGCTCGTCAGCATGGGCCTCCTCCCCGCGCTCGGCGGCATGCGCGGGCTCGACATGCGCCGCGCGGAGCCCGCGATCGTCAACGCGACGCGCGAGGTCGCCCCGGGGCTCATCATGACCGGTGCGTGCTCCCTTGCTTTCGTCGTTGGTTGTCCGAGCGGATGTGGAACGGGGCTGACGCGGGGCATGACAGGCATGGAACTCAGCGAGCACGACGGCGCGAACCGGATGGGCCCCACGTTCGGCGCGATGATGGCGAGCGGGATCAAGGCCGCGCGCGAGGCCATGCGCGTGCTGGACGCGGCGGAGATCGTCGACGGCAAGGTCGTCGGGCTCAAGCAGTGAAGATCGGAGGCGGTTGACGGCCCGTGAAGTCAGGGGACTGTAACGCTAGATTGTAAAGGGCATTTAAGCCACTACGTTTACCACATGTATGAAATAGAGCGCAGTCATGAGGTTCTTGGTTGTTGCGGTTGCAGAGTAACAAGCAATGAGGTAGAAGCGCGCATGAAGAATGAATACAAGGAATATCGAGAAAAGGAGAACGCTGACCATCATGTTGCACGCAATGCGAAGGATTGCATCGACGACCGGCCGAGCAGCCCCTTGAGTTGCGAAATCTGCTGAACCGGTATATAGACTTCATTGGACGAATATTGAAAAAGCTTGATCCCCCATAGTTTCAGCTAGAGGCCAACCCTTCAATGAAAGATCCCCCACCGAGGATTAATCCAGTGTCCACAATAGAATCTAATAATCTGTGGTCGTCGGGTGTTCAGTTCGGACTCGGACTGATGCAGGCTCCGAGGAGTCGCTCATTCGAAACTGGCTCCAGGCCGATCGAGTGAGATCACACGCCGGAACAGGGCCGCGACGGCGACGGGCTCGTCAGGACTCCAGCTCAGGCCTCAGGACAGCTGGCAGCCGTCGCCAAGGGAGCGGTGAACAGACGAGGCCACGTGGAGTGACGTAACGCGTTGGTCACACTCTTCGAGCCTCGGATCCGCTCACAGGTTCGATTCCGTACGCAGAACGGGGATCTAGAGCTTGTGACAATCCATGCGACATTTTGAGCATTTTTGAGCACTGGCGTGTGGAGAGGCGTATGACCCGTGTGGGTCTTGTGTGTTTGCGGGGGAGGCTCGGGGCGTGCGGGCGGAGGGTGTCCGGGGTCCCGGCGCGGGCATGATCGCGGGGTCGGGGGCCGGGGGACGAGAGGAAGCCTGTCCTGGCCCTGGGCTGCGCCGTCTGTCCTCACATCTCGTCCAACTCGAACATCCCCCTCTTCTTCCCCCGCCAGGCTTGCCCCCGCGCTCGTCCTTCCTGTCTATCTTGCTTCTTTCCTTCTCTCCCGCTCTAGCTTGCTCTCCGCGCCTGCGCACCGCACTCAGCGTGCCTGCTACCTCTGTCTATACTCCTGCCTCATCTCCGTCGTTCTTTTCTGCCACCGCCTTCCCAGCTTCACCGCCCTGCCGCCTTAACCCTCGCCTGAACCACCCACAAGACAATGTCTGCCCCGTCGTCCCCCGCGCGCTCGCACGTAACAGAGCCTCTGCTCGACGACCCCTCCATCGACGCCACCCTGCTCGCCAGCCCCGTCTCCACGCCTACGCGCACGGTCGCAATAATCAAACACCATGCGCTCGCCAGCCGGTTCGAAATCGAGCAGCGCCTGTCCGAGGCGGGCTTCGAGGTGCGCTTTGCCGTGCTCTCGTTCCGCGTCCCCCGCCTATACCTAAGGTGTCATGTGTAGATTGTGAAGGAGCGCCAGATGGAGTTTGACGTCGAGACGGACCCGGACACGCTCTTCGAGCTCTTCGGACCCGACTTTGAGTCGTTTGCCGAGTGAGTGGGTCGTGCTGCTTCGAGCTTCTTCGCTTTGTTCATTACTCCCGTCTTCCCCCACGCACCCTGCCAACGTCGTCGCGCCCGCCTCCCTTTTCTTCGAATCGAACAGAGGCCCGGTCTGGGTGTACGTCCTCGAGCGCCGCCGCGCCGTCGAGGTCTGGCACTCGCTCATGGGCGACGCGGACCCCGCCGTCGCCCAGCGAGAGACGCCGCACGCGATCCGCGCGCTCTACGGGCTCAGTGCGGCACAGAACGCGGTCATGGGTTCCCCCGACGCGCAGACGGCCGAGGTGCAGATCATGGCGCTCTTCGCCTCCTCGCCTCCTTTCCCCACCACGGAACTCCCTGACGTCGGTCCCGGCTCGATGCGCTCCGTCTCGTCCTCCGTGCTCGAGCGCTTCGCAGCGGAGGCGGGGGCAGCGAGTACGCCCCGTCGTCGCACGGGGTCACTCCGCCACCGGTGGGGCGCGCAGCAATGGCGCGAGCACAGGCAAGGGCTCGGGCTTCGTCGCGCGCACGCTGCCCGCGACGCACCTCCTGCCCGACATCGTGCCGCGGATGTCGAAGGCGGCGGCGCTCCGCGCGGGGATCGCGTACGAGGGCCCGAAGCGGGTCGCGCCCACCAAGGAGCGCCTCGCGGAGACGTTCGCGAACGTGCCTGGGCACAAACGCTCGGGGACGATCACAGTCGCCTCGACGGCGCCGCCGGCCGTCGCCCCGAGGATGACGCGCGCGGCGAGCCTGAGGCTGGGATCAAGCCCGAGGAGAAGAAGCGCGGCCGTCGCTCGCGGTGGTGAATGGAGAAGCGGACAAGGCGACATTTGAGGGCGTGCCGGACACAAGCGCAGGGAGAGCATCGCGGTCGCGAGCACGCGCCCACCCTCGGTCGCGCCGAGGCTGAACAAGAGCGCGGCGCTGCGTGCGCAAAAGGAGGCGGCCCCACCGTCATCATACATGTGTGCGTATCATCTTCGCTTCTCCGTGCATGTGTGTGAGAACGGGCTGGACTGACGGGTTGATGCAGTCAAGAGCCCGACCTCGACATCCACTGCACCGTCTCGATCGTCGTCGCGGCAGTCGTTAGCGGCCCGACGTCCTCACGCCCAAGCCTCGCGCGCCTCCCTCCGCGGCTCGCTGCAGCCCGTACAGCTCCCGCACCGCACTCTCGCGCACTGCGTCACTTAACCTGATCAACGGACGCCCTGCGCGATCAAGCCCGCGGCACGTCCTTCGATGGCGGTGCGTCCAAATCGTCTGGGTGGTCCCGAAACCCACGCGAGCGCGCCAAAGAAGGAGGAGGTCCCGCAAAACCGCGTCCTCGCCCAGCAGCCTGCAGGCGCCGACGATGCCCCGAGGCCAACAAGAGCGCGCTGCTGCGTGCGGCGAAAATGGCGGCGCAGAACCTGGTGCAGGGCAAGGCGAAAGGCCCTGTCGGCTCCGCCCCCGCGCGGTCCGCGCATGACAGTGACGGGCCTGCCTTCACATGTGGGCGCAGGTCCCCGTTACGCGACGGCCGCGCGTACAACACGCCCGTAGCTGTCTCCGTCTCCGCCGCGATGATCCGCAAGATGGATGCCGTACCGCTCGCACGCCCTTCACGCGCACGCTACCTCACGACCCTGGCCGTCATAGAAGATATCACGCGCGCCTTTGTCTCCCATCTCGCTAAATCTCAAGATCTCATCTCAGGTGCTCGCCGGCGCCCGCCGCGACGTATGGTTATTCTCGCTCTTGACTTATGCGCACTCCTCACTCGGTCCCGTCTAACGTATTTACATCGAACAGTAGTAGCACTGGCGGCCGCTCCATCGACGAGTCGGTACATAATCTCTCCGCGCATCCAGCGGGCTCGAGGCCCGGCGCGTCCCCTCCCTCTCCTTTCATCCAGCGGCCGGGGCGCGGGCTGCCTCTCTTTTCTCTCACGCCCCGGCCCAGTGTCCCTTCCAAAGTCCTAGTACGCAAGCACCAAGACCCTACTCATTTCCCCCCGCGTCGCCGGTCTCTTGCCCCTCCCAGACTGTAGCGCCGTCGGCAGTGCTCTTTCATTCTGCTCCCGCACCCTCTTACTCAGGTCTCAAACGATTCGTGTCACACATGCGCATCCAGGTCGATCATTCTTGTTACCGCTGCCCTTCCCTCTCGCCTCTCCGCCCCGTGCTCCCTGATCCCGAACACGAGAGTCCGTGGTGCTGTTTCAGCTTTGTGTTGTACGAGTAGCTCGCTGTCCCCCTCCTTCTGGGCGTAGCAATAATCAGGCCCTAACCGGCCGCGTTAGGCTCAACAGTTGCGTGTTTCGCGTGTGCTACTTAACATGACAGGCCCCTAGATACAGGACGAAATCGTAAGCAATACGTGGGAGAGCGTGTCGAAAGCGCGAAGCATGAAAGCAAGCGTAAGTAGTAAGAGCACAAGTACAACACAAGAACCTCATCACGGGGGCGGTCGTCCGACCCTGGGTCAGACTTTGAGTAAGTTAAATGGAGCACAACCGTTTCGCACAAGCCCCCTGGCACGGGCCACTTCAGAACTTGCCCGGTCGCACCTCGACGCGCACGGGCAGCGGCGGCTTCGTGACGATCAGCCACTCCCGCATCCGCGCGCGGTACGCGTCCGGCCCGTCCCAGCCCTCCGCGGGCCGGAGCCGGAGCCGCTGCAGGACGAGCGCGAGCACCGCGCGCAGCTCCTGCATGCCGAGCGCCTTGCCGACGCAGTTCGCGGGCCCGTACGAGAACGGGAGGAAGGCGGCGGCGTTGTGCACGAACTTGCCGCCGCCTTCCTCCTCCGCCTCCTCGGCGGACGGTGGAGACGCTTGTCCGGCGGCGACGAGCCACCGCTCGGGCCAGAACTCGGCCGGGCGCGGGGCGAAGTTGCGCGGGTCGACGTGCATCGCGTAGAACGACACGTTCACCGTCGTCTCGGGCGGGATGTAGCTGCACGGCGCGGAGAGGGAGAGGGAGAGGGAGCAGGGGTCAGGGGTCTGCGCATGCTCGTGGCGGGAGCGGGGAGGCCACGCACTGTTCTCCGGCCATGCACCCGCCGGTCTCGCGCGTGGTGGCGCGCTGGCTGCCGCTGGGGAGCGGGGGGAAGAGGCGCATCGTCTCGTTGCTGGTCGCCGCCGAAAAGACGTCAGTCGGCTCCTTGCGGCGAAGGAGAAGGGATGGGGCGGGGGGCTCACATGACGGCGTTCAAGTACGGCATGTCCGCGTGCTTCGCGGCGTCCATCGCGTCCTCGCCGCGCGGGAACGCGGCGTCGACCTCGGCCTGGAGGCGGGCGTAGACGTCCGGGTGGGTGAGCAGGAGGAAGAAGATGTTGGTCATCACGCAGGACGTCGTGTCCGACCCGGCGACGATGGCGAGCGCGCCGTCGATGGCGACCTGGGCCAGCGGCGGCTGGGACTTCTCCATCCCGTCCTCGTTGTTCTGCGAAGGAAACGGGGGCTTTTGAGCGTGAATTGTGGGCGAGAGGAGCGGTTACGCACGAGGTAGTGGAAGAGGTCCTTGGAGAGCGAACCGCTGTTGATCCTGATCAGGGCGCGCTCCTCGCCGTAATCGAGAAGTGCCTTCATCAGAGCTGCGGCCATCGGTACGTAGCCCAGATAGATGCCCAGCCACGGGCAGTGACCCATAACCTGCGAGACTCTGCAGAGAGAAAGAGAGATCAAGGTCAGCGCCTTCCCGCACGCCTGCAGTCAGTGTCGCGTCCGAAAGAACTCACGCAAGGCCCTGCTCCATGATCGCCCAAATGCTATCCTTGTCCCCGTCGCGCATCTGCTCCGAGCCCCCGCCGAACGCCATGTCGCTCATGAAGTCGTACCTGCCCGCGCCAGGTCAGCTCGCGACGCCCTCGACCTGCGGAGCGCACTCACGTGAAGCTCCCGACGCACTTCCCGACGTCCGCGACGCGGTCCTCCGCCGCGTGCCGCGCGAGCAGCTCGACGAGCTGGCGGACGCGCCGGCGCATGATCTCCTCGTACCCGCGCAGCGCGGGCCCGCTGAACGCGCGGGCCCACGGCCGCCGCCGCCGCGCGTGCTCGCGCACGTCCACGAGCGACACGAGCTGCTGCGCGCTGTCCGTCATGTTCCGCCCCGCCCAGTCTGCGCGCGCGCGGGGCCCGGGGATCATGACGGGTGGCACACGTTGGCACCGGCAAGCGGCGGGGGCGAGGCGACAGGAACGCGGGCACAGCACGCGTTGACCCGCGTGGCGTGCATAATGAAGTTGTGTGCGCAGGGGGGAGGCGATTGGGCGAGCGAGAGCGACGCGGGAACGTGGGGGGAGCACGAGGCGCGAGGGATCAGGCATCAGTCGGTAAGCGGGGCTTCTCGCGCGGCGGTGGAGAGGGGGGAGCGCGACTTACGTGGGCCTTTGGGGAGCCCGTTGGGCCCGAGGACGGGGACGATGGCGGACGCGTTCCGGAGCGAAACCTCGTTCGGGCCTGAGGACGGGCGAGCCGCAGGTGAGAGCGGGCGAGCGGCGAAGCGGTGGCCAGGGCACATCAACCACGCGCGCGTGCGGTCGGGTAGAATTGAGGGGAAGAAAGCAAAAAATCAGCTCACGTCTGAGACATAGCACGATCGGCCAAGGAGGTAAACGCACCGATGCGCACGATGTCTCCGTAGCGGTCGTGGAGGGCGTTGACGTGCAACCACTGCTTTCCGTCGCTCGTCGTCCACGCGAGCGCGAGCTTGGAAAGCCTGTACACGAATGGGCCGGGGTAGCGTGCGAGCGGGTGCCATGGGGAGGCGCGGTATAGGAGCATCGCAGCGATGATTGTGCCCCAGTGCATGGCGCAGGCAACGAGCACTCCACGGATGGGAGAGAGTGGGAAATGTTGATGGAGGACGAGGGTGAAGAGAAGAAGGGGCGGAGCCAGTAGGAGCCAGAAGTGGTGGTGGACATGAACGGGCTCGTACCGCTTGAAGACGACGTAGATGGCCTGGATACGCGCAATCAACAGCGGGACTGGAGGTTACGGGGACAGATTTACCAAACCAACGGCGGTAGAGAGGATGTAGGCTTCTTGGCGCGCGAGGTGGATGGATGGGATCGCGGCGAGAGCGTCGAAGCGGGTAGCGTTCATCTGGAGGAGAGGAGCGGAAAGACGGGTAAAGGACCAGGTATCAGAGATGGGAGCGGGGACGCGTGCGAGACGGCCTTCGGGGACGAGGAGGGATATAAGGCGTGCGATCGTGTTCCTAAGCAGCGAAGGCGCGCGGGAGCTCGATTCGAACGGGTTCGCGAAGGCCAGCAGGAGCGCACCAGAAGCCCTGAAGCTTCTGTGAGTGGGGTGGGCTGTGGAGAGAAAAGGTGGTGAGTGGGTGGCAAGTGTGAGTGCAGGGACGGGGAGGATGGGGCGTGGCACAGCAGGACGCGAGGGACGGACGACGAGCGATATCGCTTCACGCCGAGCTTTATGGGGCCATGGACGAGGCCAAGGTGCGCCCGAGAGGGCAGACAGGCGACGTCGCGGGCCATCTGTGCCATACGCGGTTGGTGTGTGTGTTGGGTGGCAGGAGAGGCGACCAGACCCCCGGTGACGCGGAGCGGCGCCTAGTCGATATGTCGCGCATCGCATGCGTAAGCACGCTTTCGCAAGGTCTCTCTCAACGTCCAGCCCACGACTTGTCTGAACAGACACGGTGTGAGGTGCCGATTCCACGTGAAGAATACCACTGTCCATTTAATCAGTCGGCGGCTTGGGTCGAGCTCAACCTCTCCCGGTTCGGCTGAATTTCGGGACAGCCAGTGCTCCATTAATCACCACTTGAACAACATTTTGACGCTGAGACATGAGGCTAAGGATGACTATCATCCCTCGAATCACATTGTTATGTCAGAGCCCGGTCCACATTGCACATTCCTATGTCTACCGCGATGTCCCTGGACGTCACCGGGCGGCGCCGTCGCCCGCAGCTAGCCGTCGATCGGTAGCCTCGTGCTAGCCTCACCCTCGTGCCAACCCTGACTTCAAGACAGCAAGCGAATAAATTGCGGAGTGCCCGACGCAAGCGAAGGCACGCACTGAGAGCCCCGACGGGTCCTGACTTCAAGCGAGCGAGCTGCTTAGCCGCACCCGATGACCCACGCCCACTTCGTAACTCATCTTTCGCCGCCTGCGCGGCGTCGCACGCTTCGCACACGCATGCGCATCCTGCGCACCCGTCGCGGCAACAGCTCCCCCTCGCGACGGGTCGGAGGAGAGGACGCAATCCCCGACTCGAACCCGGTCGTTGAGTCGCCGGCAGCGTTCGCACACGCACACGCTTCTCGGTCGGCGCGCAGCCGTGCCTCTTCCGACTGAGGGGGACAAGGAGATATCGGCGTCGCCACCGGCCGTCGCGAATCGGGGATGGAACTCTGGACGCGACTGCTGGACGTCCTCGCGCGCGGAACATATTTACGGCCAAGCACCTCCGCTCCCGAGACGCCGGTCAGCCGTTGCAAATGCGCCGGGTTGTTTGTTCGTTCGCGGCTGGCGGGTTGGCTACAGCGTGCAGACGGGGGCAATAATTAATTTCAGGCCAACAGGATTGCGGCCGAGTTGCGTTGGACATGCCAAGGGCAGATCCGTTGAAGGCGACGTCGTCCCGGAGCGAGCTAGGACTAGAGTACTTATTGTTCGAAGGCGGGTTAGAGTGAATGCATATGCGCTACCGAACATGTACCGTGTGATCGCCTTCGAAATGCCAATCTGTAGTTGCCTGTGATCCGTGACTTGAACGTCAGATCAAAGACGGCACACCTAGCGCTTGGAATTAAGGCTTAAGCAACGACGGACTGAAGGGATGCTTGTAGCTGAAACACCCGGCACAGACGCATCGACTCCCAGGGTCAACGATGTTGGCCGCAGCGGACGACAGGTGCCAGGGAGATAGAACACTCAACCGACCGAGACATATCCAAGAGGAGTGTATCTGCAACGTGCAACATTATTGATACAGTTGTCTGACCATATGAGCCATGCCGACCGCGATCTATGTGGAGTAGAGTACCGGATTAAAAGTGGGAGGGGGTACGACGAGCGAAAGTGATTGGGGAGAGAGGGAGGGTGGTGTGGTCGGTCGGCCGGTAATTCTAAAGTCATCTACAAGTTCCGCTCAAAATACCCGCGCGGAGTGGATCGTGGTCACGGTCGTGCATACAAGGAGGGCGGGGCAGAGCGCATCATGACGGCGAGCTCGAGGATGAGCCCGTCCACCACTTGGACACCTTCTGCGCCGCGTACTGTACGCTCTTGACCGGGCCCGCGCTCACGACGCCCTTCAGCGTCTGGACCGTCGACGGCCCCCGCACGATTCCTTGCAGCTCTACGGAAAACAGGCGCGTGTGTCAGCCTCGGACATTGTGCCTCCACCCGGGTCCATCCGGGCCCGCATCGTGCACAGGGAGGAGAGAGAAAGCACAGAACACGCACCTCGCTCGATCGTGCCCTGCAGCCCCGGGTCGCCCCCCAGCTTCGCCCAATACACCGACTCGTCCGCCTCGCGCGGCGGGATGCCCGCCGCGCCGCGTACCGGCCCGTCACGCGCGCGAGGAGGTGCGAGGGCAGCTTGCGGAGGTGCGCCGCGCGCGCCGCGGGGCTCACGTCCTGCTCGAGCGCGTCCGCGTGCGCGGGCCAGTGCACGCCGGGCAGCGCGGTCGCGAGCCGGTGGTAGAGCTCGCGGAACTGGGGCGCCTGCTTGCGGACGATGTTCCCCACCTTGCCGCGGTTCTCGGCGGGGAGGAGCATGCGCACGTCGCCGGCGTACGAGAAGCCGGCGATGCGCGCGAAGAGCTCGCGCTCGGAGAAGCCGGCGGGGAGCGTGAGGAGCGCGGTGCGCACGGCGGAGGTGAGGTTCACCTGCTGCGTGAGCCGCACGCGGGCGTCGTCCTTGATGATCCGGATCGGCTTGTGCATCCGCCCGGAGAGGTAGAGCGAGCGCCAGTTGAGGAGATCTGAACAGAGGTTGTCGACCGTCGTGACGCCGTACTTAATCGTCTGTGCCGTCTGGCTGTGAGCGGGGTTCCGAGAGCACAAAGAGAGAACGCACCACGCCGTTCATGGTGACCATCGAGTTGAACCACACACCAGGTGCAATCTCTCCACCTTCGACACAAACGACGATCCCAGCATCCTTGCGCCGAGGGATAATGCCCGGGAACTGGTTCATGTTATTGAGTGCCAGTGGTCCGGGTGGGTCACCGCGAACATGAAGTCGAGCATCGGTTTCCCTCCACCGCTTCCCCGCTTGCAGGTGTAACCTCTTGTTCGAACACCCCGACCGTACGCAAATGCGTAGCGTATAGGGGCGTCGAATCGCGCGACAACCGCTTCGAGGAGCGCGCGGGTGGAGTCTGTACGGGAAGGATCTGGTTTCGTCCGAAGGATGCTGGGAGCTGCGTAAGTACAGGCCTGTGGGCGTGCGATGCTGGACGAGGAGTGGGCCCTAGACGGGTCCTCGTGAGCTTCGCCTGGCTTGCCGAGGCGGAGGTCGAAGGAGGGGGAGGAAGAGGGGGCTGAGGGCCAGATGACGCCGCAGGCTCGGTGGACAGAGAACGAGCGAGAGCCGCTGGAATGCGGCGGGCGTGAGTGCGAGCGAGCATGGCGACTAGATGTGCAGAATGAGCGAGCGCAGTGGGCAACAGAGGAGAGGGAAGCGCAGGATGGTGGTCGGCGGAGGACATCCGGGTTTGCCTGCTTTCCCCGCAAGACGCCGCGGTCACGTCCGCGAGGCGGCTGCGCCGGGCGCTACTTTCACCCCGTCCCGCGTAGATTCCGAGCTGACCGCCGGAAAGTGACTGTCCAGCGTGCATTCAAATTCAAGGGCGCACGGGGATGCAGGTACCTTGCAAAGTGCTTGTTTTATTCGCATCACTGACCGAAGCTACAGGAAGACTAGGCTACAGACGTATTCTACATATTGGCCGGATGTGTGTGGAGCGTGAATTCATGACCAGGGCAAAGCGTCGTAAGGTTCAGAACGTGAACATAGCACCTTTTAGTCTGCACTGCGGGCAGCGGGGATCGCCCAGACCTCTCTCCATGCCTGGCCGCCCCTGGCATAGACCTCTCCTACGACGCGCCAAAGGCCGAACAAGGCCGTTGGGCCGGGAAGGGGCAGGATGGCGGGCGGCGCGGTACACGCACAGGAGCCCCTCCCGGAGCGACCGCAGCGCGACGGCAGACTGGTCGGCGATGGATGCCAGAAGCAATTTGGGGAGGCCGTGCGGCTGTTCATCGTCACGCTCCTCGGCGTCCTCCTCCTCTTCGTCCCCCTCGTCCTTCTCTCCGTCCCACCCCTCGTCTTCCCATTACCTGCTCCGATCCCGCGAGGAGCTGGGCGGTGGTGTGCCCGGGGAAGAGTACCGCCTCGTCGTCTCCTGGGTCCGCTCGGGTGAGCAAGCTGAGCGCGGGGTCCTCGAGATCGACGGAGAGCGCGCTTGCAAAGACGGAGAGCAGCGGGAGGTTGATCCGCGGGTGCGGCGAGCGCGGGCGCGTGGAGGTGCGGAGGCGCGAGAGGGTGCGCGAGCGTCGGTGCGCGAGCGGGCGGACGGTGTGCTCCCATTCCGTCCACCGGTTCGAGCGCGCCGTGGCGAACGGGGACGCGTTCGGCGTCGGGGGCGGGGTGCAGAGCGCGGAGGGGAGCATAGAGAAGGTGGGCCCTTGGAACCCGGGCGGGAGCCTGGCGCGGTGGGGCTTGCGAGCGTTGTGGAGGAAGGCGAGGTCGAGACCGCGTGCGTTGGTGCGCTCAATCTCGGCCTCGAGCTCGTCCCGCAGGATGGAGCTGGCGTCGGTGGTGGATTCCAAGTCCCACAGTTCGACATCGATCTCGAGCTCATTGGGGGAGATGTAGCGTGTTCGAGGACCGGTGATTGTCCTGTCGGGGTCTTCCACCAACGTCGGCCTTGCGCTCGAGCAAGAGCGGGAACGCGAGCCAAGTGAAAAGGTGTCGCTGGGATCGAAATCCGTCGGGGCGGAGAAGAGGGAGGAAGATGGGCTTGGAGGGCTGAAGGGTGGAGTGGTGGAAGGGTTCGGGAAGACATAGATTGAGTCGTCAAGGGAGGAGGAAACGGGGGTATTTTGGTCGGCAGGACTGGCACGGCTGGCTGAGACGACACCGGCCTGGAAACCGACCGGGGTCGTTGGTAGCAGGTCGACATGGAGAAGAGGGGATGCGGGGCGAGGACGAGGGCGAGAAAAGATGTTCTTATCCTCTGGATGGCGAACGTCGACGCGACGTCCCGAGCTCAGACCGCCGGAAAGACGGCAGTCGTGGCCTGAAACTGCGTGCGGCCTTCCGGGCGGATGCCGGGTTCCCACAGCCGAGTTTCGAGTGACGCCACAAGAATGGCACACTCGTTCCAGGCCCAGAGAGATGCGAGAGCGTGTGCAAGACGAGGGCGAAGACTGGCGAGGCTCAGCTCAGGCTGGCTCAGGCCGAGGCATGCGTGCTCGACGCCCATCGGCGCTCACACACCAGCGCCCGCCACCGTGCACCCCGATCTCCTCCTCCCTTCCTACCTCAGGTAAGGTAGCAACCGCGATCGGTGTCGACCCCGGTGTTTCGTCGCAGCGACTCATTTTTATTCAGCAGTTCACCGCCGCTCTTTTGTGCGTTCTGTCGTCTGAAGATCAGCTCACAAGCCTGAACTTGCTGCCCCTCGGCCGATTCAACACACGCTGCTAAACCATGACAGAGCGGTCGATGACGAGCTCTCAGCTCTGTCCCAATCATTGCAAACGTTTGAAAAATGATGCTGCGTTGCTCAACCGAGTCAACGGCTCTCGGCCGTGCCTGGAACACCCAAGAAAGCGCAGCTGCCATGCACCCAACGGTTTTTCCGCGTCCTTGACGTCGAGTGTCTCCACCGGATTGTGCCGCATCCCCTACCCTCCCGAGTTCCAGTTTGTTGCAGGGAATGCGATCCTCGTGACTTCCTCTTGGGTTCCTGTGCAGCTCTCTGTCGCTACGAGCCATGCTCCATCTCCCTCCATCATCCTTTTTACCCTCATCAGGTCTCCGAACCCCCCACTTCATTCAGGCTCCCTCCCACCTGCTTTGGGGGCACTTCCCTCCTCCTAATAGCGATCCGTCTACCTCTGCTTGTTCTCCTGCCGGCGCCCACACTCCTTTCGCCAACTAGGCGTTCTCCCACTGGCCACTCGGCTCAGCTTACTTCCTCCTTCGCTATCTCGCCCCCCGGAGCTTGTACACGGCTTCGGTTGACATACCGATCCAAGCTATCCACGTAACCATGGGTATCTCTCCCGAAACCACCGTATGGGTAGCCTTCAACATCGCTGCAGGCCACATCCTTCTTGTCATCCTCCTTGCCACCAGCTTGACTTTCCGCTCCGCGCGACAACCTATCCCGGTAGTCAGCTCCTGCTTCACCTGGATATTTTCAGGAATTGTTTCATGTTTGCTGTGCGTTCTCGTCTATTTCTTTGCGTGCATATCCACTGATTGGATTTTAGCTTTTATAAAGGCGAGCAAGTGGGAGCCGAGCCAGGAAAGAGCCTGTGCCAAGCCCAGGCTATATTGATCACACCCATGCCAGTCCTGTGAGTACTTCGCTCTTCGCGTGCGCGACTGGAGTCAATCTCCCCGGTACGCAGGACCTCTATGGCAGCGCTAGCGCTTGTCTACGACACATGGTCAACATTCACCCCTGCACAGCTCAGAGAAGGGCTAAAGGATCCCGCCACTCACAAATTGACATCTCTCCTCGTAAGTCAGCTCTAAGCGTTGCGGAGAGGGGCTGAGAATGCGCACAGCTCGTTGTGATTCCTTACATCACATACATCGCATTTATGTCCGTGGGCATCCCGGTAAGTCGTAATGTTACATGGCCTGAACGCTCAACTACAAATTTGTGCCCAAGTTTGCGCTTAACAATCCGGGGGAAACCACCCGTTCAGGAAAGAACTTTTACTGTTCTATGGACTGGGCTCCAAAGTATGTACCCTTCTTCCATCCGGCACACAGGGCTGACCCGGTTTAACCTCCAGCAACAATGCTGTCGCATTTACTGCCGGGATAGTATCCCTCTCCGCGGTCGCACTGCAGGGTAATCTCAACAAATCTCATGGTCCTCATTCCTTGGCTGATTGTTGGTGTAGTACATCTGGGCGTACTGCTTTCATGCAGCTGGCAAACACTCCGACGCGCAGGCCGCCCCAGTGAGATTGATCTTCATTTGATCTTTCGTATTGCTCTGTTCACCCTCTACACGGCCGCTTCTGCTGCGTAAGTGTTTCTCATTCGTACCTGTGCCGACCCAACTAACGCCTCCAGACCAGCCTCCACCTGGTCACTGTCGCGAATGTGGACATTGGCGTTGCCCCCGATATGCTTGCCGCATCTGGTAAGTGTCTGGCACTCTATTATACGCGCAATGCCTCACAATTTTGTCTCTGCAGGAGGCCTGATGTTTTTCTTCGTCTTTGCCACCCGACGTGTATGTCTCAGCTTGAGCCCATGCTCCACTTCTCCTCACCTTTCGCTCACCAGGAAATTCTTCGCGTCTGGTCTTCCCTCATCCGCCGCCGCCTCCCTCGCTCCCACCTACGCGACACCAGAAACGGCCGCAACACCATCATCTCCGCCTCCTCCATCTACTCCACCGATACCCACAAGATACCCGGCACGCCCCTCACGCCCCTCACGCCCCCCGCCCCGCTCTCGCCCCTCACGCCCTTCGCGACCCCAACCTCCTTCGCCGGCCCCCCCACCCCGTCCTCGCGCCCGAAGATCTCCGCGCCGATGCCGGTGTACGACGCGGACCTGTTCGCGGCGCGCCCGCGCGCGAGCACCGCGAGCGACCGCGCGCGCCGCGAGGCCGGCACAACTACTTCACCGCCCGCGTGCACAACGCCGGCGGCGTGCAGGTCATCAAGCGGCCGTCGGAGGCGTTCGAGCGCGACGACGACGACGACGACGACGACGCCGCGCCGGCATGGAAGACGGACGTCGAGGCCGCGGTCGAGGCGCTCGGGACGAGCCCCGAGGAGTGAGGCTTGCGACAGGCTCTGCGCTCGTTTGCGAGCCGCTTGCTGCTACCTTCGGCGGGGGAACCAGTTTCGCATTCCGCTCGGTCGGTCGGACTCTTGGACGTCCACGTGTCTGGCTCTGGTGGGTGGGCCCTGAAGGCCCACATGCCGTCCACTGCGGGACGGCGCGGATTGGAGCGGGAACGTGTACGGATACTCGTCGCTTGTGCCAGACGATGGACAGTGTACTCGCCTTCTTTGTTATGTCGGCAACGCTCCGTGCTGCTGCCCGCGAGCGGCTTTGCGGTCCTTGCAGCTGCTGCTTTCTGTATAGCATCGAGATGATGCATTCAACCGTATTTACTACTATCTAGTTACAGTTGAAGGTGCCCAATGGACTGGAAGCCCGTGTTTGTATTCCGTGCCAGCCGAGGTACCCCAAGTTTGGTACCCAAAACTTGCCGTTAGGGTGAGGAGGCCCCACAGTCCGCAATCATGGAGAAAGTAGCGGTGGTCATAACCTCTAGTTTTTTGTCACTGGTTTGACTCCTCTTTTCGCATTCATTCATGCATTCCCCAAACAGTGTCCGTATATAATATGCGTGGTCACTCAAATAAGCCGGGATAGCTCAGCTGGGAGAGCAACAGACTGAAGTTCTGGAGGTCGCGTGTTCAATCCACGCTCCTGGCATCCCATAATACAACCAAACTGTTTTGCCGTAAAACTGAACGATATGTTCCCCGTAATCACACGTTTTTGTTGTGTACACTTGATGGAAATTTCTGGTCGATATCCATCCCGCGAAAGTGCGACCGGAAATTGGTACTACAGTACATACTACCCATGCTAATAATACAGTGAGTGCTCGTGAATCGAAGCGGAATGCTAAGCGCTTTGAGCGTTATGCGGAAGTACGGGGAACGAAATTGCGGGGCTGGATGCGGATAGAGAAAGGTATCCGCAGGACGGGAGTGCGAAATGTGAGAGAAGACTATAGCGATGTGTGTGTGCCGAACGGCCTGTCTAAGCGAGCCTGTGCCGATATAGCATGGTGGGGGGAAGAGAGGGAGGGAGGGATACGGAGGGCGCGTTATGAACGCACTGCTAATCGACGCCGGAGTCCGTGAACGTCAAACGTGAAAGGTCATTATTAAACACGCCGAGGGCGCGCGCTGAATCCAAAACATCTCGAAGAGCAGGGCCGCAGAAGGGGAGGGGGAGGGGGAGAGAAGACATATGCATGCGCATGTGTGCGAGAGCGGCGGCGATTACGAGTCCCAGATGGCGCCGAACGCGGGGATGCCGCGGCTGGTCATGCCGTAGACGACCTTTCGGGTGAGCTTTTGGTTCGAGATCACGCACACCGCCTCGGCGTCGAACTCCTTCACGAGGCGGTACGTGAGCTTCACCATGTCCGGCTTGCCGTGTTTCCGCGTGTCTGCGCGCAGGCGGGCGGGCAGCGCCGGTCAGCCTCCGTGCGTGCCTGGGACGGGAAGAGAGGGGCGCACCGTACACGACCGCACCCGGGGACTTCTCGAGGATGGCGTCGACGAAGTCGTCCCCGAACGTCTGCCGGACGTTCGGCGACGTCCAGAGCAGCCGGATCGGCACGCGCTGCGCGAGGATGCAGGGCGCGCACGGGCCGATGCCGCTGCCGGTGGCGACGAAGACGACGCGGCGGAAGAGGGTGGTGATGCGGAGGACGCCGTAGCAGGGCACGCCGCGCACGTAGACCTCCGTCGGCGGCTGCTCGATCATCTTCGACGTCCAGTCGCCCGCGCGCGAGACGACGAGCGAGTAGCCCGGCTTTCCCGGCTCGTTGATGCACGCGAAGCCGTGCCACTCGAGCAGCGGTGCCTCGGAAAGGCGCACGAAGTGTCCAGGCTTCGTCGTGACTGCAGGCGGGGAAGTCGAAGCGGCGATGGAAAGAACGGGGGGAAGGGTGGAGAGGGGGAGAATGAGGGACCGGGGGAAATCAGTCAACGTCGGAAGGGCGGCGATGAGGAGGGCGTACCGTAGTCGAAGTACAGACGGACCGCGTGCTTGGAAAGCACGACCGCGCGTACTGGAACTTTTCGCAGACGGACCCACGGGAGGGTGATAGAGCCCGTCATGACCACGACGAGCCAAAAGGGTGGGGCGTTGACGAGAGCATGGCCGAGCGTCTCTCCAGGCGCGCGGTAGTCGTTGGTGAGGAGCACGACCTGAGCCCATACCAGGGCAGTCGCGGACCATCCGAGGAAGCGATGAGTGCGCTCAAAGGTGTCGTGGTGCGTTGAGCGGAGCTTTGGGTAGGCCAGAGCCACGATGCCGAAAAGGAGCATAAGGATGAAATAAGTTATGGCCACAGTTGCGACCGAAATCTGAAGCGCCTATATTAGATGCCGCACGTTCCCGGCAGAACGCACTCAACCTCACCTGCTGCTTGTTCAAAAGTTCCCAGGTTGCCCTGGCAGTGAAGTAGATGAGCCAAACGACCCCGCTGACCGCACAGCCAGAGTGCACTAAAGCGCGACAGCATGTAAGACGAAACCTGCGGTCCCCGACTGAACGGATCACTTACAGCCTCCAATGTGGTATACGCGCCCAGCGACACGACGGATCGCAAGCGGCCAGCTATTGAGATACGTTGGATTAGATTAGCGAAACTGAGGGATTGTGTAGCAAGATCAGGGACTAACCTCTGAGGGATGGCGCAAGCGGTGTTGAAGAACGCGTTGATGACGTAGTCTTGCCGCATGAGGATGGCGCAAAAGAGGTTAGCCACCACGATCAGTCCCAGGTGCTGAGAGTTCGCGCCCTTGACGAGCGTGGCGATGAAGATGACCATGTTGGTCACGAAGACGACGCCAAACAGGCGGCGGTAGAGCGAGAAGACCTGGTAGCGCAGGTTGCGCAGGTAGTGCCCGTGCGTCTTCTCCGGGAGCTCGTCGTCGAGGTAGCCGTCCCAGATGTAGCTCTCCTTGCCCTCCTCTGTCGAGGTTGAGACATCGGCCTTGACAGGCGTCGCGGGTACGATCGAAGACGACGACGACGAGGTCGGGGTGCGCTGTGGCTTCTCCAGCGAGACGAGCACGGGGGCACCGGGTTCCCCGTTCTGGTGGTACGCCGGGAGGGGCTGCGGGAGCGACGCGAGGATGTCGGCGAGGAGCTTTCCCGAGTAGACGTTGTCGCTGTAGAATTCGGTCTTGATGGGTGAGACGGCAGGGGCGAGAGTGGCGTCCTGCGCAGTCTTCTCCGCGGCGTCCTTAGCAGCCTTGTCCGCGGCGATCTTGTCGACCGCCATCTGGCGCAGCGCGCGCTTGTCGATCTTGCCGTTGCTCGTGTACGGGAAGTCGTCCATCGCGAGATAGTTGGTCGGCACAGCGTAGTAGGGCTGGATGATAGAGGCGGCTGCGGAGACGGCCTCGGTCTTGACTGTACAGGGCGTGACGAAGCCCCACAGCTCGCTCCCAACCTGGTAGAACGAATCGTGAGCCATCGCGGACGATAGAAGGTGTCCTCAGACAACCGCATGACGTACCAGCAAAGCCGTCGCGTGCTTCACAGACTTGCACGTCTGGGCACAACGTACGTGAGGAGCCGAAACGGGGCAGAAGGTGTGGCCCAACCATACCTGCATCGCCGCCGATACGCCATCGAGTTCGACGCGGAAGCCCTGTTACGGACAGGTGCACACCGTCAGAAGCCTGCCCTAGAAGATCCGCTGCTGCGCAGCCGGAAGCGGTGGGGCGTCCGTGCGTACCTTCACCTTCACCTGGTCGTCGACGCGGCCCAAGTGCTCGAGCTCGCCGTTATCGCGCCACCTGCCCAGATCGCCGGTGTTAAACATGCAGCTTCTATCGAGGAGCGTGTCAGCACAGCTCCGCGGACCGTGGGGTCCCCCGGACGGCCGAGAAGAGAAGCGAACGGCCCACGCACCCGTCGTTCACGAACGGATCGCGCTTGTAGCGCTCCGCGGTCTTGTCGGGCAGGTTCACATATCCTTTGCTGACGCACGCGCCGCCCGCCCACATAACGCCTGCCTGCCCGATCGGGCACGGACGCATGTCCTCGTCCAGCACGTAGACGTTGGTGTTTGGAACGGGCGCTCCGATCGAAAGGAACTCGCCCGGGGTATGGAGGTGCGCGGTATTGACGATGGTCACCTGAAACCCGCAACAACGTTGAGCGCGTTATTGAGAGCTCTATGGTAGCAACGCCTGCCTCTGTTGGGCCACAGCTGTTGTAGTAGTGCGCCGACTTGGCCCATTTCTCCGCTAGCGCTGTGGCGCGGGCAAATGCCAAGGTGTCAACGTCGGATGCAGGTGTCGCGCAGCACGAAGACATACGTAAAGGACAAGGCTCTCCAGCGGTCGCCACCACCTTGATATTGGGGTAGTCCACCGGGTCATGGGGAGCTGCAAGGAGGTGGCACCGGGCGCGCCGCGCAGTTCAGCATCTGCTTTCCCGTCCGGAGTCCCAAGAGAAGCGCGCGCACCCATCATGCTTGGCGTGGCTGAAAATAACTCAGAACATGCGGACACGACGGGCATCGAAGCCTGCACTTGCCTATCACAATGTCGACCGTCTTCATGACCGCACGCCACTCCTTCGACGACTTGCCCCTCACGCACAGCGTGCAGCCGTTGCTCAGGCTGCCAAGGATTTCCTGTCACAGGCGTCGGCGCGAGAAGCGACTCGTGGGTAACTGAGAGCTCACCCAGGCGGCCATGTCGAACGCGACGTTCAGGAGCTGGGACACCCGGCGGCCAGGCTGCATCTCGATCCTCCCTGGAGCGATGCATACGACTGTGGCCACGCCAAGTCCCGATCAGTAGGGCCCGCGCGAGCTGCGGATGCAACGCTCACGGTTCGTGACGTTCCCGTGCATGACCTCCACTCCTTTCGGCTTCCCTGTCGTGCCTGTGATGCGAACATGAGCCTCCGTCCCGAGGTGCGCGACAGAAGCTTCGGGGACGCACCAGAAGTGTATATGATGTAAATGCTATCTGTTGGCGCGCTGACGTCCTCGGGTTTCGACACGTTCTGGGCCAGCTGTGGAACGTCCTCGAGACACATGACCGGTGTGCCGGACACACGGTGCACGTACTCGCGCAGGGTGAGCACGACCTTCGCGTCGGAGTCACGGAGGACGTGCTCCAGTGTCGACTGGGTGACGATGGCGCCGTCCAAGGGCACGTAGGCGCCGCCCGCCTTGAGCACGGCCATGATGCCGACGACCATGAGGACGCCCCGGGCAACGAGGAGGCAGACGCGGACACCGGGGCGGACGCCAGACGCACGGAGGTGGTGGGCAAGAACGTTTGCTTGCCTGTCCAGCTCGCCGTAAGTGATGGACTCCCCGAGGTGTTCGACGGCGACGGCATCCGGCTGGGTGGCCGCGTGGTGTTCGAACGCATGGTGAACGCAGCTGAAGGGAGAGGACTGGCGGGGTCCGAAGCTGTAGCGAACGAACTGCTCTTGATCCTCGAGAGACAGTGACTGCGGAGTGAGCGTTGATGCCATGTTTGCAGGGGGGAAGGCCTGAAACAGGAGGAGGCAGGCAGCCGGGAGGGGCGGGGATGGGGGAACGGACTGGCGGAAACAGATTCGCACTTTATATTGCCGATGTAGACTGGAGGGTGGAGATGGTACGGGGCGTGCGGATTCGGCCGTGCCCTGCCATGGCCCCTGGCGGCGGATGGAACGGCGATTGCTACCACTGCAACCAGCGCCGACGTATACCCGCCATGTTGCATCAACTGGGCCGGCACAAGCGTCACAGATACGTTGGCGAAGAAAGAATATTCTGGCGTGGATGCCAGGTGATCAACCGTATGCGAGGCACGGTGGTTGTCTCAGCGGGGTACGCGAGGATGGAGAGTGTAAGATCGTATCGGCATGTCGAGATTCTTGCCCGATGACGCGGTGAAATCGCCCGGCGAAGGTGGCAGCATGTGGGAGTCGGAGCGCGGCATGCAAGGTTGGGCGCCGTCGAAGTGATCACGAAGGCGCGCAAGTGGGCTGCCGGGCCGCGGTCTGGAGGCGAAGAGATGGGGAGTGTGCCAGGATTATGCCAAGAACATGGGGAATTCGCTGAGATAAACGGGAGCTGGAAGGGGCGTTGGCCGGGAATGTGAGCATTGTCTCAGGCTTCGAGGCCATTCTGGGCATGCGTCGATGAGTGAACGGTGGACTGGAGACCTGCGCCGGCGTCAGCGCGGACGTCTGAATGGCACCCGCCCGAGGATTTCCCAAATTTAGTACGGATCTATGGCCAGATGCGGACGAAAGCTCTCACCAAAGGACAGCTGGCGGTCGACATCGACGTCTGCGGCCACTCTGCATCCTCTGCGGACCAGTTGCCGGCGGTCTGTCGGGGGCGACGCACGCGGCAAGCAGGCATATGCTCACTGACCGGTTCCAAAATGCTCGCCTATCAGGTCGAGAAGATGAATGAATGTTTTGCCCGTGATGAGGGAGTAGACCCGGGTCGTGTGCGGTCGTCGAGGAGGTTTTCCTCTGCCGGCGAGATGCATTCAATCGACCACGGTGGTCCAAGAGCCGCTCCTGCGGAGGTAACGGGGGCGGCCTTGTGGTGATAAGAAACGTACGCACGTCAGAGAGCTGAGTGGGTGGTGTCAGTGACTGGGGGCGAGCACGCAAAGAAACGCCCACGATGCTCACGCATGCGCTGCAAGGACGACGAACGGGTTGCTATCGCGGACGGTGTGATGGCGAGGGCGGGGCTCGCGTGGGCCACGACGGCGCCCGCGCGCTTCGGGGCGGTCCGGTGGCCTGGGTGGCGTGTTTGTTGAAGCGATTCAAGAAGGCAGCGCGATTGATCTCTGGCCCTCTCCATTTCGTTCTCTTGTGCATACGAGCCGCATTTGTTTCTGTGTCAATCGCCATGATCGATGCGGCCGGGCTCGTTGGACTTGGGATGAGTAAGCACCAGGCGGTGAACGTGGGGCGCGAGGTGCGAGGAGAGGAGTGGCCAGAGTGAGGCGGGGGAGGAGGATCAAGAGAGAAGTGGCAAGTACTCGTGCCAATGGAGACTTTATTCGAGCTCATATCGTCGTATTGACCACCAGGAGTCATGCAGTGGAGCGAACGGGCAGGCATCGTCGAGATGGGCACATATTGAACGCCGTCGGGGGCTTCGGTTGGAACATTTCCGGAGTGCGACCGTCGGACGACTGTATGCCGCTCCCTTGCAGCGGTCCTTCTCGCTCTGCCACCACTCCAGTCTGACTTCGCTCGCCGCGGCCAGAATAGCCCGGTCCTATCGCTGGATAATCCGAAGCGTTCTTCATGTCAACGATGGCCCGAAACCGGCGAACTATTGCCCAGCTCGCGGTGAGCATATCTCTAGCAATCATTGGCCGGTTGTACGCTGACAAGGGGCCGAAGTCCGGTAGCTCGTCCCGACGTCGACGAGACAATCTGCCGGGGAGGCCACCGATCCACCATCTCGCACACCCGGGGTGCTTCCGCGAAGGCGTCGGGCTCTTCTGGCTCACCCAGCTCCCTTTAGGCTCTCGTTACGCGTGCCAACCATCCACGTTTGATCTCCGCGGACTCTGGCCTTGGGTGGCGCATTACGGCAAGGCAGCCGCCCGGCAAGCAGACTCGAGCTCTTCGAGGCGCACTATCACCCAGAGCCTCGCGCTGTCGGCGAACGTCCTGTCGACCGTGCACCTGAGGCGGACCGAGGACGCCATATTCCAGCCAGTCGTTCTATCCGCTTTACACCGCAACCTGGCCTCCATGCGGCAACACTCTGGACGCTCTCGCCGCCCATGTGCTCCCCCCTGTCCCCCTACGCAATTATTTGTCTCTTTCTGACCCTTGACGTCGACCGGTCTTCTTTCCAACGAGTGGCGCCTTCGGGCGAGTCGTTGACCCAGCCAGTGACGGTCGCTCGTTTTCCAATGCTGCAGGATGCAGATAGGTGGTTGTAGCGTTGGCCGAATAGACCATCTCTCTAGATTCACAATGACAGCACTCTAACCCCCGATTCGCCCGAATTACCAGCGGTCAGAGTTTACATGCCCTCCAACTGCGCCAAACTCGCGGTCCGTATCGCGAACTTCCGATACGAATCCCTCAGTCTGTTCTAAAAACGCACGCGCACAACCACCAAACGTTGCGCCGAACTCCTCCGTCTCATTCACTGCCCCGTAGGGACGTCACGAGCCAGACCAACATCCAGCGACGCGCCGAAGCAAGCCCGCGATGCCCCGTCGAGTTCAATTGTAACATATTCCACAGGTACTCGACATAATGTCCGACCACGCGCGCAAATTCCGTGGTCCGTGGGACGGAATCGTCCATATGCCTCTGCTCGCATCGGGAAGGTGCGACCAGCCCGCGTGGAGGCTCCCGGCAGAACACGTGTGCACGCGGATCGTCCGCGTCACCTCGCGCCATCGCGCGCGCGAATAGCGAGCGCTCGGCAGGATGCAATGGTGTGTGCGATTGGGTTCGGGGCGCACGCGCTGCGATGCATGAATAAATGCCCGACCTGCCCGTGGGACACAAAGAACGTCGGTCGCGTCGGCGATGCAATGGCAGCCTCAGGACGTCAATCCAGCGCGAAGTCGCCGTATCGCCGCAAAACTCGGCGCACCTGGTCCCGCACACTACACCACCCTGCGCGCTCGGAGAAGTGGGCGTGCAAGAGGATCATTGCATCCGCGGTGGCGCAGCCCCCGTTCCCAACCCCCCGTGCGCACCGTTTTCCTCGGGTTCAGCTCGGCGCGCGGGCGCGGGCGTGGTGACCGCCGCTCCGAGGATGTGGAGCACAAAGCACATGCACGCCCGCGACCGTGCCAAGGAAGCCGCCCTCGTTTGTGCGCGCGGGGTTCCCACATGCATCCTCGGGCTGAAGGTGAAGCCGGCTGCGACGTCGAAGACGAGCCCGCGCACGACATCCATGACGGCTGCGGGGTGTGCACCCGCGCGCCGCGCCAGGGACGGTACGTGGATGGCGGGCCAACCGCGCGGCCGCCCGGGCGCAGGAGACGCGGCGCAATCGTGGTTCGGTCCGGACGGGTGGATTTCGAAATCACGGACCCAGGGTGAAGCGATGGATAAAACATGAAAAAAGAGGAACAGAGAAGCGTGCAGGATGAAGAAGAGAAGCGAGGAGGCGCTGCGGCGACTCCATGCGTCGCACTGGTCCCAGGCCGAGGACCCGCCGGGGACTACCCGAACCGATGGCGCTCTATGACTGACTTTTGCCGTGAGTCGCGCGAGACGCGCCTGTGTGGGGGCACGGTCAGCACGGGACCTGGGGTTCAATGCTACCCCGCGGCGCGGATGGTCTTCGGGGTGCGGAGAACGAAAAGGAAGGAAGGTGCGGGACAAGAGAACGAGAACGCACCAGTAGTACTCCATCACGTTGTTCTGCCCGAGCTTGGCGAGGAAGTTCTCGTCGTGCGTGATGATGATGAGCTGGAAGTTCGCATTCGACTTGCGCTCGTTGATGATGCTGCGTGCAGACGCACGGTCGACGGAGCGCGTGGATGGTCAAGTCAGCCGCCGTTTGTCCCCACAGACACCGGGACGCGAAGTGCGAAGTGATTGAATGGCCCACTCACTCCACGAGACTGGCAGCGAGTGCATCGATGTTCTCGGTATCGAGCGCGTTCGTGGGCTCGTCCAACGCGAGGATGCCGCAATTCTGTCCGAACGAGTCCGCAAGCGCAAGGCGAATGATGATCGACGCAAGCATCTTCTGCCCGGCGGAGCATCGGCCACGCATGTCCATCTCCACTTGGTCCTTCGTCATGACCACCTAGTCGCCAGTGTGAAGTGAGCACAGCCGCGGCAGCGGTGGAATTGAGTTCAGAACGTACGCGGTAGTTGTATGAACGCTTGGTCGCGCCGCCCTCGCTGTCGGAACAAATCTTAATGCCGTCGATGTCTGTGCACGAGGCTCAGTGACAGGATACGTCTGGGCAGGGCACAGAAGTTCACCGGTCCCTTGGTACGTCTTGTTCCATAGGTGCCGCATGGTGTCATTGACTTCTTCCATCTTGAGCGAGTGGTACTTCATGATCGCGCTGGTAATCAATACATACGCCATATGAGCCCATCATCAACGTGGATGACGCTACACTCACTTGTCCAGTGCCTTGGCGTACTTTTCGAGATCGTTGTTCGCCATGTCAGACAGCTGGCAGTAAAAATAAGCATCGTAAAGCTCGAAAGGTATTCGAGATTCAACGTGCCTTGACTCTGATCAGCTGGTCGCGGTAGTTTTTGTTGACCTTCTTGAATTTGGCCTGGTCCTGTTCGAGCAGTCTCACTTGTTGCTTCAGCTGATCGATCTGTCCACTGAGGCGAGCATGCTGGAAACCCAACCGACACCGTAAGAGATTCGTCTTCGACCAAGGCACATGGGAGGAGCAAGAACGCACCCGTGTTTGCAAATCCGTCTCCTTCTCTTTCTCCTTCGTCCACTTTTCCGTCCATATCCGCTTCGCCTTCGCCGCCTCCTCCATGTCGATCTTCGCAAGCTCCGCCTTCGCCTCCTCCAACTCGCGCTTCGTCCGCCGGAAGCGCAGGTTCTCGCGCAGGTTCGCCAACGTCAGTCCCGCCTCAGCGATCTCGCGGTCAATGTCACCGATCTTGGCGCGGATCTTCTCCGTTCGGACTACCAGGTCTTGTACTTCCGTCTCCTTCTCCTGAATAGCTTCGTTGACATCCTGCAAGAGACGTGCAAGCTTCTCCTTGGTGTTCCTATAAAGATCACGGGGTGGCAAAATTAGTACGAGGCTCAAGTGGGGGACGGGCATACATACTTGGCGAGCCACTTGTTCATGTCTTCCAGCTTGTCATAGCTCGCTGTAAGATCTTGCAAAGTTCGCTGCGCCTGACTGATCCTCGTTTGCATCTCTCGCTGGAACTCCTTGTACTCGTTCTCCAGCTTGTCGATCGGGACCCTCGCCTCGGCGATCTTGCCATCGAGTTCCTGAACGACCCCAGGTGAATCAGAGGCTTTCAAGGGGGAGAGGCTCCAGACCGGGATCAACGCACCTTTGTCCGGGTCTCCGCCGTAACGATATCCGCACGCATCTCGACGATCTTCCGTTCGCTGTCCTCCTTGTCGCGGAGCTGTGTCTTGCACTCGTTCTCCCGCATCTGCAGCTGGTGCATCTCTCGCTCCGTCTGGTGCTGTAGCGTGACCAGCCGGTCTTGCTCGGCGGTAAGCCGGGTCTTCTCGCGGTCGTTGGCTTTGCTGTACGGGCAAGCGTGTTAGCTCAATCTAATGTGAAACCTCTTGGGCAAGAAACGGAGACATTGGGCTAAAGGGGTATGAATACGCACAGCTTAGAGGTAACGTCGTTCAGCTCTTGCTGCACGTCGTCAGCGGTCTTCGCTGAGCCACTCGCCATGAGGTCGCTCTCGAGACCCGCAATCTCCTGCTTGAGATCCTCGATATCCTTACGCACCCTCGACACGGTAGCCGCGTGCTGACGGAGAGTGACGATGTCCTTCAGCTCTTGTGCGACGTCTTTGAGTTGTGCTGAGGCCTAGGAGCGCAAACCAATGAACACGGTGCTCCGCATCCAGAATGGCTTACAGAGCACTTACTTCGTCCGCTTTCGTCGTGAGCTCGGGAATGCTCTCTTCGACCGCTGCGATCTGTTTGTCGAGTCCGGGGATTTCGACGTTCTGCAGATTCGCCCGAGACGCAGACTGGACGGCGAGCTCTTGCAGTCTCTTCACCTCGGCTTCCCAGTCTTCCAACTCGCTCCGCACCTGGGCAAGGGCTTGCGGGCTCGACTTCTTCAGAGCTTCATGGAGCTGCGGGGGCCCATCAATGGCGGGAGGGACGATACAGAACGCGGGGACGTACGTTCTTCTCGAAGACTTGCATGGCGTTGTCATCAAAGCCGCGCGTGCACAAGGGACAGCACTTCTTCGCCTTTCCTGTCTGAAGGAACTGCTTGTAGACGTCGTGTGTCCCGGCGTTCTTGCCGAGGTCCCTGCCCGATTGTCAATGTCATCTACCGAGGCTGTCCGGAACCGTACTTACTCGTTTCGCATACCGACTTCCTTCACGGCATCTTCTACGGCAGACTCTACAGTGGTAAATCCGGCCTCAAGACCCTCCTTGATAGTCCTATCGAGACCTGACAAGCTGAATGAGCAGGACGCAGACATCAGAACACGTGTTACATACTCTTGTGCTCGTCGCGCTTCGCCTTGACCTGGGACTTCAGCGTGGACAAGTTGGAATGGGCCGCCTGAAGGGCTGAACTCGCTGTGCTGAATTGCTCCTGTAGCTCGGATTGCTCACGATCTTTCTGACTGGATGGGCGTCAGCATCACGGATGTCTCTTGGACTGAGGGTGACTAACAGCTGTGCACGACTCAGCTCATGCTCCATATTTTCGGGGCTCGCATCCACCCCACGATCTTGCGGAACTTGGTGTTGCAGTGGTTGATGCTGGACGATATCTGTCAGCTTCGAAGCGGATTACCCTCGACCTTGGACGCACGTGGACTGTATCTCCGCAGTCTTGGACCTCATCTGGTTCCGTTGAAGATCGAGTTTCGCCCTGGTGTCGGCTTGCAGGCTGAGGGTACGAAGTTCGAGGTTCAAAGCCTCCCTCTGGTTCTCGAGCTGCACGTGGATGTTGGTCTTCTCCATAATCTTCTTGTCGAAGTTGGAGGAGCTCAGTTCCTGCCGTGCCTTATCCAGGCGAGCTTGCTTGTCCTCGATATCGGCTTTGATCTGCGCCAAGCGTGATGTGACATTCCTTGTCGCGTCGACATCGTCTTCAGCCGTCGTGATCTTCTTCTGGAGCGCCGTCTAGGAGGAGAGGCTGTTTAGCGACATGCCTAGAACAATCTCGGCGATGTCATAGCTACCACTTGGTCGCGGTTAGACCTTCGTTCTTGTTTGTACCCTTCCAGTTCAGTGTGCATCTGCCTAGACGTTCGGTTGTACTCCTCGTTCCTTGATTGGGTTTCGATCTAACAACAGACGATATCAGTAGAGATTGTCGAAGGCTTCAAACCACAAACCTGGAGCCTGTCAGATTCAGCTGATTGCTTTCTCTTGAGATCGCCGAATTCGCCCATGAATCGCGAGATCTGTTCGGGCGTAAAGGGCGCGCTGTCATACCCTCGAAGACGATGCTTCGTGGCTACGTCTCGCACGACAGTGTCACGCTGATTTGACCGTTCCTCGCGTCTCTATCCCAATCAAAATGGTCAGCGTGCAAAAGACATGATTCCAAGCGACGCACACCTTCTCTTCACCGTCGAGGTGGCCTTGTCGACCAATGAGCTCGACATGGGCTGTCCGAACCGCCTTCACTTGCTCCTGAGCGTCATCAAGGAGGTTCTCCTGTTTCGTGCGTCTTTGCTTCTGATTTAGGATGTTATCGTCGTGCGTTCGAATACGCTCAGACAACTCCTCATCGGTACCTGTTATCAGGTGTATTGGCCGACAAGTTTCCACTAAAACTCCATCTTGACGTACCTTCAATCTCGTGCAGGCTCTCTCTTATGCTGTTGAGTTCTTCCTCGAGTCGCTCTTGCTTCTCCCCCAGTTGTTCGGCTTTCAGGTATATTTCTCGGAACTTGCTTCCGGTCTCCTGCAAGTGCTGGTTCGAGCGAACCTGTTCATCGTACTCTGCCTTCAGGCGGTCATGCTCCACGATACATCCCTCAAGCTCAGCATTGGCGTCCGCAAGGCGAGCTTTAAGCTGGTCTGAATGAGCCTTCTCGGCCGCCAGACCCTCAAGGCGTGCTTGCTCCGTCTTGAGTTCTGCCATGCGATCCTTCCGAAGCGATTTGATGTTGTCGAGAGCCTTAGTGTACCTAGTGGTCATCGAGAGTGAGTTTATGCGGTCCTGCGACCGAAACTGTACGCACTTGGTGGCCTCAAAGATATCATCGAACTTCTTCTTGAGTGCAGCCGGCTCGGACAACGGCCAATATGAGTCTTCTTGGTGGCAGAAGATGACGTTCTCAAGGACGGCTTTGGAGACACCGAGGTGTTCAGGTATGGCAATGTCCATCTCCGCGCACTTTGTAGAGAGAACACCTCGCTGTTTCACCATGAATATCGTGCAAGTGCGCACATACCAATACATGCCACTCACTTTCCCCACACTGCCACTGTCGTCCGAGACACCCAGAATGCTCTCGAGTGTCTTCATAGTCATGGCATTGTTTTTCTTCACCGTGACGGACAGGTTGCGCACGGCGAGCATGCGCTGACCACTCGCCGAGAAGAAACGAAGCTTCACCTGCGCCTTCACCTCCTTCTCGTTCGCCATCTTTGGGTCGTGGACGAACGCTCCTCCACGCGTATTTGGAGGCTGGTCTCCGGTGGTAGCATATTTGAGACACTCGATGATAGTCGTCTTGCCGCTACCATTGTGGCCGACAATGACGGTGACAGGGGAGAAGAACTCGATTACAGCAATAGTCTTGTCATCGAAAGAGCGAATGCCCCGGATGGCCAACTTGTTGATGTGAGCCATCGAGAGGGAAAAGGAGGTGCGCCGGTACTGCAAGCTAGCTATCCAGCCTGCCGCGTAGGGAGAGGGGTGGGGTGGCTTTCAAGGAGTCAGGACGCGCCCCGCGTCGACGCGTCGCGATTACATAGATCATGTGACTGTAGGATTCTTCGGCGCTTCATCGATGCCCCCAAAGAGCTCGTCCTCCGCAGACCAGGCTCTACATGAGTCGACGATGTCCGCCATGAATGTCTCTTTCTCCGCTGGCTTTGATGACGGGTCTGCATGGGGCGCACCTCCGCCTTCCTCTGGTGATATCGTAGGCAACGCTATTAAGAAGGAGAAGGTCATAAAGTACGCTTCGAGCTCTTCAAGCGAGCACTCTGAACATAACATTGTTTGCCAGGGAGATTACCACTGCTCAAGAGGATTTGCGCGGTCTGTTCTAAGGTCTAGCATGGCTCTTCTCTTCCGGGACTCACAGTTGGTATCACAGCTATGATGGCCAAAGCCAAGGCCGTGCAGGCTGACATCGACAAGCTCGTTTCAGGGAACGACACGCTCCAAATGTACATAGACAATCTCACCATGCAAATGGCCAAGCGTCGTTGAGACATTCGTCTACACGCGTCGCCCGGCTCTCTCAGCTATCACGACGACAGGTGAGCGCAGTGTGAGCAGCCTCCATCGGTTGCAATATTGATGACGTGCGGAAGGTCATGCACACCGTTTGCCTCCGCGTACGACATTCAAGGTGGCTCTTACTGTCGCTACATATGACTCGTCGTCTTCAGCGTACCATCTACAGGCTTGTCGAACCACACTTCGACGCGCAATCATTTTTGTCAGAGCAACACTCGCTGGCGGCTCGAAAGGCTCTAGACACGGTGAAAGCATGACAAAAGTACACTCAGTCGGTCTCCATAAGATCACCACCCTCACGTCTCGCCTGCTCTTGTAGTGCTCGTAAGAACGCCTCCACCCCGAGTCCCGCCTCTTCCGGTAACCCCAGGGACCGCACCAATCCTCCAAGCAGTCCCGTCCGGAGCGCCATGTCCAGATTCCGCACCGCCGCTCTGAACTGGGGAGACTGCACGATGCGCTCCAGCGTCTCTACGTTCGGCGGACTGGGGAGGTCTGTCGGTAGGTGAGGGAAAAGCGTCTGGACTAGCTCCGGGTGAGAGGTGAAGAGTGGGCGAAGGTTCGACGGCGTGAGGACGTCCAGGAGGGAGATCTCGGGCTCCGCCGCTGTGGACGAGGCGGCGGCGAGCGCGGATCCGGCGGAGGTGTTACGACCGAGGGAGGTGACGAGGGCGCGAATACGCGCGAGCTCTTCGGGGGTGACCTGTGAGGTCTGGCCTGGGCGTGCTTGCGAACTGAGGGGGGAAGGAGAGGGCGAAAGGCAGCGAGATGAGGACCGGGTATGGGAGAAGGAAGGCGAGGTGGAGATGGTTGGCCCGGGATCGTGCAAGGGGGTTCGGAGACACTCACGAGCTACCCGCGGGTGGGGCAGAGGAAGAGGCACCAGAGCTCTGGTTGTTCGGGTTGTATCCTTCGGAGTACCAGATGGGAACGATGCTCGGGTCGAGAAGCAAGCGGTTCATGTTACCAACGAACTCTTCATCGCGACTGCTATCTGCATCCTGCATCCAAAACTGAAATGGACAAAATGAGTGATAGAAACTCATCCAGCAGATGGCCACGTACAAAGTGCCGCTGGTTTGAGGATGAGAACTTCAGGACGTAAGTCCTTCCCCACGCAGACTGTTCCACCCTCACGAACGCCGCGTCTCCGGGGAAGAGAATCAGATCCTAGGGATGGCACATAATTAAGAACAGCGTATTGCGGGAACGAGCTATTTGCTTTACCTCGTCAACAGCATTGGTCGTCCGGTTGCGCCAGATGAAATGCAACAAGCCATCGTCTCCGTTCTGGAGGAGGATGGCACCTTTGGCGGGGTTGGCATCAACGAAGTTGGTGTTACCGCGTCTAAAGGCACGGCCGGCCTTGAAGGCAAGGCGAGTTTCGGCCATGGCAAGGCAATGGGAGAAAGCGTATGTTGAACGTAAGGGGGAACGGAGAAGGAGGTCCGCGGTCAAGCCAAGCTCGCGCTGGTGGCGCAACGCGAGGACGCGTCAGCCCGATTGGGCGCCTCGAGGCCGTCCTCGTTTCTGTCAAACCGCCATCTCCAAAATCAACAATCGTTTGCTTCGGACAAAGGTTCCTCGTCAAGTTGTGCGCAAGGGCGGAAAGTCTAGGGCGCTATATCTGCTGGTGTCAGAAGTCAAATCCCGCCCAAGGAAGTAGACGACCATCGGGACCAGTCTGTAAGCGAGTGCTCAGCTCTTTCGAACCGCCATTCATGTTGCATCCGACACGTACAGATGGCTAATTTACCGGCCGAGCTCGTCGCCGCGATCCTCGAGCATGTGTACTACACCGCAACAGGTGCTGTGGACTCCCAGACACTCGCATCCGCTGCTCTCGTATGTCGTCACTGGCAGGAATCCGCTCAGCGTTTGCTCTTCAAGAGAGTTTCGCTCAAGGGACACCGTCATGAACCCGCCTATCTTTCGTTTGTTCAAGCAACCGATCTTGCAACGTCTCGTGGTCGCTCTCTTGCTCAGAATATTCGAGTCCTAGAGGTATCCATTGGAGACTCACCAGAAGGCTTGGATGAAAGCGATCTCGTGAACCTGATCGGTCGCGCACCCAGGGTATATGAGCTCGCGCTCCGGGTCGACACAAGCATCCATCAACTAACCGAAAAAGCAATGGATGACCTGCGAGCCTTGGCAACACCAAACGCTAACGATGACTTGCATCCACAAGACGAGTTTTCCCCCCTCCAGTGGGCATCCGCGCCATAGCGATCCTCTCATGCGGAATTCAAAGTCCCATATTATACCAACTCCTCTCCATCTGGCCCTGCGTCAACTTCCTCCACCTCGGCGTCGAGATCGCCGCTCCTCCCCCCAAAGCTTGGCAACCTTCATTTCAACTTTACGAGCTCGCCCTGATGCGTACCCCCCGCCTCTGGGTCTTCTCCTGGCTCCTTTCCTCCAGCACCGACTCCCTCCGTATCCTCACCTTCCGCGACCTTCCCTGGCGCGAGTTTGATCCGCTCCTGGACAAGCTCGGCCCGCGCCTCCGCTCCCTCCGCCTCCAGAACTACAGCCTCCGCGCGGTCCCGACCATCCGGCGGTGCCCGAACCTCGAAGAGTTCATCGTCCTGCGCGTCCCCGAGCTTATCAAGCTCACGCCGCTCCCGCAGACGGTCGAGCACCTCAGCTGCCGGTTCATGTTGTCCGAGAACGGTTCGTTGGCGCAGGCCGTGGACCTCGTGGGCTCGCTGCCCCGGCTCCGGGTCTTCACCTGCGATTCGGCCGTGCGCAAGGACGAGCACATCAGAGATTTGGAGACGCTATGCGCTGCGAAGGGTGTGGAGCTGTGTTTTGACGAGACCCCGTTCTGGTTGGTGAGAGCTCATTTGCTAGCATCGTAGCGCGATCGCAGCTGATATGGTTTGCGGCACAGAGAGAGGACCCGGTGCCAGTGCAGCGCTTCCCGAGATGGAGATCTGTGACGAACTATGCGCTAATGAACTAAGCCCGGTTTCGAGAATGGCGACGATTACTCCCCCAGTCTACGTTACTTACGGGAAAATTCATGTAGATTTTTCTGCCGCTGAGACGAAGCGGCCTTGGATACTGGGCCTGACAGGCTTGACCCCGTCGATCATGAACAGATTGTTTATCAACAGCATACAACCAGCGTCTATTGCATATCGGACTACATCCACATCACTCGCGAACGGAGGACACGAGGGAAACAAAGCAGGATGCCAGTCATTATGTGCTATACATATGTGCAAATAAAGATAGATTACATCGTCCTCAGGCAGGATTGGGTGCACAGCAGTCCGCCATCCTCAAGGGGCGCAAGCATCATCATCAAGGTCTTCGCGTGCCGCGGGGACGCAGCGCGCGGTGGTGGGAAGCAAAAGCCCACGCCGAATCGAGAAGCGCATTAATGCACGGGGCGTCACGAGGGAACCGTCTTCCGCCCCGCTGGTCGCCGCGGCGGTATCTTCACGACGACCTTGACAGCGCCCGACTTGGGTGCTTTGGGGGCCTTGACCTGCACGCGCTGCTTCTTCGCCGCCTTCCCCTGCCGCGGTGTCCCTACGGGGTTCGCGCCCATGTCGATGCTGTCGTCACCTGGATGGGGGCGCGCCTTCGACGCGGCGCCTGTCGTGGCATTCGTCGAGTTCCCAAACAGCAACCCGCGTGCCTCGAAATCGGGGTGCCCCTGAGGAGCCCGCCCGCCGCCTTCCCGCGAACGCTTGGATGGGCTCGACTCGACGTTGTTGTAGTGGCAGCGGCTCAGCGACCGCTTGCTGGGGGAGGAGGGAGGCGAGGGGAGGGGGAGAGTGATATCGAACACGTCGTCCGAGGGGACGGGCGCCGGCAAGTTCTCGCGCTTGCGGTGGTTCTTCCGCTTCGAGTCTATAAAGAAATGGTCCCGACGTCAGCGTGACAGGCAGCAGCCCAGACCATGCCGGACATGGCAGCACCGTGCACGCACCTTTCGCCTTCGCGCCCATGGTGTTGGTAATCTCCTTCACCATACGAAACTGCCCGGACGTCGACGGTTCGCCAGTTGCCACCAGAGTCTGCTGAATCTCCCAGTCCGAGGGGCGCGCCTTCTTCCACTCCTCGAGCACTCGCTCGACCCACCGGTCCGTCTCGCCGGACACATGGTAGTCGATAATTTCGTCCCATTCACTGCCAGGCGACGTCTTGTTAACGAATACGACTTTGCCGGCAAGACTCTTGGCGGTCTTCTTCAGTGAAGATCCAGACAGGAGGGATGGAGAGGGGCGAGACTCGTGCACGGCGCGCGCGAACTCCTTGACGAGCTTCTTGAAGCCGTGGACTTTCAGCGACGTGCCCATGATTATGAGCATGTCGGGCTTGCGCGCGATGTCCGAGGTCTGAATGGTGCCGATGTCGTCTCCAAGGGGATGGGGCTCGTCATAAAGGACGACGGCGGGACGCAAGGTGCCAACCTTTATCGCGCGTGCAGAGCGGGCCACACGGTCGCTCGCTGGAAGCGCATTACGTCAATTAGTGCGCTGGCATCGGTGCGATAATCGGGGTACTCACAGCGCTGGGCACAGTCTGGGCAGTCGGGAGGGTTGCCAGCAAGGAAAGCATCCAAGTGGGCTTGATCACAGGGGTAGTCGGCCGAGCAGTAGGTGCAGCGAACGCGGTGTATGTTGCCGTGCAGCTGAACGTTGCGCACCCCCTTCGTCCGGATCTTCGACGATCCTGGACCCTTCATCCTGACCTCTTCCCTTGAGGTACCCACGAGGCCGGCTCGCTCCTCTAAACCGTCGATATTCTGGGTATACGACCTAAGAAGCTTGTTCTTCGAGTCCAACGTCTTGATAAAACGTGTGTGGGCGACGGGGCAGCTGTATCTATAGACTTTTTGAGCTGCGAGATGAAGGTGTAGAACACGGAGGTCGAGGTGGGGTCGCGGAAGAGGGAGGAATCGAAGAGGTCGCGTCCCTTCAAGACTACGTCTGGATACTGCTGCTTAACGAGCGCATACAGACCGTCTGAAGAGCGGAAGTCCTAGAAGACGCGTGAATATTTGCGCGATTGGGAGAGAGGTTTGTGCGTACCGGAATGCCACACGAACATGATATGCCTGCTCCAGAAACCACGATGATTTTCTTGCACTTCGCGACCGAGAGAGAGAGGTCGTAAAGGTGTTTGCGCGTTGACGCGTCAGAGGATGACGCGTCGAGGTCGAGGGTGACGGTCATCGCGCGGGCTGGGGTGGTGGGGCGCGAAGAGAGAGGGGACGCGGGTGGTTGTGGCTGGACTCGTGGGCCACCTCGGGCAATCCGTTCAGGGACTGTTCACTTACATAACACTCCCAATCCGTCCATCGGGCGCCTCCAGCGCTTCGGAGCGCGCGATCTTGGGGGCGGATGAAAGGGAGGATGTCCGTGCTGAGGCGGAGGTGTCCAACTGAAACACTGCAGAACTACCGCCTTTCAATGAGGTCCAGTCTCTTCCAGTCTGCGTCCTGCCCCCGACTGGATCCATGCGCCTGCAGCGCAACGGCGTTAAGCCTCCGCTTTGTCCCTCGAAGAGAAGTGGGGAGCGCCTATCGCGTAAGTGGCTCCATCGGCTTTCAACAGATCTCGCGGCGCGTCCAACGCGTCATACACGTGACCGCTTGACTTACCCAAGTCTTGAGGCGCGTTTGGTCAAAGCCCTTCAGTTTCTCAACGCCAGAAATCCGTTCAAAATCGTCCGTACGCGTGAAGCGTCACTAATATGCTGAGAACTTGCCTCCGTAAGATAGTGGCGCTAGGACTGAGTTCGGTAATTACTCGTTAAGCATGATCTCTATTGAAATACGAGACATTATTGAAGGGGGTCTTTCTCAACAGCGTATGTTTTGACGCTGAGCCTGGTGCCAGATGGAAGTCAAAGAAGAGGCGCAAGGGTGGCACCGGTACCGCAGCCTGCAGGTCAACTAGGGAGGAAACTGACTCAGCCAGATCCCGATATATATCAAGTTCTCAGGCAAAGGCGCCTTCCACTGCTATCTCAGCAACCACCACCCACCACACTCCACTCCTCTCTCTACACGCACCCTCAGTCATGCAGATTTTTGTCAAGACCCTCACTGGAAAGACCATCACCCTCGAGGTAGAGTCCTCCGACACTATCGACAACGTCAAGGCGAAAATCCAGGACAAGGAGGGGTAAGCAGCAAACTGCGTTGGCTCTCATCGCAGTGTTTGAAAGACGCTTCCCATAGAATCCCTCCCGACCAGCAACGTCTCATCTTTGCGGGCAAGCAGCTTGAGGACGGCCGCACCCTCTCCGACTATAACATTCAGAAGGAGTCGACCCTTCACCTCGTCCTCCGTCTGCGTGGTGGTAGGCAGATCTTCGTCAAGACTCTCACGGGCAAGACGATCACCCTCGAGGTGAGTCCTCGGACACCATCGACAACGTCAAGGCGAAGATCCAGGATAAGGAGGGCATTCCCCCCGACCAGCAGCGCCTCATCTTTGCCGGGAAGCAGCTGGAGGATGGCCGCACATTATCGGACTACAACATCCAGAAGGAGTCAACCCTTCATCTCGGTGAGTTCTCTGCTTTGATTCTCGGGGGAAGCAACCCTCATCATGCCGCTCAGTACTCCGTCTACGTGGCGGTATGCAGATTTTCGTCAAGACGTTGACGGGGAAAACCATCACCCTCGAAGTCGAGTCCTCGGACACTATTGACAATGTCAAGGCGAAGATTCAAGATAAGGAGGGTATCCCTCCTGACCAGCAGCGTCTCATCTTCGCGGGAAAACAGCTCGAGGACGGCCGCACCCTCTCCGACTACAACATTCAGAAAGAGTCGACCCTCCATCTCGTTCTCCGTCTGCGTGGTGGTATGCAGATTTTCGTCAAGACTCTTACTGGCAAGACGATCACGCTTGAGGTCGAGTCATCCGACACAATCGATAACGTCAAGGCGAAGATCCAGGACAAGGAGGGCATCCCGCCGGACCAGCAGCGTCTCATCTTCGCCGGCAAGCAGTTGGAGGATGGCCGCACTCTGTCCGACTACAACATCCAGAAGGAGAGCACTCTCCATCTCGGTATGTCTCTCTTCTCTGCGTTCGAATCTTTTCTGATCGACAAACCGCAGTCCTCCGTCTCCGCGGCGGTAATTGAGGGGCCAGCGCTGTATCATCCCGTACTTGTCGTCTCTTTGTGTACCCTATAATGTGTTGATTCTTGCGGAGGAAGTGGAATATATCATCATGCGATGTCTATGGCGTGATGGTTGGTGGTACATGGTGAATATGTGTGATATATTATAAGCAATCCTGGAGACGTGTAAAGTGGTTGTCGTAGATCCGCGGCAACGCGGCGCTGGAAGGTCCTTCCTAGTAGTACAACAGAACGAACGAAAGAACCGTAAGGCAAGACATGTAATAAGAAGATAAATCAGTGCCCTCGCCCAGAGAGCCACTGCAGCACGATGTCTCTGGCGGATGCATGAGCCATGCGGGATATCGAATTGAAGGTGTACAGCATCACTCACAGGTTGTGTTGGCTCTTCATTGAACACTGAAGGACGGTGAGCGAGTGCACGCAGGAACAACGTGGAGAGCCTCACCGAATAACACTACAAGGAACCCACGCAACAGTTAGATGGAAAATGCAGAGCGCCGTGTGACTTACCGAGACCGGTCTGTCAGTAATCTTGTCGAGTTGACTACGACTCCAGGTGAGAAGGACGGTGTGAATGAGATTCTGCAATACAACTTACAGGGCTTTGATCAGCTCCTGGACAGGTGCATGGCCTTCGATGTCGTTCTTGTTTCCCAGCTTTTGAAGGTGTCAAACACACCCAAGACTGAGCAGTGCAGAGTTACTCACCACCAGAAGAGGGACACCGTGCAGACTAGGTTGAGCGAGGAGTTGATGGAGCTCAAAGCGTGCCGTTTCGAACTTCTCCTTCTGCAGCAAATCCTCAGCACTAGGCGCGGGACCAGCTTAGACTTCACTCACATCTACGGAGTCCACCACAAATCTGCGCGACGATGAGTTGACAAAGACCGAGAGAAGAGAAGAGAAGAGAAGCTTACACTACAGCATCCACGCCACTGCAGTATCGCTCCCATATTGACCGATACCTCGGCTGGCCTGTCTCGGCCGTCAACAATACGTCTCCAGCTACAGGAAGATGGGCTGACCTGCAACGTCCCATATCTTGAGAGTAACGTTTCCCTTCGTGATCTTTCTCAGATTGAATGCGACAGTTGGGACCACATCTTCGCTCCACTGTTTGCAGAGCGATGCTCTGAGCCGCATACAAAGATACAGACCGAAGTACGTACCTGCCCCGAGCCAAGGACATTCACGAAGGAAGTCTTGCCGGATGCCTGTGGTGCGTGATATCAACACATACAGACACAGAAAAGGGCTCTGGTGAAACGCGCCTGAAGTCCCACAATAGCTATCTCGGCGTTCTTGGTAAAGAACAGGCTGAAGGGGATAACTTGGTGGGTGAACGCGGGGGATAAAGCGATGTGTGGCAACGAACCTGGTGAACCACTGGAGCAACGAGGAAAAAAGGGAAGCCATGGCGGCCCCTCGATGGGTCAGTGATGGTTGGATGTAGGTAGAGGGACCAAGCGAGCTGGGTGAAAGAGCAGGTCAGCAAGCCGTTCCGGACCCGGTGCCCCGCAGTGGCCTGCGCGACTGTGGGCGTTAGTCGCGCACGTGTTCAGTTTTACGCGTCGCGTCACTGGCGTCACCGCAAAGGTTGTCGGACTCTCCGTTGTTCCGCTGCCGCGGCTGGCAGCTCACCTCTGCACCCCATCCTCCTTCTCCTTCTCCTCCACCCCATCGCCGGGATCCGCTGAGCCTTTGACGTCACTTGGCTTTCTTGTCATCGGCCTTTCGTGAATGCCTCCTCGTCCCTTCGCTCGTTGTGTATCAGCGGTTGGAAAAGCGCATACAACACCGCGACATCTCCGTGCATATCACACATCAAGACATATTGCGTCTGAAAGCTCTCTGGATGGGACACGAACTGTTCGCGGGCAATACGCCTCTCCTGCTTCGCTTCCCAGCACGCCTGCTAGGCATCCTACACACAAGGATGGGTTTGCGGTGACGAAGGAAAATGTGCAATTGCGCCATGCGCTCGTGAGTGCCCCCTCCTTGTCATCATGCTCCTCAATGCCGATCCCTTTCAGACTAGCGGAGACGATGGAGACGATGGTGTAATTGCGCTGAAGGACCTTGCTCGGCACAACGCTTTTCGGGGACTACGAGGTTTGTGGGCCTTCTCCTCATCTTCCACCACTTGACAGCTCTCATGATGAATGGCCAACCCTCATCAGATGCCCGCGCTTACAACCCAAGACACGTACCAACGCTCGCGCACGGCTTAGATGCGGTATTGAATAGGTGTGTCTTTCGCATATGAAAACCTTGTGCAGGAGCTCACATTGGTGGCACAGGAAGGGTGTCCATTGGCTTCAAGATCCAGACACAGGAGAATTCAATTTCCCAAAATATCTGGCCACAATCCCTCAACCAGATCAGTTCGCTTTTGACAGAGTGGGGAGGTTTATGCCTCCCTCAAAGGACCCAGTGCATAGCTTCTATCTCTTTCCTCGTTTCGCACTGATCTTGTTCCGTATGTAGAACATGCCGCGCATCATGCGAGACTCCTTCAGTATGTTTGGTGGATCGACCTCTTCCTTGACTGGGATCTTGGGTCAGATATACTTCCTTCTCTCCGATTTCAAGCCGACCAGCAACGACATGCTAGGATCAGAGTTCAAAGATGCCGTGCGTGTGTGACTTCATGATGTCAACAGTACATTGGACTGACAAATTGAGCAGCCGAGGGCGTTTTCTCGCGGGCAACGCGTGGCTTCCTCAGTCTGTCTCCATTACTCAAAAGGCACCTACCTCACAGATATAGACGAGTCTCATTTGCCTTCAGAAGAGGTCCCGATGATTTTGCTGTCCCTTGTGCGTTATTCGTTGATCCGATAGTACATTGTGGTGGCTGACTCTGCGTAGGGCATACTTTTGGAAAAGTTTTTGACGCTGCCCCAGGAAGAATTTGCCCAGCTACTCAAGAGTAACGAAGGAGGCTCTTATACACAACATGAAGATGTTCACCGTTATGCCAAGGCGTGTATCACTTATCTCAGTTTCATCTGCTGCATTGACGTGGGTCTCTTTTAGCATGGTAGATTTCTCATGCGATCCCAGCTGGACTGTGTTCATGAAAACTTGCCTGGAAGTGGTGTATTCGACCTGAAGACACGCGCCAATTATCATGTCCGTCATGATGTTTACAACTACTTGGTATGGCTGTTTGCGCCTATGCAGCTCATGGTGTCATTTTTCACTGATGGTGGTGCTAGCAACATACCAATTCCACCTTACGGTCACTGAAAGGCCCGACAGACAGTTTCGAGAAGGAGTTTCACGACATGATCCGTAACTCTTTCCTGGATTACTCCTTCCAAGCGCGTATTGGTAATATGGACGGCGTTTTCGTCGCATTCCATAACACTGCACGTATTTTTGGCTTTCAGTATATTTCCCTGGATGAGATGGACGAGTGCCTTTACGGTGTCTCAGGCACCGGCCAACGCGTTTTCCAGCGCTGCGTTTACATCATGGAACGTTTGTATCGCACAATCACGAAGAGTTTCCCGAAGAAAGTAAGTCGTGTCCTCACTATTCACGAATGTTTGCTGATAACGTCTTCTCAAGTCCCTATACTGCACCTTTGAGACTCGCGGAAACGTTGCGAAAGGGACACCCCCTGTACTCCGCGTCTGGGTCGAGCCCAAGGACTACTACGGTCCTGGTAGATCGCGGCCTGTCAAGGAGTTTACTCTCAGCCTGGTGAACTATGTCGACGGGGCGCGAGTGTCTGGAGACGAGGCAGTCATGAGCAAATCTCCTTGTGCCTGTGAGTACACTGAAAATGCGATTTGTCTATGTGATGTTGACACGTTCGTAACCTTCCAAAGGGGATGTGCGCTATGTCATCGAGCTGCGTGAGAAGGATCAAAAGGCGATCAGACGTCGCCGCGCCAAGGCATACGCGGCACAGAGAGGTCTTGGGTCCTTCGGCCCAGCTCGTACCCCTACGCAGGACGAACCAGCGGAGGAAGAGGAGACAGACGATGACCTCCCTGACGTGTCATCGACTGAGGTCACGTCTGTGATTGAAGGCCACGTGGACGACACCATGATTGCGTCGCAACCTAACGCGCCGCCCGTCGACGTAACAAGCTAGATTGGGCTAGGAGTTGATTGCTAGGATCGCGGAGATATGTGTGGGTCTTCGGAACTTTTGGAGTATGATATTGTATGTGTACCTCATTGATAATGTCTTCGCTCTTCGCTCTTGCTTGCATGCTCATGACGCTTGCCTAGGCAATGTTGTTCCCCCGCGAGCCTCTCAATCCCCCATCTAACTATGTATCATACGGAACTCGAGATAGATAGCCCCTGGGTATTGATCAGCGGCGATAGGATGGGTCTGTATACTAGTAAGTACGCCGCCGACGGCATAATCAGCACGCATTGACTATGGCTGCCACTCCAGCGACGTTGAGACGATGACCCCAGCGAGTCGGGGGCTGTCGGGGGTTGCAATATCGCCGTTACATCCGCACAAGGAAGGCTACCTACGCCCATCACGAAAGCATAGTCAATCACCAGCACGTAGCAGTGCGATCACGCGCGCTGCACGACCAGCACTCGTGGGCTCGAAGAGCAACTCTCATCACAACGGCTACGCTCTCCCAGGCTCTCCCCTGCTTGGATTTGTCAAGATCGGCGTTGAGAGGCCGGGATCCTCACCAATCGTCCAACGGCATCGGCAACGCAGATCATCGGCTAATCTCACATACCTTGGCGGCTTCTATCCACCGAACACTGCGGCGCAATACGGCGATTTGCTAGCCTCCGGGTCTTGTCCCTGAGGCCTCAAATTCAAACACCACATGGAATAAAACCATGCGGGCCACCGCTCGGTGCCCCGTCTGTATCGCTGTCCGTCTGCTCCTTCTACACTCACCGGTCCCTACGCAACATGCGCGGATCCTCGTCGCTCCTTTACCTTCTCGGCCTCTTCGCCACCACCGCTCTCGCCCACCCTGGATCCCACGACGCTCACGACAGCCACATCGAGCATGCCCGCTCGCTCCCCGGATCGTGGTTCCACGCACGCAACCACCCCGCGCACAAGCTCTTCAAAAAGTCCGGCGACGGCCAGACCTACCCCGATGTCGGCAGCGATGGTGCGTTTCTCTTCATCAGTGTGGGGGGATGGGGACGCGCCGCTCAGCGGCCCTTCTTTCCTTCCAGAGTGGATGACGGGCTATCCCACTGCGTGGAAGAACATCCAGGCGAAGGACGTCCCGCAGGCGTGGATCGACGCGCTGAACGCAGCCAAGGCCGCGGGCAAAATCCCCGACATCCCGGTCTCAACCCAGACCGAAGCGGGCACGAACCCCACCTACCCCGACGGCCACTCCCCGACGTCGAAGGAGATCTGCTCGTCGACGTACAAGGAGTGCCGGAACCCCGACGACATCTGGGATGCGCCGGATGGGGTTTTCGCGTCTTCGTTTGACGACGGCCCGGATGATGTGAGTCCCTGTGCAGTCGGAGCGGCACGCGCGATTGACTGACGACTACGGCACGAAGGCCTCGATGACCTTGTATGAGTTTTTGAACGAGCAGAAGGTCGTGACCACGCACTTCATGATCGGGAGCAACGTTCTGTCTTACCCCAAGGAGTTTACCTATGCCTTTGAGACGATGGAGAGTGAGTAGTGCTCGATGGCCACACCTCGGTGTCGGTGAATATTGACCATATAATCCAGGCGACATCGCGGTTCACACGTGGTCGCATCCATACATGACCACCCTCAGCAACGAACAGGTCCTCGGTGAGCTCGGCTGGACCATGCAAGTCATCCACAACTCGACTGGCGGCCGTCTCCCCAAGTTCTGGCGCCCGCCCTTTGGCGATTCCGACGAGCGTGTTCGCGCAATCGCGAAGGAGGTCCTTGGGCTGACCACGGTCATCTGGAACCAGGAGTGAGCACCCACACCCGGCGTTCGTCCCCGAACAACTACTGACCGGGCACAACCATCCCCGCCCCCGCCCGACAGCACCGCGGACTGGGCGATCTCGACCGGCTACACGACGACCTCCAAGGTCGAGTCCGACCTCGCCGGCTGGCTCGCGGGCCCCAAGTCCCCCGGGCTCATCGTCCTCGAGCACGAGCTCACGAGCAACACCGTCGGCGCGTTCATCAAGTCCTTCCCGCTCATCGCCAGCACGGCTGGAAGTTCGAGAGCCTCGCGCGCATGAACGGCAGCGCCGTCTACCAGAACGCCGCCGACTCCGCCCCGGACGCGGACGTCGCGCCCGCGCGGGTCGGCGCGCCGTTCACCGCCGCCCCCGCGGGCTCCACGAGCGCCACGTCGAGCGCCGCGTCGAGCAAGGTGGCCGCGACGGGCAACAAGCAGCACGTCGCGTCGTCCGGCAGCGTTTCTGCGGCGCCGACCTCGGCCACCTCCCCCGTGCCGTCCGAGAAATCGAAGTCGGGCGCGGGCGCGCTGGCCTCGCCCGCGTCGCGCGTGGGCGCCGCGTGTGTGGGCATCGTGGCCGCGTTGTTCGCGCTGTCGTGATCGCCTCGTCGCCTTCCGTCGGACGTCGCTTTGGGGGGGAGCCGGCGCGCTATCGTCTCGGGTGCGCCGGGACGGCACGGACGCTACGGACGCTCTCCGCGGATCTCTCGTTTTCCCCCACCCCACCCACCTCCGTTCTCTGGGACCTCAGTCTTTACCGTCTTCGGGTAATATAGGACAGCTCGCGAAGTAATGATATGCGTATTTATGCACGGCGGGGCGCACACCGCCCAGCTGCCGAATGGTGGTATGATTCTGCGCGCACTGTGGTGCACTGCGGACCCTCTCCGTCCAGCCCCCGTTCGTCGGTCAGTAACTTGCCCGAAATTGCGCCCACGATTTCCACAGTTGAAACACGCAGGAGCACACAGGGACCCACTACACCAACGCGCGGTACGAGTTGGTGGCGAGCGCGAACGCTTCGATTCCTTTGGCTTGCACTTTGCGCAGCGCGCGCGCTGCTGCAGAACTGAACACGGGGTTTTTTTGCGTTCTGAATCCTGATAATTCGAAGGCAGAATGAAGGCAGCTGTGTGTTGTCCACGCCAGCCAGGCTGTTCTTGGCAGGCTCAAGTGACGAGACGCCGCCCCGGGCGACTCGGACCGGGGCAGTCCGGTATGCATACGTCGGCGCTCCGGTGCCGGCTACAACACGACGACGGACTGGCGAAACGCTCTCACCTCTGCCCACCACCTCTCCGGTCGGCCTCACCATGCGTCACATTCCTTTCCCTCTTGACAGTCCCTGGGCGGCCGGACTTACGCAACAGAAAAGAAACGGAGGCGTTCAATCAGACAAGGGCAAAACCGACCACAGGAGTCAGGACGTCGGCTTAACACGCCAGCGAGTACGCGAACCCCAAATATGGACGTGAATAACGCAGTGTGAGCTTAGTGGTGGCAAAAATACATGCCCGTCGTTGGCTCGTTTCGCTCATGCGATCTTGGCCTCTCAGATGGTGGTATGGTGCGCCTGATCCACGGGCAATGGACGCTCTAGTAGCGCCGCCAATGCCCATCGGCCTCGGGTCTCCGTCGACATGCCGTCGATTCACCGTAGGTCCGCCCGCGGCCTGTCTTGCTCCCGAACGGCACCGGACTGAACTGGGGGCGCTGAGAGGGGGGGTGGAGGGCACGATTGGCCGCGACGTGCTTGTACCTGGACACAACCTTATGTTGGTCGGCGGGGCTGCCCGGCACGACGGCAGAGGGTGGCTGGTAGCTCGCGGGCAGGCTGACCGCGGAGGGGGGGCCTCACTCGATAAATAGCGGCGGCTCTGGTGCGAGCCCGAAGGCTCGCGTCCTCGCCTTTGGTCCCCCTCCGTCTCCTCCGACATGCACCCCATGCACCCCAACGCGTCCCTGGTGCTCCTGCTCGGGCTTCTTGGGCTCTCCGCCACCCTCGCGCACCCGCTCGGATCGCACGACAGCCATGCCGAGCACGGCCGGGCGCTTCCCGGGACGTGGTACCAAGCCCGGGACCACCCCGTCCACGAGCTGTTCAAGAAGGCGGGCGACGGCCAGAGCTATGCCGCGGTCGGCAGCGACGGTCCGTCCCTCGCCCGTTACCGCCCGTCCGAGCTGACGATCTCGATACAGCCTGGGTGGCCGCATACCCCGATCCGTGGACGACCCTGGACCCGGACGAGGTGCCCGCGGCGTGGGTGGCGGCGCTGGCGGCGGCGAGGGCAGCGGGGAAGATCCCGGACATCCCGGTGTCGACGCAGAACGGCGCGGGGACGAACCCGACGTACGGCGATCTGGACCCGTCCTCGAAGGAGATCTGCTCCTCGACGTACAAGGACTGTCACAACCCGGATGACATCTGGGACGCGCCCGACGGCGTCTTCGCCTCCTCCTTCGATGACGGGCCGACCAGGGTGCGTCCTCTTCGCTTCTGCGGGCGTGCGCGGAGCTGACGGCGGCGATCGCCCTGCAGTCCTCGATGCAGCTCTACGAGTTCCTCCACGAGAGAACCTCGTCACACCCACTTCATGATCGGCAGCGCGATCATCGACACTCCCGACGCGTTCACCTACGCCTTCGAGACCCTCCAGAGTGAGTGTCCGACTCTCACGTCTCTCCTCGGCCGCTGCTCACAGCCGCAGGCGACATCGCTGTCCACACGTACACCCACCCATACATGACTACACTCAGCGACAAAGCCGTCCTCGGGGAGCTCGGCTGGACGATGGAGCTCATCCACAACTCCACCGGCGGCCGCCTTCCCAAGTACTGGCGTCCGCCCTTCGGCGACTCGGACGAGCGCGTGCGGGCGATCGCCAAAGAGGTCTTCGGACTGACGACCGTCATCTGGAACCAGGAGTACGTGCCGCGACACAACTTCCACCACGCCGAACTGACCCACTCCCGCTTCCGCCTACAGCACCGACGACTGGAGCATCGGCCAGTCGGGCGGCGCGACCCGCTCCAAAGTGAACGCCAACCTCGCCAAGTGGATCGAAGGCCCCAAGTCCCCAGGGCTGGTCATCCTCGAGCACGAGCTCAACAACAACACCATCGGCGCCTTCATCCAGGCCTTCCCGCTCATCGCCCAGAACGGCTGGAAGTTCGAGAGCCTCGCCCGCATGGACAACGGCGCCGTCTACCAGAACGCGGCGGACTCGAAGCCCGACTCGCGCGTCGTGCCCGCGAGCGTCGCCCAGCCGCTCAAGCGCAGCTCGACCGCCTCGACCGCCGACACCAGCAGCCCCGCGTCCACCCAGTCCGCCGCCGCGAGCGCCATCGCGAGCGTCGCCCCGAGCGCCGCCCCGTCCTTCGTTACCGGCGGGGCGGAGACGGGCGGGGCGGCAGCGCTCTCGTCAATGTCCGGTCTCCTCGCCGCGTCCTGCATCGTTGCAGGCGCGGCCCTCCTCCTCTGCTGATCGGTCTCTCTCGACTTGCCCCCACACTATCGTGACTTCGACTCTGGATGTTTATGGACCTTGAACACTACGCTATAGCTTACACGGACGCACCGCTCTTTGACGACATCTACCCGCACTACACTACTATCGCCATCCTCTACTTTCATACCTCGGTGTACATCTTTGTAAACGACTTCGTAATGATGTAACGACCTCCGACGAGAACGAGGGGTGAGCACTGAGAACATAAAATCGCCAAGTCAGTCCTCCCGCGTTTTCTTTGCCAAATCCCTCAGTGTGACCTTGATTTATGAACGACGCCCTCCTGCAGGTGACACATTAATTCAGTTAAAGACCTCCGGATCCCTTCAAAGCTTGAGTAGGTACTGTCATGCATGCAATGAAGAGGTTGATGTCGCTGGTCTGGCTGCAGGATTGCTGGGGAGCGCCTCATCCGAGCTCCAGGATGATGGCACCGTGCGCGCGCCATTCGCCGGCTCTGAGGATGCCCCAAGATGCGCGAGGCGGGGCAACGCAGTGCGAGGTTGCAAGACAGCGCTCCCATATAGCTACTGCGTGTGGGGCACAACGGACGCGGCGAGCGGGGCTCACGCGCGGGGCTCTGCGGGTACTTGGGAGGCGTGGTTCTCCGACGAAGGAGAGGGGCGGGAGGACTTGCGGCGGCGGCGGAGGCTCTCGCGCCTGGACCAGAGCGCAGGGTGCAGGCGAGAGCGGGAGTAGCCGACACATCAGAGAGCTCGACGACAACCAGTGGTTTTTTGCGATGAGGCACGAGTATGAGGGCGCGATGGTGGGCAACAACGCGCGGAGGACGTTGGAATTCGCGTGGTGGACACTGTGACTGCGCGGGGTCTGAAAGGGCATTCACACCAGCACCCAATGGTAATAATTGCGGGTCGTCTGCGCGATTGGTCGTGAGCTTCGAGCCCGCCGAAGGGTCATAATCGGAGTCGTCATACTAAGAGTACTTGCGTTTTTCTATGTTACAACGCCGAACCTTTACATCTTTGATTTTGGAGAGGGGATTGTTATGATACAGTACGCGTGAGACGTGAACGTTTCCGTGCGGTCCGTGCGTTCGGGACTTCGAACTTTACGGCGCAAGGCGTTCTATCTTCCATTCGGGCGCATCGTCCGGTGAGCCCTCTACGCGCATGTACCGCACTCTGTCGTGCAGCCTAGACGGCTTGCCGAGCCAAAACTCGACCTCGCTGTAAAAAGAGCCGACACATTCAGCATCCCCCAAGCCTCAAGAACAAGAAACAAGCAGGCGTACTCGGGCACGATCCTCCACCCGCCCCAGAACTCCGGCAGAGGCACGTCCTCCCCGAACCTCTCCTCGATCTTCTCCGCCCGCGCCTGCACATCCCCCTCGCCCACGACCGTGCTCTGCCGGCTCGCCCACGCGCCCACGCGCGACCCGATCGGCCGCGACCGGAAGTACTCCTCGCTCTCCTCGCGCGAGACGCGCTCCGCGCGGCCGACGACGCGCACCTGCTGGTGCGTCTCGCGCCAGTAGAACGCGAGCGCGGCGCGCGGGTTCGCGGCGAGCGCGCGCGACTTGGCGGACGCGTAGTTCGTGTAGAACACGAACCCGCGCGCGTCGACCTGCTTGAGGAGGACGACGCGGGCGGCGAGCGCGCCGGCCGCGGTCGCGGTCGCGAGCGTCATCGCCTCGGGCTCGCGCGCGGCGGGCTGCACCGCGGCGAACCACGCGCGGAACTGCGCGAGCGGGCAGGCGGCGACGGAGGCGGGGGTGAGGTGCGCGGGGACTCGTACTGCTCGTGCGCGACCACTTGGAGCGTGTCCGGCGCGGGCTGGGCGAGCGCGGTCCCGGGGTGCGTCGAGGACATTGTGGGTCGTCGTGAGAGGGGGCGATGGGGGCAGCGGGCGGAGAGAGGGCGAGCGAGTGGGCGATGCGGAGGACGTGGTCGAGTCAAGAGATGCATGCGCTCTGGAGCGTCGTCGACTGGCCGATGTCCGTCGGCGATGACGGGCTCACGGTCTGGCGCCCGCCGTGCCATATCGGGAATCTCCTCGCCTCCTCGGGCTTTTTGGTGCCCCACGGCCCAACATCGAAGCTCAAATACTGCCAGTCGTCTCCGTAAGATGCAGCGACTCTCGGTGGAATGGTATGTCTGAGTGGAAAATAGGTCGTATGCCAAATAATTATTCGGGGATCTCTTGAAGAGCTAGATATTGGTCTTCTTCAATCAGCATATACTTTCATCATCAACCTCTGTCTGAACCTATCTGAACATAAGTCCTCCAGCCATTCCTTATAGATCTCCCGTGTCTGGAGACCAACAACATTTCCAGGAACCGTACCTGCCCGAAGCCATGATACGGATATCGAGGCACCCTCGGCTTGGGAGAGCAGTGTCGCCTCCGCCACAGGTCCTGTGTACGTGAAGGTGCCTTGCAAGACTGTGCTTCCGGAGCCGAGAACGCCGGTGGGCCTCGGTGGACTGCCTTTTCCGGTGGTAGATTGTCTGCAGCGGACTTGGTCCCAAAGCCTATCAGCGGCTCCCGCCCTCGGCTGGGAAGGGACTTAATGTATACCCCGCGAGGCTCGCGTCGTACCCGCGCGGTTAAGTACTCAAGTACTCAACGCCGACGCTTGAGTAATCGAAGGCGATTTGGGGACGGTAAGTCCCACCAATCCTGCTCAGACTAAATTCTAGTCGCTGATCCGGCGTCGGCTCGAACATGAGTGTGGCTCGAACACAGTCTCTGGCAACGAGCCTTGCATGACTCCTGCGCATTCCCTGCGTCAACATGGGTACGGATCATTCACATACTTGAGCTGAGAGCGGTCCTGTCCACGGAAAATCAACGTTGGGCGGCGAGAAGCCGCAAGATGGGTGTGCCCAAGGACTGGAATACTAGTAGCTGATGGGCATCTGGAACACGGGTGCAGCGACGTGCTCCGGTGCAATAGGGTGCAACCTTGGTCACGGCATCTAGAGGGTCCCAATGTGCCGTGTCATTGACATTTACCCAGGACTCAGAGTCGCCGTTTTTGAGGCGCATAAGGAGACAAAGGGTAAGGTAGCTTAGATAGCACTCGCAGTTTGGGAGAGCCGCACACCGGTGATGGCGCTGATGGTAGAGATGCTACGTTCAATAATAAGTCGAGTGCATGAGTCGAATTCAAAATGAATGAGACATTGGTTCTTGGCGCTCGGCCTAGGAACATGCAGCGGTGGTCGGGAAGCTACGTTGAGGCAAACGTTTATTCCGCCACATCTGGTGGCTTCGGCGAAGGTCTTATCAGTGCCGCAGGTGATAATCGTCCTCCAGACCGAGATCGTGTACGTGCTCAAGCTACACGTCCATGTCTCGTGATTCGAAGAACGTCGAGAACGTCGAGACAGACGGGAGATTCCGACTGCAGCTATGCTGGTTGAAGAGGCCGGCAGATCGCGCCCCTGGATGGTTCAGCGTTTGACGGTTATAAGTACTAGCGTGAGCAGAGTTCTGATAGACTCGGTTTCAATTGGCTGGCCACCATCATATGACGTACAGGAAGTTGGTGTACAAGGTTGAAAGTGTGGGATGCGCCAGTACTTGAGCGGTATTGGGTAGCATGCTGGGGACAAGAGGAAGCGGTGGGGAGGCGAAGAAAGAGAGCCGTACGGCAGGATCACACAAGAAGCAGAACGCTGGCTGCGGCCACGGGGGAAGGAAGACGAGGAGAGAGGAAGATTGTGGGGAGGCAGGCGACGCTGGGAACCGGAGGGACCGGAGTGGGAGAGTCGGGCTGGTGGAGATTCTTCGGGCACGTTGCGACGCCACAGGTGGAACTCTCGAAGCGAATCTCGAAGGGAGCGATCACAAGCAGGGCAGACTAGCGTGTTTGAAGACCGAAAACCCTGACGTCCGCGCGCACGCTGTCTGGACCGGGTCTAGCCATCTCAAGTAGTAAACTATGCCATGTTCGCGGGCAAGCTGGACAGATAGGCCGCTGCGGCGGCCACAAAGAAACACGCTGGATGACAGCAGTCTGCAGGAGCAATGGGGAGCGGGGGTCGGAGAGAGAGGTACCAACTGAGCGGGCGGTGCGGAGGAGGGACGGCCAGATTCGGCAGAGGAATCTCCCGCGACAGCGCCCAGCGCGCAGTCTAAGCGCCTCTGAATCACTGTAATATTAAGTGTACCGCGCGCCGTCCTCCGCTCCCGTCCCTGCCGCCGCCTCGTCCCTCTGCTTTCCGTCCGTATCACTGCCCGCCCTGTCTTCGGCCGCCCCCCGCCCGTCCCAGGGGCGAGCTCCCGCCTCTGCCATGTACCCCATCTCCGACCTCACCGCCTTCTGCCGCAAGACTACTGGCGATGTCCCTCCCAAGCTCGTCGTACGTATCCGTGCTCAAACGCATCCTCGCCCGTCCCCAGTCTGATGCAGCCTGCATACAGGGCGCGTCCACTACCGTGGTCGGCTCCAGGATGTACCTTTACGTGAGTACTTCGGTGTATGCTTTGAATGTGTACCGATGATATGCGTTAGGGCGGTCGTCTCGTCTCCGAGCGCAAGATGGTCTCAGACATCTATATGTTCGACCTCGAGAGCTTCAGATGGGAGAGGATAGCTCAGTCACCGGAGGACGATATTCCCCAGGCGCGTTACTTCCACAGCGCAGATACTTGTACGTGTCCCGCTTCACGCGCGTCCGCGCATGCCCTTACACGCACTCCAGGGCGGAACCATCTCATTATCTTCGGTGGGATGGCAATCAAACCCCAGTCAGACAATCCTGAGGATCTCTGCGTTCTCAACGACGTCCGTCTCTTCGATCTCCACACTCGCCATTGGCTCCCCGCCGTACCCATCTCTGCTGACTCTGCGCTCATACCCAATGCGCGCTACGCACATCTCTCCTCGGTCACCGCCGACCGGCTGTTCATCATTGGTGGACAGGATCTTGCCAACGTCTGGCTGGACGACGTCTACATCTTTGACCTCGTAGCGCAAACTTGGATCCAGCGTCGGGACTACCCTCGACACTGCGGCACCTACCGTAGTGTTGCGGTCACAGCGGACCAGCGAGTGCGGCTCCCCCAAGATGAGATGCGTGGATCACAGCCAACGTCCAGATTGGGCCCTCCGGGAACACGCTTCAATGTCGACAAGAAGGGTCCCGTTACGCCCAACGCCACGCAGGGCGAGTCTCTAATCCACCTCCCGTACTCCGCAGCGCCCACCGACGAGTACCCATGTGATATCTTCTTGTTCAGCAATTACAACGTGAGTCCCGTTTAGTATGCGCGCCTTTTCATTCAATGATTTTACTCATGGTCGTGTGCCCACTTTGATAGTTCACTGATGTGCAGCGTGAGCTGGAAGTTTTCACTCCACTGTCAGATGGCGACTTCACGGTTTCTGACCGCTCCTCGTCAATGACCGGTACCTCTTTCCCTCCTGGTCTTCGCTTCCCGACGGGCGCGATTCTGGGAACCTTCTTTATCGTCGCGGGCACTACCTGTCTCAGACCTATCAATCCTTTTCCATCTGGGCGCTCGACCTCATCAACATGACCTGGTCTCGCATTGATCCAGGAAGCGCTCTTGCCTCTGGCTCGTGGTTCCGCAGTTGCCTCTGGGCCAGCGCGAACAAGTTTGTCGTGTTCGGGAACAGGCACGGCAACCTGGTTGAAGACTACAACCGGCGTCTCCTGAGCTGGGACCATGTCACCTGCATTGATTTGGAGGCATTCGGCATCTACCAACCGCCTCCACTGATGCTCGACATCCCGATGCAGGAGCTCGGTTTGGCGGCCTATGAAGAGGGTCTCATGGGGGACTTCGAGATCATCTGTGACGACAACCGGAGGATCAAAGTTTCACGGAAGCTCCTCGAGGACCGCTGGCCATGGTTTAAGGAGCAGCGCAAGCTCTTCTTACAGGCCGCCTCTCGTGCTCTCGAAGCATTGCCTGCCGTCGGCTCGCATACACTCACCCCCGAAGTCCCTACCTCTAACCGCCAAGAGCAGCGCCCCGACCCCCGCCTCACCCCGCGTACTTTCAACCTCTCCGAACCATACCCTATCACCCTCGCCTTCGTGCAGTACCTGTACTCTATGGCACTCATCACCCCTCTGCAGCACGCGCCAGCTGTTCTTAGTCAGTTACTCCTGCTCTCAAGCACGTACCAGCTCGACCACCTGCAGACTCTTGTGAAACACGCAATGCACCGTGCACTGAGTTACGCGACCTCTGTCGGTATCTACGGAGTCTCGACGCTTTGCAGTTGCAGGAGCCTTCAGATACGGCGAGTCCCAGAGTCCCACCGCTTTTGGCGCAATGAGCTGACGAAACCAACCCTCTGTAGTGCATTGCGCGTCGTCATGGTATGGTGTATCTGTCGCATCCCTCATAATACACCAGCTCATGCCGCACTCTTTGTCATCTAGGCTTATTCGCAAAAACGCCCTGCTGGTCGTGCGAAGGATGGTAAGGACGGTAGTGCAGGAAATGGCCAGTCTTCCGATGCTTCGGGCGGCGGCGGCGGCGGCGGAACACGGGGTTTGGACCTCGCGGCTCGTCCACGCGGTATGTCTGATGCCTCGTACATGCGTGGTGGAGGCGGCGCACCTCGCGGGTACATGCGGGGGTCTGGGCGTACTGGTGAGCGTTTATGCCATAGATCAGCCTTCACGCTAACGCTTAACAAAGACGAGAGCGAGCTCGTCGATCTGCAGGACTTCGGCATTCCCGGACAGACAGTACGGGTTCCCACCCACTCCAGGAGGCTTGCACCGCTTAGTGAGGAAACAACGTTTGACACGCCCGCGACACCACCAGCTGGTGCTGGTATGTTCAACCTGCCGTTCCTGCAAACGCGCAGCACGCTGACTGTCTGTGCAGGTCGCCCTCCGCCGCCAAGCAATCCTCTCCCCACTCCACCAAACCAAATGCTCAGCCGCATGGCTTCTATTGAGGGTCTCTCCCAAGAAAACTACAGCGAACTACCTTACCGGTCTCTGTCAAATGACGGCCATTATTTGGAGGATGTCTACGCATCAAGCGGAAGCATGCCCTCGTCGCCGGCTAGGAGACCACGGCCGTTCAGCGTCATCTCGCAGTCGACGGAGCAGGACATCTTCGCGATCGCCGATATCCTGGCCCCCGCCATGGACGCTAGTACATCTGGAGGTCTGGAAGAGCCCGTGCCCATGGCACCAACGGAGCTCGGCCTTTTCGATGATATCTACATGGAGGAGTCGAACGCACCCCGCGAAATCCGTAACTCGTTGTCGGCGCTCCACCTCGCCTATCAGCGCAACACTGGGCTTATCTCAAGTCGCTCCTCGGCTTACGCCGAATCGGATGGCGCGTCGTGGATGGGTAGCGAGAGCGATCTGAGCGACTCTGTCTTACTCAACCCCTCGCGGGCCGGATTTTTCCGCGGCAGCCTGCCCTCGCTGGACGATTCGCGCTCGCTTTCCTCTGCGACGTCCTACTCGTCCTTGCATACTCCTGCCGCCAGCCGCACCGCGTCTATTGCCATCGCTTCCCCTCCCCTCAGCCCAACCATATCCTCCCCATACTCGCCCGCCGGGTCCCCCAACCCGCGCTACTACACCCTTCCCCCGTATGGAAAGCTGCCGGGCGCGACTTCCGCCTCGTACGCGACGTACTTGCCCGAAGACACCTACACCCGGCTGTCGACGGACACGATGACGTCTCCCGACGAGCACAGGTTCGTGCACCCAGGCATCGAGCATAGGGCAGCGAGCCCCGGCCCGCCCGCGAAACGCCTCCCGAGCGACCTGCGGCGGCTACAGATCGTCGGGCCTGCTCTCTCGCCGGCGTCCGCGCCGCCCGCAGACTCGCGTGCGCAGTACCACGCACCGTTCGCTCCCCAGCAGCGCTCAGCGCTGCCTCCAGTACCGGGCCCGTCGACGCGCGCGCCGACATCTGCCCCGGCGCACGGCCGCGGTTGGAGGGCAGGGACAGGTGCGCACCTGATGGAGCGACCACTGCGTCCGCCGAGCCCGGTGGCGTCGACGTCGACGTCTTCCGACAGGTCGTCGCTCACGAGCGCCGCGCCGAACAAGTCGACGTTCGGACTCGGGAAGTTGTTCGGGGGGGCGGGTCGAAGGACAAGGACAAGGACAGGGCGGAGACCTCGGCGGAGCCCGCCGCGGGCGAGGGCCTGAGCAAGGCCGAGGAGAAGCGGCTGAAGAAGGAGGCGGCGCGGGCGCGCACGGAGCGGCTCGCGCAGGACCTCGCGGAGAAAGCGCGGCGCCGCGCGGAGGAGGCCAAGGCGCAGCGGTCGACCCGCGTCCGCGAGCAGACGGCGAAGACGTGGGAGGAGAAGGGTGACATGTACGGCAGTGGGATCGGCTACCTGTGAGCTCCCCGTCCTCTTCGCCAGCGTCCGCTTCCGGCGTCGGGTTTCTTCGCCCACTGCTTCGCGCGCGCGCGCCCGTGTACTCCGGTGTATCATTTTCCACCACATTCTAGACGGCCTCTTGGCCTCCCCGCCCCCTCCCCACGGCCTCGCATATGCTGACCCCATTGTTTATAATCCTACGCTCTCGCCACATATATATATCTGACCCTGACCATTCCTTACTGGACTCCGCCGGTGATAAATCCGCTGTACGCTGTAGTGTTGTTACTCCGCCGCCGCCATAGTGTAATCCAGCCCCCAACGCGTGACCGCGCACCCACGACCCCCGATGCCACACTCCGTCAGCACGAACCGCGAATGCATTGTAGACGTCTCGCGCGGCGCTCGGGGCCGTCTGCACCCTCGACGCGCCCGCGCTGGGGCATCAGCACCTGAACGCCGCAAACCTTGCAGCTGGCAGACGTCGATGCTGCCCCCGCTTCCCAGCGGTGTCCCAAGCTTCCTGTGGCCCCGGGGCCACGTGGCGGCTAGACTCATGCCTCTTCTAGCTGCCTTCACCTCAAGGGTCCTGCGAGTCGCGACCGGCCGGCCTCCGTTCGACGTCTAATCCTCGAAGCCCCCGGGGGCGCGCGCGTCGGGCCCGACGCGGCGGTGCGCTGCGGGCTCGGAATCGCTGCGCCAACTCACGAGGCGCCGCGCCGCGTTCGAATCCGAACGCGCGCGCACGCCTTCTGACTTCTATGTATCCCTCCCGCCGCCGCCGATTCGGTGCGCCGTGCGAATCCAACGAAACTACTTGGGACGTTCAACGGCCGTGGGACCTGCAGGCGGGGCCCGGGCGGGGGACACGCCCGCAGCGACTCGAGCGCGTGCGAAAACGGACGGTGGAGATCCATTCGAATTCCGTCGTGAGCGTGGACCGGGGTGCGTGGGGTACGTGGGGACAGGCGACAGACCAGGTGAGTGGAGAGAGAGGGGCGGGCAGCGGTGGCAGCGTATCTGTACAGGTGCAAAGGACGATGGGCGATGGGCGATGGGACCGATCCGACGACGGTTCCTGCAGGAGACCAAATGGGACAGCGAGGACAGCGACGGACGGCAGAACGAACGAGTGGAGGAGACGGTGTATGGGGAGCGGGGACGGGCCAACGAGCGGGATCGATGCGACGGGAAACGGGTGCGACGTAAAGGCAAAGGGCCTAGGCGGACGGAAGAAGGAAGCAAGGGTAGAGTACAATGCGCTGTATTCGTAAATGCTATGTTGAGATCACTGAGAATGAAGAAGTGGGATACGATGTGCAGGATGGGAGCGGGAACCGACCCCGCGCGACGCACCCACGGGGCGTTGCCAAGGGCGATAGCACGAAGCCGGATCGTGGAACTCGTGACGGGGAAAGGGCCGATGGAAAACAGTAAACAGAAAACCGGAAGGCGGTGGCGGAACGGTGAAGACGGACTGCCGTACGCGGAGTTCGCGGCCAAGATAGCGGAGCGCAACTCTTGGCGGAGAGAGCGAGACGTCTAAGCACATGGTGTGCCGCGCCAGACTGCCGGTCCTAGAGCAGCGCGTCGACCTCGTCGCGGAAGTCCTGCGACGACGGTGCGGACCCGTACTCGACCAGGTCTGCGGCGTCGAGCGCCGCCGCCGCCGCGATTCGCGCCGGCACGGTGCGAAAAGCGGCCTCGATGAGCGCGGGCGGGAGGCTGAGCGATGCGCGCATTTGTTGTTCTTGCGATTGCGAAGAGGGAGCTGCCCGCGACCCGGACGCCGATGGGGCCCCAGGGTTATGCACACCAGAGCCGGAGCCAGACGGCAGCAGGGAGAAGTCGACGTCTGAAAGCGTGTCTTCCTCCTGCGTGAGTGCGGGCGCGTGGGCTTGCTGTGATCGCGACGGCGGCAGGGTGTCCGACGGCGGCTGGGGTGGGGGTGGGGGTGCGAGGTCGATGATGTGGTTGACTAGATTGAACGCAACAACGGAACACCGCAGAGTCAGCACTCGCACGTCCGCGGGGGCGTGGAGGGGAGAACTCACATTCTTTCGCGTGCGCTGGAGCAGACGCGCCCGTGGAAGTGGAAACGAGATGAGCACATGTTCAGAACACTCGCGTCCTCGAGACGCAAGAAATTTTATGAAGACGCTCACAGTGGTTCTTCTGACGCGGACATTGCGTGCCGTCGGGGCAGTCCGGGCGCGCCATTACGTGTTCTTCGAGGAAGCCCTTCCTGCGTTCTCGCACCCACCACTCCCGCAGGCCGTACAGCAGAACCTCGGTCGCACACAGCCGGCAGATCCGCGTTCTGGGCGTAGACGGCCCAGGGTCGGCGCCCCCGGGCACCTGGTACATTTCCGCGAACAGATCGAGCTCAATGAGCGGCGCAAACCCGCGCGGCTGGGACTGGATGTGCCCCACGATCTGGTGGCGAGAGACGTCAGCCGGAGCGCGGACGCGGTCGACGAAGAGCGCCGGGCGAGGGCGAAGTTCCAACGCACCTCGCGGTAGATGTGGTGTGGGGAGAGCGTCTGCGCGGTGAGGTAGTCGAGCATGTAGTCGACCTCGACCGTGTTGCTCTCGAAAGACTCGTAGATCTCACCGCACTGGATCAGGTCGCCGATGTCCGTGAGCCCGTGTGGGTGCTGGCTCGCGAGCGGGGCGGCGACGCACCGCCCCGGGACGCCGATCCCGCAGAACGAGACCTGGCAGAAGTCGCACCGGGTCGTCGACGGCGCTGCGAGCGCGAGCACCGTCTCGCTGTGTCACGGGACCGCGGAAGCCGAACCGCACAAGTCAGAACCAGTCGCTTCACAGACCACGGTGGGACGGGAGGCACGCACCAGTTCCCGCATATAGTGTGGCCGGGTGGGTTGCCCTCCTCTGCAAGCCACGCGTGGCTGGGGTCGACGTCCGGGTCCACGATGGGCTGCGGGCAGCGCCATCCCCATTGGTTGCCGGCGAAGCAATGTGGGCACGGGCGCGTGTATGCGCTGTTCGTTGTTGGGATCGCGGGTTCAGGCGAGGCCTGTCTGGGGCTCGGAATCTGCATGGAGCCCGATCAGACGAATTCGAGTACGCGAAGAGGGCTCCGGGGAGGCGCACCCGGAGGTAGACGCCAGGATGGTAGATGGCGTCTGCTTGTATGCGCTCCGAAACCGAGCGGGCCTTGCTCGGCGCGTGGCGGAGAAGAGTGTCGACGACCTTCTGCAGCGGCCGGGAGAACTGCACGCTGGTGGAGACGGACCTACACGCTGGGCAGCTCGTCCCGCCGTTCTGCGCAAGTAGAGGGAAGTAGGTCAGCGCGCCCGCCACACACGACCCGCCACCACGCCCGAGCGAGGACCACTCACCCTGATCCAAAGCGCGACGCAGCTGCAGGTGATGGCGGGAACGGGGGCAAGAACGAGCCCAGGACCGCCCTCAGCCTCCCTGCGCACACGAGGAGGACGGGGGGGAAGCGGGAGAGACGCACCTTCCGCAGAAAAAGTGCTGGCAGGGCACGACGACGACCGGCCGGTACACGATCGCCGAGCAGCACCCGCACTGGAGCTCCTCCTCCAGGTTCTCCGCGAGCGCGGCGCCGTCCACCGCCGCCGCCTCCGCTCCGGCCGTCTCCTGCTCCCCAGTCTCTTCGGTGCGCTGCTTCTTGGGGACGGTCGCCGCCTCGCCGCCGTCGTCCTCATCTTCCTCGGCATCTGGCTCGGGTTCTTCAAACGCGTCGGCGGCGCTGCGCTTCAGCGATGGGGCGGGTAACGGTGCGCCAGTGGCGCCCGTGGGGGTGCCGGTGCTAGTACTAGCAGCCCCGATGTCGCCGCTGGCCCCGACGGGCATCGCAGGTATATCTTGCGGATGGACTTCTGCGTCCATCGCGTGTCTTCGAGTCTCGCGAGGTTGTGTGGCGGTCGAGTGCAGGGAGGATGGTGGTCAGAGGTCAAGAGAGAGGGCTCAAGCGTGATGAATCGCCCATTGGGCGCGCCCGGATTAGGAGCGCGCAGGCGCTGGAGGCTCAGCTTGAGCGCTTGGGCTTGCACCCGTTTTCGGCGGACCATGGCGTCCGGCCGCGGCGCGTTTCAATTACAGGTCTTTGTTCGGGTTGGGGGATCGGAAAGGAGGTATGGGCGCAATGCAATTTGTGGGACAGTCACTGCGGCGTAAACAAGGCGTAAAGGTGGTGCGGAGGAGGCGGAAATAAGGTACACTGGTTGCGAAGCACATCATGTCCGTGTGCTATACTATGAGAATGAAGCATGGAAACGAGAACGGGCTACTGAGACGCGATGCACATGGAGCAACAGGTAAGTGGCGAGAGTGGCAGGGTATGAGCATGGGCAGAGCGATTATAAACCACAGCGTACAGTATTTGTGCGGAATGAAAGCAGTGCGGACGGGGCGGGGGGCGCGTGCAGGAACGGACACAGGGAAAGCAACAGGACTTACGGTAGCAGAGCAGAGTGGCAGAGACGTGCGTCAGAGGAGCATTGAGCAAATGGTGGCGGCAGTTTTTGGTGAGGTCACAAGCCGGAGGGCGGGACGTGAGGGAGCTCGTCCAACGGTGAGATATAGGGCGACAGGCCGGGTACCGAGGCGGCATAGCACGAGCCGTTAAGCTTGTCGCGCAGGTCGCTCCAGCGACGCTGCTGTTCTGCAACGGCATGTCAGCAATACAGACGAACGCATACGTGGTAGACGAGGACGCGCACCTGGACACGGCCACAGCGTCATGAGGTATTGAACCGGGCGGGAGAGCGCCTTCGCGACTTCGAGCGACAGAACGAGCGAGCGGTCGTACGCCCACAGCCGCAGCGCGCTGTACGACGGAGAACGAATCAGCAAACTTGCGCGGCGAGAACGTCGGAGAGAAGGGGCAAGTGCGCGCGTGGGAACAGGGGATCAGGCACAGGGCACGGCGGCCAGAAAGGGGGCCGTAGTGTCTGCTCAGGCACATCCACATCCATCCGCAAACCACCACGACGAAGACGAGCAAGGCGCGCAGAAGACTCACCGCTCGATCTGGGACATGAACCAGAAGAGGAAGAACGGGCGCCGGGCGAGGTCGGACGAGGGCAGGCCGGTGACGACGTGAAGGCCGGCGTTGAGCAGGCGCTGGGCGAGCATGGCCTGGCTGGTGACTGCGCATGCCAGCGAGACCCGCGGGCGCAAGAAGACGACGGAACACCCGTGCAGTGCGTGCGTCAGCGACGAGCGGCGGGACGGAGGAGTGGAGGGAGCACTCACGCCATTCCTCGGCCTTGCGCCGGTAGAAGACCAGGTGCGCTTCCCTGCGAGGCCGCGACGGCAATATTAATCATCAGCACCAAGCCCGTCACGCAACGACGACGACGACGACCGCCGCCCACAACCGTCAACGGGCAGACAGCTCGGGGCCCTGGGCGCACGGGGGCGGGAGAACACAAGAGGAGAAGGGGTTACGTACACCGTCGTCCGCGGCAACCACTCCTGGAGCTCGTACGCGATGAACGTCCGCGCGCTGTCACGACGGCCAGTTAGCCACCCCCGCCCGCTCGCGCGAGCGCACGGACCGCGACTCACTTGAACAGCAGCTCCCGGCCCTGGAAGAGGTACGCGCGCTCGATCCCGCACGCGTGCGCGCCCAGCGCGTCCTCGATCGCCTCCGCCTCCGCCCACGCCGCGGCCGCGAACCGCGTCTTGTCCGCGTCGGCGAGCGCGTCGGGCTCGGCGCGCAGGCGGACGCACGAGTTCCAGAGGAGCATCGTGCGCACCTGCAGCGCCCAGACCGACTCCTTGTCCGGTGGAGGCACCGCGGGGGCGTCGTCGGCGTGGGTGAGGGACTCGCCGGGGAAGAGGAGACGGCACTGCCGCAGCCAAGCATCAGCGCGATGTCCTGGAGTGGCCCCGAAGCCGGCCCGCCGCCGCTCGGGGTATTGGCGATCGACGGGGGGCAGAAAGGGAAAGAAAGGCTGCCGGCGAAAAGCGAAAAAGCAGGGGCGCCGGGAAGACACAGGAAGAAGAGGAAGCAAGGGCGGCGCGGGCACTCACGTTGCGCGGATCCATCAAAAACATCTGCTGGGTCTCCATCTCCTCCCCCGCGGCCGTGTACGAGCTGTGGCTCGCCGTGAGCCCGACGCTGCTCCACACCAGCCGCCGGCACTCCTCCTTCCGGATGTCCGCCTCCGTCCACGAGCTCTGCCACGTCGGCGTCATGTTCCACAGCGGCGCGAACTCCCGCACCATCGGCCACGTGTGGCCCAGCGTGAACCTCGCGCAGTGGCACCCGCTTCCCTGTCTGCCCTCCGGGACCCCCGCCGCCAACCGGTCGTGATCTTCGGCCTGCGTTTGCGGGACGTCGTGCGCCGACGGGTACACCGGGTGGTAGCCCAGTGCAGTCGACGGTGCGGCGACAGACCCCAGGACCTCTGCCGTCCCCCAACCGCTTTGGACAGCCGGAGACTCGCCGAGGGGTCGGTGGCCGTTCTGTGCACCGCGGGCGTCGTCGAAGGGCGGCCGTGCGCACCGGACGGGCGAGTGGACGGGGACGGCGGGGACGCTCGACGCGAACGCCGTCGCCCGGGGATCTTCCGCGTCGAGCGACATCAGCTTCATGCTCCGGATCAGCGAGTCCAGCAGGCCCATCGACGACCGCACGCGCGCGGTCGAGTGCAGCGGGTGCGCGCACACCTCGAAGAACGCGAGCAGCTGACCGGTCCGCCGACAGCGTCAGGATCATCGAAACTCAACCGCCGGCGACCGGCGAGCAACGGGGAGGGGGGGACGCACCCATGCGGCCTGGACGAGGCTGTGGTCCAGCCAGCGCGAGTTCAAGCTCGCCTCCAGCGCGCTCTGCGCCTGGTCCCTCAACCTCAGCGACCGCGCCCTCCCCGCCGCCCCCAGCTCCATCTCGTGGCTCTTCAAGAACGTCGCCAGCGCCAGCGCCCCCAGGATCAGGCTCGGCTGCACGCCGTCGCGCGTGCGGGGGTCGAGCAGCGCCCCGAAGAACCGCGGCAGGTTGAGGAAGCTGAGCCAGTGCGGCGAGGTGTGGAAGATCGACCGCAGGTCCGCCGTGATATTTTGCGTCGCCGTCTCGCGGACGTCGGCGGGGATGGTGAGTGTCACGTCGAACGGATCGCCGCCGCCGCCGTCCCGATGGGCGTAGAGACTGAGCAGGGCGTCCCACCAGGTCTCGCGGGTGAACTGGAGCCCTGGATCCTCTGCGATTACTATCTTCTGGTCATCGTCTTCCTCCCGCTCCTGTCTTCTCGTTGTCGTCGCTCTTGCCGCCTCGGGAGCCGCTCCGACGCCGTATGCGTAAGTCTCTGTCATCACTCCAATTTCGGGTACGGGTACAAGGTATTCATGCGAAGTCCGGGCGCCACCGCCGGGGTATACAGTCGACTCAATGGTCAAGCGGCGGCCAGGCGCGGGTCCGTCATAAGCGGCCGTTGGGGTCTGCGTTCGCCAGGTCAGCCACCGTATTGATCTCGGCTAGCAGGGGGAGCTGATGAACCTACGAAATCATGGTGCTGAGCATAGTGCGTGCCCAGACCACCGGGCAGCGCCGAGCGTCCGACGAGCTCAGGTATGTCCTGTCGATGCCTCCCGCCGTACTGCCCGTGTCCGGAGATCGAGGGGATGTGCTCCGTCGCGTGCTGGTGCTGGTGCTGGTGCTGCTGCCCGGCCGCGTCGGCCATATACGCACCGGGCGAGGTCGGGCTGAAGTGCACCGACTTGACGTCCACCGGGCTCGCGCTCGCGCTCACGCTCCCCGCCGCGCCGTACCCCGCCGCGTCCGGGGGCGGCGGGCGCCGCCGCCGTCGTGGGGGCCGCTCCCCCGTCTGGCCCGGGATCCCGCGCTGGCGCGCGCCGGGCACCCTGTCGGGCCCCCGCCGCTTCGGCGCGGCGTCGTAGTTGCACAGCTGCGGGTTCTCCGACCGCCGACTGCAGTTGTGGCACACGGGCTTCGCGCCGTCGCAGCGGATTTTTCGGCCGCGGCTGGAGGGGGGGAGGGCGAGCGCGGTCAGGAACCCGCGATCCAAAGCAGAAGAAGAAAGATGATAAAAACGCGGAAGGAAGAAAAAACCGCGCGCAGAGGCCAGGCTCACCATTGGACGCAGGCGACGTACACGCGCGTCCGCTGCTTGCCCTGCGTCGTCAGCGGCTGGTCCGCGGCGAGCTCGAGCCGGGCTTTGTCCCTGCGCCGGCCGGACGTGGGCGATCTGCCGCTGGTGGTGTTGTTGGTGGTGGTGGGAGGCGCGCCGGCCGCCGCCACATGGGTCGCGTGGGACGGTCCCGCGAGCGGGGCCGCGTGCGACGAAAGCGGGCCGTGGTGGGGGTGGTGCTGGTACTCCCGCGTGGGGCTCCCCTCGAGCGCGGGGTGCTCGAGCCGCGCGCGCGGGGCCTCGACGGGCGGCGCGTACTGCCAGAGCTGCTCGCGCGGGTGCGGCTGGTGCGGCTGCGCGTAAGCGTCGGCACGCGCGGAGCCGGGGTAGTGCTGGGACGAGGCGGGGTCGTGCTCGGCGTGGTGGAAGGTGCCGGAGAGCGAGGAGTAGGACGCGGCGGGATCGGGGCGGGCGTGGCTGGCGTCGTAGCTGGGGCTCCGGGCGGAGTAGGAGGGGTACGGGTAGGCAGAGCTGGGGGTGGAGGCGGATGGGTATGAGGCGGAGGCTGAGTACGAGGCGCGATTGTGGGAGACGGGGTAGGGGTGGCCTGTGGACATGGCGGACTGCACCCAGCGGAGGTGGTTCTTGATCCGGATTAGTGTTTGGTACAGCACCCGCTGGACGGGGCGGGGGGCGGGAGGGGACGACGGGTGCTGTGGGCGGGGCGGCTAGTGGGACATGGGCGGCGTCGGGTGGTGGTGCGCGGGGCGGCGGGAGGGACAGCGGGGGGCGCAGCCGGGCGGGCAGAAGAGGTGCGGGGCAGGCAGAGGCGACAGGAAGCCTGTCATCATTGGATAAATAACATCTGGCCCGCGAGAAGGAAGCCAGGACCATATTCGACCACGACACTCGACGAATCGCCTCCATCCGGGTTAGTTTCGTCATTTTCGAGATGCAATTATGTAACAGGTAATTAACCCTCGGAAGCGGCTGGGAAGCCCGCACCGCCGCGCCCGCCTCCGACGCCGTCCGACCCGTGCTTAAACTTGTCTCGGCCACCGAGCCTGCCGCTGCCTCTCACGCGCTGCCGCTGCACACTGCTGCTCACCGAGGGCGCACCCATCGGTCCGCGCCGAGTCCACGCCAGCGGTGGGTGACGACAAGGGCGAGCTCGCTCGGTCGAGAGCCACGCGCGAATTCGCAGGGAACACGGTTCGTGCGCTCCCACCTTTTGACTCTGCGCGCGGGATCATCGATCCGCCTCAGCGCCCGCCCCCGCAGGGAACGGGGCCCTGCCTGCCCACTCGACAACCCGCGGTCTTCCAAGCCTCTTCCTGGCCGGCCCCGTCGACAATGCCCATCATCTTTGCCTTCCCACCCACCGCGTCTTCTTCCTGCACAGCACACTCCGTCTCACGCTCGCAATGGATGTGCGAACCCCGCCTCGAGCCTCGCGCCCTCCTTCGCGCTCTTCTCTGCCCCCATCCCCGCTCTCCTCCGCATACTCCACCTCTGAGTGGTGGTGGTCTGGGCGCGCATGCCGTGGACCCAGGCCTGGCGCAGCCCGATCCCGCGCTCGCCCCCATGGCGGAGAAACGTCGCTATTCTCGGCCGGCAAGCACGCCCGTCTATCAAGACGCGCGGTGGGAGCGGCCGGGCCATCAGTGCGCCTTCTAGCTCCTCCAGACGGCCTAGCGACATTCCACACTCGAGCCCTGTCAGCCTCGCCAAACATCCCTTCCCCGCCGAATCCGACAGGCGAGCGAACCGCGCTCGACCATCTGCATTTCCCTGCCTTCTCCCGCTCAGCCGACCGCGTCCAGCTTTGCTCTACTCCTCGGACATGGCGGACATAGCGAACGCGGCCCTACCGCTCAGCGGGCTCCCCTTCGCGTCTCCCCTTCCATCATGTTCTCGGCAACGTCCCACGTCCAACGGTGAGGGAATCCAGGTGAGCCCCCCGCTTGATCTGTGCCTGCAGGCGTCTCTTCCGAGTATATGACTGTCAAGGATCCGCTTGTTCGAACAAATGGCACAAGTACCTATTGGTCGTCTGTCGGCACGAACGCGCGAAGATTCCCATCCGCGCGCCAGCCGCCCTGCAGAAGCGCATCTACAAAGCTAAGTTCCCCCTCCGCCATTCATCCCCATCCGTACGCTCCCTCCATCGAAATACAATGCGAACCACATTCGTCCGGCCGGACGGCGGCGCGGCGCGGCGTGCGCAAACGCTATCGTCGGCGATCAAGATCTGTGCCCCCGTCCACGTTCCACGCCCATCTCCACCGCGCGGCGGGCCCCTGCGCCAGCACGTTCGAGCGAGAACGTCCTCTCGCTCGTAAATGGGCGAGTACCGCTCCCCCGGGCTGCCCTCCCACACCCTCTCCATCGTCTCCCCCGCACGCACGCGGGCGCGTCACGGGGCCCGCACCCCCCCATAGAACGCCTCCGTGCGAACCGCCCTCCCCCGCTCCCGCCCCAGCCCGACTTGTAAGGCTACATTGGCCCCCGCGCGGTCCGCTGCGGCGGGCGCGGGCGGACCACACCGCCGGGCGGCACGTCGACGGGGAACACGAGCCTCGCGCCATCACGCCGCGTCTCTCGCGGGAAGCCAAGCGAAAACATACGTGCACGAAGATCGATCGCGGCCTGGCCCGCTGCGAACCCAGTTCACCGGCCCGCCGCTCGTGCGGCAGACAGAAACTCTGATATGTACGTGCCCGCGCCCGGCCAGAGATGCGAGCTTCGCGGCGCGCGCCCTGAGGCCGGGCCAGGGCCGGGGGAGGCCGGGGGGAGGGCGCAAACACGCACTTTGCGCGCCCCATTCACCCGTCTCCTGCGTCCATTGATTCATTGTCCAAGGCCGAGGCTAAGCCCGTTCGAGCTCGATCCCAGCCCCGACGCGCTCGCACGCCCCCGACCGCGCCTGCGGCTTCGCGCGTCTTCGAACCCGTCCTCGTTGTCCGACGCCTTCGAACGCCTTCGCGTCATTTTTCTGCTGCGAAGGCTCAAGGCGCCAGCGGCGGGCCCGGGTCGGCTCTCCCTTTGCCCCACTCCCGCCCCGCGCGTCCAGCCGCATGGCACTCGTCGAGCTGATGTGTTACGCGAGCGAGCGATTGCATACCGTCCACCGAAGCTCCATGCCCGCTCGGCGTTCAGGACGGTTAAGCGGTGCGGGTATGTTCCTCGGGGGTCCGGCTACGGACGGTCGACAGCTGACAGAAGATGCGTGTGCACCACCGCAGATGTGCACATGGGCAGCGCTGCAGCCGACGACGGAAGCAGCTGGTCGTGCGACTCGCCATCGAGCGCCGCGGTGGCAGCGGGAACAGCGGACGCGAAGTCTCGGCCGACGGCGACGCCAGACGGCCCGCCCGTCGTCCATGTTCGTGCTCAGCGGTCAGGAACAGGAAATGTATTGACGTACACCGTCAACGGTGCCGTCGTTGGCGTGATACATTGATGCTCGGGGGGACGTCCGGAGGGCGTCCGATACACCTCTCCCTCCTGATGGGGCAGCCGAATGGATCCAAAGCCCGTGCGCGCGCGACGGGCTCCCATGCGCGCCGTCTCACCCAATGCTGAGCTCGCCCCGCCGTCGCCGCTGGCGTCCGCTGCGCGCGGCGCGCCCCAGACCCCGAGCGCGACGCGACGCGAACACCCAGCATTCATCGGCTCACGCGGCTCGCGGCTCGCACCAGGAACCGATCGCTCGCGTGCACTCACGCACGCTTGTCTCGCGAGCCCCGAGCCCCCACCCCGGACCCGGCGACTCAGCAGGCCAGGATTCTCAACTCGTAAGTGCGATGCGCTCACCGCACGGAGATCGCGGAGGGCGCGGGTCCAGTGATAATTAAGCTATCCGACCCTGCGCTCGTGGACGCGCTTGGCCAGGAGACCGAGTGCACGGGGTTTAGGGATAGGCGTGTGCACCCGCCCCCCTCCCCACCGCGCGGTCCCGCACGCCCTGCAGTGCGTGCAGTTCGACGGCCCCGCCGCCGCCGCGGAGGAGCAGACAGGACCCGCGCGATCAGTGGCGCGGGGCGCGCTCTGCCACTGCACCCGGCGCTTGTGCGTGCTACTCAACGCCTGTCAGCCTGGCGCCGCCTTGGGCACGGGTCCTGTCGTTTATGGGGGTGCGCCTGCCCTATGGGTCTGATATTGCTTCTGCCTCGCGAGGGCGTGGCGGCAAGCGCGGGGTGGAAATTTGCAGGCATCTCAAGATGCAGATGCTCGCCTGCAGCGGATCCGCTGGCCGGAATTTTTGAGCCTGCGTTGCGCCGGGGCGCAAGAACATGAGTACTTACGTACGAACGCGTCATGGTGCGCGCCGGAGTGGGGCGCCTTGCCGCTGTGCCGGGGCGGGAAGAAGGTTCGGGTTCGATGACGCAGGGCAGAATATTCTGCGCGAATGCATGCAGTCGACCGCGAAGAGGAGTGCGCGGCTCCCACCCCGCCTGACGTGCGGCAGTCTTGCGCACGGCACCGGGCGCGGCGCCCGTGTCCGACGCTGGGATCACATCTCGTTTGCGTGTGGCGTCGCGCGCAACGTTCGCGCGGTGTCCGGCCGAGGGTGCCCGTCTCGCCGCATCGGGGCTGGTGCGAGAATGCAGCAGTCGTGCAGACGACAGCGTTCGTATCAACTCATTTAACGTACCGCGAATCCAATGGGTACGCTGAAACCGGCAAGAAGCTAGCTATCTGCTGGAGGTTGATCCCAGGCTGGACGCTCGCCCGCGAATACGTTCACTGGACATCATCCCTGCGGTTTGAGGACAAATCAAATCATCCTGGCCGGCGGGAATATGAGCATAAACTAGTGCGTTAGAGCCTGGACGCAAGGTGGACGCCGAAAGGGCGAACGTTTTATACGTTGTGCGTCATCATTGATGGGGATCAGCTGAACGCGTTTTGCGTGTCGAGTCACATGACCGTGCATCCGATCACGCAACGTGGCACTGGAAGCTTCTCATTCGAAGCGTTCCAGAGCGCTTGCTTTGGACATCCATAAGTTGTGTCTTCGTCTTTCTCCTTCACCCATTCGCAGTCTGTATGCTATCTACGCTGCCAGCCCCACGACACGCCGAACCGTCCGAACACTCAAGTGCCATCAGTGCCTCCACATCAAGCCTCACGCCACAGATTTGATTCGCATCCATGGGGCGACAGCCAGCAAAGATATGCGCACGGTCCATGGTCAAATTCGGGCACACCGGGAGTATGTGTGATCGCACCTTAGGATGTGGAAGAAGGTCCTATATGAAAATTAAGTGAGTGAGTGAGTAGTGTTTAATTCCGACCCGTGAAGGTGACACTCCGTCGCCTGCACGAAGCTCGCACTACTTGTGCGATCGGTCACCTGCGGTCTCACATGGGGGCACTTCCACCTGTGGACTGACACGCATTCTCTTGGCAGACTGCCAGCGCTGCTGTGCGCTGAACCCAGGATGCCGTGATTCTTCGCGGGCTATGCACCGCGTCGCCCTATCAACTTGTGTTGCGAACAGACTTTGGCTCAGAGGTGAGAATTCATCCGTGTGAATGATTAGCCCCCCGCGCCCCGAGGTGAGATGGGGTGACCCTGTTCACGCGGGAATCATAACTCGTTGCAGGTCACAATGCACTAGGCTCGAAACCAGCCCATCGGTAACCAACCCGACTTTCAGGCTGATCTGTCCTGGATCAGCGGAGTTTGAAAGTCGGTATGTTTACCGACGGGCTGGTCCAACCTGAAGGCCCATTTGGGGGGAAGGCCCAAAAAGGCAATCACGTGAGTTGGACTTGGAGAAATCTCGCGATTCTGCCTCCAGCAGGACAGCGTTGGCGAACCTCTGCGGACGCTCTTCCTCATTCGTCGCTCCTGTACTGTGTATATGCATGTTCAATAGTCATCTATATCTAAAGATGGATTCTCCTCCTCCGCAAATCCTCCCTTGTCGCTGTCATAGGCCCTAAAATAGTCGTCCGTGCTCCCTGTACTGGAGCCTGTGTCGCTGGAGTCCGACTCGTCTGCATCGTCCGCGTCAGCCTGACTGACACCTGCGGCCGGCGCATCGACCTGCTGGAAGCGTCAGCTTCGTTATCAGCGTCCCAGCCTGCTCTCCACTCACCGGCTCGCACGCTGCTGCGCCATTGCCGCGCGCGACCGCGTCGGAGCTCTCGGGAACTGTCATGTTCGCCACTGGCGTCCCGCGCAGGCGCTTCTGGAGCTGCGTGAACGATTCGTTGTAGGCCTTGAGACGGCGCAACAGGAGCTCGCAGCACGGGAGCGCGCGGCCCAGCGGGAGCAGGCAGAATGGGAGCCTCGCGGTCAACCGGGGATCGCGTACCACCCACAGCACGTCGTCTGGCACCGGCAGCCCACTCCTCAGGAACGTGCACAATGGGAGCACGCGCAGAGGGAGCTCGCGGCGCAATGGGAGCACGCGCATAGGGAGCTAGCGGCGCAACAGGAGCTCGCAGCACGGGAGCGCGCGGCTCAACAGGAGCGCGCGGAACGGGAGCGCATGCAGTGGGAGCACGCGCAGCGTGAACTTGCAGCGCAACAAGAGTACGCGCACATGCTGAACCAAGAAGCCGCACAAGCGCAGTCTCCCAGGGAGCTGGTGATGTCCCCTCCATCCGCTCGCCCTCAGGGCTATGTCATGTCGAGCTCGTATCTTCAGCAACCCCACCCCTCACCTCCGCAGCCCCAGCCCCAGTACGCAGCAGAGCCTCCCCATCCTCACCCCATCTCCACGGTGCTCTCTACAGGTTCACAAGTGTCCCATCTTCTTCAGGATCACCCTCCTCACGGTACAAACACCACCTCTGCTAGTCAGTCTCGGCAGCCCTATGCGTTGTCTGTCGGGCATGGCATGTATAATAGTCAGTCGGAATATCAATATCAAAGCTAGTTACATGTATCTATCGCATAATTCTCCCACTAGAGGGCACACACGTCGACGCCACTCTCCTGCTGGAGACAGAATCGCGAGATTTCTCCAAGTCCAACTCACGTGATTGCCTTTTTGGGCCTTCCACCCAAAGCGCCCTCGAGATGGACCAGCCGGTCTGGAGAGGACCACTTGTGGCGCAGCGGAGTCCGAACCGACCGGCTGGTCCCGAGCCTAACAATGCACGCTCTGTGCGCCGATCGACACACCACCCCTGGAGTTCCTGGAGGATCGACGTTCTCGTGCTGATCATCAGCGCTGTGGCCGGAGCTGGCACAGGTAAGGTGTTCGGCGGCCTGGGGAACTGTCAGCGGTGCCGGTCGCGACGGACATCGCGCGGTATATAACTCTAGGGGGGCGCGAACGAGACCGCCAGCTCTTTCCGCTCACGTCTTACGACCCGGAGGCTCCTCGTCCCGCCGCCTTTTGTGCTTTCTTTCTTTCTCTTGCTCGCACGGATCACTGGTTTGACCCTGCCCGCCTTTTACACCCTTCACTGCTGCACATTTTCGCAAGTTCTTTTTCGACCGACTACTCACGACATTCGACACGACACACGACTTCTTGCGACTTTCCAACACCACCACCATGCGCTTCCACACGATCTCTCTTCTTGCCCTCGCGGCGGCGTCCACGACCATGGCGCTGCCGAGGCCACGGACGAAGCGGGCGACGACGGCTGTGTCGGCGTCAGACCTGGCCGGCTTCGCGCCGTTCACGCAGTTCGCGCGCGCCGCGTACTGCGACTCGGACAAGATCGAGGGCTGGAAGTGTGGGGAGGCGTGCGACGCGATTCCCGGATTCGAGCCGACCTTGACGGGCGGCGACGGGAACGCGGTGCAGCTCTGTGCGTACCTTGGCTCTCTCTCGCCCCGCGCGCGCGCGTTCGCTGACCGCCCGCGCAGTCTTTGTAGGGTACTGGCCGGACCAGAACTCCGTCGTGATCTCGCACGAGGGCACGGACCCAACCGCGCTGTGAGTACTTGAGTGGCGATTCGCGCGCGATGCTGGGACGCGCGCACTGACGGGCCGGGCCTGCAGCATGTCAGATCTCACGGACCTCAAGTTCACGCAAGAGAACCTTGACAGCACGCTCTTCCCGGACGTGTCGACCGACGTCAAGGCGCACAACGGCTTCGCGGACGAGCACGCGAAGACGGCCGCCGCCGTCCTCGCGGAGACCACCCGCCTCCTTTCGGACAAGAACGCGAACCAGGTGATCGTGGTGCGTCGCCCGTCCCGTCCCGCCCCGCCGCCCGCCTCCCCGCTGACGCGGCGCGCTGCAGATCGGGCACTCGCTCGGGGGCGCGATCGCGGAGCTCGACTCGCTCTACCTCACCCTCAACCTCCCGGCCGACGTCCACGTCAAGGGCGTCACGTACGGCACCCCGCGCGTCGGCAACCAGGCCTTCGTCGACCTCTTCGACAGCAAGGTCGCCGACTTCACCCGCGTCAACAACGAGCACGACATGGTCCCGATCGTCCCCGGCCGCTTCCTCGGCTTCTCCCACCCCAAGGGCGAGGTCCACATCACCTCCCCGGGCAACGCCGTCGCCTGCTCCGGCGACGACAACGACGGCGACGCGGAGTGCACGGACAAGACGGTCTCCAACATCCTCAAGGGCTCCGTCCTCGACCACCTCGGGCCCTACGAGGGCATCCACATCGGCAGCATCTTCTGCAACTGAGCTGGGCGGGGGCGGACGACTTGATACGATCATGTACGCGCGCGCGCGCTTCGCGAATTCAACTCTTGGAGTGTGGCATCTCTTCACAATGCGTGACGTTGTCGACGGCAGCTGGGCCTGAGGCTGCGGAAAACTGATCATGCACATGCGCATGCATGAACGCTCGTCCTGCGGACCTTCTGAGGTTACGTATGCTGATACCAATTTCATCGAGGAGGAAGGGCCGGTTGGCCATGCCGATTTTGCAGTACGTGGTATTTAGATATCTCCTGCACCACACCGAAGATTTCATGTGCTCCCGCAGCCGGAGCCTACTTGCGGAATCCTGGGCACAACCACATGGTCGCTGAGTCCAGCCAATGGGCCTCTCGAGTCTCACTCCGCACAATCACGGTCCTCGAGCGATCGCTGTTATGTTGTCGCTCTCCTCGTCGCTTTCTTCACCACGCCCTGGCCTTCAGAATACCACGTCGCTTTTGCTGTGTGCCCCAGTGGGACATAGCCAGCCGAACCACACCTCGCTCACCGTGACTCCCGGACTGATTGTTTTGCAGCAAGCGGGCGAACTTGTGCGCTGAGCACAGCGGAGTCGACCCCACTGGATGAGCAAACACGCACACGCTCCAGGCCGCCCCCGTACGAAACGCACTCACCGACCTGTTCCTATGCCTTGAATACGTACTGCCTCGAGCCGATCACCAGCTTGCGCGCCTCCTGCAGCTCGTGCCACTGTGACTAAGGTATACATAATTGGCTCTCACAGCAAATCTCGGTGCCGGAGCTGGAAGAGAAGGAGTTCCGATCGGCTTGAACCCAACGTCTCGACAGGACTTAAGTACAGTCTGATCACTGCCTTTGTCGTGCCTTCCTTTATTTACTGCAAATGCGCTAGACGGACCTCCAACAAGTACACTTCTCCACTCTGCCTCACTGCCCACGCTTGCTTTAGCTCGCAGGCCGACACAGAACGAACGCCCATATCGGATTCCGTCTGACGGGCCTCCCACCTCAACCTCCGTACCCGTCCCCCGCGGTTTCAAGGTGCGCGTCCGGGAACCCGCTCGCCCTCACCCGCTCGAGGATCCACCAGAACGGGGTGGCGTATGTCACGTCCGGCCCACCACGGCCCCGGCGCGGACCCCCACACCCTCCGGTGAGCATCCCGCCGACACGGCCGCGGAGGTCGACGGCGGCGGCGCCCGAGTCCCCGGGCTCGCTGAACAGCTGCGACTGGGGCCCGCCGTTCAAGATCGCCCACTCCATTGACGTCCGGTGCACGGACGTGTCGTCGGGGTCGGGGTAGCAGCGAACGAGCGAGAGCACGCCGTTCGCACGGCCGATGGACGTGCCCGACGCGGCGCCGTGCTTGAAGGCGGCCAGGCGCGGCGCGCCGCTCCGGCTGTCCCACATGTCTGGGGCGTGCATGAGCTCGTCGGAGAGCACGCCGGTGAGGGGGAGGAGGCGCGTCTCCATGGGGTATCGGAAATACCAGTTGTCAGCACCAGCACACCGTCTGCACATGTAGTGGAGCTCGCCGATGTACGAGCCTCCTCTGTCCGTGCCTATGCAGCCAATATCGACGCTCAGATCAGCATTGCATAACCCCCACAGGTCGCGTTGCGCACCGATGTCGAGCACATTCCCCCGGAAACCGGCGCCGAGCGTCGTGCGGTCGACCTCGAACACCGCCCAATCCTCCGTGAACCGGTCCTCGCCCACCCCAAAGCGGAGCGGCGGCGCGCGGAGGACGCTGCCCAAAACCCGGCTCGAAAGCCCCCCGCGCCGGACACGCGCAAGCAACGCCTCCAGCGCCTCCCTCGCCTGCGTGTTCTCCCCCAGCTTCTCCTGCAACAGGCCGCGCTCCGCCGTCTGCCCCGCAGCGAGCATCCTGAATTCGTCTCGCAGCCGTTGGCCGGAGAGGTTGCGGTGGAAGATCTCCGAGCTGACGGACCGTTCGAGCTTCGCGAAGGCCGCCTGCCCAAGCAGGTGGACGTCTCTGCGGGGACCGTCGTCCGTGTGGACGTCGTAGTCGACATCGCCATCCTCGGGCCCGAAGAAGACGTGACGGCACGAGAGGCCCAACAGCCGGTTCTTGCCGCCGCCCTCGGCGAGGTAGACGGCCATCGTGCCCTCGACACCGTCCCGTGCGGGGGTCGCGATGGGCACGCCGAGGGCGGAGGTGAGCGGGCCGAGAACGTAGCAGAGCGGGCTGCTCACGGGGACGGGCGCGAGGAGCGTGGGCCCGGAGTCGGCCTTGGGCGTGTACGTGGACTCGCGGTACTCCACGTTGACGTCGGCGATCTCGTGCGCGTCGAGGAGGGTGAGGATGTCCTCGCTGGCAGCGCGCGCGGTGTCGATGGAGGTAGACCCGGGAAAGACCCCGATCCAGATGGTGACCGGGCTCAGAGGATTTACGCCAGAGCTTGGGGAAACGTCGATCACATTGAAGCGGACGACGTCTATGGTCGTGAATAATATCTGAAAGCGGCATTCAGCGCACTGGGCGATACCAATTTCGAGGGTCCTCCGAACCACCTTACTTTGTGGGCATCCAGGACGTCGACGACCTTCCAACACAAGCCTTGCTTCCAGAGTTTGGCTATCGGATGGCCGAACACTTCAAGCACCTCCTTGTCAGCGGGAAATTGATCGTCGTCAGGGTGCATCGGAAACCACTCCTCTTTCCCTGTGCGGTACAGTAGTTTCGGTGATGAGGGCAGGCCCGAGTAGTATAGGAGCGCCTCGGCCTTCGAGATCGTGTGAGGTGGGCGGGTGCGGGCAGGTGCGCTAGAACAATCATGACCATCGTCGTTTGATCTGGAGGGAACGGGGGAGATTGGGAGCTGCATAGCAGGATCGAGATATATAGGGACGATGACCTTGCTGTCGTAACCTTTATCCATGTGTTCTGCTTGGGCAATGCCGGTGAAGACCCTGAAAAAGTTGAACCCGGATAGTCAGCGCCACACGCCTACAAATGTTGAAAGTGGTAGTTACACGGATGAGTTGAGGCGAGGTCTTGGGGGAGGGCGGGTTTATAGCTGCACCGCGGTCATAGAATAACATGTGCTTACTCTCAGAGAGTCTAGCCTGCCGTTATGCGGCGCACCCCTTTCCTCAGAGGAGGAACGAATGGAGGCCTTCATGCCACACGGCTCCCGCGAGAACGGATTGCGGCGCGGCGCGACGGCGCCGGGTGATAGAGTCCGTAGCGCTCTTAGACCCCACCTCCTGACGCGACCTCTCGTACCAACAACCCGTGTATAATGACGATGGCTTACATATACTGTTAGTCACTTACGGGGAGTGCAGACCTGTGCAGACCTCAAGGGGCGTCAACGTGGTCTCTATAACGTTTAAGATATGCCTTCACTGTAGCGTCAATACTCGCAAATACGCGCGAAAAACGGATCCTCACGCACTTGAGTGGGCCTGCTCACGTATCCACTGCCTTCCGAGGGGTTTTCGGGGTGTTGGGATGAAGCAGGAGTCCAGCGTGGGCGGCTGGCGATTTTTCGGTGATTTTCGATTTAATTTCCCTTTTCTTGCGACGCGCGTCGCGTTTTCCGCGCTCGAGCAAACATTGTGCAAACAGCTGTAGCTCGCGGTCACGAATGTTGACGGCGCGGCAATGACGCGCCTCGACTCCCCTCCAGCCCCGTTCCATCCCTCCTACCGTCTGCGCTGCCGATATACATCCCACCCGTTGGGGCATCTCAGACATGAGAAAAGACATATAGTCTCTGCTGCACCCAGCCTCCTTCATCCTCCAACCTCGCCCGCCGCAACCTCGGTGCTTCCCTCGTCGTGTGCGCAAGAGTCCAGGTTCTGCTGCTCTCGCTTACAACTGTCCTACTTCGCAGTATGTACATTATTTGCCTCACAATTCCGTCCGTCCACTCACCTACATGCAGATTCCCCACCCGCCCCTCACTCGTGTGGTTGTGTTGCTTAGATCGTTCAAAGTAAGTACGGTGCTGGCTCATGGTCTCTCCGCATTACCTCAACGTCTTTCATAGTGCCCTGTCCTGAGTTGCAAACTGAGCGGGGGCCGAAGGCGAACCGTCGGCGACAAGGTATGACCTTTCATGGGTCTTTGCGCGAGGAGATGTTGACGCCGGGCTCCTAGAACGCCCCGAAAAGCTGGGACAAATTGGAGCATTTGAGGGATTCGTTGCGGGCCCAGGATTCAAATATTCAATACCGCGTCGGTGTTCACCACCCCCAATCAAAAGTACATTCCACGTTTCGCCATCGCGCTCAGCGAGATCATAACCTACGACGACGGGCTATGGGGCATCCACGAGTACTCCAGGTGGCCACAGAGCTTCGACAACCGCCTCTGGCACCTCGCGTGCATACCTCGCGAAGGGGGCGGGTTCGCGCCTGGCGACGCCGTCCAATCCTCAGCCACCTGAAGTACGATCTGCACTTCGTCGCTATTAGAAGTCTCCCAAGCGCATCTCCCAGGGAGCTTCAAGCCTGGTGACAATGAGGGTGATGTTGTTGTGCAGGTGGTTGTACTTTTCCTCCTCAACCCCCGGACGTTGCTTGAGAACACTCAGAAGGTATGTATATCTACTGAAAATTCACTTGAAAAGCTGCTGAGCTCAAAGACAGGGCATACCTGCGGACTTCGGCAAGCTCTGGATTGTCGCCGAGTGTGTAGGGAGGCGTGCGACGCGATTCCCGGATCCGAGCCGACTTTGATAGGCGGCGACGGGAACGCGGTGCAGCTCTGTGCGTGCCCTTGCTCTCCCGCCCGCGCGCGTTCGCTGACCGCCCGCGAAGTCTTTGTAGGGTACTGGCCGGACCAGAACTCCTTCGTGATCTCGCACGAGGGCACGAACCCGACCACGCTGTGAGTAGCGATTCGTGCGCGATGCTGGGACACGCGCACTGACGGGCTGGGGGCAGTATGTCTGATCTCACGGACCTCAAGTTCACGCAAGAGAACCGGCTTCGCGGACGAGCACGCGAAGACGGCCGCCGCCGTCCTCGCGGAGACCACCCGCCTCCTTTCGGACAAGAACGCGAACCAGGTGATCGTGGTGCGTCCCCGTCCCGTCCCGCCCCGCCTCCCGCCTCCCCGCTGACGCGGCGCGCTGCAGATCGGGCACTCGCTCGGGGGCGCGATCGCGGAGCTCGACTCGCTCTACCTCACCCTCAACCTCCCGGCCGACGTCCACATCAAGGGCGTCACGTACGGCACCCCGCGCGTCGGCAACCAGGCCTTCGTCGACCTCTTCGACAGCAAGGTCGCCGACTTCACCCGCGTCAACAACGAGCACGACATGGTCCCGATCGTCCTCGGTCGCTTCCTCGGCTTCTCCCACCCCAAGGGCGAGTTCTGGCACATCACCTCCTTGGGCAACGCCGTCGCTTGCTCCGGTGACGACAACGACGACGATGCGGAAGACGATCACCAACATCCTCAAGGGCTCCGTCCTCGACCACCTCGGGCCCTACGAGGACATCACCTCGACAGCCTCTTCTGCAACTGTGGGGGTCAGGGCTGCGCGTTGACGGGCTGGACGAGTTGATACAATTATGTACGCACGCGCGGTTCGCGAATTCAACTCGTGAAGTGCGGACTCCCTTCACAATGTGTGACGTTGTCGACGGCGGCTGGGCCGGAGGCTGCGGCAGACTGAACACTCGTCCACTTTGCCTTCCGACCTTCCCGCCCTTCCCTCAGTCCGTCTTCCGACCTCTTGGCCACCCACTTTTCGACTAGCAGCGTACTTGCGCGTACAACACCTAGTTGGTTCCTCTTCCCAGTTCTTATAGCCTCGTACTGATCGTTGCGTCCAGTGTCTTCCCCGAGGCCACCCCAAGCTGGCCAGGACCGCGCGGATACGTCGGAATCTGCCAAAAGTTTCTTCTCCGACACCTCCGCTGTGTCCACATCCACGAGCGCCACCTCAGCCGACCTCCCTGTCCCACACGAGGTTTCTGTCCCACACGAGGTCTCGGAAGCTGAGGCGTCTGGTTTCTACTATGGCGTGCGCTCGCGCCCCCGCCTCATATTCCGATCCAGCACTTGGCGATGGTCTCCAGAGCTTGGCCAATCAAAGACGGCCTGCGCGGTCTTCCTCGACACCCACAAGTTTGTTGAGGTATGGGAAAACGTTGGTTCCGTACGGCAGCGGATTGTCGACATCGTTGCTAGCGGGGTGAGTACTGCATCGTCCCCTGGTCATCACTGCGGAGGAAGCTGAGATCTGGGACTTCTAGATACATTTCCAGACTATCGACATCGTTCGCTTCAGAACGACAGTTGGGGAGGCTTCATCCTTTGGTCCCGTGACCATCTGGGTTGGCGTACCCCCTGACCACCCGACATTGTGGCAAGATGCCTTCACGGTATCGAAAGTCGCGCTGGAATTGCTTCAAGAGAAGTACCAAATCACAGGCGTGGCCTTCGAGGTTCGCCGATGCTCCTACACCCTGCTTGCGAACCACATCAGTCACGGGCTCTACCCGACGCCTCCCTTTCCCGACGACCCGCTCTTTCACTGCGTCAAGCCCTTCACCTCTCGCATCGGTGTTGCCATATCTTCCCAGGACAGACCCAACGTCCAAGGAACAATGGGCCTCTACCTCGCCGAAGGAGGGGGCAGCGACCGTATCCTTGGGCTCACCTGCAGACACGTTCTGGTTAAGCCTGCTAACGGCGATCTTCCTGAAGGCTCCACCGTCCTCTTCGGTACTGACACCATGGTCGCTGGCGCAGTCGTCGTCATCAAGGAGCTCATTAAGACCAAGTGGGACAAGGCCCTTGCGACCATGGCCCGGGCTTATAAAGCCCCACTTCCTCCCGACGCTCTACCTCCTCCCGACAACATCGAGACCCCACAGGCATGTGTCGACCCATATCAGCCGATCTTAGATCGGCTCGAGCTCTGGACGGAGCGGGACAACCGTGCTCTGGGCAGCTCGCTGCGGTCACCCCTTGTTGCATTCTCAGTCGGCCCGATGAAGTTCACTGAAGACTACGCTGTCATCAAGGTCAACAAGGACCAAATACGCGATGGTTTTCAAGGAAATACATTGTTCTTCGGTATGCAGCCTCGGTTGCCGGTCTCAGGATGTCTGCTAACTATGTATCTATCCAGATACAGAAGCTCTTTGGGAGGAGTACGCCTTGTCCGACTCGAACCCTGTTTGGGAGCCGCTCAAGCGCCAGTCACTAGCGATCACGGACTATCTCAGGCAAGAGTCCATGCAAAAGCCGTACACGCAGGATGACCAAGGAGAGGTGTGCTTTCTGGTCGTCATGAACGGTAGCAAGTCCGATGGCACCACCATCGGCCGTGCAAACGGTGCCCGATCCATCGTTCGAAAGTACTATGGCATCGCCGACACAGTCTCTGAAGAGCTACTGGTCTTCCCCTACGACGACAAGAAGGCTTTTTCAGTTCCTGGCGACTCAGGCTCCATCGTCGTCGATCTCAACGGCAAGGTGTATGGCATGGTCACCGGGGGAACAAAGCCAGAGAACTCCGGCGACGGCTCCGGCGACAGCGACGGCAAGGGCTCCGGTGACAGCGACGACAAGGGCTCAGGCGATAGCGACGATAAGGGCTTAGGCGACGGCTCCGGCGACAGCAGGGGCCTTGCGGACAGCTCGGTAGATTTGACCTACGTAACGCCTTTCTTTTTCCTGCTCGACAGCATCAAGTCGAATGGGTTCCCTCTCGTACACCTCGACGTCCATCTTTAGTGTATCCTACCTAAGTAAGGTGGTGGCACAAACTATGCTTTCGCTCACACTGTACACTCCGGGGGGATTAGCTTACCTCAGTGCATGTTCATCATCTACCCGCATATCGACTGTCGTGTTTATTCGCTGAATCAACACCAATCCTTCACGCTTGCCTTCCGTCCGCGTCCTAGCGTGTCTTTTGCCTCTTGCATTTCGACTCACGTACGCGCGCCTGTGAGCCGCTTGTGGCCTCCACCCGACGGCCTCAGTCTGGACAGTCCGTCCGCCACCCGCGGACTGCAGGGAACCGCGACCGTCTGGCTGCAGGCGACACTACCCACGGTCATTGAGTCACATCTGCAGTGGAGACGTTAGATCAGGCAAATATCGCATTGCAGCGTGGAGTAATGGTGATGTAAAGGTGGTGCCGTACGGCCCGTACCGCGTGATAGATCCACCCCACACGTTGCAACTTTGCTTGAGTTGTGAGTGTCGACCGCTATGTACTAGCTGTATTCCCTTCCACCTCACCTTCCATAATCTCCCTGGACTCGCACTTTCACCACGCTGCCTCACAATCAGTACCTACCTCATGGGCGTCCTCCTAATCATTATTCAACGGCTCCACTTCCAACTGACTTTCCAGCTCGCACCAGCCCGAAGTCACGACGCGGACGACGCGGACTTCACAAAGGAAGGGATGTACGAGAAATAATTAGACCCTGAGGCAAATGTGCGTACATAATATATCTTTGTGCATTTCTTCCCCATCAACATTGTTTCTCTTCAAGCAGCATGAAGATGTCAACTCCGTACCGGTCATTGCACCCGTGCTGCCGGGGGCAGCTCACCCATCAGTTCGGAGAAGTTGGTCGAGGTTGTCGAGGTTCGCCCGACTACACTTAGGCTGCCACACCGTAGCTCTCACGTTTTGCGGCACGTTGTGGTATGTGTAAGCCGTCGTCTTCATACACAGGTCGTTGTAACAAGAGATGATCACGCGTCATGAAGGCCTCCATTCGTTCCTCCTCTGAGGAAAGGGGTGCGCCGCATAACGGCAGGCTAGACTCTCTGAGAGTAAGCACATGTTATTCTATGACCGCAGCTATAAACCCGCCCTCCCCCAAGACCTCGCCTCAACTCATCCGTGTAACTACCACTTTCAACATTTGTAGGCGTGTGGCGCTGACTATCCGGGTTCAACTTTTTTCAGGGTCTTCACCGGCATTGCCCAAGCAGAACACATGGATAAAGGTTACGGTAGCAGGGTCATTGTCCCTATATATCTCGATCCTGCTATGCAGCTCCCAGTCTCCCCCGTTCCCTCCAGTTCAAACGACGGCGGTCATGATAGTTCTAGCGCACCTGCCCGCACCCGCCCACCTCACATGATCTCGAAGGCCGAGGCGCTCCTATACTACTCAGGCCTACCCTCAAGACCGAAACTATTGTACCGCACGGGGAAGGAGGAGTGGTTTCCGATGCACCCTGACGACGATCAATTTCCCGCTGACAAGGAGGTGCTTGAAGTGTTCGGCCATCCGATAGCCAAACTCTGGAAGCAAGGCTTGGGTTGGAAGGTCGTCAACGTCCTGGATGCCCACAAAGTAAGGTGGTTCGGAGGACCCTCGAAATTGGTATCGCCCAGTGCGCTGAATGCCGCTTTCAGATATTATTCACGACCATAGACGTCGTCCGCTTCAATGTGATCGACGTTAGCCCAAGCTCTGGCGTAAATCCTCTGAGCCCGGTCACCATCTGGATCGGGGTCTTTCCCGGGTCTACCTCCATCGACACCGCGCGCGCTGCCAGCGAGGACATTCTCACCCTCCTCGACGCGCACGAGATCGCCGACGTCAACGTGGAGTACCGCGAGTCCACGTACACGCCCAAGGCCGACTCCAGGCCCACGCTCCTCGCGCCCGTCCCCGCGAGCAGCCCGCTCTGCTACGTCCTCGGCCCGCTCACCTCCGCCCTCGGCGTGCCCACCGCGACCCCCGCACGGGACGGTGTCGAGGGCACGATGGCCGTCTACCTTGCCGAGGGCGGCGGCAAGAACCGGCTGTTGGGCCTCTCGTGCCGTCACGTCTTCTTCGGGCCCGAGGACGGCGATGTCGACTACGACATCCTCACGGGCGACGGTCCCCGCAGAGACGTCCACCTGCTTGGGGAGGTGGCCCTCGCGAAGCTCGAACGGTCTGTCAGCTCGAAGATCTTCCACCGCAACTTCTCCGGCCAACGGCTGCGAGACGAGTTCGGGACGCTCGCTGCGGGGCAGACGGCGGAGCGCGGCCTGTTGCAGGAGAAGCTGGGGGAGAACGCGCAGGCGAGGGAGGCGCTGGAGGCTTTGCTCGCGCGTGTCCGGGGCGGAGGGCCTTCGAGCCGGGTTTTGGGCAACGTCCTTCGCGCGCCGCCGCTCCGCTTTGGGGTGGGCGAGGACCGGTTCACGGAGGATTGGGCGGTGTTCGAGGTCGATCGCACGACGCTCGGCGCCGGTTTCCGGGGGAATGTGCTCGACATCGGTGCGCAACGCGACCTGTGGGGGTTATGCAATGCTGATCTGAGTGTCGATATTGGCTGCATAGGCACGGACAGAGGAGGCTCGTACATCGGCGAGCTCCACTACATGTGCAGACGGTGTGCTGGTGCTGACAACTGGTATTTCCAATACCCCATGGAGACGCGCCTTCTCCCCCTCACCGGCGTGCTCTCCGACGAGCTCATGCACGCCCCGGACATCTGGGACACCCGGGGCGGCGCACCGCGCCTGGCCGTCTTCAAGCACGGCGCCGCGTCGGGCACGTCCATCGGCCGTGCGAACGGCGTGCTCTCGCTCGTTCGCTGCTACCCCGACCCCGACGACACGTCCGTGCACCGGACGTCAATGGAGTGGGCGATCTTGAACGGCGGACCCCGGTCGCAGCTGTTCAGCGAGCCCGGGGACTCGGGCGCTGCCGTCGTTGACCTCCGCGGCCGCGTCGGCGGGATGCTCACCGGAGGGTGTGGGGGTCCGCGCCGGGGCCGTGGTGGGCCGGACGTGACGTACGCCACCCCGTTCTGGTGGATCCTCGAGCGGGTGAGGGCTAGTGGGTTCCCGGACGCGCACCTTGAAATCGCGGGGGCTGGGTACGGTGGTTGAGGTGGGAGGCCCGTCAGACGGAATCCGATCTGTCTATGTCGGCCTGCGAGCTGAAGCAAGCGTGGGCAGCGAGGAAGAGCGGAGAAGTGTCGAAGCACTTGTTGGAGAGAACCTAGGAGTCTAGCGCAGAATATTGGATTTGCAGTAAATAAAGGAAGGCACGACACAGGCGGTGGTCAGACTGTACTTACTACTCTCGAGACCTTGGTTTCATGCTGAGCGGGAAGGTTGGAACTCCTTCTCTTCCAGCCCGGCACCGAAATTTGCTGCGGGAACTTCTTGATGTGTAAAGAGACGAATACACGTAGCGCGTGACTCAATAGCATGGATAATGAGAGGCTGAACGCGCGCCTATGTATGGATCTCACGGTAGACAGCGCCGGCACAGACACTCAACCGGTGGCAGACTTCGTCCCTCATTCCTACGCATCCGACTCCCCTCCATCTACCCCTCAGGCCTCAGTTCGACGTCAGCATGCCACGACACTCACCTCGTCCATCAGACCGTAAGGGCGAACTCTCCAACTACCGGGACGACCGCAGACGTGAGGGTCCCTCTAGAAGGCACGACGACGATCGAGAAAGGGACCGGGACAGGGAAAGGAACGGGAGGAGGCGTGACGACGACCGCGACTACGGCAGAGACCGACGGGACAGAGACAGAGCGCAAGGCGACCGCCGCCGGGACGACCGCAGAGGCCATGACCGCGACCGCGACCAAGGCTCGCGTCGCGTAGGCCCATCCCGCCGCTCTGCCTCGCCGCGGGCGCGGTCGTCCCGTGCGGATTCACGGGCGCGGTCAGCGTCCGCGGTCGCGCCGGACGGGGAGGCGGAGGACAAGGCGAAGCCGAACTTCGGGCACTCGGGGCTCCTCGCGGCGGACACGAAGACGGTGCAGCACGGGGACGGGACGAAGACGGTGCTGAAGTACCATGAGCCGCCGGAGGCGCGGAAGCCGTCGGTCGGCTGGCGGCTGTACGTGTTCAAGGGGAAGGAGCAGGTCGGTGAGTGCGGTTCGCGTGGGGGCGGGGAACGTGTACGCGTTTGCTCATCTCGCGGCTGGGGGTTGGGTTGGACAGACCTGTTGCATATACAACGCCAGAGCGCGTACCTTGTCGGGAGGGACAGGGCGGTGGTGGACATCGCGGTCGAGCACCCGTCCTGCTCGAAGCAGCATGCTGCTATCCAGTGTACGTTCCTCGTTGTTTTCGGATTCTAGTGCATGCGCCGACGCGACCACGTAGACCGGCAAGTTCAAGAGAAGAGCGAATTTGGTGATGTCAAGGCAGCGGTGAAGTAAGGTTTTAGCCGTCTTCGAGTGCAGGCTCGCGGGTGCTCACGCAATGATGCTCCTTACAGGCCATATATTATCGACCTCGAGTCCACAAACGGGACCGTTGTCAACGACTCGCCCATACCCACATCCCGCTATTGCGAACTCATTCTAGGAGATGGTGGGCACAACGTTACCATGCGACCATACGGTCGGTGCTCTGCTAACGGATCTTCCGCAGTGATCAAATTCGGGGAGTCTAACCGAGAGTATGTGCTGCTCAGCGAAGACGCAGCGTAGGCAACGACCATCGCTCCAGCTTTTGGGCATTTTTGTTCAGCTCGGGCCCACCCGAGCGTCCCGCGCCGAGGAACTGATGGGGAACTTGCCATGTGCTTATTGTACGTCCTTGTTGTCGTAGGTTACCACGTGCTAGCAACAACACCAGCACATTTGTCCGAAGTGAGCCCCCGAGCCGATAACCCAATGCGCACACTCGAAGATTTGCAAGCTGAAAAGACGGATACATTGCTGAAGATTACTGACGATACGGGAGCTAAGCTAGAGATACAATGACGAGATGCGAAGATGCGAAAACCAAAAGTACAACGTCTGATCGCTAGGTGCGTGCTCAAACCGTCATACGGTGAGATGTGAGATACAGGATGGAATGAGATGGGGGATAGGATGCTCTGAGATGCTCGTAAAATTAGGTCGTAAGTATGATCGTCGCCGGCGACAGCTGCAGGATACCTTCACCGCTCACTCCATCTCCGTCCTCGTCTCCATCTTCGAGTAGATGATATCCCCCACGCAGCCGATATTCCGGTTCTTCCAGTGCCGCTTGAGCGCGTCCTGACGGCTGAAGTCGAGCTGGCACCCGCCGACCATGATACGCCCGTTGAGCTCGATCGCACCCGGTGCGCTCAGCGGGTTGCTGCCCGGGGCCAGGTACACGCCGTGCTCCGCTGCCTCCTCGACCGGCACGCCGCAGCACACCCACCGCGTCTCGCGGTCGCGGAAGTGCGTCGCGATGTGTCGCTCCATGTCCGGCGCGCGCTGGTTCTTCTGCACGAACCCGCACTGCTTGCACGTCCACGCCATCGGGCCCACCTTCTCATAGCGCTCGCCTTTCCGGGGTACCGGCTCGTCGGACTGTATGTTGCGCGCCTGGCTGCGGTGGCCGCTCGACGACGACGACGAGTACGCCGACGGAGGGGGGAGTCCGCGGAGGAGGAGGGGTATGGCGAAGCGGACGCGCGCGAGGCGGCGCGACGGCCCTGGGCCCTGGCCTTGGCCTTGGTCTTCGGGGCCGTAGGGGAGGGGGACGCGTAGGGCTTGAACTCCTTCGCGTTCCTGCGCGGGGAGCCGAGCGTGCGGTGCTTCGTCCTCGGGGAGGGCATGTAGTCGTCCTCGGAGTCGGCGTCGGACTCTTCGTACTCCGCATCCGCGTCCGCGCTGTCATCCTCCTCCTCCTCCTCCTCCTCCTGTTGCATCAGGTACGAGCGCGCGGTGCGGCCGCCCGTGGTGCGGCGCGCGGTGCCCGGGGCGCGGCGCGGCGCACGGCGGGGCGGGGACGGCGACGAGGCGGGGGTGTAGGGGCTGGGCGCGTGGAGCTCGTACGGGGAGACGGAGCGCTGCACGCCGTTGTAGGCCGCGTACGGGTTCTTCCCTTCTTCGGGCGCGACGGGAACGTCGGTGCCGTTGTACCCCGTCGGCGACGCGGGCGGGACGTAGGGCACGTCGTCGATCGCAATTGTGGGCGCGCCTGGGAAACTGCGCCGCGTGGTCAGCGCCGAGGTCTTCTACTTTTTGCCCCTGCCCCCTGGGCATCCTCGCGGGCGCGGGCGCGCGATGACGACAAAGGACAAAGGGCGACGAATGGAGAAGCAGCTCACCAGTCGTCCTCGTCCTGCTCCATGTACGCGACGCGGCCGTCGTTGTGCCACGGCTGGGCGTCCTGCACGTTGTAGGGGTGCATCGGGTCCTCCTCGTCGGAGGAGTTGGAGCCGTCGGAGTCGCTCCCGCTCTCGTCCCCGGAGTCGTCCTCAGACCGGGCGTCGGACGAGGTGACGTACGCGGACGGGAGCGCGTCGGGCTGGGTGTGGAACTGGGGCGCGGCCTGCTTCAGCCACCCGAACTCGTCTTCCTGCGACGGCTGCTCGGGCTGGTAGTGGGCGCGGGCGCGGATGGTCGCGACGGAGGCGCGGCGCGTGGTCATGATGATAGTGCGGGTATTCGGGGGTATCGTGGTGGGAGAGGGTGGGCGATCCGGTGCGGGACTGGATGAGGATGGGGGGATCGCAGGGAAGCAAGTAGGGGAATCTGGACGAGAGCCTCATCGCGCACGGCGCGTTTTTATGGGGACGATGTTAGGACAAAGAGTGGAAGGGCAACGCACTGTCAGAGTGGCCAGAGCGATCGCAAAGGACTATTGTCGCTTTGGCCTTCGCGGGTGGCACAAGGGCACAAGCCCGCTATCGGGCACGCGGAATCTCGCTTCGCGCACAGGCCCTGAGCCACTCATCATCCTCGTCGACAAAGCTTGCTCGTCGCTTTGTCGAAGGGCGGTCCGGACGCATGCACGTCCCACTACGTCTACTGCTCTGGGTTTAGTGGGAACAGCATCTGAAATGCAGTTCGACACCTGGCAAACTCGAGGCCGTAGTGGCAACATTAATTGAGATAAATCATGTTACTGTCATGAATGCAGTCCGATATGGTGTAACGGCTAACATTACCGCCTTTCACGCGGTAGCTCGGGGTTCGATTCCCCGTATCGGAGTCTACAAGTGTACGAGTGTGTTTTTGCGGAATCGGACTTAAGTGAAGGTCCCTCAGTCTGCAACACCTTACGAGGTAGTGCCTTGTCAAGAGTATTTTATATACGGCAGAATGAAGAAACACGTCGAATCAAGTGTATTAGGAGGGAGATATACAGATACATGTAGGAAGCGATCGGAGACTATCGACGCGCAGCCTTTTTGTCCCGTGAGTGACGCAGACGCTTGCCATTTTGCACGACCGGTCCGCGACTAGCCACCGACTTCTTCAGCCAAAGTGCGAGACGAAGTTTATGAGACAACATACCCTCTTAGCTTCTTTGGAGGTTTAGGCGGATGGGCAAACTCCGCGGGCTCCATTCCTTCGCGGTACTTGGACATGCACCGGAGGATATACCTGACCAAATCACATAGCAACACGTGAGCCCCGACGCGATGAAAGACGCGGCCAGTGGAGAACGCACCTACGGTCCCGCACCGCTAATCCCGCCTTCTTGAGCTGCAGTCCGTCCGCATGCCACATCTGCTCCCATGATCTACTCCCGTCCACTTGGTTTCCGCGGACCGTCCGATGCCTTGAGGAACGCCTCCGGGGTCCCGATGGGTCCTAAGACACGGAGGGGACGCATGTCAGTGACGCTTGGACCGCATTACGCTGGCCTGTGCATACCTCGCGGCGGGGGGACTGGACGGAGCGCAGCCCTGTTGACAATGGAGCGCGATAAGACGGGAGGACGCCTGGAGCCGTGTGCCGAGGTTGAAGGCCATGTTGGGCGGTTGCCGCAGAGGAGGGTGCGCGGAGGATGGGTGGAGGGGTTTGAGAACGCGGTGACGCAGGGCGCCTGACCGTGGACGCGACGGACGGGCGTCTTCAGCGCTTCAGCGCTCGGGGCGATCGAAATCTCTGGCGCGGCCGCGTGCAGGACGGAGACCTTCAGCTCAATCCAGGACGTTTGTCAAAGACGTTCCTGGCGAGGAGCGCAACGAAACAGTTGAGCAGTCCACACCGCCGACCTAGAACGATTTGGGTGGCCTGCGAGGTGTTTGCAGTACTACCGGTACGACATGTCCAAAACGACAGTACAAGGCCGGCTCAAGCGCCGCGCGCGGTGTAACGCAGTTTCTCCAGTTCTTGTAGATCCTTCTCTCCATCTTGCACCCACTTTGTAACCGGCGCGACCACCCCTGTGATGACGGCCGGGACGCCCCACCACAGCACGTCGACTAACCCGCGACCCAGAAGCAAAGCATACGCTGGCCCAACAGCGGCAAACCAAGGGTGATAGGATGATATAGAGGAAGGGGGATGTGCAGTGATGATAGCCAGGACACTACTCGACGGGAACCGTGATATGAATGGTTTGGTAGAAGTGGAGGAAGGCAGCAAATGCCAAGGTGGACATGAAGGAGGATTTGCACAAGGGTGAGGAAGGAAGCGAAGGGTACGGGTTCGGACGGCGAATCTGGCAGCAGGACCGCCAGGGGAGATACCTTTCTTGAGCTTAGGAGGTAAGATACATGACTTGCAGCCCGTTAGAAGAGTCCGTCGGGGATAAGTGAGCTACGCGGTACTCACAGAACGAGTGAGAGACCGATAACTGCCTCCAGTCCGACGTGGTAGATGAGGTTGGAGCTCTCGTCCGCCTTGCGCAGGTTCTCAATGAGCTCTTCTTGCTCTGTGACTTATGTAGGACATGTTTCGGCCAAACGTGTATCACACGCACCCTGCTCATCCAATATTGGCCCATCCTGCCCATCGTCTTCAGAGAACCGGAACGGGATCCTATGTCTAACAGCTGTGGCCATGAGCTCGACGTTTGACGATTCGAGTTGAGTGAGGATTCGATAGAGAGCGGCTGGGGTGGATATGAGGACAGATGGTAAAAGACCTGAGGAAGACGGTAGAGTGGCTCAGCGCTCACTGGCAACGAGTGAGTCTGCGGACTGAGCGCCACCGACGCATGGCACCGATCCTTGAGAATAGATAAGATAAGATGCCTCTTGACACTGCGATGATTTTCCGTCGGTAGCCTTAGTTGTGTCGAACTGCATCCACTGCGCCCGCCATATCCTACCACACTCCCATCGCGCCGAAATGACGGACACAATGGCTTCCCTTCGTGGCGCCATCGAAGATGGACAATTTGACGATGTTCCGGAGAGCCCCCCTACCTCTTCCGCCCCGGACCCACGACAAGGTCACCGCTTCATCGACGACGAGGCACTACTAGAATGGGCATCGGAGAGCGAGGAGGAGGACAGCGAACCAGACGAGTTTGAGTACGACGAGGACGCTTTGGAGGCTGAGGTGTTCCAGGAACTTCGTGCCGAAGACGAGGACTGGGAGATCGCAGAGCGAGGTACGTCCTTCCCGTCTGTCGCCACGGGCTGCCGAACGATTTGCCCACGCAGACTTCACGAAACAGTATAACCGCCTCAGACAGCATGTTGCTGTGCGGACCGGGGCCGCTGACGGTGTCACGTCTGCTATCAATTCCAAAGCGGCAGTCGCTTCTCTTCCCGCTGTGAATCGACCTCGCCCGTCCAAGACAGTGCCTACGACTGCCACAAATCAGCAGCACTCTAAGGACAAGACCGAGAACCAGCTCCAAGCTTTGTCTAAGTACTCCTCCCGACTCAGAAATCTAGACATGCCGTACGACCTAGGCGTGGGCGTGAATCGGAAAGGACCGTCAGCGACCGCCAACATGAAAGACAAGAGCGACCGCGCGACCAATGAACAGGTGCTCGATCCACGGACGCGAATCATCCTGTTCAAGATGATCGGTCGGGGGCTCATCTACGAAGTTAACGGGTGCGTAAGCACGGGGAAGGAGGTCAGTCGGTCAATATCCGGTGAATGCCGCCTGATAATCCCAACCACAGGCTAACGTCTACCATGCACTCACCCCCGAGCGCCGGCATCTTGCGCTCAAAATCTACAAGACGTCTATCCTTGTTTTCAAGGATCGGGACCGGTATGTCTCGGGCGAATACCGATTCCGCCGGGGCTACAGGTCAGTACCCGCGTCCTCGTAACGGCAAAGCTCAGGGTGCAAACAGCAAATTTGCACCAACTCAATCGCGCTCTTCTCCAGCCGCCATAACCCCCGGAAAATGGTCCGCGTGTGGGCCGAGAAGGAGATGCGCAATCTGAAGCGGCTGCGTACGGCAGGCATCCGGTGCCCGGAACCTCTCGAAGTCCGCGAGAACGTGCTCGTCATGAGCTTCGTGGGCGACAATGACGGCTGGTGCGCACGCGGTCTTCCCCGCCTCCCCGCCGCTTCGCTGACCCGGCCTTCCACGCCCAGGGCTTCCCCTCGATTGAAGGATGCCGACATCCCGGAGTCCGCGATGGCGGATCTCTACGTCGAGCTTATGCTCATGGCGCGCAAGATGTTCGTCGAGTGCAGGCTCGTCCACGCCGACCTCTCCGAATACAACATCCTCTACCACGTCCCCGACGCGGCGCCCACGGACCCCGCGGCTTCTGCGACCGAGTCCGAAGCCGCCCCGCGTCGACGGGGGCGCAGACCGGTGCGGGAACGCCGCCGGCGCGTGGCGAGCTCCACATCATCGACGTCTCGCAGTCGGTCGAGCACGACCACCCGCACGCGTTCGACTTCCTCCGGCAGGACCTCCGCAACGTCGACGACTTCTTCGCCCGCCGCGGCGTGCCCACCGTCGGCCTCCGCCGCGCGTTCGAGTTCGTCACGCGCGACGCCGACGCGGCCTCGGCGCCGTCGGAGGACGCGGCCGGCGCGGCCCTCCGCGAGTGGATGGCCGCGCCCGCGCCGAGCCCGCCGATGCCGACGCGGACGGCTTGGACGGCGGGGAGGCGCGGACGCACGAGGACGCGGTGTTCATGCGCTCGTACATCCCCCGCACGCTCAACGAGGTCTACGACCCCGAGCGCGACGTCGGCGTGCTCTCCCGCGGGGAGGGCGCGCGGCTCATCTACAAGGACATGATCGGGATCGTCGGCCCGAGCGAGGACGTGGACGGGGCCGGCGCGGACAAGGACAAGCGGACGAAGGCGGTCTCGTTCGTGGACGAGGGCGGGGAAGCGGAAGGCGGGGAGGAGGACGGGGACGAAGATGCGGGGAGCGAGGAAGACGACGAGTCCGAGGATGACGGCGAGTTCAACGATAGGAAGCCTCGTGGGCACCGACATGAGGACAAGGACACGAAGAAGGTGCGTATTTTCTCGAACACGTCGCTGAATGGAAGGCTGACTGAATGTGGTCGGTCTCAGGAGCGCAAGAAGGCAGCAAAGGCAGAGGCCCGCGAGAAACGCAAGCACAAAATACCCAAGGCGGAGAAAAAGCGCAAGGTCAAAGCTACCGCTCGTGGAGGATGATCCTGACTAAGTGTAGAGGGAGTTGAACGATCTGCAGATGTACGCTATCCTGTTTCTGTATTGTGTCGCACGTCCAATCCATACATCCCGTGTTCTGACCACTGTGTTGTGTGGCCAGCAGTCATGATTATCTTCATAATTTATGCGTCTGCACTCCTCGCTAGGCCCAGCATCCAGCCAGTAACACCGTATTATACATGTCGACACCAAGACTGTAACATAGACCGCACGCCGCGCGCCGCGTCAATCTGTGAAGGCAGGAGTGGGTTAACCGAGCGACGTGCTCGAGACCCGCTGGGATAGTGGATTGAGTGCTTCTATAGTACATCGGCCTTGCCAGTAGCGTGAATGAGACAACGAGTACCGTGTCGAACGAGTGTGCGCGCGCCAAGGCGTGCGGAGGAAGATGCAAAGAGCGTCCGAACGGGGGCGACTGGCGCGCGCCAGCCCTGAAGGAAGAGTGTGGTGGGGTGCGGGGCTGCGAGACGGGTATATATGTACAGTTGTTGCAACAGGGCGGAGGACTACGTGTGGTGTACAACATCATCTTTACACGTGCGACGGTGGTGAACGGCGGGCGGCGCTCCAGGGCTGCCTGTTGGGGTGGGCTTGGAAGGAACACGAGGCGAATTAGAATGTCGACGCCCATATCTCGAGGTCAATAGTCGCGGTCCGCGAGCGCTCGATCCATGGGTGTTTCTGGCGAGGGATTAGGGGAAGTGGAGCGAAGATACTAGGAGACGACGTACGAGGAGGTCTTTGGGGGTCTTCCGCGCATCGGGGTCCTTCAACAAACAGCTATCCACGAAGTCATCCGCCTCCTTCGGGAACCGACCCTCGGGAGTCAGTCGGGGAGCGGGCTCGTTGACGATGTGTTGGAGAAGCTCGAGGATGGACATGGTCATACCGCCGCCCTGGAGACTGACACCCTTGCTCTTCCGCTTCTTCTTCTTGTCCCGTTGCTCCTTCGTGAGGGTCCTCAACGGGTGCGGTCGACTGGGCGACAATGTGCCCTCGAAGTCTGAGAGATCGGAGTCGTCCGAGGAAGACTCTGCAAAGGGGAAGCGACCGAGAGCGAGTTCAATCAAGGAAATGCCGAGCGACCAGACGTCAGACTTGACCGTATACTGCGCGCCCTGGATACGTTCAGGCTGATGGAGGCGTAAGCGAACGCCGAGGGCTAGTAGGAAACATAATGGACTGACACTCATATATGTCGACGTCCCGACGAAGGTGTCCGCAATGGAGTTGATAAGTTCACCGGACACACCAAAGTCACAAATCTTGACCTGCCCTCGTGAGTTGAAGAGAATGTTCGACGGCTTGATGTCTGAGGGACGAGTAAGAGACGCGCTCCAGGAGCGAGCATGCGCGACACGCACCGCGGTGGATGATTCGGTGGACGTCATACAAGTAGGTCAAGCCTTCGAGCACGGCGAGCGCTACCTTGCCCACAACATCGATATCAATGGGCCCGATCTTCTTGTAGATGCCGTCGAGGGAGCCCTTGTCCATGTACTCGATGCACATGCAGATATTAGGATCGGAGATGAACGCGCCGTAGAAGGAGATGATGTAGTTCGAGTGGCAGTCGTGCATAATCTGCAGCTCGCGAAGGATCTGTTTCCGGACCGAGGGCTTTGCGTCTATCAAGACAATCTGGAGAGTAGCTGGATGTTAGCATGACGGGCGAGCCTGTGCACGTCACGACAATGCTGACCTTCTTCGCCATGATGGTCTTGGTGGGGAGGTGCTCGACCTTCTTGACGCTGCCGCCGTTGCCCTGGCCGAGCTCGTGCAGATCCTTGAGGTCTTCATTGCGGAGGTCATGATACTGGTTTTCGGAGCTGAGCTCGAGATTGGCGAGCGTGGAGGAAAGCGTGCTGTGGTAGTTGGCGCGGGTGGCAGACGCTGAGCCTGTAGGTGGCGCTGAACTGGGGCCGTTCACGGTCAAGAGGTTGTGGTCGGTGTCGACGCTGGCGGTGGACGCGGTGGGGATCTTGGGGGCGGCGATCGTCATCGGTGGGGGACGCTTCTTGCGGCCACCGGCAGGGACGGGTGCGACCCGGATAGGCTCGGGCTGAGGCTCGGGGGGCTTGTTGTTGACATCGAGTTGGAGGGCCTTGAAGTTGCGCTTTTTCCGAACGGGGGCGGCAGCGGGGGTGGCCATGGTGTGCTCTGGGTGCGCACGCGACGGGATAGAGGCGGTGGGGGAGAGGCGAGAACGCAGGGACGAGGAGGAGGACGAAAGGGGCGGCGACGGGGACGACGACGACGATGTTCTCCGGAGATGGGTGTCCTGTTTTCGACCGACGCTCGGCTTGCTGCTTGCTCGCTGACGTAAGCAGCCCTAGGCGCCTCCATGCGCCGGCGTCTCTGCCATCGCGTGCGCGCGCGTCGCGTCGTGTGCCGTGCTTGTCACCTCCCTCCGCTGGCCGCCAACGACGCCGTGCTTTCCCTCCCCCCACCCTCCGCCTCCTCCCCATGCAGCCTCGCGCAGCCTGCTCGATTGCCGTCGGCGCCATCCGCCGCCGCCCTCTGCTCGGCGTCGCTGTAGGCGTGGGTGCGCTGGCCGCGCTTCGCCCGCTCGCGCCACGCGCGGCCGCGGCCATGCGCACGCTCCAGTTCCAGGTCACGCCTTCTCTGAATGGGGCCCTCGGGGCGGCAGGCCTCGCCACCCTCGCCGGTGGCCATCGATCGCTCTCCTCGCTCGCCGGCCTCTTCTCGCCTTCGCCCTCCCACCACGACCCCAGCATGCCGCCGCTCGTCCCGCCCCAGCCGCCGCTCAAGTGGACGCACACGCCCGAGGAGGTCCTCGCGCTCACCAAGGACACGATCGCGGCCGACCGCGCGACGCTCGACAAGCTCGCCGCGCTCGCGCCCGAGGACTGCACGTTTGAGTCGGTGCGTCTCGTCTTCACCCATCGACCCCCCGGATCCTGAGGCTCCGGGGACATACGCGCACCCGGCTCCGCATGCTGACCCGCGCTGCCGCGCGCTCGCCGCCCGGTCGCCACGACAGGTCTTCGTAAGTGGCCAGATCCTCCAGGACGCGAGTCCGTTGCGGGGCGGGTAGTAATTCGGTGGCGCACAGGTGACCCTCGCCGAGGCCGAAGCCAGGTTCGACGCGATCGTCGAGCCGCTCTCCTTCTACCAGAACGTCTCGACCTCGAAGGAGCTCCGCGACGCCTCGAACGATGCCGAGATCCTCGTCCGCGACTATGGCGTCGAGGCGTCCATGCGCCTCGACGTCTTCCGATCCAAGCAGGCCGCCGAGGAGAACGTCAAGAAATCGGGCAAGTCGCTCAGTCCCGAGGAGCAGCGTCTCGTCGACAAGATGATCCTGGAGGGCAAGCGCGCCGGTTTGACATTGCCCGACGCGGACAGGGAGACTCTGACTGCACTCAAAAAAGAGCTTTCTCAGACATGTCTCGAGTTCAGCGTAGGTCAAAGTCTACTAGTGTCAGTACGTGACCGACTGATCGTTTGTTTGTATAGAAAAACTTCAACGAGGAGAAGGGCGTTGTGTCTTTCACGCTGGAGGAGCTCCAGGGTGTACCTGAAGATGTCATATCTGGGTTCACCAAGCGCACTGAGGGCGACAAAGAGGTGTACGATGTCACCTTCAAGACGCCAGACATCTTCCCACTGGTGCGCATTTTCCTGCCTTCCGTGGAAGGCCGCGTATTGATCTCGTTTGTGTAGTTCAAATTCGCAGAGAACCCCGAGACTCGGCGCACTGCGTATGCAAAATATGAGAATCGACTCGCAATTAACAAGCCCGTTATGGCCAAGTTCCTCGGGCTGCGCCGTAAGATCGCGAAGCTTCTTGGTTACCCAACATGGGCAGACTACATCACCGAGGTTAAGATGGTCAAGAATGCCAAAGGGGTCAAGGAGGTACGTGGTCACACCACCTAGTTTTCGACACCAATGCTAACCAGTGTTATAGTTCCTCACTGATCTCGAGCAAAAGCTTCGGCCAGTTGGTTTGAAGGACCGGGAGATTTTGCTGGCGCTCAAGAAAGAAGAACACGACGAGAAGGGCATTCCTTTCGACGGCGAGTTCTATCTGTGGGACTACCGTTACTACGACCGCAAGTTCATCGAGAAGAGTCTGAATCTTGACGACATGCTTGTCAAGGAGTACTTCCCGGTAACGAAGGTCGTCCCTGCGATTTTGGACATTTATCAAAATCTGCTCGGCGTGAAGTTTGTTGAGGAAAAGGGCGAGACCTGGCACCCTGGTGAGCATCAGTCCAGGTTGCTGCCACGAGCGTACTGCCTGACTCGCATGATCTACAGAGGTCCAGATGTTCTCCGTATGGGAGAAGGATGCCACAGACGCTACCGGTTTCGTCGGCTACTGCTATCTCGACCTCTTCCCCCGTGGTAGGCCCATTTGTCGCAATGCCTTCACTTCCGCGTTCTCATCGCACTTATGAACCACAGAATCGAAATACTCCCACGCAGCCGTTTGGCCTCTCTTATCTGGGTACGACAAACCAGATGGCTCACGAAGCTACCCCCTTGCAGCAATGGTTGCGAACCTGGCCAAGTCCACGCCTTCGAAGCCCGCGCTCATGCGCCACGACGATGTTGTGACGTTCTTCCACGAGATGGGCCACGTCTTCCATGGCCTGCTGAGCAAGACCAAGTTCGCACGCTTCCACGGGACGAGCGTGGCACGAGACTTTGTCGAGGCCCCTTCACAGATGCTCGAGAACTGGTGCTTCGAGCCCAAGGTCCTGGAGCTTATGTCGAGCCACTACGAGACGCAGAAGCCTCTGGACGCGGACCTAATCGAGAAGATCATCAAGAGCCGATACGTGAACGTTGGACTGTTCTACCTGCGCCAGCTATTCTTCGCCAACTTCGACCTCAAGGTGCACACCGACCAAGACGCGGATGATTACACGGCGCTGTGGAACACCATGCGCGAGGAAATCTCGCTTGTCAAGGGCAAGGAGCTCGGTTCGGGCGAGGGCACGTTCAACCACATCGCTGGCGGCTACGACGCCGGATATTACGGCTACACTTACTCGCTGGTATTCGCGTCGGACATGTACGCGACCATCTTCAAGAAGGATCCGCTCGACCCGGAGCGCGGCCAGCTCTACCGGGACAAGATCCTCCGTGTAGGTGGCAGTCAGGACGACCTCGACTCCTTGAAGGTATGTTCGGTAGCATGGTGGACCGGATCGTCGACCACTAACTGCCATGTGATTAGAACTTCCTTGGCCGGCCCCCGAACGCGGACGCGTTCATCAAGGAACTTTTCGGGAGCCAGACTTCGAGCCTGTGAGCGCACAAATGGACGAGTCGCGAGTGGTTAGGATGGAGGACCTGCCGGTGCGGCGGTAATGGACAGCTTCCCAATGTCGGGACGGACGATGTGCGCAGTGCTGTCTGGTGTATATAGCTGATCGGAATGCGGATGTAGCAACAGTCCCTCCTCTGCCTTTTGCTCGTCGCTCTGTCCATGACGCCCTTACGCTGTGTTGTGCGTCGACGGGCGGGCAGTCGACACGGCCGCCCGTGGCCTGGGTCGCGACGGTCGCCATCAGGGGGGTGATCGGGCTGGGTGAGGGCGGAATCGATCTTGCTGGCGACCTCCACATTTGAGAGCAGCCCCCGCCTGCCCCTGTCGTCCGTACCCGCTTCCGCCGCCCTTCTCGCTCCTCACACCCGCCACCCCGACCGTTGCTCTCTTCGGCGGACGTGATGGCCTCTTGGCTCGTCCGATCGTACTCAAAGGAGTCGCTCAACCGCGACTCGCGCAATGGCAGCCCCAACAGACTGCAGGTGAACCGCCTGCCGTTCGAGGTGAAGACATGCTCGGCAATTGTGTTGGCGGTCGTCTAACGGACATTGCAGCGGAGCAGGAGCGGACAAGGCAGCAGTGACGGCACTCCGGAATTTGTACGTCCCCTTTGTCTCCGAGGCTTCGCTGTGCGGTCGAGTGGGCAGGGTGCGGGGCTGTCGAGGGTGGTGTGCATCGCCTGCCGGCCGATCTAGGCGGCGCGAGTGCAGATGACGGGGCGGAAGGGAGCTCATCACGACCTCGAGTGCTTCTGTGCTCGACGGGGCCCAAGCATTGCGCCCGCTCGCAGGCGCTGCCGCGCCTTGGCAACACTGCTTTACGTGACAGCCTGCTCTATGAGCTCGCCGCCGAACCCGCACGAGCCTCTCCTTTCTCCGCGACACCCTCACCCGCCTCCGTGCTCATCTGCCGTCGTCCTTGCACAGTCTCTGCTCGTCGAAGCACCTGGCAAGGTCGAGGTGAGCCCACACGTCCATCTCTCCGTCCTCTTTCCGCCTCCCCTCCCCCGCACCCCTCCCCCCGCCACCCGGTGATCTCTGCCCGACCTCGTGCGCGGTGTGTGAGCGATGGCCACGGGCGACAACAACGGCAGCGTAAAGAAGGAGCGGCGGCGCAGCCTGCTTGGACGCTACAGCGTGTCGACCAAGGAGTCCCCCACGCTCCCGACGCCGATCGAGGGCAAGGCGCAGACCGCGACTCCTACGACCGCGTCCCGTCCTCGCCCATCGCCACCATCCTGCCCTTCAAGCGGTCCAACTCCGGCCAGTCCCTCTCCTCCCTCGCCGGCGGCCCCTCGCGCCCCAACCCACCGCTCTCTACCCGGAAACGCTCCAGCTCGTCCAACTCACTGACCCAGGACGATCCCAACCCACAGAACCCGCTCGAGCGCACCTCTCCTCCCTCTCCACCACTTCCCAGGGCCGCACCGACTCCCCGTTTTCGCCCCCGTCGTCCGCCAAATCCCCAGACTCCCGCGGCTCCTTCGCCAAAATGTCCCTCGGCTCCATGCTCTCCTCCCTCTCCCTCTCCCGCGCATCCTCTGACCGCGGCCGGGACGAGGAACGCGGCCGCTCCGAGCGCCAGGACAAAGACAAACACCCGCCCGCTCCTCCTCCTACGCCGGCGCGCCCGAGGCCGACCGCGACTCGTCCGAGTCCCGCGCCCGTTCGCAGTCCCCCTTCCGCCTCCGCCGCCGCTCCCGCGCGCGCGACCCGTCCCCCGCCGTCGAGGCCCTCACCCAGTCCGACGCCGAGTCCGACGCGGAGGGCTCCCTCGCCTCGCGCGGCGTGCGCCCGCGCACCGCCTTCTCCTTCTCCGCCCAGTCCGACGACGAGTCGGACGAGGGCGAGGACGAGTCCGACTCGGACGACGCCTGGGAGGAGGGCGAGCCGCACTTCGACGAGGTCACGGAGCAGAACACGGAGGCGAACGCGCTCGTGCCCGCGACGAGCGAGCAGGACGTGCCCGACTACCTCGGCGAGGGCGTCAACGTCGTCGTCCCGCCCGAGCCGTACTTCCCCTCGACGCTCAACGGCGGCCAGGGCCGGAACCCGCGGCGGCGCAAGTCGATGAAGCCCCAGGACCAGCTGCCGCTCAACACCTCCCGCCCGACGTTCCAGCGCGACCGCTGCATCATCTCCGTCACCCAGGGCGCCCCCGAGAAGATCAACAGGGAGTCGGGCCGCGCGGGGAAGCGGTACGTGCTCGCGAGCGACCTGAGCGAGGAGAGTCGCTTCGCGCTGGAATGGGGGATCGGCACCGTGCTGAGGGACGGGGACGAGCTGTGCGTCTAGTGTTCTACTATGTTTTCTGAGGATCAAGTCCTGACCTTTTTGCGCTAGCATTATCGTTACCGTCGTCGAGAACGAGGGCAAAGGTATGCGGGGGTGGCGCTGCTCGCGTGGACCCAACGCTAAAGTCTATCCGTGCAGTCGATCCCCAGATCCCCAACCCCGCCGATCGTGCTACCAAGCTCCGTGCCCAGCAGGAGGTGCGTCCCGCCGTTTATCCGCATTCTGATTCTGCGATGCTGAGGCTGGTGATTGCGTACAGCGACAAGCCTTGGCATATATCCTCGTCCGCCAAGCCACCAGCCTGCTTCAGCGCACGCATCTCAACGTTTCGATTGCGTGCCAGGCTTGGCACGCAAAGAATAGCAGGCATATGCTGCTTGGTGCGCAGTCCTTTCGTTTCGCCTGGGTTTAGTGGCTGATGTCGTGAGTATATCTACAGACATTGTCGATTTCTATGAACCCGTCATGCTCATCGTCGGTTCCCGAGGTCTAGGAAACCTCAAGGGGTATGTCTCCATTCGTCCCTCTAGACGACACACCATCTAACCACGAGCCACAAAGCATCCTCCTCGGCTCGACGTCTCACTACCTCATCCAAAAGTGCTCCGTGCCCGTGATGGTCGCCCGCCGGCGGCTCAAGCGCCCCCCGCGCCGCTCCGCGCACCTCAAGGCGCACCGCGCCCGCGTCTCGCTCGCACAAGCCGCCGTCGACCGCGTCGCCTCCAAGGTCGACCAGGACGTGGCGAAGATGCGGTCCGAGATCGCGCGCGACGACGAGCGCCGCACCGAGGGCCACCCCGCGCCCGACCGGGACGACGACGACGACGGGGGGGACGGGGACGACACCGAGGTCGAGGGCGACGGCCCGGGCGGCGCGATCAACGCGGGCGTCGACGGCCTCATGGCGGGAGGCGGCTCGGGCGCGCGCGCGGTCGCGCGGGGGCTCGCGAGCGCGATCGGCGAAGGTACTGAGAATTCGCTGGGCGAGAAGGTGGCCGGGGCGCTGGCCTGATGAGAATCGGAATGAACTGACACTGTGTTTTCTTCTTCCCCCCCTCCCCTCGCGTCCACATTGCCCCCTCCCTACTCCCCACACGCTACCGCCGTTCTCCGCTTGCTCCCCGCACCCCCCTCCCGTCCCCTACTCCCCTACGCGCCGCTCCGTTCGCCGTGCTCTCGTCTCGCTTCGTGCGGACGACAGCGGTGGACGCCAGCTGCTGCATAGGGGACTGCCCCGCGTGAGCGTGGATAGACATAGGATACCGTACGGTCCGGTCCGGGTGCAAGCGCAAGCGCGGCGTCCGCGGGTACGAATCGTGTAGGGACGCGTCTCGGGAGCGCAGGGTGGGCTAGTCTTGGCTGCTCGGTGCGGTGCGGAGGGGGCGAGGCCATATACCGGGAGGCGGGCGGAAATGGTTTAATGTGTTGTCGCCTGTTGCATGGTATGCGCGGGCCTGGAGGCTGCGTCTTGCTATATTGTACGATGTAACATATCATTGGTAGAACCGTCTCTCCAAGTGTTCCGAAGCCGCCACGGACGGTGAACGTAACTCCGACGCTGCGTGCGTACCAATATATCGAGAGAACCGGGGCCTAGTTATGCGACAGTCTATAGGTGGTGTACGTACCCTGCTCGAGGACTCGCCAGAGTCTAAGGAGATCATACAGGAATTCTAAGCTACAGGTGCGGTGGCGGGCGCGTCCCGTCGGCCTCCTCGCGCCAACGCGCGAAGGACGGGGGGCGGAGAGGGCTCCGCGTGAATCCGTCCGAGTCACCCGGCGGCGCGACAAGACAAAAAAAGGGGCCGACGGGGGGAGGCCCGTGGGCACGACGGAGTTACAGCAGAGCAAGAAGGCACGCATACAATAGGCAGGCCCGAGCGGGCGGGACGGACGGGGCGAGGAGAGGAGAGGGGGGTCCAAAAGGGAGGGGGGCGTGGGGGCTCGTACTCATAAAAAGCGTGCGGCATGAGACGTGAGACGACGTGAAGGGCGGGGAACGCGAGTGCAGGTGGAGAGTAGGGCGTCGGCGTGTTGGTATCGAGAACGCGAAACGATGAACGAACGAAAAACAAAACCGGTGGGCGAGCGCATGCGACGCTCAAAACCACGTCATCCACGAGTACTCGTTCGACTCGGAGCTGAGCCACTTGAAGTGCTGCGCCGTCGCCGCGGACGCGCCCATGTACCCGCTCAACGGCCCGCCGTCGTGCTGCAGCCCCGACCGCTCCGCAGAGACCCCGAAGCCAGCGGAGCCGCCCACGCCCACCCCAGGGGAGGACGGCCGGCCGTTGGCGCCGCCGCCGTTGCGCGTGCCGCCGTTCACGGACGCGCGGTGGAGGTGGCCGGGCATGAGGATCGGGTCGTTCGGCGGGGGCGAGTTCGCCGTCGCGTCCTCGTAGACCCCCCGGAGCTTCGGGTGCGTCGTGAGCGGCGGGAGGGCGTTCTCGCTGTCGCTCGGCATCACGTTCCCCGTGCGCGAGTGGGCCGAGACGAAGCCGCCGGCGCGGACGCCGAATGTGCAGACTGGGTCCGTGGTGGGATCGTAGGTGTCGGAATGGTTGAGGCCGTACCGGCTCTGGAGGTAGTGGGACCGCGCGCGGTCGAAAATGATCTCGAGCACGGGCTATGGGTGGGTGTGAGCAGCAGCAAAACCGGAACGCGTGTGTGGGACGTACCTGAGCCCTGGCCGCCAGTGGACACCGGTCGCTGACATCCGAGTAGAACCGAACGACTTTGCCAAGCTCGAGCAGAGCGTTCGAGGACATCATGGACGGCGGCACTCGCGAGGCGATCAGCGATAGTGCGACCTGTTAATAGAACGTGAGTGAAGAAAAGGGCCGGCCGAGGACCGCGGAACTTACAGCTGAAGACAAGCCATTCCACCACAGCCGCTGCGAGCGCACCGAGTACTCGGGCTGTTGCCTGTAGTACGCCTCCAGGCCGAACAGAAGGCTGACGGACGCCTGGTACACGGCGACGACGGACATTGCGTACTTGTGGTGGGCCCAGAAACCCTCGTTGAGCGCTTGGGTGAAAAACTGGCGGTGGAGGTTCAGAAAAGCTGGAAGGACGATCAGCGTGGCCCTGACACGTTGTACGCCAGAAGCACGACGCACCGACTTCGCGCGTCATATGTGTCCATAACTGCACGATGCACAGTCCGTTTCCGGACGTCGTGCCGGGGTTGATCTGCATAAACGTGGGCACCTCGAAGTCCCGCACGCGAGCGTCTAGCGCGAGGATTTCCGAGTAGGGCGGAGACACTGGCGACACGACCGCTTCCAGCACTGGCGAGATGCAGTGCTCAGTGAACGTGTAGTGCCACCGTTGGTCTGCGGAATGAGGCCCATTGAGTCATGAGGGCCCTGTCATGCAAAATGTGATGCACGCACATATCTCCCGGTGCGTTGACGCAGGGAACTCGCTCGATGTGGGTGGATCAACGTCCACATACCGCAAGGACAGCGACGGTGCACGCCGTAGCATCAAGGACTGTTGCGTGACGTCTGGGTCAGGCACGAAACTGCGCATAGGAGCGAAACACCCACCAATCGCTGGTCGACATTTTGCATGCACCACAACAAGGTTTTGCGCTTGTCGAGTTCCTCGGGGATGACTTTAGAGCGACTTGAAGCCCGATCTGAACAGTCCAAGTATAAGCACTCGTCAGTCATCCGAGCATCACAGGCTTACTCAACCCAAGCTGTAGAAGGCAATCAGCGTCAACCGGAAATAGGTTATTAACAAATGACTTACGGCAACTGCCAGCTTCATTGCGATACCCTGAAACCAAGGAGAGGTAGATTAAAGACGGTCAACATAGCGAACGACAGAAAACCTTACCAATACCGCAAACGCATACTCTGTTGCCTCCTTGTCAACCGAGAACATGGAAAGATATCGCGCCATGTAAAACTGGACCGACGGAAGTCAATTGACCGGAGTTAGCACAAAGCCAGGGAACGCAGGAACGCACCAGTGCGTTGATCGCATCCATGCTTGGATCGTTGATCACCGATGTCTCGCACAATGCTGCTCGTGAGAGTTGGTGGTAGCGTTCTGCGTCTGCCGCCCAAGAGAAATGGCTCCGTCGTTGGTCGACACAGACACCGATAGCGAGGATTATGAGGAAGTAGGACAGTCGATGTGGGTTGAGCGTTGCAGGCGACGTGTTGTATATGCTGTGTACCATATTAGGTACACCATCACTTCCATCCGAGTTTTGGCTGCGAGAACCGAGAAGTTAGACACACGTGGAGGCAGAGGAGTGAAGGAACGAGGGAGGCGTGTGACCGGTAGCATGGGATGGAGAGAGACGTACTGCCATGCTGCATGTTCAGCAGCTTGTTCGCAGAGATATCGAGCTTCATGTTGTGGGGGAAGCAACTCCAAGATGCGTTTCCGGAGCCCAGGGTTGAGATCGAAGGTGAGTGCGCTGGGAGCGGGGAACCGGTCGCTGACGCGCAGGACGTCCAATGGAATGGAGACGTCTTCCGGATCCCTCGCGGGCGGAGACAAACTCGAGCGCTGGGACGGGAGGTCAGTCAGCATGGAATGGACGTGCGGCTGGCTTCGACATACGTCGTCGAGCATCTGGGGCGAGGCAGGAGCATGGCCCATATACATGTCTACGTGCTTGCCGTTGCCTTCCGCCGTTGGCGGCTGCAGTTGATTGGGATCCACTCCGAAAAGGTCGGCAGACTTCTTGATGAGCAGGAGCTCCTCGCGGAGGAGCGGGTGCCCGCCTTGGACGTCGCGAAGGGCGTCCTCGAGCTCGCGGATCCGTGCGCTCATGGACTTGATTTTCTCGTGCAGCTGCTCGGTGTTCGCGAGAATGAACCTAGACATGGGTGATGTTCAGGGCTCGGCTGTCGCCGGTATACCTGGGGGAATGCGCGACGCACCTGCTGCCCTTGCCACCGGTAAGCGCGCCGTCGGGGCAGATCTCCGCACATCCTCTCTTGCAGCACGACTGGCACGGGAACACGCGGTCGCACTGGGTGGGGGTGAGCGACAGCGTCACGGGCTCGGCGTAACCCGACACGGACCTTGAGCTTCAGTCTGGGGGCGGGGGTGGTCTAGGATGAGCAGGGGACTGGTGGGCGAGGGCAGGAACTGACCTCCTGCATTCGCCGCACGAGAGCGGCCGCTTTCTGTTCTTCTTGGAGGCGGCATCTCCCAGTCCGTCCTGGTCGGGAAGGGCGTTGGAGGGGTGGATCGAGGGCCCTGGGGCGTAGTAGTTGAGCGGGTCGTAGGAGTCGGCGACGCGAGGCCGCTTGGCGGGGGGAGGGTAGTCGGCGAGGGACGGGTCGAGGGCAGAGGTCATGCTCGTGGAGGGAAAGAGACAGGGACGGGGCTGGGTGAGCGCAGGACGGGGAGACCACTGCGGGCGTCTGCCTGCGCCGAAAAGAGCGGAGCTGGCCCTCGTCCCCCGCGAGCCACCCACGCCCTCTACGCCCGCTCTCTTTTCTCCCGCCCCAGCCGTCTCCTCCGGCCCCGCGCCAGACGATCTCCGCCAGATCCCCCGCGCCCGTCCGACTCCGGCCGTCTGGCCGGCCTCCTGCTCCCCCACCACCATGCTCGCCCTCTCGTTCCGCGCCCCTCGTCCTGCCCCGCCCCGGCCAGCCCTCCAGCGAAGGTGGGCGGGTCGGCAGGCCAACCCGTGGGCCCACGTCGAGACCGCGACGCCAGAGAAGGCCCCCTTCCAGCTCCGAACATGGGTACGCCGCGTCTCCCGCATCGGCAACTTCGTGCTCGTCCCCTGTGAGTGCTGCGTGCGCTGGCAGCGTCCCCCGGTGCTGACGCGCTCCCGCAGCGATCATCCTCTATGCGGTCTTCGTCCACGACTTTGGCGACTACGAACACGTGTTTAGTCCGGTATGTCTGCCCTCCTCGATCCGCGCCGTCGTCTCATGCCCCGCTCGAAGCCGAGGCGCTGGCTGCAGTCGCAGACCGCAGCCTTCTACACGCTCTCGCCGGAGGAACAAAAGCTCGCCGGGCTCGAGCCCGCGTCGGCCAACGCCGCGCCGACAACCGGGGCGTTACAGGGCGTAGGAAAGCCCTCGTAGCGGCGCGCCCCGTCCACATGGCCCGTGTCCGTCCGGAGTGCTGAGTGTGCGCGGATCGGCGGCAGCGGGCCATCACGCACGCACGCCTGCGCCGCGCACGCGCACTGTACACACGTTGCCCGCGAGGGAGTGCGCCGGCGTCGGGTCGACGCTGACGGCGGCACGCGGTCTGCCTGATGCACCCGGGTTGCGTGGGAGGATCGGCGGCGGGTCGCGATGCGTCTCGCGGCGGCGCCGGTGTCGGATGCGCGCGTCGGGATGCGCGCGGGTCCGGGGTGGAAATGAACATATAGCCGTTGTCGGTCTCCTGCGGTCGGCGTCCGAGGGCGCCCACAATTCCCTCCTGTAAACATGGATGCGACCTTGGCGGAGCGCGGATGTACCTGGGGTGCGAAGCGTGTCGGCCAACGTTCCGAGTGATGCAAGATGGAGGGCCTCCGTTCCCGTCATGATGACCGCGAGGGTGGCGGCCCCGCGCACGCTGAGGGACGGTTTCGCGCCCGGTGTCCGTCCCAGTGCGCACGCTGCTGGGGGTGTCGAGGAGGGGACACATCGGGCAGCCGGCCATCTAGCGGGCCAATACCGAGCGGCGGCCGATAAGCGTCAAGTGGATCGCCCGAGCCCCTCGGACTCGGACCCGTCTGCCTCGGATAAATCGCCCGGCCCCGGCACTTGCCGCCTTGCCCTGTGACCATCCACTTGCGCCTTGGGCTCTCTCCAGACTCCACCTTCCAGTTCTGTGGTCTCGCCCATTGCATCCAGCTGCGCCGCAGGACCGCATATCGGCCTACCCGGGCGACGACGCGGCGGAGAAGTTACGCAACTCCCTCGTCCCTGTCTCACCATCTCAAGCTTCAAGGCTTACCACTGCTCCAATGTCGTAAGTATGTCCTTCGTATGGCTTCTCCGCTCCACCTTTTCCGGTTGCCTCAGCCCGACAGCTCATAACCACGTTCGAGCGCACAAGTGAGTCATGTCAGGCCTGACGCTCTCTGAGAACTCCGCGGCCGCCAGCATCCCCAGCAGGCCGGCGGCGCCGGCTGCGCATTCCTGCCCACCGGCTGGCACCCAGGGCTCGCCTCACGCTCTGCAGCCAACCATCCGCGCCCCGTGTGCGATCTGGTCGCAGCCCGAAGCGAACGGACGACTCCCAGGCTCAGGCTCTCGTCCGCGCTTCGTCCGCGGCCCCCCGGCGCTCATCGACTCCATCACCTTCACAGCGGCCGGCGCCGCCATGCGTCGCACTGAGCCTGTCTGTGTCATGCCCGTGTCCAAGGTCCCTGGGCATTCGTCTTCCGCACCCCCGGCTCGGAAGTCACGCACGTACGCCCGTGCTTCCGCAACTCAGACCCAGGGAACCCGCACACGCCATGGGAACGGCCGTCCCGAAATACTGACGGCGGCGCGCTCTGCCTGAGGAGAAGGGGGCAGGCGAAGCTCCCCCCTGCACGGCTTCTGCGCCGCGCGCACGGACGCTGCAGCACCTCCTCCGGACTAACGCCACACCGCTCGCACCGTGCCCACGCGAGCGGCGGCCCGGGGGAACGCTTACAGCACCAGTACTGTGTTGCGCGGCAGGCGATGTGGTCGCCGGCTGGGCGGACGCACCTACGCCCGGTCGTTCCCGCGACGGCCGGGAGTGGGTGGGAGATGGGGCTCTTTGATCACAGCATGGAGAGGGGCTTGGGGCATGTGGTGAGGGGACGGAGATGTGCAATGCGTGCGGGACGGCGGTGATGGTTTGTTGGGAGAACAGCGAAGGCGGCTGTGGAGATCGGCTCTCGGGTCGGTGTATGGATTGGCTCCAGCCTAGGTAAACGGGTTCATCGACATCTCGAAGGTTGACGGGAACGTACTCAGGGGTATCCGCTGTCTTTTAGCAGGATACAGGTCATACCAGTAGTATGTTCGACGGATGTCACAAGAAAGGCGGCTCCTCTGTCCACAGTTCGGAGTCCGTCCCTTTCACATAATGAAACTGTATCCGGGATCGCGGTAAGTAATTTTGTTAATGACTGTCGATCGGAAACCGGAAGTGTTTAATGATACACTAGTGTCCATCGCTGTGTGACAAACTGATTGCAAGTTACCCCAAGCTATCCGGTTCTGGAATCTGAGGGCCTGTTCCTGGCTGTTCCTTGAAAGGCTCCCAGGGGGTTTGACATGACCGCGTATGGGTCCTAGCGATGTGTAAAGTGTTTCCTGGGGGAGTACCTCCTCCGTTCCGATTCCCTCAATCCCTCTCGGCTTTGGTCTTCAGGATTTTTCGAAGCGGCAGGTGCAGTGCAAAGCTCAGAGATTTTGTGGAGATGTCGGCAAATTGACGAGGCGCCCTGTGTAGTGCCTCGAACCGCGCGCTAGTAATGGTGGATACTCACACTGAGGACCTCTGAACAGTGCGGACGCCACACTGCTTGGGCGTATGTTCACGAGGATCGCTGAAGATGCGGATGGACGCGCGCGTCGACACCGGAGTATTGAGGTAGATAGAAACTTACGTTGGACAGAAACGCACACTTTGTCCGTCTTCTCCCTCTTCCTGACTTTTGGAACATAACCTTCGATTCGTCTTCAAAGCTGATTACGGCTTTTCCCAGACCAATCGCATAGGGATGGGGACGATTGTGATATTGCGCTGCTGTCATGTTTTACACTTCCGACGTGCCGAAGGACGCGAGATCCGAGTATCGAGGGCTCTCATCAGCGCTCAAGCGCTCAACGTTCAAACGTTCAACGTTCAACGACAGCTTGACATATCGCAAACGCAACGAGTCGGCCAATTGGTAAGTACAAGTACCAGCGAAGTTGTCCCGCCGCAAGCCGACGTGCACGGACCACACAACGCTTCCCGCCGGGGAGTTTCAATACTGAGTCCGTCATTGGCTGACGGCAAACGCCTCTCTGTGATTGGCTCGTCGGTGGCCAAAAGGAGCAACGCCGAAGCTTGAATCGCAGCACCGCCTCAGCCTGAGCCCCTCGTCCTCATCCGCCACCAGCAACCGTCCGTGCACACAACGCGATGTCCCAAATATTCGGAATGGTGGCACAGATGGAAGACAAGCGGAATGTGAAGTTTCTGGACGGGCCACGGGCATATCGGAATCGATCACAGCCAGCCCTGCCGCGCCCTGCGGTGGGCCCCGGGTCGCCCCTCGGGACGCTACGGACCTCCCGACGCCGCAAAGGCATATAACGACCTCTCCAGCCGCTCCCGCAACGCATCTTCAGGCATTTTCCACCACATTCACCACTACCAGCTCATGCACGCTTTACCCTCCCCTATTACCATCGGGCGTCTGGCGCCTCTTGCGGCCCGGTGCCATCCGCCACCCCTCCGCTATGCGCTCCTCTCCCCTGGCCTCACTACTGCATCTAGGCGCGCCCTCTCCAGCTCGTCTTCTCATGGCAATGTCTTGACGGGCAAGAAGACGGATGAGAAGTCCCCGCTGGGGCCCGGCTCCGAGGGCCTGCATCTCAGTACGTGCCCCGCTCGTCTTTTGTCAAATCCTGTGGTTAAATCTGCGCATCCTGCCTCCCAGAGGACATGCCTCAGCAGGCGCCCCCCACTCCTGCCGCCGCGAAGGAGATACGCGGAGACTGGGTGCTCTTCCACCCCGTATACACTCCAGAGGAGCTACGTTCGGTTGAGGTACGATCGACCAAAGCGCCTCCGGTTTCACCTGCCAATGTTGTCGATTTCAGGTGCTCCACAGGGAAGCCAAGACCATGTCAGACAAGGTGGCGTGGCTGTTCGTCCGCCTTGCGAGGTGTGTACCTTCGGGGTCGTTCCGGGTGCTTCGCTTTGTTCAGATGGATATCTTCAGGTGGGGCTTCGACCGTGTCTCGGGATACAAGCATAAGCCCATGCCTGCCAATGCAGACAAGATGTCTGTCGAAGAGCTTCGCAAAGGGGGCTACCTCATGGACGACTCGCAGTGGCTCAGGGTGAGCGCTATTTTGTGCACATTGCACGCTATCGTTGCTCATTGTTCGTAGCGCGTCCTCTTCCTGGAAACTATCGCCGCCGTCCCCGGAATGGTAGCTGCTGCTCTCAGGCACCTGCGCAGTTTGCGTCTCATGGTGCGTATGGTCGACGTTGCACGTGAATTTTCCCTCACACGCACTTGGTTGACAGAGGCGCGATCATGGCTGGATCCACACTCTTCTCGAAGAGGCGGAGAACGAGCGCATGCATCTCATGTCAGTCTCGTCGATCCACTCGCCGTGTCTCACTGACGTCACTGCTAAACAGGACTTTTATGACTCTCAAGAAACCGTCGCCCTTCTTCCGACTGATGGTCCTTGGCGCTCAAGGCCTTTTCTATAACACCTTCTGTGAGCACCTCCTGGTCTCATCCTTGCGTGAATCACTACTGACTGACGCGCCAGTCTTGTCTTATCTCATTTCTCCCAGGACATGTCATCGCTTCGTCGGTCACCTGGAGGAAGAGGCCGTGATCACGTAGTATGTTCAGCGAATCTCAGCGCATCCCGCCTCCTCTTACGCTCGGACAGCACTCGCTGCATCCAGGAGATCGAGGCCGGCCGTATCCCTGAATGGTGTGTGGATCAAAGCCGCTCTCTTCACAGGTCGTTCAACTAATCACACTCCTCCAGGACCAACATGCCCGCGCCCGAGATCTCAAAGGACTACTGGCGGCTCGCGCCCGACGCGAAGCTGCTCGACGTCATCTACGCCGTCCGCAGCGACGAGAGCACGCACCGATTCGTGAACCACTCTCTCGCGAATCTCGACTACCACACGGACATCAACCCGTTCGCGCTGCAGGAGCCCGACATGAGCGTGAAGGGGTCCAAGATATGGTGAGCGCTTGGTTTCCCTGTTTCTCCTCGGGTATGGACGCATCGCTGACGTTTTTGTATAGCTTCGAGCGGGACGACTCGGCGAAGTTTGTCGAGGAGGCGCACAAAAAGCTTGACGCCCCGTCTGAAACCAAGTGATCGGCATGTCTTCGAACGAGAGCCCGCGGATAAACCTTATGTAATGACTGTAGCGTCTTCACATTACCGTACCCACCACTCCCTATTTCCTGTTGGACTTGTATAATACTGGCCGTGGTCGAAAGGGCTTTTGACGAATGAGATATTATGATTGGTCATCGACGCATGTCCTGGTCCGGACGACCCAAAGCTAGTGTCCTCTACATTCGCGCGCGAATGTTGGCATTGCCGACGAGCACTCGAGCTATCGCCGCAGCTACCGCGGCTGGATCTTCTTGTACGGCCTACGCAGTTGTGTGTGACCCATTTTCAGTCACAGACGCGGACTAAAGTGCAGAATCGACTCACGAAATGACCGGCGTCTATCCTCTGCACCGACGCGGGCTTACATAGATCCATCACAGATTGAGACATCCAGGAGGGTCTGCAACAGCCGCATAAGCAACAGTTCCGCACGAAACTCGGGCGTCACACACATAAAGTGAGCCTGCGTCGCGAGGACGAAGTGCTTCGGCACAGAAACGCCTGCCGTAGCAAGGAGGGTCGCCGCGTGGTTGTGGAAGTCCTGGTACAGATACTGGATCGCCTCTTGCTTGGGCGAACAGCACAGCACGACCCGCCGCTCTCCCGCATTGGGCTCACCCACCTCCTTCAGCCCGCATTGCTTACGCGGCCAAACAGAGGTTTTGCCCGGACGTCAGCGCTCGCCCACCCGCGCGTCATGGCAAATGCAAGTCGCACTCACCACGAAGAGCTCGCGCACGCGCGGGTCCCAGCTGCGCCACGGCTCGCGGCCGGCGAAGAACGCGCGCGCGGCGGCGCGGCTCGCCCACGCGCCGCGCCGCCGCCCGATCGCGTCGGCGAGCGCGAGGTTGGTCTTGTACTGCGCGGCGCGGCGCGGCTCGTACGCGGCCGCGTCGCAGAGCGAGGGCTCGACGAGGATCGCGGCCGCGTACGGGACGGCGGGGTGGCGGCCGCCGTCGGGCTCGTCTGCGGACATCGTGTACGCGCTGCGGCACGGACGGTCAGCGGGCGGCTCGGGTTGGGCGGGAGTGGGGGGCTGCACACAAGTTTGCGAGTACTCACAACGCACAGGTGCCTCCGGAGTGGCCGACGGCGACGAGCGTGTGGCCGGCGAAAACGCCGGAGGCGACCCACGCCTTCACCGCTGCGGCCCACTCCAGGAGTGCTGGCGGAAGCCATCGTGAGTCCAGATGGACAGAGAAGGAGGACGGCGGCGGATGTCGATACGCACTGAAGATACGTTCGTCGCTCAGCCACGCGGCGTTGTGCACGGCGGCCTCGCCGCTGTGGGCGTTGTCCACCGCCCAGATCTCGCGGATGAGACGGCGGGCAGCGGTGTCGTCAAGCAAGTGTTGGATCGTCGGTTCCCAGGACTCCTTGTCTACGGTGCAGATCGTCAGGCACGAGAACAGCGACTGGTCGGAGGAAGCATGCGTGGACTTACGAGAGCCTGTGCAGTGGAAGCAGAGGAGGGTCAGTCCATTCGATGCGTTTGTTTGCGGGACGTAGCGCTTCGCCACGATGGTGACGGTCTCGCCACCTTTGAGTGAAGGGGCTGAGAATGTGGTTGTAGATGCGGAGTATGTCATTTGGGCCGTGCAGTGAGAACGAGAGGCGCCCCCAGCCAGATCTGCTGATACTTGAGTCTCTGACCACTGTCACCCAAGAAGGCAGATGATGTTCACTCTGGCCGAGACCATCATTCGACGTCGTGGTCCAGGGAGAGCAGCAAGTGCTTCTCCGTTTACGGTGCATTGCCGAGTGCTGCACTGAAGCGCCCATGTTCCGACCTTTCTGCTCTTTCCTGCCGTTATGTCCAGTCACTCGTACCCCGCCCCTTGCGCGACAGCTGGGATGTGTCCCCAGAATGCTCACAAACCTTACCGAATTCCCGCCATAGCTCCATTCAGTGGCGATAGTCCCACAAGCTCCAAGCCAACCCCTTTCAAGCTCTGAGCCTCCCGGCGTCGCTGTGCGTCCACCATGTCTCCCGTTCTGCTCGGCGACGAGCACGGCATATCCGTGGTCGATTTCAAGTTCTTCCTTGACGGGTCCGCCCAGCAAGAAGTCGCGGACGCCATCCTCGACTCCTTCAAGCGCATCGGTTTCGTGTACCTCGTCAATCATGGCATTCCTGGCGATAAAGTGAAGAGCATGTTCGACTGGGTTGGTTCTCGTACGTTCTCATGCCGTGTTGCCGAGTGTTCATGTCGACGCAGTCCAAACGGTTCTTCGCGCTTCCACTGGAGAAGAAGCAACTCGCCCCGCATCCTCCGGGAGGCACCCATCACAGAGGTACGTCCGTCTTGCTTGCACTGGGCTCTTGCTTGACGAAGAGGCGGTCAGGATACTCTGTCCCGGGCCAAGAGAAGGTCTCGCAGCATGTCTACGACGACCAGGAGCTCAAAGGCATCCGCGAGAACGCCCCCGACGTCAAGGAGAGCTTCGAGTGTGGATGGGAAGAAAACGCGGGCATGCCCAACATCTGGTTGCCGGAGGAGGTGTTGCCGGGGTTCCGAGAAGCATGCAATGACTTCTATTGGGTACGTGCGCATTCTGGTCGGACCTCTTCTCCCTCTCAGACGTTGATGGACGGCTCAGACTTGCCACGAAACCGAGTTGCAAGTTCTCAGAGCGATCACGGTTGCTCTTGGAATCTCTGAAGAGCATCTTATTCCCCACCACAAGGGGCACGACAATCAACTACGGCTGCTCCATTACCCTAGGTACGTGCGTGAGCTGCGTTCAATTCCACCTATCTGAATCATGTGTATGCAGTGTTCCCGTCGAAGACTTGGAACAAGAGAGGATCAAGAGGATCGACGCTCACTCCGACTTCCCGTCCATCACTTTGCTCCTGCAAGATGATGTCGGTGGCCTCGAAGTCGAAGACCCCAATCATCCCGGCCAATTCAGAGTGCGAATGTCAGGCTTGGAACCGTTGACGACCTCTGATACTACACTATGTAGAGCGCCCCGCCCGTCAAGGACGCATTGGTGGTCAATGCGGGAGATTTCATGATGCGATGTTTGTGCACTTTATCCTGCCTTTGAACCTATCTGATTCCGTTCGGTCATCAGGGTCGAACGACGTGATTCGAAGCACAATCCATCGCGTTCGCGCGCCTCCCGGGATGAAGACCGAAGATAACATGGTCCCAGACCGCTACTCCATCCCATACGTGACTCGTGGTGACTTTCATCTTGAGAAGCGCATTCTAACACCTGTGGTAGTTCTGCGCGCCGGAATTCACTCAAGTCGTCGAGTGCCTGCCCGGCACCTATTCGAAGGAGAAGCCGCCGAAGTATGCGCCCATCTCTGTAGGTTCTGTGGTCATGCACTTTATGGCATACGTGCTCAATCGGCTCCGTCAGGCGATGGACTACATCATGCAACGGCTGGCGGTGAACTATGCAGGATAATTTCTGTCGGCGCACGTCCGGTTCCCGTTCAAAGCATGTTTTGAGCGGATCGCTTCAAATATTCCATGCTGTCAATCAGTTTCGGTGAAGCAATGCACGGTTTAGAATGGTCCTCAACACCGTCCGACGTTGTGAAACACAGTCAAAAGCATCGATGCAAACTGTTCTGAGCCCCTTTCCATGCTCTGCGGCGAGCTGCACTCGCCGTTTCACATACGGCACCACTGTCAAACTGGGCTGGTTCGCCTCCGTGGCATAATGGCGCAGCGCCGATTCCAGGCTTAATGGCTGCCCGACCGATCCCCGAGCCTCGAGGCCACATTTCCTCTCAATCCCCGCCCGGTCACGTCATATATCAAGCCGTCCTCAAGGCGGCTCCTCCGCGCGCACCATGTCCTCCGTCCTCCTAGGCGAAGAACACGGCATCTCGGTGATCGACTTCAGGCATTTCCTCGACGGCACCGCTAAACAGGAAGTCGCCGATGCCATCCTTGACTCGTTCAAGCGCGTCGGGTTCGTGTATCTCATGAATCACGGCATTCCAGACGAAAAGGTGAAGAGCATGTTCGAGTGGGTGAGTGATGGCACATATCCCTCGTTTACCACTAGATCTTTGCTGATGACACTGAATCACATCATCCAGTCGAGACGCTTCTTCGCGCTGCCCATGGACAAGAAGCAGCTCGCTCCGCATCCACCTGGAGGTAGTCACCACCGAGGCGAGTGATCTCGAGGTAGTTGAGATCTCGTTCTCATGCTTCAACAGGATATTCTGCACCGGGTCGGGAGAAGATCTCGCAGCATGTCTATGACGAGCTGGAACTCAAGAATATTCGAACCAAGGCGCCAGACCTTAAAGAGAGCTTTGAGTGCGGATGGGAAGGCAACACAGAAATGCCCAATATTTGGCTCCCGCAGGGTGTTTTGCCGGGTTTTCAAGAGGCGTGCATGGACTTCTTCCGGGTACGCTATCTTTCTCATGTACAGATGCGATGTCTCAGCCCCCTCATGTCATCTCGTTCTGCACCAGACGTGCCACGAGACTGAGCTCCAGGTCTGCAAAGCGCTCGCTGTTGGCCTACGCATCCCAGAAAACCACCTCGCTGCCTCCCACACCGCCCAGGACAACCAACTGCGGCTCTTACACTACCCGAGGTATGGTAGTGACGTGCTAGCTGAACGCTCAACTTATACCTGTTGGTGGTCGGAAGTGTGCCCGCCGACGACAATGTTCAAGAGAAGATCACCAGGGTCGACGCGCATTCCGATTACGGCTCTATCACCCTGCTCTTGCAAGACGACGTCGAGGGGCTCGAGATTGAAGATCCACAGCATCCTGGCGAATTCAGAGTGAGCGCGCACACTTCTCGTGAGCATGGCGTTACTCATATGACTCCCTCCAGAGCGCACCTTCGATCAAGGGAGCGTTAATAGTCAACGCTGGGGACTTTTTGATGAGATGTTGGTGCCGATTATCTTCTTCGAACGCCCTTGCTTACACGGGCCCGCAGGGTCGAATGACATGATACGAAGTACCGTCCACCGCGTACGTGCGCCGCCACAACTCAAGACTCGGGACGGTATGCTTCCGAGCCGATATTCCATCCCATACGTACGTGCCACGTTGATGTTCCCACACTGTGCCATGTCTAATTTGAATACTGATGTGCAGTTTTGCACTCCTGTACGCTGTGGTCCATAGTCTGCGTTGTCGAGGGGGCTTACCCACTGAATATGTTGCAGGAGTTCACCCGAGTGGTGGAATGCCTGCCGGGCACGTACTCGGAAGGGAATCCCCCCAAATATGAGCCTATCTCTGTAAGTCCTTGTGCACACTTCCGTGGCTCGTGCTGATTTTACTTTCCAAGGCGAAGGCATACGTCATGCAACGTTTGTCCGCCACCTACGAACCGTGATCGATGGTCAGAGGTCACTCATAACATGCCCTTCTTCTGCGACTGCAGTCTGAGTGTTGACAATGTTCGAATTGCAAAGTCCACCAATATAGTTTTCAACGCAACTACTGAGCGCTCCCATTACGTAAAGGAAGAGTCCAGTCGCCTGGTCGAGCGCCGCAACAAAAAGCAAACAGTGGCAGCACCAAAGCAGTGGCATGGGGTGCACCTCGATCCCGACGAGCCTCGGGCCCTATCTAGTCGCATCAGCGACTCCCTCGCCGAAAGGGCACGGGATCCTCATTCGGCCCTCACCGAAGCGGGCGGAGTGCGGGAGGAAGTTCGGCATTTGACATCTTCACTGTGCGATTTGATAGATTGACATCGGAGTTTTGCATTCGGCGTCAGTTTCGGGCGTGCAGACCTCAGGCCTCAGACCCTATTGCAACTTGCTATCGGCGACCATCCCCAATCGCACGTCTCGTGAGAGACGGCCTGGCTACCCCCAAAGTACGTGAAGTTCCACTCCTCACGGCAACAACCTCGCACTGACACCGGTCTGTTTCGGAAGCAGGCTCGGCTTGTCGCTTGGACATCATGTGGCTCCTTACCACAGATCGGGCAGAACTGCACTTCTTCGCCATTCCAGAGGACGTCCCGGACGAGTACGCCATTCTCTCTCACGTATGGAACAAGCCCCCCTTGGAGCCCGAAATGTCTTTCCAAGACATCGAATATCATCAGAGACGATGTCAAGACACCGGCGACCACCCACGCGACACTCTCCCCTCCGAAAAACTCAAGGGTGCGCTCGCCTTCGCCGAGCGAAACGGCTACGGCTGGCTGTGGGCCGACATGTGCTGCATCAATAAGACCAGCAGCACCGAGCTCTCAGAGGCGATCAACTCCATGTATCGTTACTACGCCGCCGCCGGTGTCTGTTACGCTTACTTCTTCGACGTCTCGTCGTCTCAACCGTCGCCATCGCGACCCCCTCGACCGTTCTACTACGCCGGGCCGACCCCTGCTCATTCTCTATTCCCAGGATCGAGCGCGCCAGCGTGGCTCGAGGAATTTTGGAACAGCGAATGGCACGAGCGGGGCTGGACCCTCCAAGAGCTCGTCGCCCCCAAAGACGTCCTCTTCTTCGCTCGTGACTGGACGGTGCTCGGGAACAAGATGGCACTCGCCGAAGTTCTGCAGCTGAAGACTAGGGTGCCAAAAGAGGTGCTGCGGATGCAGAAGAACGTGCGCTCCGTCAGCGTCGCGCAGCGTATGTCGTGGGCAGCGGGGAGGCGTACCACGCGGGCCGAGGACAAGGCGTACTCTCTCATGGGCATTTTCGGCGTCCACTTCGTCCCGATCTATGGCGAGCGCGACCACGCGTTCATGCGCCTGCAAGAACAGATCATGAAGAGCTCGACCGACATGTCGCTGTTCGCGTGGGGCAATTCGACTGTGGACCCAGACGGCGGTCCAGTTATACCGTTCCCGCATCGAATCAAAAGTACGGCTTGCGACCTGCACGCAACCCCGTCGGCCTACCTTATGGCGCGTTCCCCGGATGACTTCGAAAACAGTTGGAATATCGAGGCAGTGGATCAGCTTCCACGTACTGTACTAGAGGTGAGCGCGTATGTGTGTCCATCCAATGGACACGATTTACTAATGATTACACACCAGAAACTAGCGAGTTCTATGGCGAGCCCTAACTCTGAGTACCCTGCTGCGACAAGATCCCTCGCGAACGTCTACAGTTTCACCCCCGTCTCATACGGCATTCTTGCACGTATCCCAGTGGTCTCCAACGCTGGTCGTCAGATTGCTTTGTTATCTTGCAGAAGAGGCCGGCGTCGTATCCTAGGGCTTCCTCTCAAGCCGTGCTCTACATTCCCTAAACGGCTCATCTATCACGTCCATCCCGACGCCAGCGAACCGGCCCGTATGGTTTCCATCGTGCCCAACATCAACTGGGAGGTGTCATTACAGGAAGTGTACTTCGCCCGATTCGATTTCGCCGCAGACGCAGGATCTTCAAGCATGGCGAGGAGGATGGCTGAGCCTGTTATTCGAAGCCCCCAGGGTGGTGCTCCATTCGGCTTGTCGGACCCGAACACTTTGCAATGCCTGAAGCAACAGGGAGGCTACGAGCTCGTAGGATCCGCAGTTTCGGACCAGGTTCGACGTGCTTGGGACGGTGGGATGGACGTGATGGGATCCAGCGTGGCTCTCAAGTTCAGACAGGTCGCTCGGGTCTCGACCACGGCCCGCCCCGCCTTCGTAGTGCGGATGGGCTGTTGCCCCGGCTCGGTGGGGGCTGAGACTGTCTCCGCTCGCAGGTCTCCCAGCCTGCTGGAGTCTGAGGAAGAGGATTCTGTCGGCCTTCTCAACGACAGAACCTCCGACAGGGAAGACGGCGAGTCCGATATCGTCCTGAATGTGGAGTACTTCGACGAACATTGGGTCTCCGTCGAGGCTGGCACCGGCCCGCACCTCATTGTCTCCGGCAGCAGCGCGTTCTCCCTCTCTCGACACGCCTGCCCTGACGACCACATCTCCAGCTGGGACGAGGAAACCAAGAATTTTACTATGAGGGACGACAGATGGGAAGCTTTGGGGATCCTTCAGGTCTCGGCGACGCTCGCACCCGCTTTCGAGATGGACTTCGTCTGTCGCGTCGGGCTTCAGTTCATACCCATGACCGCCGGCTCAATCGTAACCAATCGGTCATTGTCGCGAGCTACCGAAGGCACAAGCTCCGATTTCGACTCGATATCTAGTCTCCGATCTCTGCACCCCTCAAATCAGGACGTTCAATCATGGGTCCGCAGCGTCAGCACTCGTAGTAGACCAGACGAGCCGTCGATCGATCGGGCCCGAAGCAGCAGCGTTCCAAGCTTTTCCACGGTCTCAAACCTCGAAGCTGGCCATGGCAGCACAGAGCTGGGACAAGCGTCGCGGTTGGTGTGGGTTCCCACATCTGATGGACAGCGACCAATTCTTCAATCCGCGAGTCTTGATACAAAGCATACTGGTGGGGCGCGAGTCGCAGCTCTAGTGGAGTGTGACACGTCGACGACCCTAGCAGCCAGGAACACCGCTGTGTATGATACTGACGGGAAGTCGGTGCTGGAGGATTTACGCTCGCAAATACGCCGGTAGCCAATGATTACCTTGTATCCTGGTATAAGTGAATATCACTGCTCTGACCGATATGTGGATGGTATGGTTGTGGCCACTACGGGGTTCGAACCTGAGGACGACGAGCTAATAAGGCGTCTATCTAGATCGATACCCACGTGGCCGGAGATGGCAGAATTTTGTGGTCTGAATGACGTTGTGGGCGTGTTTGACTTGGACCCCTCCCGCCGCCTTGTGTTCACGCAACAGCCAGTGATCAGCTCAGTTGTCTTGTGTAAAACTGACTCACGGCCTTGTTTGTCGGCGTCCCCGTCGCCACCCCGAGTCCGCGCCGCGTTACGTGAGCAGCCAGAACCAGCCCTTATGACCTGTCAGTTCTCCTGACCCAACCCCCTAGCTCCCAACATGTCCGGCGACGATATCAACCTGAGCAACAATCCCTTTGTGCCACCCCAAGGCGAACGGTGTCCCATCAATGACCTGCCTCCAGAACTACTCGACCACATCTTCTCCCTTGGCTGGGTCGCCGACCGCGACCATGAGGACGACGACGACGACTTTGAAGACGTACCGTCGGACTCTGACTCCGATACCTCCTCCTTTGTATCTTCTCATTCCGACGGTTCTGGGGGAGACGATCCTGTCCGGCGCCAGAAAGCAGAGGAACGGTTACTCCGCCGCTTGCCCTTCAACACCCTGGTCTCGCAGATCTGCAAGCGGTGGCGCACAGCTGCCGTTTCGAATGCCTTGCTGTGGAATCACATCGATTTCACCGGAGAGCCGCCGTTCGAAAAGGCATACACCTACCTGGAACGCGCGAAACAGTCGCCGTTGTGGATACGAATCAACCCTGACTTGGATGAAGACGACGACGGAAACGACAGAGACGACGAACCGAGCAGCCTAGGCGAGATCATGGAAACCGTGCTGGCACACATGGACCACTGCTACTCGCTCTTCGTCAATGTATCCTACTACCCGCAAATGCACTTCGTGCTTAGGAGTCTTGGCATGTGTCCAGGCGCTCCGCTCCTCGAGGTCCTCCAGCTTGAGCACGACGACGAAGGCGGAGGCGAGCACGAGCTTTTCGAGCACGCGGCGCTCAAAGTGCAGGACTTCGTCCTCTTCCACGGCCACGCCCCGCGCCTGCACGTCGTCTCCCTCTGGGGCGTCCACCTCCCCTGGGCGCGCGACAAGTCCCCGTACCTCGCAGGCCTCACCGACTTCCAGCTCGCGTACCACGCCCGCGAGGTCCGCCCGACCTTCCTCGAGTTCGCCGGCATCCTCCACGCCTCTCCCGACCTCCGCGTCCTCAGCCTCTCCACCTCCGGGCCCAGCGGCGACCCCGCGGAGTGGCCCAAAGGCATGCCCAACCCCGCCGCGCTCCCTTCGCCCGCTGCCGACTCGCCCGCCGCCGCGGCCCCGCTCGTGCTCGCGCGCCTCGAAGAGCTCCTGCTCAACTGCGTCGATTCCGCCCGCGCCCTCGCGCTCGTCCAGCGCCTCCGCCTCCCCGCGCTCACCTCGCTCGCGCTCGACTTCGAGGACGACGACGCGAACGCGTTCATGCGCTACCTCGGGTCCCCCGAGTCCGTCACGTCCGACTCCGCGTCCGCCTCCGAGCGCGCGCCCGGAGGGGGGCCGCCGCTGCCGAAGAAGAGCGTCCTCGCGGGCCTCGCCGCGCTCAAGCTCGTCGAGTTCCACCCGGACACGGACGTGGCCCTCATCGAGATCGTGCGCGACCTCGCCGCGCTCGAGGCGCTCAACGTCGACCTCCAGTACGGGCCTGAGGAGGCGTGGCTGGACGTGCTCGCGCTGCGCCCGCCCCGGCCCGGGGCCGCTCAGGTCGAGGGGCAAAGAGAGGAAGGGGAGGTGCTCCTGCCTCGCCTGACGACGCTCACGATCGCGAACGGGGACTACGACGTGGTGCGGGAGATCGTCGAGGGCCGGATCGCCGCGGGGGTGCCGCTGAAGCGGCTGCTCCTGGAGCAGGACATGCTGCTGCAGGAAGAGGAGGAGGCGTGGCTGAGGGAGCACGTGGACGTGCTCGAGTTCTTCGACAACGAGGAGCAGACGGAGGCCGGGATCGAGAACGAGGACCACGCATTTGACGACGATGTAGAATTTTGGGTGGATATGGATGATCTCGACGAGGATGACGACGAGGACGAGGAAGAGGAAGAGGAAGAGGAAGAAGACGAGGACGAGGCGGATGAATGAGACCGGAGTACGTAGAGAAGCAGAAGATGATATGTTACAATCCGGGTCGCAATTATCGATTACCCTTCGCCTCATGTTACACACTTCGGTCATTGATACTTGCAGTGTTTCATGCTCTCGACAGATGTGCTGCATGCAACTATTGCATCGCATCAATCCGCTGGGAAGCCTTAAGCCTGAACACCAGGGCAAGCTTGTACAAAGAGCATCAAAGGTCGTATATCATATTACAGGGAATGCGTACATTTCATGTCCAAGAGCAAAAGACTAAGAAAGCGTAGAAGTCACGGATCGAGACTCGAAAGCGTGAGACAAGCGACCGACGCGTGCGACAGGAACGGGTGACATGGGAGCAAAACGGCGTTCTATCGTAGGAGACTAGTAGCACGCACTCACGTCACGCCTGCACCTATGGACGCTTGTCCTTCTCCCCCTCCGCGTCCTCGTCGCGCACGGGCACCCTGACCACCCCGAACACCACGTCCGGCACGCCCTCCTCCTCGTGCCCGTCGTCCGTCCACCCGTCGAGCCCACCCCGCGCCTTGCTCTTCCCCCTCGGCGAGTGCGCGACGAGATCGGCGTCCACCGCGGGCGCGACGTACGCCGCGCGCTGCGGGTGCGGCATCGCGATCACGACCGCGACACGCACCTCCGCCGCGCGCGCGACCGGATCCGGCGGGCCCTCCAGCGGGACGTCGCCTTCTGGCGACGGGGACGGTCCAGGGCTCGCGGTGGCGGCCGTCGGGGGTGTCGACGCGGGTTGAGCGGGGGCTGGCGGGGCGTTGCGGCGGAGGCGGCCGCGCGGGAGAATGTATCCGGCGCGCTCGAGCAACCGCCGCGTGTGCCCCGGTCGTGGGGGAGCGGAGGCGGTTGTGGCGGCGTCCGATGCAAGATCGAGGCCTTGTTTCTCGGAGGATATGTTCCCGGAGAACGGCTGCGAGCGGGGAGGTGAGGTGAGACGGCGGAACGAGGGCATCATAGAATAGGGACGGAGACGCGCAGTCATGAATGGAGCCCAGGGGTGCGTGCAGAGGGTGAGGAGGGAGGAGGGAGAGCGCACTCACCATGAGCTTTTCCCAGTTGCCGTCCGGCGGGCTGGAGGTGGAGAAGTACGGCGCGGTCACGCTGACATCGAATAGCGTCGGCCGTTGTAATTTCCTCCGGTGCAAACGTCCACCGCCAAACACATCGTCCGAGGGTGAGAGTAGGCCCGTGGCGAACGCTTCTTCGAGGCGACGACGGAAGCGACGGCGGAGGAAGATGCCTCGCAGGATGATCGCGGAAGAGATGGCGAGTAGCAGAAAAAGTGTTGCGAGGAATGTGAAGCTGGTGGTCCCGGCAACAGAGAGCGAAAGGGTCCGGGGTTCATTCGGCAATAATGCGTCGGTCGGGATCGCGGTGAGGACATGGTGAATGTGGGGGCAGCACGATGAGAACTGGACCCACGGCACGATACAGAGAGAAATGCGGCCGGCAGGCGGGGTGGTGACAGAAATGTACCATACCAAGGGATGCGACTCATTAACCTCGTTCTTGGACTCGATCGCGTCGGCGTGACCTGCGCATACACCCACCCGCACCGACCGCCCGCACTTGATCTCTGTCGGAAACTGAAGACTCACAGATAAAGCGAGGACGATGGGGTCCCATTATTGTCTGCCGATGAGCTCGTGGCCGCCGCCGCGCCGTCCGTCCCAGTTGGAGGGGGGCCAGTGAAGGAGATAGGTGGGAAAGTATTGGTGGGGGTAGCGCCAGAGGTGGGAGACGAGCTCGGATTCGTGCTCGCCAACGAGCTCATGGAGGGCGGAAGAGGGAGCGCGACGAGAAGAAGGACGGGGGCGGAGAACACGGTGGGCAGACTAAGCGAGGTCAGAGGAGGGGCTTCGGGGATGCCAGAGACGCCCGTCCGCAGCGGCCGCGGACGCCGACCAGTCTCCGTCAGCACCTTCTCGTGGTGACACCCACGCGTGCTCCGCCCGCCGAACTGTTCTTTTCTGCTCCCATTTCCCTCCGTCTGAGCCAAACGAGCCCGCCTCGTTGTCCGGGGTAGCAACGCCTGCAGCCTGGAAGCTCAGTGCGCCGCCTGCCTGCCGAAGTTCTGATACGCTGACTGCAGTGCTATGGCCTATCGACACAGGCCCGGCGGATTTTCCGCCTGCGCAGGTCACCGGTCGTGCGAAGCGGGCCCCTCCTCGGAGGCAAGTGCTGCAGGCGGCACGCATGGGAACGTTCCCAGCGGTCTTCCCGTAGCGTGGCATGGCTGTCACGACTTTCCCAGAAGTGACAGCAGCATCTCGCATCTGCACCATTGTGCTGATCCACATTGGCTACGGATCTAGAACGCCGCCCTTGCTCCACAGACAACAGATGCGGTCGCCCATCTCGGAAACCCAACCTCAACTTTATAGTCAACATCCACATGTTATCAAGTATGCTGGGTGCACCAGCATCCGAGTACTACTACAACGATACTTGCCCGGGGCTACCGTCGCAGTTGTCGAACTATGTACCGCTATCCAAGGTCCCATGTCCGATGCTGAGCGCTCAGCGCTCACAGCACTTCCCGCAGGTGGCGTGTCAGGACAGCCTTCGTACGTGTGGCGACCTGTGGCGACCCGCAGGCTGCTTGTGAGGACAGCTGATGTAAGATAAGTATACTAAACTTATCTCCATTCTGATCTCGGAGATCATCCGGCCCTAGTGGCTAGCCAGTTTGATGTGGCTCTGTACGTGTGACCAGCTCCTTCCAGGATTCCCCAGCGACCATAGAAGTGAGCATCTCAGCGGTGAGCCTCAGGGCACGATTTCTGCACCCACAAAGGTGTCTTTTTTAATTATTTGGTCTCGCCGAACACCCCGAACGGAACATAGTAAGTCAGTACAGGCTGCACAGGCGCATGACGTCACACAAATCCGTCGCTCAGCTGCTGAACCTGTCCACGGCAGGCCGCCAGCTCTCCGCGGGTGTAACACGCTCTTTCCGTTTAGGTCGAAGACGAGGCGGCCGTGGCAGTGGCGACGGCCGCTCCCTGATAGAGAAGCGACTCGAGGCGAGACCGATGTCTGAAACCATCTACCCGCAACGGGACACGCATTTGACCAGCTGCCCGTTACGGTCCGCCCACTTCCTACGTCCACTGCTTCGACGATACTCGGGTTCTCGCTCTCTTCAAGCCGTCCGTACTAGTACCACACCCACAGAAGCCGTCCGCACCGGCGCTCTCGCCTCACAGCTCCGTCGCTTCTCCCGGTCGCCCGCGTTGTGGGTCCACCCTCCTACACCGAATCAAAATCTAAATATTCCTTCGAGTCCAGCACATACCCGCGGACTCGTGCGCGCGAGCGCCCGGCCAGACGGAAACCGTGCGGCATGGCGGCCCTGGCGGCCCTCGTTCCCTCCCGACTCCCGAGCACCCTCGCGTACGCCGTCCAGTTTTCGCGGTGACGCACGCCCAGCGCAACCTAGGCTGCCCTGAGTCCCTGGCCCCCCCGGGCGCCTCGAGGAAGCCGTGCGGCCGACCGCCAAGAACGATCGGTCGTACTTGCTAGCGTTCTGCAGGTGGGACGACTCACGATCGAGTCTCGAACCGGGAACGGTGCCCGCCCGCACCGAAGCCCCTGCGGTCTCGAAAGAGGTTTCTCGAGCGGACGGGACGCGGGACTCACCCTCCCGCGACGCTCGAGCCTCCACACCTCTAGTCTTTTGCGCGTGGGACGGACGGCGGCAGAATTATGTAGAGCCGACCCAAGGACCGGAGTGCCCGGCACGCGGTCCGTCGGGCGGATTGAGTCGTCACCCCACGGGCGGGAGGAGGGAGGCGGTAGGGCGGGCTCGGGGAGTTGGTACTTCTTTGGCTTCTTCTCATTACTATCCAAACGGGCGTCGACGCGTAGCGGTAATTACAAGATAGAGACGGCGCGCGGTGGGCGATGGGCGGCGCGCGCGGGGGGCGGACAAAGCGGCGACGCGGTAGGGCGTCCGAGAGCAGCGGGTGCGGAGCGGCCGAAAGTCCTAGCTCGGTCGGGGCATTAAACGGTATCGACGGGGCGGGGGCGGGTAAGGGCGGAAGGATTAGAGTGTGCGTGCGACCCGTCCCCGCGCGGCGTGTGTGGAGGCCGCGCGGGGCGAGGGAGAGGAGAGTCATGGGGCCCGGCGGGCGTGAACGGGAACGGGAGGGCGGCGAGGTATGGCGGCCGGGAGAGGTATAACGGAGGCGGGGGTAAAAGGGGGTAGGCGCGGCGGGGAAGGGGAAGTGGAAGGGGGGTGTCGCCGCGGGGGCCGGCGGCCCAGCCCCCCGCGGGAGCTCTAAGTGCATAACGGCATACATGTACATGTGGAGTCGTCAAGGGGCGTAAAACGGCGGGAATAAGGAGGGGGCGGGCAGCGGAACGGCGGATGGAAGTGAAGGGTGGGGCAAGGGAATATGTGGGTATCCAGAGGCGTGCGGCCTGCTATGGCACCACGCCGGGCGTCGCGGTCGTCAGCGCGGCGGCAGCGGCTCGGGTGGCAGCAGCGAGGGCGTCCGCGTCCGAGTACGCCGGTGCGTGCGCGTCGAGGAAGCCGGGGTGCGCGTAGAGCGCGCCGTAGACGTTCACGTGGATCTGGACGAGCTTCGCGGTGCGCTCGGCGAGGTGGCGGAGCTCCGGCATGAGCGGCTCGAGCCCGTTCGACGTCGGCGCCTCCGGTTTTGAGGGTGTGGAAGGTGCGTGCGACCGCACCGCGGCCGCGGGTGGCGGGCAGACGACGTTCAGCACGAGCTCCTCGACGCACTCGCGCACCCGTTTCTTCATCAGCGTGCTCAGCGGGCTCCCCGCGCGCAGGTGGCTCTCCGCCCAGCTGTTCGCGACCGCGAGCACCGCCGCGTCGGGCGCACGCGGCACCCGCTCCTCGCCGTCCGCGGGGCGGGGCTCGCCCGCGCGCATCGTGACGTGGAGGACGACGTTGCTGGTGTCTTCGCGCCACTTGCGAAGCTCCGACTCGCGGTCGCGGTCGCGATCGTGCCTCGAGCTCGACGGCGCCCGCCCGCTCGAGCCGCTCGAGCGCGGCCGGTGCTGCATGAAGCACAGTCCGGGGTGCGCGGGCCCGATCTCCCAGATCTCCTTTTTGAGCCGGACGAGGTCGTCGGTCTCGACCGCCGGGGCGGTGGAAGGCCCGGCGGCGCGGGACTGCTGGTGCGCGCGCGAGTGCACGAGCTGGCGGAAGAGCATGAGGAGCATGTACAGCCCGGTGAAGTCCGCAGCGTCCGTCCCGAGGGTGGTGAGGCGCCCGTAGTCGAGGAAGAGCGTCTCCGGGAAATACGCGTAAGTGGTGCTCGAGCTCACCCGTGGGCGAGAGGACGAAGGAGAGGCGCCGGAGGAGGACGGCAGCGGGGCGGAAGCTACAGCAGGAGTGACCGTCGGTGTCGAGGCCGCAGAGGACGCCGCGGAGGAGGAGGCCGAAGGGACGTGCTGGCTGCTGGCCGGTTTCGACTCCGGGTCGGGCTGGGCTGTCGCCGGCGGTGGGGGATCGAAGAGGAGCCCGACGATGGCCTTGACGACCGCGATCGTGACCTTGGTCTGGGGCCCGTGCCGCAGAAAGCGGGCAGAGAGGGGCGACGCACCGCTCGCGAGTTCGTCGTACGTGGCGCGGAGCCAGAGGCGCGAGTACTGCAGGGACGGCGGGTGCGGCTGGCGAGACTCGTGGAAGGTGCGCATCTCGTACTGGGCGGAGGTCCGGACGAGATACGGCCGGAGCGTCTGCAGCTGGTGATTTGCGACGTCCTGCGGCGGGTATCGGGCGGAAGATCAGCCTCGGTAACTCGACGGGGAAGACTGCGGCGGGACTGACCAACTTCATGAGTTCCATGATCTCGAAGCAGAGGCGGATGGCGCGGACGGCGTCGAGCTTGGTGCCCGACCCGCCCGGGGCGCAACCGGCGGCCCAGGCGACCATCGAGTCGACCATCGCGTCCCGCATCGGGGCACAGTGGCAGCGGATCACGTCCCCGATCGCGCGGAAGACGCCCGAGGGGTCGAACAGGCCGTGGTCGATCTCCTGCTGGATGAGGGCCGGATCGAGGAGCGAGCGCAGGAGGGCGACGTGCGCGAGGCTCTGCGTGAGCTGCGGGTGCGCGGCGGTTGTCGCCGTCGCCGGCGCCGCCTGCGGGTACCACACCTCCGCGGGCCGGTTGCGCGGCGCGGGCGGGGGCTGGATGATCGACACCAGGACCTCGACGAGCTCGTGGAGGAGCGGGAGGATGCGCGACGGGGCGCGGACGGTCATCAGGTTCCCGGTCGAGAACGCGAGGCACGGGAGCGGCGGCGGGCGCGGGAAGATCGCACACGCGCAGCGGTGCTCAGCGGGACGGCCGTGGGCGTCGAGCGTGGTGCATGTGCATCCGCACTCGAGCTCGCGGACGATGGCCAGCCAGTAGTTGTCCGCGAGGTCGCGCTTGCGGCGGCTCGACGTCGGGCGGAACTGGAGCCCGGAGTCAAAGAGGAGGTCGTGACCTGGAAGGAGAATGTCCGGAGGCGGGTGAGAATCGGCCGACGGCAGAGGGTGAAACCGAAGAATGGGCACTGACGGAGCTGGGGGTTGCGGAGGATGGCCTCGAGGTCGAGCTCCTTGAGCGTGTCTCTGTTAATCGGCGGGGTGTGAGGCGGCACATGGGGCGAGATGGCCTGTTCGATGGGAGAGACGGGGCGAGGGCGGGTCTGGGAGGGCAGGGAAGGAAGGCTCGCGGTGCGCGTGAGTGGCTTTCGGTTTGCGACGGCCAGACTGGCCTCGCGGTCGACGGGGGAGACGGCAGTCTGGTCGCCGCGGCGGTGGCGAGCGGAGGCGTGGCGCGGGGGAGGCGGTCTGTGCGTCGGGCGACGAGCGCCGCGCGAGGGGGACGCGGGTGGCGTGCAGGGGATGTCGATGCGCAAACGTTTGGTAGCAGCTTGGCCCTCGCAGTTGCGTTGGGGGAGGAAGGCGGCGGGGGAGGACGACGACGGCCAGGTGGGACTCGTACCTTGGGAGGCGCGGGCTACCGGCCATGGCGCAGTCGAGGGCGGGGAGGGCTCGGGGGCGGGACAACGGGGAGTGGCCTGCACGTTGACGTCGAGAAGCATGGGGTCGTTGGGGGCGGCAGGGTCGTTGTTGGCGGCGGGGGAGGGGTGCTGGTCGTCGGGGTCGGCCTTGCGCTTGCGGCTGAGGGAGTGGATGGGAGGGCGGGACTCATGGGCAAGGTCGTCCATGGGAAGGGGGCGGGGGAGAAGAGACGGGAGGAAGGAGGATATGGCCGACCATATTTAGGGAGGCGAGGACGAACGCGTGGTAGCAGCCCGCTTGAGCGACACGCTGCCATAAGGCCCATCCTCTCCCCGCGCGAGCGGACCCCGCGCTCGCCAGGCAGGACACCCGCCGTCCCTTTGTCGCCTGCCGCCCGCCGCGCCGCCGCCGCCCGCCCGCCGTCGCCGCACTCGCCCTCCCCGTCGTCTGTGGCGAGCGAGAGGCCGATGCACGGGTCGGAGCGGGCGGCCCAGGGCGGCCCCCGCGTCGGCACAATTCCACAGACGGAATGCGCCCCTCTCGAATTAAGCTAGGCGCGTTCCACATGGACCCACTTACGCGAAGGGCCCCTGCTCGCCCCGTCCGAGCCGCCGCCGCCTGGTGGCAGCACCGGCCAGCGCGGGGGCGACGGCAGGCAGGGGGAGGACTGAGAGCAGCCGTCCGCCCGCGGCTTCACACGCCCCCTGCCGCACGATCACCACGTTGAGGCCGCCTTTCTGCGCGGCCCTCGCCGTCTTCGCGCGAGCCGCGAGCCGCGAGCGAAGGGTACGTAACAGAGGCCAATCAGATGCGCGTCCCGGAGTTTCTGCTCCCCCTCCGGCTCTCCCGTTCGAACTGCCCGCCGTGCCGCCGCGCGCTCGCGGGGAGGGCGCGCCCCCCCGCCGCGTGACCCGCCCTGCCACGCTCACGCGGCCCGCGCGCCTCACTGCTCAGGCTCACGCGCGCCTGCGCCCCTGTGGCCGTCCGGCCATGGACATGCGAGACGACCACAGTTTGCACGCGTCTGGCGCACACGACCACGCGCGGCGCCCGCGTGCGTCGCAGCCTGGTGTCATTTCTCCATATGAACCTCGAGCTGTGTCCTCCCTTTTCTTTTCGCGTGAGACCGACGCGCAGCTACCGGTGACAAGACACACGAGGCCCGAGCCCGGCGGCGAGCAGCACCCGCGCACCTGGACGACAGCTCCACTCCGAAGCCCGCCCGTTGTTCCCTTTGTCGCCCCGGCTCGGCACGGACTCTGACGTGCGCAAGGGCGGTCGAGCTTGCGGTCACGGTGGTTCTAAGCCGGGTCGTGCTCTGGTCGCCCTCTGGAATAGGGCAGACTCCGGCCTTGGGACCACGGGCGCCCCGGGGCTCTCGGCGGTCGCTCGTCCGGAACGGGCTGCGGGTCCACCCAAACCTAAGCTGAAAACGGTGGCAGGTAGGTGTCAGTGGCCGGAAGAGGCAATCGAGACGCTGGCGATGACGTGCGACGTGCGCCCACGCTGGTCCCGCCGGCTGTGTCATTGTCGGGATGTTGATGAGCGCAGGAGTCCATCATCCTCTCTCGATGCACGAGCCCCCGCGACTGATCCCAACGATCCGAACAGCTCTCTTTCCAATCCCACCATCTTCTTGCCCCTCGCTGTGCACCATTTGCCATGGATGTGGTCAACACGCCTTCCTGGTAGCCCGCCTCGTGTTACCACCTCCCCCACCGCCCTTCGCGCAGGATCCGGCCTCGCCGCGCCCTCCCTCCCCGCTCACCCCCGCACCCTGCAGCCCGCGTTCCCCCACACAAACTCTGATCGCCCATCGCGAACGCAATCGCCGCCTGATCGCTCCCGTTCGGGGCGCGCGCCCGTGGTGCACGACCCATCGCAGACACGGCTCGCGCTCTGCGGGCCTGTCTGCCGAGCTTCCGACGTTCGACGCTCGTGGCGCGCCACACGACGGTGACCGCGCGCGGGGGCGGGGAAGGCGTGCAGCCCGGACCTTCGTCACGCAGGGCTTCAGGGCCTCAGGCCTCAGAGCGTAGAGCTTCGGGCCTTCACGCGTGCGGCGAGCTCGAGACTCGGATCCTGCTGCGAACCCGCGCCGCAATCTGCTTGATAGCGCAGCGGGGAACGTTGGCTCTCGTTATTGCCTTGAACGTTCGCGCACACGCCCATGCTGGCACTGTACTGGCGGTGGCATGGCGAGACATATCAGGTGCGTGTCACCGTCGAACATGGACGTAAGGAGTACGGCGGTGTAGATGAATTGCCATACGCCACTCAGAAACTCGGTGCTCAGCCATCGCAGCATCATAAGTACTGACTGACCAGCCCTGGGCGTGTTGACTGAATCCGCGCGCGGGCTCCCCGGAGGAGTAGGGTGTGTCCATCAGTGGCCGCGTATCATCTGTCCTTAGAGCGGGCAAACGCACCGGCGCCGAGCACTTGAGCGCGTCGCCCAGGCGCTGCCGCAAGATGAATGCGAGACGAGAGGCCGAAACCGTCTGTGCGGCCGGGCTCCGGCACACGTCCCCCGGTCTCTCACCGCGGGCGCCTCCCGGGCGCTGGGCCCTGGAGTCGCGCTTTCTCCCCTTCCGTCCACACCTCCCGTGGGGATATCGAGATCAGACGAGATTCGGGCGCGGAGATTGAAAGGCTTGTTGTCTCTTTTTTACCCGACGGACGCGGGTGAGCGAAGGACAGGTCTCGTTGCGGGCAGTGGCCATCTTCGTCGCGCGGGTTTCGGAGCGCGACCCCTTGCGCTGGTCTCCGGTCCCCAAATCCGTCTCCCTGTCCTGTCGAGCACCTGCATGGCCGCCGGGCCACTGCCAGCTTCAGCAGCTTGGACGGATGCGGCGAGATGGGCAGGATGGCGGAAAGCGCACCCACGCCGCACGTCTTCTCGGTCAGTCGCGCTCTTGTTCGTGATTGTGATACTCACCCCCCTTCTGTCCTTCGCAGCTTCCGGGATGCCGTCCGCGGTTCCCATGAGCCCGGCGAGCTCTGCCCAGCTGCTCCAGCTCCGCCCGAGTTTCGCCCGGACGCCGTCTGGACTCTGCCCGGGTCGAATGCCTTCTCTCCGCGTATAGGGTCCGAGAGGCGGCCATGCATTGCATTCGGCCCCACGCGTTTCGCCGTTCGAGGTCGGAAGATCGCGCACGGTCGTTCCCCTCGCAGGCCATCTAGCTTCCCGCGGCCCTCCATCCAGCGCCCCGACGCGCTCGAGCCTCGTGTCCGGACTTCGCGCGTAGGAGAAAGATGCACACGTCGAAGATGCCAGCAGGAGCTGAACGTTCGGGACTACGGCCGACCGCGGCCAGTCGCACGCTGCGTCAAGCCCAGAGTCCAAACGTTCACTTCGCAGGTTCTCTCCACGCCGATCCGACACCGTCCGCCGCCATGTTCCGCCGCCCCTTCTACCAAACTCCTCCTGCCCCGCTGAACCATACGAAGTCCGTGCGCGAGCCTCACGCCCCCAGCAAGGCTGTCTTCCGTCATTCAAACCCCCGTCCGTCCGGGGGCGAGATCTCACTCGCACCTGCGCCGACTCCCCACACCAGCTTTCCCTGGCGGACTTCTCGCGCGCAGCTGGCCAACGTCTAAATCCCGCATCGCCCCTTCCGTCCAAGATCCTGCTCTCTCCCAGGTCCGCACGCGTGGTGGGAGCGCCCACGCCCTCGTCCATTCCCGCGCCGCCCGGTTCCCTCGCCCGGCCAGAGCGCGCGAACGGGAGCGTCGAACGCGTCTCTCCCGGACACCGACGAGCTTCCCAACTCCACGCCCATCCCCCGCCTCCCGCCTCCCATCTCCCATCTCCCATCGTCCACTGCCATCTCGCCTCGGGCCTCGGCGCGCCTCTCGAGCCTCCTCCACCAGCTCCCATCACTTTCCTCCTCCCAGCCGGCGGGAACCGCTCCCACCGGCGACCCGTCTCCGCCCCGTCTGCCGCCTCCCGTGCTCGCGCGACTCGCGAGCAAGCCTCCGCCCCGGCGGGTCGCCGCGTGCGGGACGGGGGTGACAGCGTGGGCGCGCCGTGGCCCATGGTGTCATCCGTACGCCATCGTGCTGATTCGCGCGGGGTGACCTGCAGGTTTCTTGAGAGCCTCTGCCGCTGCCGGTTGCGCTCCATCTCGGAGGTTCGGTGCGTGCTCGCGTGGAGGGCCGCCGCGCGCCGCGACCTGGCCCGCCCGCGCGCTTTGCGTCCCAGGAACCTCCTCCCTGCCATAAGTGCTCGCTGCCAGAACCCCGGCCCTGCACGTGTCTACGTTGGCCGCCGCGCGCCCCGCCGCCCTGCAGGTCCGGCGGGGTCCCAGACACGACGGCAGGAACCTCGTCGAGTCCGTCCAAGGGTGCGTACATACGACGTTCCTTCTTCGACGCCTCGTGTCCCGATGCTGCTCGCCGCCCTTCTTCCAGTTACAGGTATCCAGGCGCGGCCACCGGCTGGGGGGGCCGCCACGAGGCGCAGAAGGCGCGGAGACGAGCGGGGGAGGGGGCCCTTGTCCCGGGCACGTGGCGGCGCGACGAGGCCGCGGTCGAGGAGATGGAGACCGAGAACGGCAGCCCGCGCCGTGCGCGCCGCGATACCTTACGCGACCGACGAGTCGTGCGTGGCACGGAAGTCGCCGCTGGGGCCACCTTCGAGTCGTTGCTGTCCCGGTACGTCGTGTCGCAGTCCACCTCGGTGCTTGGAGACCCTTTCCGGGTATGGGACTGAACGTTCACTGGCCCAGTGCTAGGACTCGCGGCGTCCCAACGCCCGCCAGAAGCCGCGGTGCGCTCCGCGGCCATGTGAGTTTTGTGTCCGGATAAGTAGGACGCCAACGTCCAACGTCCAACGGCGCACCAGGCACCCGACTCGGAGGCGAAAAGCAGTGTCTCTTTTATGTCAAGGTTTCACTCCGAGGCCACCGTGTCCTCGTCATGCTGCCCGTCTCTCGAGGCCCGTGAGCCACACTGGCGCCCCGTTCCGCACGGCTACAGTCTCATCGTCGGTTTCCATTCCCCCTCCCAAGCATTCCTACCAGCCCTGCTCGCAACGGGCCCCACACGTGTCGCTTGTGCAGGTTCCCACCGTGCGTAGTACGTCCACCGTTCGCTGCATGGCGTCGTCATGCCGCGTGCATCACACTCCGCGGCGGTCGCCCTCCTGGGCCCAGCCTCGTTCCCGACATACCGCAGCAGCTAGGCCCTAAGCTGCAGTTTGACCACCATGCAGACATGTTGCATGACAAAAAACACCCAGCCACCCAACCGCAGAAGCAAAAGTCGCCCCTGCACTTCTGGCAAGATACTCACGGTGGCGGCCGCCCCCAGCAGTTTCTCGAACATGCACCCCGCCCGCGCCCGCGCCCACGCACCCTCGCTAGAAACCACCTCCGCTCTGATCCACGACCCGCACGACCCGCAGCCGGCCACACCCCAGGAGACCATGACGTCAGCGCCGTCCGCACGAGGCCCGTGCTCCCGCCTCCTTACGATACTGCCATGTACTCGTACATATGTAAAGCAACACCACGAGCCCGCCGCCCGCAGCTGGCGCCAGTAGAGTTAGGGCCGAGGGTCCTCGCGCGACGCCCATGTGCCCGCAGGCCGAGACCGTTACCGAAGCACTCGTAGACCGCGACCCAGCCCCGCTCCCCGGACGGCCGCGGGACGCAGCGTGGGCTCGCGACGTGTCTGCGTGGCGTACGTGCTGTACGCCACAAGTTGGACCCTGCGGCAGTCTTGGCCTCGGGGCGCTGGCCCGCTGGAGGCGCGCCGCGGCCGGGACGGAAACCACCACGCCGCGGCAGGCGTCCGCGTGGCCGGGCCCGTCCGCCTCGTCCGTGTGGGGCGGGCGATCGTACGATGCCATCGCCAGTCGCCGCCGTTTGATCAAGCGTTCGCGGTTCGAGCCGGGGGCGCGGGGCGTGGACGGGGCGTGAAATTTCGGCGGGAAGGTGGTGTGTAGTGAGTACTGTACATGCAGCCGCACCGACCGCGGGCGGGTGCACTAATGTACCGCATCGCCGGTCGTCTCGCTCTTATCGCCCTCTCGCTCTCCCTCGCGCACGATGCGACGGTAATTACATCTTCGTTCTCTTCCTCCTTCCTCCGCGACGGCAGCGGCGGGACGAGTGGTAGCTATAATGTCCGTCCGTCCGTCCGCCCGGGCCCGCGTCCGGAACTCCGGTCTTCGATGCTTCACGCGTCGTCGACGAGCTTGCCCTTCCCGCGCGCGGCGGCAGGGGCCTCCGTCGTCTTGCGCGCCTTGCGCGCGTAGAACTCGGAGACGATCTTCGGGCTGATCCGGTTGAGCTGCTCCTTGGGGAAGATGCGGAGCAGCGACCAGGCGAGGTCGAGCGAGTCGAAGATCGAACGCGACTCGTATGCGCCTGTGCGGGTGTAGGAGGGCGGACAATCGAGTGCGGAGGAGAGGACGGTGGCGAGGGAGTCGCCGGCGAAAAGAGGGCAGAGAGGGAGCGTTAGCGCGAAGGAGGCTAGACCGTGCATCAGGACGTACCCTGGCCGACAAACTGCTTCTCGAACTTGTCGAGGAACTCGAGCGCAAGCTTGTCCTCAGACGAGAGTGCCTCCTCGCCGACGACAGCCTTCATCGCCGCTGCGTCGCGTCCGATAGCGTACTTCGCGTACTGTCGTGGGCCGTCAGCCTCGTGCTCGCCGACGGCATGCATGTTGTGAGACGCACCAGCTGGTTGGACACATCACCGTGGTCCTTGCGCGTGAGCTTCTCGCCGATGGCGCTCTTCATGAGACGCGAGAGCGAGGGCAGCACGTTGATCGGAGGGTATATTTGCCTGTTGTGCAGCTGACGATCGACGAAGATCTGGCCCTCGGTGATGTATCCGGTGAGATCGGGAATTGGGTGGGTGATGTCTACACAAGGCGAATGCCGTACACGCAGGGCGGCGGGTTGAGAAGTCAGCGTCAATGAGAGGTGGCACGAAGGCTGCGTGGCCAGGGACGCACCATCGTTGGGCATGGTGAGAATAGGAATCTGAGTGATCGAGCCATTACGGCCTTCTACACGACCTGCACGCTCGTAGATAGTCGACAGATCGGTATACATGTAACCGGGGTATCCACGACGACCCGGAACCTCCTCTCGCGCGGCGGAGACCTAGACGGGGAGATATCATGAGTGAGAAGATGCGGCGCCAATCCAACCAAGTACGAACCTCACGAAGGGCGTCCGCATATGATGACATGTCCGTGAGGATGACAAGGACGTGCTTCTCCAGCTGGTACGCGTAGTACTCGGCTGTGGTAAGCGCAAGGCGAGGCGTAATGATACGCTCGATTGTGGGGTCGTTCGCAAGGTTGAAGAAGAGGGTGACACGGTCCAGACTGCCGTTCTCCTCAAAGTCCTGCTTGAAAAAGCGTGCCGTCTCCATGTTCACACCCATGGCACCGAACACGACCGAGAAGTTATCTTCGTGCCCGTCATGCACGTCCTTGGTCGGACCCTTGACTAGACCAGCTTGCCGCACAATTTGCGCAGCAATCTAGGCGCGTAGATAGAGGAACTATTAGCAAGCCTAGGCTTTATGTGCCTAGCCGCTCTCTTACCTCGTTATGCGGGAGACCGGCGGCGGAGAAGATGGGAATCTTCTGTCCTCGCGCAATGGAGTTCATGACATCAATGGTAGAGATACCAGTCTGGATCATTTCCTCGGGATATGTGCGCGAGTAGGGGTTGATGGGGGAACCTTGGAAAACATACATAGATGTGGGCACTGCAACCTCGAACAGAGCATGCAGACGTACCGTTGATATCCAAGTAGTCCTCCGCAAACACCTTCGGGCCGTTGTCAATAGGCAGACCGGAACCGTTGAAGATACGACCGAGCATGTCCTCGGCGACGGGCAGCTTCATGCTGCTACCAGTGAACTCGACATGGGTCGCCTTCACATCGACGCCGGAGGTCCCCTCGAAGACTTGAACGATCGCCTTCTTGCCCTGCACCTCGAGCACCTGGCCGCCGCGCTTGGTGCCATCGGGGAGGGTGAGTTGCACAATCTCGTTGTAGGAGGGGAACTGCCGCCTAGATCAGCCTCCGAGTACGGATCGGGCACAAACGGTCTGTGTGCCCACCTTGACGTTGTCCAAGACAACCAGAGGCCTGCGTCGCCATTCACAGCTCAAAAAAGCGTCCAACCAGACGCAACCCACGCGCACTCACCCGTTCACGGCGGACACAGTTCGGTAATCTGCGAGACGGAGCGCGGGTTGGTGCCTCTCTTCGGGCGGAGGGAATGCAGATGCGCACCGAGATGGGGCTTGACGTTGTACTCGCGCGTTACCGCGGAGGCGTTGATGGCGGCAAGCTCATGGTCGCTCAGGCGGGGGCTTGCGGGCATGTCGTCGGGCGTGAGGGAGAGAGGAGGAAACAGCGACGGGACTTCGAGCCTCTCGAAAGAGTGACGTCCGGCCCAGCGGCTACATAACACTAGGCGCCCGCCCGCACTGGCACAGATTCGGCCCGATTCCCACGCTTTGGCACGACTGTGGTTCCAGGGCCGCCTCAGCCACTGACCTTCCCTCTCTTGGCCACCGTCACGACGAAAATGACATATATGTTCTAAACACATGGGACGGATACAGTACACAGACTACGTGGGCAGTTTCTCTGCGAGCAAAGCGAGGCATTTGTTGGCAGCTTGCGACACGGAAGTTCCTCCAGGCTCCTCTTTCAAACCCCTACGAAACCACCTCATCGTCAACTTTGGCATTCTTCAACAATGGGGGGAGTAAACTGACCACTCTGTCTCAAGCAAGATTTCTTCCACGTCTTCGGTTTCCATGCCGGTCTCTCGGCTAGACAGCGTGAGATACAAGTACTCGGCCGTCTCAATTCGTATCTGCATATCCACATGATTAGCATTCGCGCGAGTCACCTAGCAGAAAAGACGGACCCTGGGATATTGATGGTTTATATATGCCTCAAGAGGTTTGATACATTCCTTTTGCACCTCAGAGAGGGTCAACAGGTTGACCAAACTAGAGTGGCTTTCAGCGACATTAAATTCATCACGACACCTTGGGCTTACCACTTCATGGATACGTTTATGCGCTGCGGGAGCTTCAACCTCGAAGCGTTCCTCGTCACAAGATTGTGCAAGGACCGTATTCTGGGCTCGACATCAGCGCAAATCAGCGCGGAGCAAAGAAGACCCCGAACGTTTTCAAACCCTCCACGTCATGTTGTAGCTCTTCGAAGACATCGGCCTCCAACAGGACGTTGAATGTCTGGATCACCGGGATAACCGCAGCATTTGACGCAGTGTTAACCATGGCCTGCGCCAACAGATCACGCACGAGCCCCCGGAGATCGTAGCGGTCCGGCTCGTAGGTTGCAACCGGCAGCTTCGATGCCCATCCCACCAGTGCAGACGTCACCGGCCGTTGCTGCGAACGCATTCAGCACCTGGCAGAACCATTACACAAGCTCTGAATCGACGCACCGTACTGTCGGTCTTCGTGTTCACACTCAACACAATCCCCGCGAGCACCTGCGCCCGGTACCGCTCGATGTCGAGCACCTGCACCGCCCTCGGGAACAGCCATGCCCCGTTGCTCCACTGCGGAAGCTCCTTTTCGCTGTGAACCCGAACACCATCTGCGGTCAGCAACCCCGTCCTGGACCGGATCGTCCACGCAAGAAGGACGCGAGACGCACTCTAACAGCAGCCGCTTCATCTTCTCCTCGCACCGGATCTTCCACGGTCCCGGGTCCGCCTCCGCCGGCGGCGGGAGCACCAGCAGCTCGGATACGCACTCTCCCGCGGCCTGCCGGACGTTGTCGAGCCGCTCGACGCCCTGCTTGATGATGCCCCCCAGGGCGTCGTGGAAGCGCTCCGGGGGGAAGTACGCCGCGAGCGGGAGCGCGGGCGCGCACGGGCACAGCGTGCGCGCGAACGCGGTCAGCGCGCGCACGCACGCCATGCGCGCCCATGAGCCGACGTCCCCGCGCTCGTCGCTGTAGTAGTCCGTGAGGCCGTTGAGGAGCGCGTCCGTCATCGCGCACACGAGCGCCGGCGGGAGGTCTGCGGGGAAAAGCGGGGAAGGGCGGTGAGCTGGAGCCGGCGGGAAGGCTCCTTTGGACGCCGGGGCTTACGGGAGAGTAGATCGCCGGAGACGGTGGACAGGATGAGCGGCATCGCGCTGAATGCATTCCGCCGGGCCTCGATGTCGGCGCTCGCCGTGCCTCCCTGCGAACGTCGTGGCGCATCAGATTATGGTTCGTAGGGATAGGAGATGTGGTCGTCCACCCACTTTCCGGTCGACCATCCGCAGCAGACATTGAACGGCGGCTTGAACCCCATGTGGGTAGGCCGCGTAATCCAGAACACCGAGGACGCGGGCGAGGCTCTGCTGCATGTGTGATGTTCCCTTTTCGAACTCTTTCACGAGCCGCTCGAGGACGGCGGAACAGTTGACGAGGTGGCTGACTGCCGCAAGTGCAACCGCAGCAGCTTCCTGAACCGTCTGTGTCTTGCTCCGAAGACCAGTGTCAACGACCTGGCGCCAGAACGGAACGGACGTGTGGTTATGTTGTGTCTCGGAGGTGGAAATGGCGGCGGCGATGAGCTGGCAGGCGGCGGCAGCGACGAGGTCTTGGCGTACTGACTTGATCAGTGTGAGTGGAACATTAGATAGAGCTGAAAAAAGCTGTGAAAGGTGGGTTAGAATTTCAAGCCACCTGTTGAGCGAAGGGAGACCGACCTTGCGACGCTCCGGTTCTAGTTGCTCCTTGAAAGGCGATCCATGGAAAGCGGATCCAAGCTCTGTGAGAGCTAGCAGGGCCCCATGGATGTCACCCGGATCTGAACGCGGATGCAGGAGATGGATCTGGTGCACTGCGAGTGAGCTCGTCGTTTCACAACGTTGCATGCCACTCACCATTCGGGTGGCAGCAGCTGGTCCAAGGTTGACCAAGTCGAGCTGACAAATTGCGCTCAGGGATTGCGCCGCCATCTGCCTCATGGCTGGATCCCAATGTCGTAGTGTGACGTTGATAAGGTGATTCACTAGCTCGTCGCGATACTCGTCGTGTCTAAGGGAATGTGAACCCAAGTTATGGTTCGATCAGGGTGCGGAACTTACACCGCTACCTCCGGAGCGGCGACTAGGAAAGCATTCTTGCGAATTCCGACCGCATAGAAGTCTGTTTTTCGCAGGACATCTATGCCATGCGGAAACAGGCTCTGAAAAAGGTGTCAGCTGCGTAGCACCGGGAAATGCAACAAACTCACAGTTCTTCCCACATATTCCTGAAAGGCTGCACTTGCTGCGCGTCTGATATGGACCTCGCGGTCGAACAGTGATACTATCACGAGCTGCCTTGCAAGGCCCAGAGCATGCGGTCGCAGTGCATCTATACTCTGTGCTCGAGCGAGTGACCAGAGGACATATGAAGTCGCATCTCGCACGTTCGAGCCTATTGAATGAGCTCCCTTGCGGATATCGAAGTACAGTGCCTATAATCTCCATCAGTCGACATGTCAACCATCATGCGAGAAACGTATTCACCTTTCCTAACCATCCGATGAGCTCTGCGAGACGCTCGTCAGGTATGAGACCGCGGCGGGCCATCTCCGCGCACGCCAGGCACGCGCCATGCCATGTCGCCTCCGCAATACTCGGCATGTCGTACAAGCTCGCGATAGCAGCTGAGTGGATGGTGAAGAGGTGCATCACTTGCTCCAGTACCTGTTCAGCGAAGTCGGCAGGAAGACGCTCAGAGATGCGAGCTATGCTCTTGGCAGCGGAATAGCGGACGATTGTATCCTTGTCCCGAAGCGCCTTGAACAGATCCTCAAGGACCGTTTCGACCTCTTCAGGCGCTTCAAAGTCGTCCTCCTCGAAGACGTCCTCTGAGTCAGCGCCATGCTCGTCTGCGAGAGCTCGCCCTGAAGAGAGCATGAGTGCCAGTAATATGAATGGAAGTGTTGAGTTCTTGCCTTTGGCACGTAAACGCCGTGTCTTCGCGGGGAGAAGACGGATGACAGTCCGAGATACGAGTTTGGTGCGGAACTTGCGGATGATCGTATTACCCATAAGGCTCTCGTTGCTTTCCAGTATGCCGGAGAAACTTAGCAGGAGTCCTCTATGATCCTTCACTTGCTCCGCTGATCCGAGTTTTGTTACTTCACACAGGGCTCGACAGATGCCCATAGGCTAGGTCAGTGAGTTTAACTTTGGCTGTGACGGTACGAGCAACAACTGGACTCGCCTGGAAAGGTTCAGATGTCTTCTCGACAGCGGAAATCGACCAGGTCAGAAATTCAGGGAGCCTAGAAGACGTGTCTTTCCTACACGCAATCAATATGCACTGCATTCATGGTGACTGTGCATGTTGGGCCCACCTCATGTAGAATCGGGAGAGCAGTATTGCTGCTCCTTCGCGATCGATACCAGCCCTAGTCAAGTATTGCTTGCCAACTTGTTCAATACGTGATGCTGTCTCTCCAGCCTTGCCAACTTCATCGAACTGTTCCAAATCAAATGGGATCATGCAGACAAGGGAGAGCCATAGAAGGATGATGTAACGTAGTGCCCACGCGTCCACTCGTTCGGCTGGCGACTCTGGGGAGGTGATATAGTCGAGAGTGATGGAGAGATCGGAGATTTCGTGAGGAAAGAATCTTGCTAGAAATGAGTCAGAGTTGCTCGAAGCTTCATTGAAAAATGGAGGCGTACTGAGTGTTTTGTAGCCTCGCAGTTTCATGAAGTTGTACAAGAACTCGGAGAACATACGCATCCGAAGGGTGTTTATTTTCCTATTGGGATCCTTGTGAAACTCGATAACGTGGTCCTTGAGCCTGTTCACAGCCGGAGCCAACAAATCCTCGAGATACGGATCCCATAAGTAAGGCTGCTCCTGATACGAGCTGAACTGGGAGTAGAAGGATCAATGCTGGTTCCGATGCTTGTCATGGATCACTCACGATGTTGACAAGCTTTTGCATTACCATATGACCATCGTCGGGTGCCTCCGTTTCGTGGATATCGAGTGCGAAGAGCTGATCGCGTAGGGCTACAAACTCGTCCTTGTTTTCAAATCTAGCATGTTGCTTGTGCTCTTCAATGTCTTCGGTAGGATCCATCGGCGGTGCTGTTGGACCGTGCGCGATACCGTCCGTAGGCACAGCTGGTACCTGACGGTTGATGTCGTGTAGACGAGAGCCCGAACGGAGAGTCAAGTCGCGATTGGATTCCGCCGGATCGGCGACTCGGACGGGCGCTTGTGTGGAACTGAAGCTTGGGGCGGGCCGGAGACTGCCGGAGAGCGCTTGCACAACTCCGTCCCCAAGGTTCAGGAGGAGTACTCAGGCTGTCCCCCTGACTTGTTAACTCCATCCTTGTCCGCGCCGATGGTGCCTCAACGATCGGCGGCCCCTGCCCCTCTTGCTGGGCCTAGCTCGTCCAAGAACGTTGTGAAGCATGACGACAGCCACAAGTTTCGCCGTAGATTTATAGGGCCCCTGCCAGCCGCTGCTCTCCAGCCGGCGGCCAGCCCCAAGAAGCCGACACGCAAGCGTAGAATGTTCCGGCGCATGCGCGAAGAGTCTTCCAGCAGCGATTCTAGCTCGGACTCGGACTCGGACTCAAGCAGCCTCTCAGACATCATCCACCGATACGCCCTCGAATTCTTTCTTAAGCACGGCGGCGAGCGCGACAACTGGGGTGCCAGCCAGAAGAAGCGCGTTAGGACAGAGATGCGCAAACGCTGGCGAGAGAGCGAGTGGGGGCGTATTCGCAAGCAGCAGAAGCAGGGCACTGGCACCGGGCAGAAATGGGTGGGTGGCTCCTTCGATGTCGGCGTATTTCTCGGCGTGGATGTGCTGGACCAAGAGCTACCCCTTCCTCCCGCATCTCCGCCGGACATCGTCTTTCGCGAGCCCTCTCCTTCGGCTCGACCTCCAATCAGCACACAGTCACCCTCGGCGGAAGCAGAGACGTTCGTAACGGCGCCGTCTCGCGCATCTACAGGACCACCTATCCCCCACGGCCGACCTCCAGAGGTGCATGCTGGGATCGTTGACTCAAGCCCAAACTCATCGACCGCCTTGCTCGCGGCCTCCGGCGCTGAGGCTGCTCGCGACACTCACTCGGAGCCCGGAGTTGCGCCCCTCATCGGTGCACCGTTTCCGAACTCTCCTTCGCCACCGCTCTCACCTTCCGGCTCCAACTTCCTGGCCCCCGCAAAGCAGAGTTCTTTTCTCGAACCAAATACCTCTGGGTCTGGACTTGGCGTCGATGATGCATCCAGGAGGCCGCCTCTTGATGACGCTCGTCGGTCCAGTAAAGGGAAGAACAAGGATGTTCGTTTCAGTCAGGACATCCCAGCTCCTCCCCGCGAGGTACTTGCCCGTACAGGAAGCGCTGTGAAGACGACCAGTGCAGGCGCGGCGGAACAGCAAAATCCCGAGGAGAGCGTACCTTGGGGAGGGGTGATTATGAGAGGTGCGAGACATCGTTGCAGGCCAGAATATTTTGTTCACTATGCTCCAATTATACAGATCGTATGCTCGTGCGGATATCATATACGGAGGACTCAGTGTCTCCAACGTTTGATGAACGGCAGAATCGAACCACCCGGCACCTTGAAACCAATACCTGGAAGGAATATTTGGTGGCTTGGCGGAAGGGCAGGATCGAGATCTACAGGGATCATGTATGTGTCTTGTCCACACTGCAGCACAACACTGACCCCACTCACCACAGGTAATTCCAGGGAAGGAGTGGCTTCTAGGCACAAAATGTCTAGCTTTCGTGGTACCACTCAGCTCCGCAGCAACTCGGCTCTCATTATACTCCTTCCTTGATCTTTCCTTCTGTCTTACTTGCCCTCCAGTACCACTTCAAGGGGAATCTAGTCGTCGACATCGCATTTTCGGCACTTCCAGAGGTACCAATATCTTCGTGTTCAAGCTGAAGAGTCGTACTCGTGCCGTGGACTGGGTGTGGCAAATGTGGTGAGCATTTTGTGTATCGTTTTTCACATCACGCTCAACAGCGCAGGCGAGCTATGGGAGGACAGCTTCCGCCTTCAATCGAAATAAACATCACTGCACTGGACACTCGTGTAACGATCGACGTACCGGGCCACGACGCGGGAGATATCGACGCGGCCTACGACGTTTTCCAGAAGAAGAACATTACGCAGCTCATCGAAACTCGTCTGAGGGAAGCACCCGAGTACCGCTCACTTCTCGAGCGCGAACAAGCAGCAGGCACCGAGTTCGAGTTCGCGTGGCGTCACGACACCGACCTCGACTGGGTCTGGCGGGAGCGCACCGTGGTGGACGAGCCTCGCAAGTGGGCCATGCTTAGTGGCTTGGCCCTTAGACAAGCCGACCGACCCGCCCACCTGGAGTTCCACAAGAAGCGCCATGTCTACACCACGATGTACATGAAGGACCGGACGCGCCTCGACGAGCCTCATGGAATAGAAGGCTACGTCGACCGCATACGCCCGAACTCGCAGACCCGGCAATCCCTCTTCCTCACCACACACGACGGATACATTTTCACAGTCGCGCCTCTGCATGCTCACCCTCCTGCTCCACCAGGCGCCCCTGTCGACATCACCAACGTGGACAAGAGCGTTACCAGCTTCCACAGCCACTCGCATACCCAAGACACCCGGCACCGTGCGGAGATCCGCCGTGGGCGCATGCAAATATTGCAGGCCGCCGGGGTGTCCGACCTGCGCAACGTCGTGTTCGTTCGGCGCGCCTTTCAGCCGGTCCCGCAACCCCGGGAGAACGCAAACATCAGGAAACTCACGGATTGGGAGGACTCACCCGAATTCTGGGACGCGGTGGACCGGAGCGAGAGCGATGACGAGGACGCGGGAGGGGACGCACCCATGAATGTGCACACGGACAAGGCGCACCTGCGTATGCGCCGCTCCTTCGAGCTCGTGCTCGCCTCAGGTCGCGTCATTCGGTTCGAGGTGCGCCATACTTTCGCCAATCTAGAACACCCGCTGACAGTACGTATTGACTGCAGGCGTACTCATGCTCGGCCGCGTTGGAGTGGATCACGCGCTTGCGACAGCTGGTGTCCTACTGGAAGAAACGTCATCAGGCCGACGCTCGGCTCGAGATGGACATCGCGCATGTCAGTACCGGGCGGGAGCGCATCACCCCGCACAAGCCGCGCGAGGAGCACCACCACGCCGGGGCGCACGAGATGCCGACAGAACCGCCGCCGGACCGCGACGCAGCGCTACCGGACCTCTCGTTCTTCTACAACTGGTGCGTGCTGGAGGGTTGCCGTCCGATTCTCAAGGCCGGTAGGCTGTACGGTCGCAAGGGTCTCTACGGCCAGTACAAGTGAGCCACATTTTCTCCCGACTCAAATTGACTGGAGGCTCATCGTGCGCGTAGACACATTCAGCTCGTGCTCATCGCCGGCCACCTCGTGCAGTTCCACATCACCGGTCGTGCCTCGTTGTACCACCGCAAGGACAAGGTGTTCACGCTCCTGGACGCGTACGTATGCTCTGGCTACTTCGCGGCGCAGTACCTGCCCGATGGCCAGTACGATGCCAACGCGCCGCCGGTCGCGCGCCGGTACCAAGATGGGCTCGAGACAGACGACTGCGAGGAGGACACACTGTTTGTACTCTGGTTCCGCAAGGTGCGCGGCGCGGCGCCGGGCGTGCGCCGCAACAGCAACGGTGCGGAGGTGCCTCCACTCTCAGCGAAGCGCAGCGTTGCGGTCTTCCGCACGCGGAGCAAGCTCGAGCGCGACGCGTGGGTGTGGGCGATCAATGTGGAGATAGAGAAGCTCGTGCGGGCGTCGAGGGAGCGCGAGGAGGCGGTAAGGCAGGCGGGGAACCTCCCTCCTTGTCGAGCGCATTGAGTTGGGCGCACGTTGAACATTGAACATTCGCTGGTTTTGCTTGTTCGTCTGAACTGGAAGGATTTGGAGATACCCCATATACCCCCCTTACTTTACAAGCTCTATCATTGTCGTCCGGGAAGTGCAAATAGTATTGGCGCGTAATATACGTATAGCTCGATAGCAAGAGAACGCATGGCCGCACAACTGGCTACTTTTTCGGCATCTTCGCTGCAGACGGAGGCGTACAAACAATCAGTTCACCGCGGGTATGAAAAAATTAGAGCACGCACCTCCATACTTGCTCCGCGACGTTGTCCTGCCCACGACGGGCCCGAAGTCGAGCGCACCACGCACCACCTTGTAGCTGAATCCATCGCTCAGGACACGTAAACCGACCACAATGAAGAACCACGCACCGAACACCAGGCAAATCTTGTGTACGCCCGCCCCTGATCAACACAACGCTGTGGTCCTGGAGGTTGTGGCCCTCTCCAGGAATGTACGCCTGTACAGTCTTCCCGTTCGAAAGCTTCACCCTCGCGACTTTACGCTTGGCTGAGTTGGGTTTCTTCGGTTTCGCGATCACGACCTGGCTGACAACGCCTTTGCGCTGTGGACAGCCCTCGAGAGCGGCAGCCTTTGTTTCCCGCGCCGGCTTCTTGTACGTGTTGCGCATAGACTGATTCAGGGTCCTCATGGCTGGGGCGGATGCGTGGAAGGAACGGGCAGTGAAGAGAGAAGTGCAAGTGCTGGTGCGTGTGGGGCCATGGGTGAGGGCGAGCGAGCGGGCACAAGGCACCACAGACTGTGTGGACCTCGTCCTGGCCGCCTGGGCCGTCAATCGCAGTACAGACAGCATTGCGGCCGCGAGGGTGCAGTGGTGGAGGGTGTGCTGGTCGCCGCCAGATGGCGAGCGCCGTGCGGGGGCGCGGTGCGGCCGGCCCTAAACTAGTCACACGTCTCGCGACACGCTCCAATATTCTCCGACGCGTCGTCGTGACTTTGCCGCCGACCGACAATCGTGCTTGAACCTTTGCCAAACCTCTGCCTCCTCTTCTGCACGCGGCATATAAGACTCACTTCTCGGCAACATGCCCGTCGCTTCTTCGTCCCGTGGAAACAGGCGCCACCGACGCGCGCCCTCGTCCGACATCGAAGAAGACGCTCCGAGCCAAACCGCCGCGTCCCGAAACCAGACGCAAGACGCTATCGAGATGGATGAGCCGCAACCACGGAGAGTCAAGAAGGGCAAGAAGTCACGACTCCGGGCTGAGGACTCAGAGGGGGAAAGGGTGATTGAGGTGGCCCCCGTCGCCGACATTGGAGAGCAGCCTTTGAGCCGGAGTGAGGGGAAGATGATCCAGGGGCTAGCGGGAGACTGGTCAAGCTTGCGCACACAAGCATTCTCAGGTGAAGGATTCTCGGCCCTTGGCGAGATTGGGGAGTGTGTCACTGAGTTCACAGAGGGAGAGAAGAAAGAGAAGGTACGCACGATCGGTTTTTCCTTAAGCCAATTTCTGAAGTTTGTGCAGGCCTTGACTATGATTGATACTATCATGCGAGAGTGGCTTGACACGGAAGAAGAGCTTCTTGCACATGAACACGCACTCCAGGAGATCCACCAGAACGTGGCCGCCGGTGAAGCTGTGGTAAGTCTTTCGTTTACGAGAATGCTTCCAGCACTGACAGCTTACAGATCGCTGTAATAGATGTCTACAAAACTGGAGTTCAGGATTACACCGAGAAGTACAAGGCCAAGACGCCGAGACAGAAGTACGCGAAAAACAATCGGTACCTGACGTTCAAGCAAGGCCTTTGGGTATGACGACACGCAGCTATACATGATCTACTTGCTGAAAGTCATCGCCATAGAACGTCGAGCATCCGGACTCTGCCATGCCTCCGCTGGTGGATCTCATTCCCAAAGGCGAGTTTCAATCTAAAGGCTGTCTACTTCCGCTCAACTTGCGCTATAGAGGACGGCGACGACAGCGATGACGATGACGACGACATCCAGATGGGTGGTATCACTCAGGACTACAAATGCCCCCTGTCGTTGCAGTTCCTGAAAGAACCTCTCACGTCGTGCGTCGCGTGTATGCATGTCATAATGTCTAACTAATTGGTCACCTATGTGTAGGAAAACCTGCAAGCACTCCTACTCCGCCGATGCGGTTAGGGAATTTCTATTACCAGGGCCCAAGATATGTCCCGCCACCGGCTGTCGGCAGCAGCTTCGACTCTCGGACTTGGAGCCAAATAAGGATCTGGCCAAACGCGCAGCAGAAGCGGCACGTCGTGAGCGTGCGAGAGAGGAGGACAGCGACAAAGAGGGTGAGGATATCATCGAATAAACGACGGGGTCGAACGGGGTTGTACCGTACATTTGCTACTCTAAGAGTCAATCTCTAAATCGAGTGTTGTACCAAATACTTTGAAGTTTGCTTTGAGGATGTGTGATCACGTGATTGTCGGTGACAGCACCACAGAGGCGGCGCTTCTCCCTTGACTGCTACTCTACTCTCCCCTGGTCGACCTTCTCTCAAAGCATGTTCTCTGCGCTGGCGTCCCGGGTGACGCGTGCTACATCTTCCGTCTCGCGTCAGGCGCGCTGTTTGGCAACACATGTCCCAGTCCCTACAGGTGGTAGTGCTTCTACGTCCTCCGCCCCAGCGTTCGCTCAAGCCAAGGACGGAGCATTGAGACCCCTCCTCGATGTCAAGGTCAACCCCAACCACGGCTTGTATGCGTTCTACAGGCGCAAGGAGAAGGACGGCGTAGTATCCTATGTCACCCTGGAGGCTCAGGAATTGAGGGAAGACAGCGGTGAGTAACGTATTACCCAGTGACCCTCTCGAGCAGCTTCGGTTGCGCGTATCATTCTATTCCCATTTTCTTTCTCGTATGTCTGACCTGTGTTCGCCAGGTCGCTCGTGGCTGGCCGCAGAGCTGAGGAGGAAAAGCTTCAAGGACCTCCACACGCTCTGGTACGTCCTAGTACGAGAGCGCAATCTGCTCGCGACGCAGAAGGAGCAAATGCGCCGGTCAAGAATCAACCACGCCGAATCCATCACGTCCAAAAGGGCACACGTGGTACGCGTTACTCTTTCTCCCCCACGTTCTCCTTGTCTCTTGCGCTGACGGGTCCGCCCGGATATAGGTTCGTAAGTCCATGGCTCGCATCAAGCTTGTTCTCAACGAGCGACGCCTCGCGTACGAGGGTGCTATGAAGATTCGCAGCGAGGAAGAGGCGGCTGTGGCGGCTGAGCAGGAGGCGGAGGTTGAGGCAGTCGAGGGTGGCGAGACGCAAGCACAGACGAAGCCGAGGAAGCGGGATGCTTCTTCTTTTGCGGCCGAGTCCTTGTTCGAAAGCCCAGTCGAGCAAAAGGCGTAGTAGAGAGGACCAGATGAGTATTATGCGTATACACTCATAATTCGACCGCTTCGCGATATCTCTCTGCTAGAGCTTATCCATCATCGCTATTCTTCCGCCGAGGTCTGTTGCCGATGTGGGTGGATAATGGCAAGGAGAGCGTGGGCGGTAGAGGAATATGGTACAATGTTGCAACCCGGTAAAACATGTTCACGGGAAACCGCCTATGTAACGTGTCTACGGACTGGGAGCCGGCCTCGTCTTCACGTTCTGTGCTCGCGTCGACCTGGATGTTGTGCATCCCACTCATACATCTCCGGGCTTACGAAGCAGTCGGTCACTTTCGGATTTTCGTACAACTCCAACTGTCTCCTGCCGCGTCGGAGGAGGAATTCTATCGCTCCAATATCCCGCGGAGATACGGACGTTGCTTCGGTCCTGAAGGTGTACCGCACAAATGTTCGGAACCTTGACTGCGCGTGCTCAGGTTTGGTGGACACCATGCGTAGTGCTCTTTGAGTGTAGCATGAAAAGAGGAAAGTGGACGCAATATAGGGCCACATACCTTCGATAGAGTGAGAGGACATCCTTTTGCAGGCCCGACCGACGCAGCGGCATGATCTTCAGTCAGCTAGGTAGGAACTGTACACCTCTGCAATCTTCGGATGGCAGTTGTATGGGTGTGGCAAGGATGTTATGCGAACTGATTGAGGGTCAATGAGGACATACTCCGAGTGCGGCCGAGCATCGCCGACTCCGAACTCACTCCCAACACGTCATGTCATGATACGTCACATTATGTGACCAAACGCGTCGATGTCACGTTGGCGCGTCATCGAAGCCTCGAATGCTGCGTCCGACTCGACTCTCACTTTCTACTCCACCCCCACCTCCTCCGCATCTACTGCCTACCGTCTTATCCTCTCATCACTTTGTTCTTGGATGTATGCTTGGCCAGTACCTACGCCCATCCCACCTATGGCTCCCGTTACGCGTTTCCCTACGTCCTCCATCTATGGTTGCTGGACGGAGACTGGCAACAACGACTAGTGGACCGGAAGCCGGTGTCACGGATCCAGCCGCATATTGCAAGGACTTGGTACGGACACGCGACTACGAAAGCTACCTCATTGGATCTTTCTATCCGCGGGAGTTGCAAGGGGCGTTTTTCGCACTGCGTGCTTTCTATGTGAGTTTTATCTTCATATTGGTTTTCATCGGTTCCCGCGAAAAAAGGCGATTCGCGAGCCGCATATGTCATTATATCCTTCCTCGATACCATCATTTCATGGTGCGAACCGGTACGAGAACGAGCAATGTTCTGAGGCTGGCATGGGTATGAACCTTGTATCTGGGTGCTATGTCCACGCGTTTCTTCGAACATTCGGGTTTTATGAAGTTTCACAGTCAGAATCCTAGACTCCTCGCGTTTCCATGCGTATGCAGACAGCCCCCAGTCCATTCTGTTCCCGAAGTGCGATTATGGCGCGGCACCTGTTCGAGGCGCGCTTCCCAGACAGGCTCCGCTTCCCGCTGCCTCCAGACGTATTTTCCCCTGGGAGACTCTCGCCCATTACTTGCAGGTTTATCTATCATGTTGCGATGTGACTGACCGTGATTCCACGCGCAAGGTGGAACTAGCTTCCGTACAGGACAACGTCTCCAACTCCGTGATAGGCAAGATGCGTCTGCAATTCTGGAGAGACGCTCTCAAGAGCAACGCTGATGTACGTTTCCCCACAACCATCACGCTCAGATTTTGACTTCCGTGGATTCCGTGGATCGTAGGGCAGACCCCCACAACATCCGATTGCGCTCGCACTACATGACGCTTCGCGTCGCGCAAACCTGCCTGCGTATCATCTGCGCAGAATGATTGATGCTAGGGTTAGTACTATGACCAATGGGGGTCTGGGATTGTGGGCGCGACTATCTGACGGATTCCACAGGACGCTGAGTTGCACACTCCAATGCACCTGACAATGGAGTCGCTCATGGCGCACGCGGAGTCGACAACATCAACATACCTCTACCTGTTGCTGTCAATGCTGAACCTGTCGTCGTCTTCGGCATTTTCGCACGCAGCATCGCACCTGGGCGTGGCACAATGTGTGCACATTCTCCTGCGGGCGCTGTCTTATCATGCGTCGAAGGGAAGGATGGTCATTCCCGCCGAAATCACTGCGCGTCATGGGGTGCGCCAAGAGGACGTGTTCCGTCGGGGTGGGAATGCGGATGGGATCTCGGACGCCGTGTTCGAGTTCGCGACGGTGGCCAATGACAACTTGCTCACTGCGCGTGAGATGCTCAAGGACGCGGCGGCCGGGAGAAAGGTGCCCCGGCAAGCAATGTCAGTGTTTCTGTATGGGGTGAGTGTATCAACCCAGCGTTTGGAGTTCGCCACGCGGGCGGGGCCGCGGCGACGCGATGAAGCAGGAAGCTGACGGGGAAATGGGTTTACAGCTACCGACGCAAGATTACCTCGGACGCCTCGAGGCGGCCAATTTTGACGCGTTCGCGCCGTCGCTGCAGTTGCGGGACTGGAAGTTGCCGTGGAAGGTCTGGCGGGGATACTACAAAGGCGATTTTTGAGGATGAGGTAGTAGACAATGTCGTAAGCAGAGGCGCGTGCAGGCGACGCGGGAATGGGATCGCGTGCCTTGCCGGGTACCGTGTGGCGGACGGTGGCGAGCGCCGTGCGGAGGAGTCGAGTGTCTCAGGACGGGGCGTCTGCGCAGGCCGATCTGCCACCGGATCCGAGGGTTTGCGAGTTTTGGAGGTCCGCCTGCCTCTCGTCCAGCGCGACTGTGGCAGATCGCACGTCCGCCCTTCTCTGCCATCCCCCGCCATCCCGCCATCTCCCTTTCCCTTCCGACCCCCACCTGCCCCTCTCTCCTCCCTCCGCCCCGCCCCTCCCTCTCGCCTCCGCCCCTCCCTCTTCCCCGCCCTATCCCACGTCTGCCCGTCGTCATAGGGCCCGACGGCCTCAACACCGGCCAGACGCTCACACTTCATCCCCACCCCTGACAACCCGACTCCCATCCATCTCGCCCACCATGGACCAGCTATGCGGTGAGTACCGCATACAACCACCCCCGCGCACCCCACACTCATCCCATGCTCGTGTGTATGCAGACGAGATCTTGCAGCTCGTCCTGAACGAGCTCAGCAACCCCGCCCCCCTCACCGTGGTCTCCAAACGTATCAAAGACTTCTCGAATGATCCTTATGTCCGGGCTATGTACTTCCTCGCTCGCTATGGGCGAATGCAAGCACTCTTCTGGGCACTTGGGAGGGGCAAGCTGTTGAACGAGCGGGTACTCGATGTGAGTCCTCCTTCCGGTCCTTGTCATCTGCGCATGGTGGCCGGCACTGCGCCGCTGTGGCAGGCGCGTGCGCGTGCTGGGGGGCTCTGCGATCGCACAGGAAGACCGCCGTTGCCCGTTCGGCCAACACGTTCCCAGAAGAGTGGTGGCCGCCTCCGCTGTCACCTCTACTCCTGGAACGTTGGAGTGGCTGCGGCAGGGTGTTTCGGCGTCCGCAAAAGAGGCGCGACCGGCGCCGTGCACTCAGAGTGGAAGGTCAGGTCTTCGGGGTGGTTCTGATAGCCACCTGGCTAAGGCGCGAAACGTGGTTCGGGACATTGGAGTGGCTGAAATCCGAAGTCATCCACATGGTACATGCGACGTTCCTCCATCCTCGTTACTCGGCGCGCGCGGTGCTCGGAGGCAGCGCGCATCGGGGTAGATCGTTTCTCCGAGTAGGAACTCGGTGCTTGACCTGTGGAAGCCTGGTTCTGCCGTGAGGACACTCCATGCATCATGTTTCCGCGCCGCGCTCTCTCTGAACTTCCTTGGCCCGGTTTGCCATGCATTACATGCCAGATATCACCTCCCATGTTTTCAATCGAAGGAAAGCATGCCGAGGGTATTTGGCTAGTGGTCGGAATTCCCCTTCTCTATCTCATCCATCTCTCATTCGTGACGTCCGCTCACGATGGACCCGCGCAGATCATGATGCGCAGCGGCGCACATCTTTCTCGCTATCTGGCGCAATGCGCGGTACATCACTACTGCCGAACACAGATACCTTTCATCAAGGCGAAATGGGTGCGAACATTGTCCTATCCCGTTTTTGTGCATTTCCAGTACATCGCGGCTACGATGCACGGAGATATACCGGTCGCCAAGGGTGAAGACGATGGCACGCTCTTGACTCTGTATCTCAAGCAGAGCAGATTCCCGACGGAATACCGAGCGGCGAAGTGGGAGCAGGTGAGAGACGTAATAGAAAAATACAAGGTGCGTGGGAGGTCTGCCTATTGCGTATGCGGCGGCTCTAACCACACGTGGGGATAGTTTATTCCATTTTCGGATAAGGTAAGCACCACGATCTCCGTCGTGGACTTTGAGCGAAGGTTTGATCTCCCCGATCCCAGGATCCGATGATGGCACAATTTCCTCTCGTGTTGGCCATTGAGCCACGCTTGCTGCCATTAGCGCGACAAAACGGTTTCAGCATGGATCGCAAAGTAGGTTCTCCAGCTGGCACCCCACAGTTTGTCTGCTTATCCTGCTATACCGCTAGTACCGTAATTTTGTGTTCCGAAGAATGTTTGAGAAGCCGGCGATCATGTTTGAATCCCGAGCGGACGAAATAGTCCACAACGTACGCGAACTCTCGCGCTTGGACCCTGAGTACGAATCCCTCTCTCTGCGACCCTATTTGTTATCTTATATCCTTCGCTCATGTTCTCATGTTCTCGTGGGAACAGGATGTTCCTCAGTCGGACCGTCGCTGCCGAGATCTGTATGGAAGCGAAGTCGAATGAGCCTGCCTACTCAGCGCTAAAACGCCTTGACAAGGAAGACGTATTGCGCTTCGAGCTCTCGTACGTGACCGCACCACTTCACGTGTCCGAGACGTAGGGCTCAACCTTCCCGAACAGCTCCATCGTGCAGGGACTGATCAAGGCATGGTTTCTGAGAGCACTCCTGCAGCGGCTAAGCTGATGGGTCGTACAGCTCTTCTTGAACACGCGGTCCTTGACCTCGATTCACACCGCGGCCGTGCTGCGTGTGCTCTACAAAGACTTCCCTTCCGAGGATCCTGTCGTCCGATTGGTTCTTCTGCTCACTACCTTCCTATCCGAACCCGCCCCGCCCACCCATCTCCCTGCGAGTCTTACTCTTTCGTCCTCAAGCTCAGAAACCCGAGGAATCGTCGCCCGTTACGTGCGAACGTGTCACGAGGAGATAGAGGATCTCAGTCTCAACCCGCTCACACGCAAAGACATCACAGACATTCTCCTCAGCAAGTTTGTACCCGACCGTTTCGTCGGCATCCTCCAATATGCTCGTGTCATGATGAAGCTGAACGACGATGAGATGCGCAGCTTGGTTACTGACGTCGCGACAAGCTGCCTAGAGATCGGATGCAAGGGCCGCATGATCGACAAGCTCGTCGACGCCTATCCTTTCCTCTATGAGCATCTAGCTGTTCATATCCTGAAGAACTATCGCGTCAACCTTGAGGACTTGCCTCCTGTAGACGATGACGAAGCCATCAAGCGCTACAGCGCGCCGCTTTGCGCAGATTTCGGGATCCTTCGGAGAACCAATCCGTGGATGTTTGAAGATCCGCCTCCTATCATCTCTGCCGATGCTCCTCAACCACCTCAAACTCCGGAAGGCAACCAAATGGACGTACAGGGAGATGCGGAAGGTGCTGACTCTGAAGATGGCGATGATGCTGCTGTTGACAGCGACGGTGACGAAGAGGAACTGGTATGTACCGTCCCGTGGCTTTCGTGATGCCCCGCTTACGATCAAGCCGTTTTTCATCGTGCAGGGTGCAATTGGCCAGGACTCCCTTTCTGCTATGATTCGCAAGGATGATCTAGCGCCCATACGTCGTCGCCGGTTTCAGGAGCTGTACAACACATATCACGATAGCATCAACAAGCTTCCTTATCCAGCTGGTATGTGGACGTTCATAAGCGTAATAGTCTGCGTCGGAGTCTGATACGCTTGCAAACCCTTAGATTACACCCAGGTTGGCAATTGGCTACAGAAGAAGTACGGGCAACTTCACGCAGTATCTGCCGTTGTCAAGCTTCATGCAGTGATCAATCAGAACCATACCGTACGTGTCACCACATGTGTCGGAATCCCGTTCCGAAGTTCCGTCATGTTTCGCTCATCTTGGCACTGATTGAAGGTGTTGAACAACCACCTGTACACTGCGTCTACCCCCGATGGCGATGGGAATCTCACTCGTGTGCCGACCACGCTGAAGCATTTCAAGATCCTCGCACGGCTCGGACACATGCCTAGCCCAGGCATGTACGAGAACATCGAGCACGGCACGGAGTTCTACTTCAGCGAGGAGGACTATCTCAGCCCAGAAGAGCTCAACGGAACCGTGGTCCCCTTAGCCCTGGACCATTCGCGTAATGACAACGGCAAGGCCCGTGCGGATGGGAGGGCGAAGTTTAATCGGTCTCCCGCGGTGAAATGCGAGTCGAGTCCGGCCCCCGGGCCGTCATCCGGCGCCACCCTGATCTTGACGTCTGTGTTAGCTGGCTCTTCCACTTCGCGACGCGCGGTCCCGGATATCCAGGCGGAGGTGAAACCAGAAGCTTACTCTAATTCAACTCCGAGTGGGAGCAAGAAGCGGCCACGGCGAAGCACCGCCAAGGCGAAGTCATACGTGGTGCCCGACAGTGATGATGAGGATATCATCATGGAGGACTATCGCGGGTCGGCCTCGCTCAAGCGCTTCGCGGAGAAGCGGCGCGTGGAGACCAACCTGCAGCGTTGGATAAAGCATCTCGCCGTGATCCTGAAGGAGGAGCAGAGGAAGGTGCGTCTGTCTTGCTTCCTTCGAGTAGGCGAGATTTGACCTGATTCTCTGCTTCGTGCCGCCGCCACCCCATCTCGGCCCTTTTGTCCATCCCGCCTCGTGTATCACGGTCGATCTTGTTATGGCCTTGGTTTCCGGGCCCACAGTTCAATGACAGAAAACGCCGACTTCACGCGGCCTCACCCCCTGGCATTAAGGTCAAGGTGCCCAAGGTGCGTGTTCATTACGTCGTCGCCCTTTGCGTGCCTTTGTAGCATCCATAGGGCCTGTGGATGTGCGGCTGATCGTCGCGTTCTCTTTGCTCCCTTCAGACCGAGTTCCACAGATCTCTGGCGAGCAACTTGCCGCGTCTGCGTCGCATAGACAAGACGAAGCGCGAGAAGTTGTACGGCGCAGATGTCGCAGACGAGGACTACAGCGACAGTGATGTCGACGAGGAGTATCGGTCGTGGCGCCCGAAGCGGTGCAGGACTTCACTCTGAGTTCAGACGCCGAACGCTTTCGGCTCACGCCAGTTCTAGACGGGTGGGCTTCCGGACCCACGGTCCGCCCCCCCGCACTTTCTCATCGCCTTTCAGAGTAACATGGACCCCCTAGCATCGGTATTACCACACATTGCCTCATCTCATTTTCCGTCTTTTGTGGTTGTTCCATACACATATTTCCCCCCATCTCATACTAGTATCGCATAGTTCTCCGTAATGAAGGTCTTGCATGGTATCTCACGACCCACCCACGTTCGGACACACGAAACATCCGTCTTACCACAGCTTCTTACACCCACTATTGCGCCGCCTACCGTCACATCTCTTCACCGGCGATATCTTCGGGCGTGTAGTACTGCTTATTAATCAAGTCCCTCGTGCTCGACGTACCCGCCTATTGAACGCCTGGGCGCACACAATTCTACCTTACAGCCTAAACACACCATTGGAATGGCGATGCACGAGTCTTCCTGTCAACATCGGTCTCCGAGACGTGACGTTTGCAGGGCTATGAATGTGAGGCTATTCGCTGTCTGACTCGCAAGCAGGGTTTGACTCTCATCGCCACCGGCAGGAACATAGGCGCCCTGCAATCTCGGACCGGAGCGTCGTGCCGAGCGCCGGGTGGCACGACATGGGTGGTCCTTGGAGACCCTTGCGCGCATCGCAACACGAGTCTAGACATGACGGCATCCCCGTTCGCTTGCGAGATAAAACAGGGCTGAAGCGCTTACGAGAGGCGAGGCCTGCCGCATCATGGAATGCGGGAGATTGGCGACGGCTGACAGAAAGCTCAGCTCGCTCGCGGAGGATCACGCCGAGAGCGTCGCGACGCGTGCGTGTGTTGTTCGAGACGACGGCGCGCCCATTCTCCGCCCGCGGCGATGGTGACGAAAGCCCAGGTCGGGCCCCCGGAGCGAGGTCGGGGACCGGGGCGTGATCTCAAGCGGCGCGGGGGTCAGAGCGGCCATACAGAACTCTCAGTTGGGTCGACGCCATGGAAGGAGTTCGCAGCACAAATGCAAAATATATTTTCGGAGCCCTCGGCCTTCCCGCTCGCGCAGCCAGTCGTCCGTAGTGGGCATCTCCGGGCGGGGATCTGGGGGGCGTACGCACGGAGCATCAGACGACAACGGCACGCCCCGCCCCCATCCCTCTCGCCCGGATTGGCAGGTTGCTTGCGCGGCTAGTCAGGGCTGTTCAACCTAGGGCTCCGCGTTTCGAGGTTGGCATCGACCGCTCGCGACAGGGTCTGTGTGCTTTGGCCCGGGTGTATGCACTGTCCGGGCGAGGCTGGACGGCGGACGATAAGTCGGCGGTGTGGCCAGAAGGGTAATCGTTCGCGCGCGTTACGGGACGCGGACCGAGGGAGCGGGCGGGGCTCGGACCGGGACGCGGTCGCGTGGGAGGGGAATGGCTCCGCTGCGCGGGGTCGCCACTGGCATCTGCGGACGGGGCACGCGGGCGGGCGGGACAGGGGCCGGGGCCGGGGCCGGGGGGCCGCCGCTGGTGAATCTGCGAGTCGCAGCTGGGGCCGGTGGCAACGCCGCCTCGCGAGCGGGTATTTCGCCGGACTTTCCGGGCGACCCTGTGCGGGCAAAGACGAAAAATTGCGCCCAGGGTTATATACACCCCCGCTCCCCCCGCCGCGCGCCGCCTCCCCCGGAGCATGGACATCGACGCCGCGGACGAAAACACCAAGATGCCCGGCCACTCCGTACACTCCCTCCTCCACCCCTACAGCCACGGCCACCCCGCATACACCCAGGCCCACCCTGCCCCGCCGTCCCACTCCGCGCCCGCCGCCGCCGACCCCTACCCCACACTTGTCATTCGCAACGTCCACTTGCCCTTCGAGTCCGACGACCCCACCCTTGCCGACCCCCTCTACAACGTCTACTGTGTCGCCGGTCGCGTGGACCGTGTTGAGCTCGCTACTTCCAACGGAAGCCGCTCCGTCAGCGGCACCAGCAGCGGCCGCAACTCTCCCGCTCCACCGCCCGAGTATCATGTAGGAAGCAGTCCACGCGGCGGTAAAGGGCGCTCTACAGGCACCCACGGGGAGCTGGACGCGCAGGGTCGGGGGATCTTACTACCAGCGTACGTACCCTCGATTTCTGCCGACCCGACGATCGCCGACGCGCGACCCCCACCAGCCTTTGCCATGCCCACATCCACCTAGACAAATGCTTTCTGCTCGACCAGTGCGACGAGCTCGTCACTGGGTGCGTATTTACCTCGTCTTCCGGAAGCGCGAGCTGATAGCTCATTTCCGCTGCCGCTGATCTTCACAGCAACTTCGCGGAGGCTTTGCGTGTCACGACAAAGGCTAAGAGCAAGTTCCCCTGCGATCCCGACGATCTCTTCGATCGTGGACGGAAGCTGATCGCACAGAGCATCGAGTGTGGCGTCACCCTCATGCGCGCCCACGTCGAGGTCGACGAGACCGTCCACTTCGTCTGCGTCGACGCCGGCCTCCGCCTCCGCAAGCTTTTCCGGGATCTCTGTCACGTGCAGATCGCAGGTGAAGCACGTTCCGTCCTCCTCGTGTTGCGCCCGTGGTTAATGGATACTGCACGCCAGTCTTCGCCCAAGACCCCCTCTTCACGTCCGCAGGCGACGACCGGCCAGGCCTCAACTACGTTCTCCTCCAGTCCGCGCTCCGGCGCACAGGCATCGAGGCCGTGGGCTCCGCGCCGTACGTCGAGCCGAGCGTCGCGCACGCGAAGCGCAACATTGAGCTCATCCTCGACCTCGCCGCCGAGCACGGCGTCCACGCTGACTTCCACCTCGACTACAACCTCGACCCATCCGCCGAGCCGCTCATCTGGCACTTGCTCGCGCAGCTCCGACAGCGCATTCGCGCGGGCCGTTGGCGAGCGGGCGCGCACGTGTGCGTCGGGCATGCAACGCGCCTCACACTTTTCTCACCGGAGGAATGGCATGCGCTTCGATCCGCGCTGCTCGACGAGCGGTTGCCCGTCACGCTCGTTGGCCTGCCTCCGAGCGACCTGTATATGATGGGCCGGAACATGGACCACGCGCCTCGGGGGACGCTCAACATCCCGCGGCTCGCGTCGGAGCACAACATCCGCGCAGCGATGGCGGTGAACAACGTCGAGAACGCGTTCACGCCACAGGGTCCCATTGACCCGCTCGCGCTGTGTCCGATGGGCGTTGCTATCTTCCAGGCGGGCACGAAGATGGACTGCCGCATGTTGCTGGTGAGTAATATCACGAATTCCCTGTCAGTCGTTGAGAGCCGGGTTCACTAAATCTACCTGCGCTCCGCTTTGGACGGGCAGGAATCCGTGACTCTCAACGCGCGGCTCGCGATCGGGGGGTATCACAAAGGTTCGCACCACCCGTCAATCACGCCCACACCGGGCTCGGTGGCCGACTTCGTGCTCCTGCACGATAACGATACACTGCATTCCGCGGCGCTCAACCCGTCCTTCGCGCGGACGACCATTCGGCATGGGGTCATGGTTGCGCGCCGCATCCAGCACTCGTGGATTCTCCCACAAAAGACACCGTCGCCAGAACCCATGTCGGAGGACTGAAAGCCGAGACTCGGGCTCAAGTGCCTCCCGGCGCGGTCTCCTCCGACGTGCGTGCGCGCACCCAGCGCATCTCCCTGGGTAGGCCGCGCATCTCGTACGGCCGGAGCATGTGTCGCCTCGTGCACACCTTGTTCGGGCACTCTCTTCTCTCTAGGTGATTACTGCTTTCGGTTGATCCGCCCTTGGATTTTCGGCGCGTACCGCGCGTTTCCCGCACCCTCCACTACCATACCATAACAAGACCATCATACCAGCACTTCGTTCCGTACTTTACCCACGCGCGCACCCCTCTCCGCCTCTTCTGTATTCCGTTGGCCTATCTCTGAAACCGCCGTGCTCCGCACCCGCGCGCCCACGAGTGTGCACATCATGACGCTACTTCGCCCCGTTTTACCTCCCACTCGTGTACCAATTGGGCTGAATTATTTGTATCATATGACCCCCCTCCACCCATCCTCTACCCCCACTACACCTACACCGCATCCCCGCCCACAGAATACAGCCCGCACTCATGATTATGGAGTTAGACATCTGCCCCTTGTAGTACGTGTATTCTTTTCTATGGACTGAGCCGCTTCTGGATCGTGGGGAAAGTGAACTTGGATGTTTCAGCACTCAGTTCTGTACAGCTTGTCCGAGTGTGCCCATATGAGAAGATGAAGTAAGTAATGGTGGACCGCAGCTAATTCTCGGTTACTGGAGCCAGTTGCTGCTGGTTGAATGCATGCCTGTTCTCCAGCATCCCTCTTGTCACGCTCAGTCTCATATGCCGCAATGCCGGACACCTCAAGCTACGCTCCAAGTTCGATACGTGGAAAGAAACCTGGTAATAAGCGATAAGAACGTCCGCTCTGTCGCCATAAGCAAGTTCCCTTAGTCCAAATACCACGCCGCAGCCGTCATCGTCATCCCTTCACCACGTTCTCGTCCACGATAGGCGCCATGGTACCCGCCAGGCCTGTGATGGGCAGCATGAGTCGTAAGAAGTACAGTATCAACTTCGCAATGATGCTGAAATGGATGACACTGTCGGGTTACCATGATACAATCTTCGTTCATAAGCATGCACTAGCTTTTAGAGCCGCAAATCTCCCTTAGGAAATATTGTTTTGAGCCCAAGGGGAAGAGGACCGTCGGGCTCACTGGACGGGTTCCCAATAGAGGCGTGACGCCACGACCTTCGTTGTGCACCGGGCGATCCAAAATTCGAACCCCCACTGGAAAGCGTCATTTGCATTTTCTTCCATTATAGACACATGTGAAGGCTGTCGGTGTGTCGTCGAGCCTCGCAAGCCGGAAGCTCTAGATACGCGTTTATCCTCCTACTTTATCTTATCAGCACCACTATGAATCTCTCAGAGGGTCTCGCCTCCTGTGTACTCTGCGGGATTGGCTCCATGGGTCCAGATCTAGTGAGTCGGAAGTCGTCGATCAAGGCTAGGTCGAGCGCCCGGAGGGCGGACCGCGGCGCGCCGCTGCGCCCAAGGCATCCGTACGGTACGCCCTCCGGAGCCTGCTATACTGGAGCGCGCTGCCGCACCGCTATAGAGGAACGAGCGAGGCCGAGTTGGGCGAGAAAAAAGAGTGCGCGGGTGCGATGTGGGAGGGGCGGGGGGCGACTCGCGAAGCCCCCGCTGCGGCGAACTTTCAACTCGTTATAGTATCCGGGATGTGGCCGATGTGCGCGTGAATCTGTTGCGGAGCACATGAAAACGGGCGCCTTCGATCTGAGTCGTACATGTAGCTTGAAGCGTCGATATATACGCAGACACCGCAGACACCAGCTCGGAAAGGATCGGCACAACCTGGGTAGAGCCAGAGGATGGCCGTGGTGGACGCGGACTCTGAACCGATGAGTGGCCCGTGATGTCCGAGGGAGTGCTTGAGGGGGCACTTGGCTACCATCGAGGAATAGAGGCCGCGTGGCGTGTTCTGATATGCACGCACAATATTGCAGCTCGCGCCCTGCGGCGCCGTTCCGTGCGGGCGCGCGACAGGGAAGCTTCATATGTTTGAGAGAAAGCTCGTTTCAACGTGGGCGTGGTATGCACGAGGGCGGTAGGGAGGCTTTGTGTTTTTCGTACTATGGCCGAAGAGGAGGTGGGCTCAGCGAGGTTGGGGATGGATCAGCGGCCGCCGTGCTTGCGTCCGGGCCGCGGACGATGAGCTCGGACTCGGACTGAAGCGCAGAGGCGGTCTGGAATGTGCTGCAGGCGATCGCTGACGCCACGGCCACAGTCCAGACGCGGTCTGATTGAACGCGTGCTCGAATTGCGACGTGAGCCAAAGCCCGCCGGATCCCCGCGGCACCAGGCAGGGAAGCCCGCCGCGCCCTGGGCATAATACCCCACCACCCGGCTACCGTCAACGCCCTCCGTCCCTCTGCCTCCATGCGCCCGTAGGGCTCGGGCCTCCCCATGCCCTCCTTTCCGCCCCCTTCTCCCTCCCGTCCCCCGCCCCCGCCTCCCAAGACCGTCAAGCTCAGCTCCCGCAATCTCCTTCGACTTCCCTACCGCCTCTCCCATCCTCCTCCATCTCAGCCAAAGGCCTCGCCATGGGGAATCACTCCCCACTTTCGCATCCCTCTTGAAGAGATTCTCGATCGCAAGCATCTTCCTCCCCTCGGCCTCAAGGACTTCGAGGAATGGATGCTTGTCATAGACCGCAAACCAGAGTGTTTGTACGTGCTCTCCCAGCCGTTGCATCCGTACCCGTCTCCTCACCTCTCCGCCCTCAGATACTTCATTCTCTGGTTGCGCGAGTACAAGGCTCGCTACACCGCCTGGATGCGCAAGTCTCGGCTGAGTTCTCCTATCCGTTTTGCATCGAACCCGGACGCGCGCACATATCGCTCCGAGTCTCTCCCTCCGCCCCCCAACCCCGCTCTCGTCGACTTCTACGCGCGTGCCAAAGACACGTTCCTTACCCCATTCGCTCCCTACGCACTCCCTCTGCCTCTCGATGTTCTCGCCGTCTTCTTCGTCCCCACCGACTCTCCGGTCGCCAACCGTCTCGGCACTCCAGGAAGACCGCCTGTGCCCCCGCGTCCTGAAACATTCGCGGAGGTGGAGGAGCGCGTACTGGCCATGCTTTCGGATAGCCTCGACCGCTTCGTGGTCGCGACGTTCCACAATGTCGGCATGCCGCGTGCACACTGCGGTTGTGCCGGCGGCACGGTCATAGGACTTCTGGGAAGGTTCGTTTCCTTTTCCTCCGCTGTTCTCCCTCCGTCCGCCTTTCGCTCGGAGCCTGCTCGGAGATCGCGCTGGTCACAGAAGCAGCAGTAACCTGACAAGCGGTACTTTTGCCTGCTTTTCGCACGCGGCGGGCACTACTGGCCCGCGTCGTCGCCGCCCGTCGCCGTTTGATTCTCGCCTCCGTCGGACGTGGGACACGGTGTGGACTTTTATGGGCACGCAGACTGACATGTGCTCTTCAGTGTCCCTATCCTAGTCGCCAACTTCCTAACGGGCGGATCGCGCTGGTGGCGTTTCTCGGCCCTTCCGGGGCTCTGGCTGGGAATGACGATCGTCATTTCCGCTCTCTACGGCGTGAGTCGCTTCTCGCTCTCACGCGTGACCCTCGCCGCTCACTCTGAGTTAGGTTTGCATGATGATCTACGTCTTTGGTGACTTTCGGCAACTCCGCTCGTTCGAGCTTGCCCGGGTGCCCAGCGTCCACGGGTCCGACAAGGAGAAAGCGACCTTGGTGGACTCACCAAGTCTCTCCGCGAGACCTAATGTTCAAACCCCATTGACTAGACCTCCGGCCTTGCGACATCCAGCACCATTCTCTGTCAGCCCTGTTACCGCCCCATCACCCCGTTCGCCGCCTCCCAAGTTACGACTCACTACGCCACCACCTGTCCACACGTCCCATCATGTCCACACGTCTCGCGCATCCGCCTCTCACGCCCACATGCTGTCTGAGTCCTCCTCGATATCTTTTTCAACGCAGGCCTCCCACAGACCTCTGTTCTCTTCGCCTTATTCCACCTCGTTCCAGGGCCATGCCCTTGAGGAAGAATCTGCGGATGAAGAGGACTGCGAGCAGGCATCTGAAGTATCTGACGTTTCGACTGCTCGTGAAAATAGGAGGAAGTCGCAACCACCGCCTCAGGTCTTTGTGTCCGACGTGATATACGACGCTGACCCATCCGACGATGAACTGGATCTGGAGCTCGAAGACAAGCCCATGCGACAGTTTGAAAGTCGGTCATCGATGACGGGTGCTACCTTCATTTATCCCTTCAGTTGGGATAGCGTCGTCGAGTAAGTGCCCCCTCACGATGTATAACGAGTGTTGACTTATGGTCCCGCTAGACCTCCGCGGACATGTGATATAGAGTATCAGACACAACTCGCGACAGAGTCCCAGAGGATGGGTGCCTTCAACTTCGACGGACTGCCTCCACGACCCCCCAGAAAGCTCGACGCCGACTCCCCACTTCCAGCGAACCCCCTATCGGACCCACCTGCATCTCCAAGCCCTCCCATCATCTTGGAGAAGCGGCCTCACGGATCACAATCCTCTTCTGGAAGCCAGGGCAGCGAGAGACCCCAGTCGTGTTCGCCTGCGCGGAGGCGATTGCAATTTGGTCCGATAGGCAGGGCAATCGGAAGGCTCCAAACGAAGTGCGTACCGACCCACATCTCCTCATACGTCATGGTCAAGTACCCCAACGCTTCTGCCCCGGATGCCAACCTTTCCATGTTGCCCGAGGCTCCAGCAAGCGCAGGTTCTCCGGCGTCAAGCGCAGGCTCCCCGTCTTCGCCGTGGCAGACCTCGACCTCGGTCCAACCGGCGACTGACCATGAGGCCGCGGCTCCCGTACCGCAGGAGGAGGGCGCGTGGAGGAAACGGCTCAGAGGAGTGCTGCAGGTCCCTGCCTTCGCATCGCCCTTGACGCCGGTGCTAAACCCGGTCGTCACGCGCGGACAATGGGAGATCGTGGTCAGGAGCGCCTTTATAGCGTTCGTGCTCAGTGCGATCGTCATTGGGGGGTTGGTGGGCGTCCCCGAGGCCCACCAGGTAGGTGCGTAGTCAACGCTGTTGTTCGCATCATTCCCTTTTCAACTTCCGAAACGATGTATGCACCTGTTGTGTTGTACGCGTTCCCGCTGTTGTCTCTCCCGCGTGATACGGCTGCACAGGTTCCATGTAAGACTTTTGCATACATTACGCTGTATTTCGCCCAAGTCCTGTATTCGCATCTTGGTATGTGTGCGCTCTCGCAGCGCAGACGAGTCGGTCTCCAGCTCCCTCTCATACACCATAGCAGCATTTTCATAATATACGCATTTCTCGTCGTGAATCAATATTAACTGGACAGCAGCTGGAGACCCTTCAGTTGAGTATGCAATGCGAAGGCAGAGAATGTCATCAGTGGGATCATGGTCCAAATTCATGTGTATGATACATGTCATTGATCATGCAACGTTCGCGAGCGTACCGTACACTACTGTGATGCGTCTATCGTACATGCTCTTCCGGCGAGACGCGAGTGCGTCAAGATATTTTGGTTGACAGAGGATGGAGACTAGAAAGTGCGGGTAAGCTTCACTCGATCGGGATCGAGACGCTACCTGCGTCCGCGACCTTGGGGACGACGAGGGTGAGCACGCCGTCGGTGAGCTTCGCGGACACGCCCGCGGGGTCGACGGGCGAGGGGAGGACGACGGTGCGCGTGAAGCGCGCGGAGGCGGAGAACGCGCGCTCGGTCGCGAGCGCGGTACCGGTGGTCGCGCTTTGCTCGGTCACTGCGGAGCGAGGGGTTCGCGTCAGTTTCTCCGACTCTCGCGAAACTCGCGAGGGGGCGGCAACTCACCTCCACCGGTCGAGTTCGAGCCCGCGGGCTCCGACGCGGGCGAAGCACCGTGAGGAGCCTGCGCGGATGCGCGCGACGCGACTCGACCCTCGATCGTGGGCGTGCGGCCGCCGTCGGCGACGCGCACCGCGACGTCCTGCCTGCGCACGCCGGGCAGCTCCGCCTCGACGACGTACGCGTCCGCGCGCTCGTGCACGTCGAGCGCGGGGCGGAGCGTGGCGCCCGCGAAGAACGGGTCGTCGAAGAGCCTTTGGTGCGGGTCGTGGGTGAGGCGGTCGAGGGTGCGGAGGGCGCCGAAGGGCGCGGGGCTGGCGCGGTGGATGGGCTCGTCGAGCAGGCGGAAGAAGGGGCGGAGCTCGCGGAAGAACTGGCGGGTGAGGGACATGGCGGGAGGTGGGTCGGTGCTCAGGGGGGAGTGTGCAAGCAGAGGTGAGACCTTGAGAGGGTGGTCGTCGGGAAGATGTGTGTGCTTTAAAGTCAGTGGGGTGGTTGGCGTTCGCCGCGGCGGCGTATTATACGCAGCAGTGCGCCGGTGGGAAGAGTCTGGAAACCGCAGGCGTGTTAGGAATACATTGGAGTAGCGTGATGTCCGTCCTCGCGCGTTCTCGACATGTCGTGTGCGCTCGAGGCGAGTCTCGGGTCTGCTGTCGTCGGCCGACTCGCGATGGACAGTCCTAGAAAGTGGAGAAGTGAGAGGCGCCCAACACGTGGCTTAGCATAAGCGTTCATCCAGCCGCTGAGGAAACCCGGAACTACTCTCCTCTCAGACAGAGAGTGCGTGCCAGGCATTGCGAGGTCCTGAAGGATCCGTGAATAAGTACACAAGTTTCAAATTCGCATATGGTGCGCTTGCGAGCTTTGGGAGACAGAAAGTCGAAGCGCGCTTGAGCACCTTGTTTTCCGGCACCCGCGTTGGGGACTGGGTGCTGAAGCACTGAAGGTTGAATGTACCAATGGGCGCCGAGGTGTCCATGACCTAGCGCGAGAATGACATTTAGCTCCGCGCGAGGTTGGCCTTCGTTAACTCGGCCAGAACAGAGGTCGGTCCCGTAGCTGCGTGGATCGACCGAGTCCTCAGAACGCCCCCATCTGGGCCCCGGTCATACAGGACCCGCTTGCAGGCTCTACCTGCCGACAGATGCACCGAATTCAATGCTAACACCGTGACCGCTCCCGGATAGATTTTGGATGGGAAGCTCCTGTCTTGTGCAGTCTATGGTGTGACCGAAAACATCTCCGGATGGAAGACCCCAGGAAAAAAAAGAAGGGTGAAAACCTCACATGGAAAACTATAGACCGATAACCCTAATGTTGCTGGAAGGCAGGGTGTCACCATCCAGAAGTCTATAGAAATACACATACTGTACACCACCGGACAGAAATGGAAGAAGCCGGCGACTAGTCTTTGCCGGGCCATTCGACCACCCACAGGGCCTGTACCATGTGCTCCTGGTCGTCGTCGTCCTCGAATTTGAGCTTGTACATTGGAGGCTGCTTCCCGGCCGCGCCCTGAAGATGATGGTTAGATGAGGCACATGCTGCCATCGAATGTAGGACCCCTTACTCGTCCTGTGTTCAGGTCGCGAGGATTTGCAATGACCTCTGCTCGGTAGAAGCAGCTCGTGTCTGGGTACAGCGCCATGACCGTCGACCCAACCAAGAACTCTGGATACGAATTCAGGTGCGCTGCACTTTCAGGCGGCGCGTTCGGGTCCGGCAACGGTATGATCGCCCGGAGAGTGGTGTTGTATCGCCTACAGCAGCGATTAGCACGGGCACCGGCCACCAGCAAGGAACCGACTCACTGCCCCGGCGCACCGTCCTCCTGCGGTTCGGGGTCCTGTACCTCGTATCTGTCCGTGGGTCAGCCCGCATATCCCCGCAGCCGGCCCGCAGACGACGCACCGGTTCTTGTCCTGGTTGATGCACTTGGTGACGACGGCGAGGATCCACTCCTCGTCCTTGCCCCCGCAGCGCCGTCGCCCCTGCTCGTGTTCGTCGGCGGGTGGAACGCGACCTTGCGGCCCTCGTGGAGCGGGAGCTGCGGGGCGAGCGCCTCCCGGCGCGCTTTGGGCTCGCGCGAGAACGGGAGCGACGACTGCGGCCCGACGGAGCCCCGGCGCGTCGGCGGGAGGGTGATCGACATCGACCGCGTCGGGGTCGCGCCCGAGGGCACGGCGGGCGTCGCCCCCGCGGGCGGCGCCGCGGGCGAGTGGGCGCGCTGCCGCTTCGCGCGCTTCTCGACTGTGGGGGAGGAGGCGGGAGGAGGCGCGTGTCAGCGACGCGCACACTGCCCCCCGATTCGGACGCGGGCGTCCCGGAGGGGGTGGTGTGTGCCTACCTGGCGGGGTCTTCTCCGAGGCCGTGCGGAGGGCGAGGAGGATGCTGAGGCGCTCGAGGACCTCGTCGATGAGCCTGCGGAGGGGGCTGCTGGTCAGAGGGCATGCGTGGATGGGCGCGGAAGGGAAGCGGACGGACGCGGCGTCGCGCTCGGCGTTGGCCTTGACGTCGTTCAGGCTGGAGACGAGCTTCTTGTAGACGCCCTTGACGCCCTCGATGCCCTCGGTGGGCAGCGCGTCGTCGGAGGGCCACTGGGAGAGCAGCCGGTGGACGCGGCCGAGCGGGTCGTCCTTGGTCTGCTCGTCGAGCAGGCCGGAGAGGCGCGAGAGCGACGCGGAGGCCTGCGCCCAGCACTCGACTTCTGTGGGATGAAAGTAGGTCAGCGAGGATGTGGGTGGCGTCGTGTGAGGGGCATGAGCCGCGCTCAGACGGCCAGGGCACGGACCTTCGGAGGCGGCAGGACGGTTGGAGGCGGCGCGTCTGCTGGCCATGGCGGGTGGCGGGTGGCGGAGGAGAGGAGAGGTGTGGAAGGGCGCTGGGACGCGGAAGAAGTGGCGGAACGTGCGCGAGGCGACGACACGGCGTTGGACTTGTCGCGGACCGGGGCGTTTCCGCGACAAACACAATGTCCGCGAACCCCTCCGATCGAGATCACCCCGTGGGAGCACCCCACGTGAGCTGCAAACCATCTTGGGCGCCTGTCCTCGTCCTCTCCTCGCCTGGGCAGCTTCGTGTGACGAGCAGATTGAGTGGCATGCAACGCTACTTTATGCTAAAAATCGAACAGTGGTCATACAGAAGGTACATTTACAGGAGCTCGGCATATTCGGTACATGATTGAAACACTGGGACCTCAGGGAACTCATGCGGGACCTCATCAAGACACCCGCTTTATTTTTTGTCGCTCGCCGAAGGAGCCAGCTTGCGCAGAGAGACGTCATACACCACTGCGATCGCCAGATGATTAACGTCTGCCGGTGGCTATATCGGGGACACACACCTTCTTCGATCTTCTTGATGTCATACTTGAGACTATCGTAACGACGTCGGAGAGTATCATTCTTGAGGTTAAGCTGGAGCAAGTCAGCGCCACCACTCCCTGGGACAGCTACTGTACTCGCCATGGCAAAGCCCGCGAACACGTCCTTGACGAACAACGAGATTTTGATGGGCTGATCGAAATCGCCCAAGGTCACAGCATTGACAGCCAAACGCGACTGTCGAGAGGAAGCGAGGAAATTAGCTATGCCTCCGACCCACAAGAGCTCAAGGAGCACGCACCAGCTCATTCACAAGTGAGATCACGCCGTGCAGGTAATCTTCCGCAGGTAATGCGCAGCGCCCCTGCCATTCGGGCTTAACTGTACAAAAAGATCGTCATGGCGATCAGCCGCGAATTATGTTGACAATTGGATCGGTCTCACTGCCCAACGTCTCCGCGACAGCCGGGAGTGTCATCAGACCTCCGTGCTGGAGGAACTCCATGAGCGTGGCGGAAAATATGGCTGTCCGTAGAGAATTGTGCCACATCTCTTTCCATCGCCAGAATTGGCTCGGAGGAACAATGTCCGCGAGTGCTGCAGTACTCTCCTTGCAGCTGTCGAGGATAGGACGTGCGGTGTCGAATAACGCGGGTACTGAGATGTCTACTATGAGCAAGCTACGAATTCGCATAAAACAGGCTCTTACGTTGTCCAGCCCGAGTTGCATGAATCCTGTTGAGTATCCCCGACAGCGTCCGGGCCTTCTTGTCGAACTCCGTGACTTGCTCTTTTATTTTCTACGAAGATATCTGACCTCAATCAACCTCGCTGAAGTATCCCCGCTTCGAAGCAGATTACTTACCTCTCTGATCGCGACATCCTCATCCAGCAGGCCATTGATAGCCTCAAGATTCTGCGCGTCCATGGTGGCGGTTAGTATCGTCTGAGGGAGAATGCATCGACCGACGGCCGAAGACGTCAGGGCATCATGTCAGGCGCCGATGCAAGCACAAGCAAATAATGCGTCCGACGTACACAGGGATATCTCCGCTTTCTCCTCCTACATCTCCCCCAATATCCCCCCTCCACATCCCCCGTAAGCACACACACGTTGATCGGGGTTGCCGACCCTGTCTATGGGCTCTCAGACCGTTTCCCTCGATGAGGTCCGGAAGAAACTCGAGAACCTCCGTGACTGCTCGGTCGCCGCCCCTCCCGACTCCACCCTCCACCTACTCTCGACCTTTCTCTTGGGAAATCTCGCGGCTCACAAGGATCCCAAGATTAAGCTCCACCATGGCCACTGGTTTTGTTCTCAAGCGGATGTGCTCGTCAAGGAGGCGGCCACCTTCTGCATCAGGCTGCACGCATACAACAGCTCAACGGTCACTTTATGGCGAGCGCAGCTCAAACAGCTTCTGTCTACGTGCTGTTGTTGTGTCAGGGGGATATACGAGGCAGAGACTACGTCGCGGCATACGTGAGTGTTTGTTTCTGCTTGGTGTCACGTCGGACCATGCTTCTGGTGCGTGGTGTCGTCCATCTCATAGCGCATATATGTGCCTATGTGCCATGAACATATATGCGCTCAGAGATAGTTTCTATGTGGAGCATGACAGTTGTTCTGCCGCTTTAGACCTTGCCCGGGTCGGTTGCGCTCGCATGCGCCACCCTTTGTAGTACCGCAGCATGTCTGATTCACATTTCCACTTATCTAAATATCGCATGACAGTGCTAACACTACATAAACAGATACTTCAACACTTTCAGCCACGAGACACTTTCCGGCTTCTACGCCAACTTTCACGAATTTCTGACGAACACTGTTGTACAAGTTCTGGCGGAGAAGGGGCTTACTCCAACACCAAACTCTGGCAACTCTCTACGATCTCTCTCCGATGCGCCCCCTGCAGTGACCTACCTCATGATCCCCACATGCTACAAGATTCTCGTATAATCGCCCTAATCCATACCTACTGCCCTAGAGAAGTGCTGCAAAACTGGCCCAGCGACGTGCCGCCCGCAGGATTGCTCGCCCTTCTGTTCGCTGAGGCGCCGCAGATACACGATTGGGCACGCAAGCAGTCGCTCCATTGCCAAGTCCAACCTATGCCCGCGGAGAATTTCTTATCAGGCCACACCGACTTGTTGAAGATGGTATCGGAATCTTTGGTGTCGTCACGTCCTCTGAGCGACTGCTTTGGTGGGGAATACAAGTTCACTTCCCTGCAAGAACAGTCATCGGTGTGGGCGAGCTACGTCACCCTCATACGCTTCGCTCCCCCCAAGTTCCTCAGCGAGAACGAGACCGGAGTCGACATCCGGCACGTCATTGTAGGCCACTTGCACAACACCGAACACCGTCAGCTTATTTTACCACTTCGTAGCTCGTTATCGTACACTGACATAACGCTTGTACATATCACCTGTCGATACATTCGCAATAGAGTTCATGGACGTTCTGAAGAGCTTCATCCTCGTGCTGCGGCGAATTGGAACGAAGATGTGGGAGAACAAAAGCTCCGAGTACGCGCACGTCGTCTTCAACTCCATAAAGGACAACAGTCGCTACGCGGACGTGCTATGTGCTGTGCCTCACGACGACGGGCTGCTGCGGTGGATTGAGCTGTACACGGCCTCGGTCGTGTCGCTGCCGGTCTTCCCCGACATTGCGGCCTCGATCCTGCAGTTTCTGTGTGAGGAGTTGCAGCACGAGCGGTTCAAGATGGCCCGTCCTACTGCGATGAGCATCGCGACCAGGGTAAGCTCGTCGCCTCGATCTGGCTCAATCAAACTTACATTATACACAGGTCCTGTCAGCAGTGTTCGGGTCAGAGAAGAAGGATCAAGCACTCCAGAAAGAACTCCCCTTTCATCTGCTCGGGGTACACTCTGCCGTCTTCGTCAACGTGGCTTTCGGGAGGAACTACGACGCCGAGCTATGGGCCGAAGCGAGACGACACGCAAAGCGACTTTTGAAGCACGCGATGCTCACTGACGCGAAGAGAGTTGCAGCCCTGGTGACGTCGCTCAGCAGCCCCACGAAAGTGGACAGCGAACATCTGCAGACCAAATCCGTCATCCACGAACTGGTCTGGAAGAAGGTTTACGAAGGCATCGTCGGGAACGACTCGGACGCGATCGCGCTTCTGCTCTCGGTGCTCTCGAAAGTCGCCCACATGGATGAGCTCAAGCCGGCGGCGTTCGAGGACTTGCTCCGAAAGGCGCAACTGCCGACCAACCCGCCCGCCCTCGCGGCCGTGAACAGCGCGCTCGCCGTCTTCCGCAACGGATTCCGCGACGTGCTCACCCGGTACACGGACCTCAGCATCGCCACCGCCGCCCTGGACCTTCTCCGCCAGGAAAACGCTATCCATCACATCGTCACGCTCATGTTCTCCCCCGTCGAGGCTCTGCAAGAGGCCGCGCAGGGGCTCGTCGGGCTCGCGTACGACATCGACGGCCGCCTCGACTGCTTCCGCGCCCTGCTCGAGCACCACCCCGACGCGACCTTCCAAGCGATCACCGACGTCCTGCAAGTCTACACCGCGTACGCACCCGCGGTCCCCGAGGCGTGCTCGCTCTCGCAGGCGCTCGCGCGCTGCCTCACCGACGTGCTCGAGTGCCTCTGCTCCAGCCCGGACGGGCTCCTGCTCCAGCCGCGGTACCTCGCGGCGGCCGGCGCGGCGCTGGCGGAGCGCGTCCCGCGCTGGTGGCAGCTCATGACGGAGGCGCTGTGCGTCGTGTTCGCGCGCACGCCCGCGTGGGCGCGCTTCTTCGAGAACGAGGAGATGGTGCTCTGGATGCGGGACGCGCTCATCTTCGGCCGGGACCTCCTCGCCCACCGGCGCGTGCTGGAGGCCGGGGCCGTTGCCGGCGCGCAGACCCACGGCAAGGACGGCAAGGACGGCAAGGACAAGGACAAGGACAAGGACAAGGACGGCAAGGCGGCGAGGCGCGCGGCGCGGGCAGTGGGGCGGCAGATGGTAGACGACCTGCAGCAGGTGCTGTTCGAGCTCACGAAGTGGCTCCGGCTCACGGACGAGGAGCTCCTCCACCAATCGTTCGCGCTGCTCGAGACGCTGCTCGACGGCTTCCGCGCGGCGGAGACGCGGCCGCGTGCGGAGACGCTGGCGAGGATCGCGAAGCACATCGAGGACGCCCGGACGCCCGACCCGAACCGGTTGCGCTCGCGGTTGGACGGGGCGCGAGTGGGACGCCTCGAGGAGGCGGTGGCGCGGTTTGAAGACGAGGACGACGAGGTGGAGATCGTGGAGCCGCCGCCGAAGCCGAAGGAGCACGAGAAGCGGGAGATTCAGATCCAGAAGCGGGAGCCGAGGCATATCCTGAAGACGTCGGACAAAGACAAGTTCAAGCCTGTGGATAAGAAGAAGCCGACGATCACAAACTACTTCGGGAAGAAGAGGGCGGACGAGGACGTACGGTCCACGAGCAGCAGTTCGACGTTGGTCTCGACTTCAAGTTCGCGGACGGCCGGCCCCTCTCGTCCTAGTTCGAGGCCTCTCATTAAGGACGAAGGAGCGAAGGCGCGGGCGGCGCCCCCGCCCGCCAAGCCTGTCGAGTCCTCAAGCAGCGAAGATGAGGCTAGCAGCGACGACGAGAAGGGCGGGCTCGCATCGCTGTCCAAGCTGCAGCGTGATCTCCCACCGAAGAAGCCTCAGGAGCGGAGGCAGATCAAGATGATCGACATCCCGATGGGCCACCACCCGAAGATGGCACGGCTTCAGCAGGCGCGGAAGCACGAGGACGCGCGACGCGCACATCTACGCCTCAAGCCCGACCTCTCCTCCCTCTACCGCACTCTGCTCGTCTGGAACTACGACCATAATGGGCCGACGCCCCCGGGCGACAGCGGTCGCCGTCTGTCGTCTGTCCCGGGGCGGTTCAGGGACTACGCGCACTTCCGGAGCGTGTTCGAGCCGATGCTCTTCCTCGAGCTCTGGAACCAGCTGATGGAGTCCAAGGAACAGCCGCTGGAGTCGTACGAATGCCGAATCATGAACCGGCAGTACACGGACGAGTACATCGACCTCGACGTCACGATCGAGGGCAACCCGCCGCGGGAGTGGGCGTTGGCCGAGACGGATATAGTGCTGTTCACGAACCCGGGGACGAAGGCGCGGATGCTCGGCAAAGCCCAGAGCTATCGCAACTCACACTTGGGCGTGAGTGCGACGATCCGGTACATGCCCGCCGGCGGAGACCCGGGCTTGCACGTCGGCACTTGCTGGGGCGTCGCGAAGGTCCTAAGGTGAGGCGGAATTCACGTTCTGTTCCAGTCTCTTGATCTAACTTTTTTTCCAGTCTGACAACACTAGTGCGCGAGTATGCCGCCCTCATGTCGCTCCAGTACTACGATCTGCTTGACATCGTCCTACACGGGCAGCTGCCTCGCGTCCCAAAAGTCGACAAAGACGAAGTCCAGAGGGTCATGAAGTCCTACAAAGTGAACGAACCGCAGGCCAACGCGATCCTCAAGTCTCTCGACACAGAGGGCTTTGCGCTGATCCAAGGGTGAGTCCTGTCGGGTGGGTTTTTGAACGTATTGCTGAAGATCGTGTAGACCCCCGGGTACTGGAAAGACGTCGACGATCTGCGGTCTCGTCCAGCTTTACCTCGCACGCCGTAGCAGAATCATCTCCCGGCCGGGCGACAGAGAGCTGCCGAAGAAGATCCTCCTCTGCGCGCCAAGTAACGCTGCCATCGACGAGGTTGCTAATCGTCTGAAAGACGGTGTGTCTGGAGCAGGGCACCGTGCAGAACGTCCCAAAGTTGTCCGGATTGGGGCCGCAAAGGCGATGAGCAGCTCTGTGCGCGAGGTGTCGCTCGAGTACCTCATGGACGAGAAGCTCAACTCGCACCCGGAGCTGCAGAACTCGAAGGAGGCGGGCAGCGAGCTTGCGCGCATCCGCGCCGGGCTCGACTCTGTCCGGCGGCAACGTCAAGAGAAATACGACGAGATGGAGGCGCTGCACGACAATGGCGCGAAAACGCAGACGCTCAGGGAGGATATCCAGAAGCTGAACCGGCAGAAGGCGATGCTATCCCACCAATTTGACAAGGCGAAGGACAAGCAGAAGTCAGACCACCGCACGCTCGACGCCACCCGACGGCGGTTCCGGAACGAGGTTCTACAGGAGGCGGATGTAATCTGCAGCACCCTGTCGGCGTCGGCTTACGAGTATCTGGAGCCATTCGACTTCGAACTGGTGATCATTGATGAAGCCGCGCAAGCCATTGAGCTCAGTTCCTTGATCCCGATGAAATACCGCTGCAAAACGTGCATCATGGTCGGAGGTACGTCCCTTAAACCTAACTCCATCTTTGCAAACCCGGAGGATTTACGTGGGATCGGTGCCTAGATCCACAACAGCTTCCACCAACAGTGAAGTCGCAGGAGGTGAGTTGCACCCACGGTCTCTGGATACGGGATATTCATCCTGTCCGCAGGCCTGTAGGCTAGGATACGATCAATCGTTGTTCGTGCGACTGCAAAAAAGTCAACCAGGCGCAGTGCATCTCCTCAGGTGCGTCCATGTATCGTCTTTAACTAGGCACATCACTGATGCCCTCGTCCGTCGACAGCATCCAGTACCGTATGCATCCGGATATCAGTCAGCTCCCGAGCAACCTCTTCTATGACGGCAGACTGCAAGACGGGCCGGATATGGCGGAAAAGACGATACGACCATGGCACATGCATGAGAAGTTTGGCACCTACCGCTTCTTTAACGTCGAGTCAGGGTTCGAGACCACCGCGCCCGGCGCGGGCCACTCGATCGTCAACCGGACCGAGGTCCAGGTCGCGGTCGCTCTCTTCAACCGCCTCACCAAGGACTTCCCGACCGCATCGCTCGACTTCAAGATCGGCGTGATCTCCATGTACCGCGGCCAGATCGTCGAGCTCCGCCGTGCATTCCAGCAGCGCTTCGGAGAGGAGGCATTGAGCACCGTCGACTTCAACACGGTCGATGGCTTCCAGGGGCAGGAGAAGGACATCATCATCCTCTCGTGCGTCCGTGCCGGCCCGGGGCTGCAGACTGTGGGTTTCCTGCGAGGTTCGTCGGGGGGATGGCATCGGGCTCGAGCAACGCTGACTGATCCTCTGCGGCAGATGTGAGGCGGATGAACGTCGCGCTGACGCGTTCAAAGGCGTCATTGTTCATTCTGGGACACGCGCCCACGCTAGAACGCAGCGACGAGACATGGCGGCGGATCGTGGAGAACGCGAGAGCAAGACAGTGCCTCGTCCAGGTACGTGACCACGAGCTTCCCGACACGCGTCAATGAGTACTTACGGCCCGGCGTCCTTGTCCAGGCGGACGTCGGATTCTTCACTGCGCCCGTGTCCAAAACGGCGGCAGCGATGCCAGTCCGACCGAAGGCTTTGAAGCCGCCTTCCAAGCCTGCGCCCCCGATACCAGAGCTTATGACGCCGCAGGAGTACAAAGCGAAGACAAAGGCGCTCTCGGCTTCGGCGTCGAACGTGGACGTATCGATGCCCGATGTCCAGCCAGAAGTCACTGCGACGTCGACCGCAGCGTCGACCTCGGAGGAGGCCCACACAGGCCAGAAGCGCCGGGCCGACGGGCCGCCAACAGAGGAAGCCGGCGCTTCTGGGCCTCTTCCCCCTCGAGGCGGGCCTGCAAAGCCTCGTCCAAAACCTCCGCCAGTAAAAAGAGCCAAACAGGCGCCGTCGTTGTTCATCCCGAAGAAGGTGCGCTGCGTCATTGGGCTTGACCGCCTGCCGTATAACTTACCTCGTTTATCTTGTTCGTGTAGAGATGAATGTCCCCCTATTGCATACGCTCCCGAGATTGGTTCTTCGCTTTTCACGCCTATTTTTCGCACCTCCTATCGGACAACACTTCCGGATCACTCACGCTGCAATAAGGTTTGTTTACACGCGCACATACTGTAACTTATCATCCCGTACTATTGTATAGACCCCAGTCCTCAGCTGTTAATTCACTGCATCTTACATCCGTCTCATCACTCGCGTGTATTCGGGTCCGAGGTCTCAGTTATCAACAAGTCTTCTGTTTACCAACTGATTATCTGAGTCCCCAATCAAAGTGTCCTGGCCTCCCCGACCACCCATCCCAGATCCAATTCGAACACAACTATACACCCCGGGATCCCTGCGCGCCTTCGGATCTCGGTACACAGGGTTCGCTCCAATCCGTCGTCATCCACCACGTTTCGGTGCCGTCTGTCCGAGCCCGACAGTGAGAGGGTTCGAGCGCCGACGGCGAAGACTTGACAACTTGCTCTGCCAGGCCGGCCCCGGCCACTGGTCACGTACGGCTTCTGGTTCTAAGTCTATTTCCTCATTATGGACGTGCCTGCGTCTTGGGCAGCCCGCCGGCGAACTTGACTCGCCAAACGACCCACTCACTTCCGACACACGAACCTCGGACAGACAACGGCCACAGCGCGCGCGTGCGTGCTGCGTCGAAGGCGTCGCCATCTCGCTCATCCAGCGACGCTCGACGGTCGGCGCAGCCTGAGCGGGCTCTGCGCACATCGCGGTGTAAGTACGTCTTCTCGGCGGAGGGCCTTCCGTCGCTCCGAACGAACGACCCTGCGAGCCGTGCGCTCCGCGGCGTGCTCCATCTGCCTAACTAATGTAATTGCTGGTTCACGCTCGCGCGTTCCACCGTCGGCGCAATCACCAGCGGCCCAGCTCGGCGCCGCCCAACCGTCCGAGCGCGCACCCCTGCACCGTCCTCTCAACATCCGGGCTTGGCCTGCGACCGTGCGGCGGGTGGTCAGCGCGGTGCGCGCGTCCCGACATGCGCGCGCGCGCGCGCGATGCGCCGACAGATCCAGTGTGTCTACTTAATTATCACAGGCGAGAGCCCACACATCCGCGCCAAGTTGGGGCTGATATTGACTGGTGCGCTCTGTGTTGGTTCAACAGCCTACGTAGCGCCGAACGTGGCCACCCCCGCGTCCGCCGGCTTCTTGAAATTTCCGCGGCGCTGCGCCCGAGGGGGGTTGCGTTGCCGCACGTGTTGCATATACGCATTACGCATGTTGCGGAATTGGTATTCGGGGGAGAGCGCCCCCGGACCCGTTCGGGTTTCGTGGAGCTTCGAATCAGGTGCGCGTATCTCGTACCTCGGATACCATGGAACGATATCCGGGATGATATCCTGAGTGGCAAGTGCCTTGGTGCGTAAGTAGCATCGTGCATTGGCAATGGGATCCAGCGAGGCCGAACCTCCGCCGATCTGCAAGGATATCGTCGTCAGCGTCCCAACGTCAGCCGGTCGGTGGTCGTCTGGGGGAAAGCAAATAATCGTCGACGTCGACCGCCTCGGCTGCACTTGGCAAGGCGCAAATTCGAAAGATGGCAGCACGCACAACCACACGGTAATGATGGGAGAGAAACGAGCAGGATGCACTTCGATTCCGAACGTGACCGGTGGGAGGCGAAGGAGCGTAGCTAGCAGGGAGCCGGTATGTACATACGCATGCCCGCGCAGGCCAGGGGGGGCGCGCACGCGCGCATCGAGTCCCGCCGTCCGCCCGACTCCGTCCTCGATACCGGCCCCGCCCTGCGGAGACCACGATATCCGAAAACCGAGAGCCCCTGTGGGGCGATGTAGCAAGAAGCGCGAGCGAGCGGCTGCGTTCGGCAGCAGCTCGCGCGGGCGCGAAAGGTATCGATGAGTAAGTCGACGAGCCGGGAGCCAGACATGATGCATGGGTATCCGCCGTAACTATGTGTTGGGTGTGCGTGCGTGCGTGTGGGAGGAGGGGGAGCGAGATGGTAAAATCTTCATCGTCATCGACTGCCCGTCTGGGTCACGCGTGCCGCGCCGCTCAGGCGGAGGTCGCGGACGCGGTGAACGCGTTGTAGTTGAACGCGGCCGGGTTCGGGTTGAAGGTGAAGTCCGGCTTGAGGTCGACGACGGTGGCGCCCGCGCGGGTGAGCGTGCCGTGCATGATGCCCCCGGCGGCGATCGGCAGCGAGAGCTTGTTGACGCCGGCGGTGACGGGGAACGTCTGGGTGTTCGCGCCGCCGTCGGTGAGGGTGAGCTGGCCGTCGGCGGTCGCGAGCACGACCGCCCACATCTTGTCCTGGAAGAGCTGGAAGTCGGTGGGGGCGCCGACGGGGTCGGCGGGCTTCGCGTCGCGCGGGTGCGGGCGCGCGTACATCACGAGCAGGTCCTTCTCGATCGCGGGCGCGGTGCCGGTCTTGAACTGGGTCGCGAAGTAGTTCGTGAGCGCGAGGAAGCCGGAGTGGTCCATGCCGTCCACCCAGGCGTCAGAGCCGACCGGGAGCTGGCCATGCTGGGGACCGATGTAGTGCGACTCGCCGAAGTCGTTCCAGGTGACGATCTCGACGAGGGAGACCTTGTCGCGGTTGGCGATCACGTTCTCCCAGCGGGTGACCCAGAGGTGCTCGTCACCGTCGAAGATGAAGTTCTTGTTGAACGTATCCGCGCCGAAGTGGGTGAAGAACCAGGGCGCGACGGCGGCCATGTAGGTCTGGGCCGAGTTCGCGACGCTGGCGAGGTTGGTGATGTGCTGGTTGTCGGTGTCGAAGGAGCCGATGAACTTCTGGAGCGCGACGTCACCTCCCGTACCGACGACGTTGTTGAGGTCGACGCCGGGGAGCAGCGCGGGTGCCTGGGCGACGTGAAGATCGATGGGCCAACCCGAGTTGAACTGCAAGATCCGCAAAGTCAGCGCTGCAGATACAGAACTGGGATCTGTCAGGACTGACGTTGAAGTCGCCATCCATCACGCCACTAAAGGTGTTGAAGGTAGCCGGGTCGATGAAGAAGGACGGGACGAAGTGGACCTTGCCAGTTGTCTCGGGGTGCTGAGTGTACTGAGTACGCCAGCCGGTGGGAACGTCGCTTTGACCGAAGGAACACGCTTCTCCAGCGAAAGTAGAAACAAACGCCTTGCCGTCGACGGTGAGCTGGTTCGGGCGGGATGCGAACTGAAGAGTGAGGGAGCGCAGAGTCGCGGCACCATCCGCCGACTGGCAGGGGAAGGAGCTCATGTCAAATGAGAAGAAAAGCTTGAAGCCAGAGTTGAGTTGTTCGGCGGCTTGGAAGCTGTGTCAAATGGGCGATCAGTCCATGAAAAGCGGCGGCAGGAAGACGGCGTACGCGTTCTCAGTCTGGGTGGTCGTGAAGGGATCGTTTCCAACGTTGAGAGCAAAGCCGTCGATACCATTTGCCTGTGCGGCCTTGATGTCGGAAAGCCAGTCATCGACAGTGAAGGCGGCAGTGAGGCCGACGATGTGGTGAGCGACGACGACCTTGGGGACACCAGCGGCCTGGCGGGTCTTGAGCGGGGCGGCGGAGACAAAGGAGGTGGCGAGGAGGACGGCAGCAAGGAGGGAGGAGCAGAACATGGCTAAGGAGTGGGCTTGGTCGTGAGGACGTGAGTAGGCAAGGGAGTGGGACGGCTAGCGTCGAAGAGAAGAGAATAAGGATAGAGGAAGGCGACCGAGACGAGGAAGCAGTTGGCAGCACAGCGGACAACGAGCTGGCCATCTCTGAACGGGCGGGGAGGCTTTATACGCGGGCTGGGCGCGAGTGCTGTGCGAGACAATAAGGCTGCACCTCCCACTTCGCACTCGGATCCGGACAATGACCAGCCGCCGGCGCTCCTTTCGCCCGCCAGCCGCATCTCCGGCGCCAGATCGGGCGCTGTTTGGCCACCGCGCGACCAAACACGGCCCAACAGACGCCGGTCCATCATCACCCGATGAATTTGATTCCGAGCGCGCCAGCCCAGCACATCAGAGCACATCCCGTCCGCCGGGCGGTCTCCCAGGCGGCGGTGGGGCGGAGGACGAACACATCGACGCACACTCCGTCCTGACTCTGGCGAAGCTGGTCTCACCGACGCAGAGGCCTGAGCTGCTCGTTCCTCGTACGCGTGACAGGGGGTGCGGCACCAGCGTCGTTGGTCACTGCACCAGTCGTGATCGGAGCCCAGTCCGAAGTTGTCGAATTCATCGGCATCGCCTCATGCATTTGCTGCCAATTTGCTGCGTCCAACGGAGGCCCTATCACCCCTACCGTAAGTTTCCTGATGGGAAGCGCGAGCTTTCCAAAGAGGGTGGCCCCCGCGGTGACGGCGCCATTGCACGGAGAGTGACTGCTCGGATGTAGCGAGAGTGGAAGGGAGCCCGAGGGAGGAGGCCTGAAGCTGAAGAAAGAGGTCCGAGGGAAGAGACCGTCGAAGGAGGTCGAAGGAGGTCGAAGGCAGCGCAACAGAGGCTCAAAGTGCCACGTGCGTGACGACGCTTGCGCGGCCCGGCAGCAAGGCCCGGAGGTGCCGGCTTGCGTGTCCTCGTTCCTAGGCTTCTTCCTCAACCACCAGCATTGCCAACGCTATGGAAGGCTCAACCCGACCGCGGCGGCGAAGCATGACTGATGCCTTCTTCTTCGTCCGAAACCCGGACGCTGCCAACGTCGCTCGCGGTGATCTCGTCAGCATGCTCGAAGAAATGCGGTATGTCCCCACCTTGCAGCACGCTCGGCCGGACGTCTGTCCGTGCTGCGTTGCGATTTCCTCGGAACGAGGACCGATACTGTCTCATCATGCTTTCTCATCGAGCTTGCTGAGTTATGGCCTTTGCTAATCGTTGTCTCTACCGCGCCCCAATTCGCGGTTCCCAGGCAGCGCGAGGCCCATCTCGACGGCTTCGCGAGCTCACTTCCCAAGCTGAGCGAGAGCGACCTTGCCGCCCTCGGACATTCCGGTGAGCGTTCTTCCGTTGTAAGCGACGTCCGTCGCACCTGTTTCGATGCTCTAGAGCCGACCCGGGACCTTCAGGTCCTCCGCCTGGGGTCGAATTTCGTTGATGTGTTTCCCGCACCAAGCGCCGACGCCCTCGCCTCACGAACCACACCGCTAATCTACCCGCCCCGCAGACTCGACGTGCCCGATCTGCCTCACGTCACTCCTTGCTATCCTTTCCGAGGAGGAAATGGCCTCTGTAATGGACTCGCCCGCGCACCCCGTCGAAGAGCTCGGTGTGACCCGCCTCGCCCAGACCTGTGGTCACATCTTCTGCCGTAAAGAGTTGAGTAGTGCCCACAGCCTCCTTTGCCAATCGTGCCCGTTGTGCGGCCCATCTGACGCCTTGCTGTTTTGATCTGTCCATATGACCTGCGACCGGCTGGGTCTTGGCACCTGCGCCCCTCGTTGTGCATACAGCATCCGTGGATGGCTGTTCCAAGGCGTACGTCTTCTCCCCCCGCTACCGAAAACACGCACCTGGACCTCACTGACTGCGCCTGCGCCCCACCTCCTTTGGTGCCTCTCTCTCCAATAGAACACGACGTGCCCGACGTGCCGCACGCCGTTCATCGAGCCCCCCGCTGCGTCCACCGCCTCCAGCGACGGTGGCGAGGGCGGCGCCACCGGCTCAGGACCGGGGCTGGGGGCGATGCCCCCGGAGGCGTCGCTCGCGGCGTTCATGGACCTCCAGTACGATATTGCACACGCTTTCGGGGTGATGCACCCGGACGGCCGCGCAGGGGGTCGCGAAGCAGGGGGAGAGAGCACGCGAGCCGATTACGATGACGACAGGAGCGAGTTCTCATCGATGTATTCGTGAGATACGGACCTGGGGTGATTGTACGGTGATTTGGGGAGATCCCTCGCGTGTGAAGTATCTTTGAGGGATGATGGACATGTTGCATACCACTGCGATGATGCTCTATGCTTTCTCCGCTTTTACGTTTCTAGTGATGGGCGGTCAGACCCGCTGTCGGGTGTTTGTGTGTATGGGTAGACTCGTCTATATGTAATGTCTCCAATCGGGCTCGACGTATATTTGTTCAACTTGTCCAACGATTATGATTGAACGAACCGTAGCAGTCTCAACAGCGGAGAGAGTGAACGACTCTGTCCTGAATTTCAAGCATAGTGTTCCCCCTGAAATCCTGACGACTTGATACCGACCCACGTAGCAGATCAACATCCCACCAGTTTTCCGCACCGTTGACAGCCCCCATCGCCCAACGCCCGCCCAAAGCCGCGCGATCACGACCTAAATGCACAAGCACATGCTCGGCACGCACGCCCAAGAACACGCGATCAATCAAAAAACCCCACCGGCGGAGGACCTGGGCGGAGTCGGAGATTTGCGAGCCGGGCTGCGTAGCACTAGCTCTCTTCCACGACGCGGCGGGCGACTCGGCGAGGACGCGTTGACGGCGTGATCAGACTGGTCTGACCGTCGCAGGCGGCGCGCGGCCTTCGGAACCGCTGGGACGAGGCTGAACGTTACAGGAGGCCCGGGAAAACGCTCCGTCGCGATATTGTGGGGGTGTATGTACTTGCGCATTCAATGCGCACCGCCTCGGGGGTCGTACCTCGAGGCAGTTATCTGCAGAGTTCGATGGAATCTTGCGGAATGCTACCGCACAGGGCTTGGAAAGTTCCAATGGCCGCGTGCACAGGCAGATCATCGTTCTGCCTCTCCAGGATCCCCGAGCGCTGATTGTAGAAACGGTTCTGAGCATGATGCGCGTACTCACCACATTTGTGCTATGGGCTTGGCTGATGGGCATGGAGTTTCTGATAATTCACTGGGTGGTGATGAGCTCAAACGAGAGGGCATATTCTCCTTCAAGCTGAGTTGTGAGACTGCCGTTGGTCGCATGTCGCCCAAAGTTGGCCCAAAGACAGCATGCAACGGGCGTTAATGGACGTGCGATAGGAGGGCCGACTGTTTCGGGCCTGGAGTTGATCCTCTTCCTTTTCCTCTTCTCGCTATGCTCTCGCACTCACCATGCCTTTTCTCTCCACCAACCGTGCCCTGCTAAATCCGCGCTTCGAGGGTTACAAATTTCAGCCTCTCGAGTACGACGAAGTCACATCGCACTACCCCCTTCAACACCGTCCTTCGCAAGCGAACGTCTCTGGTCGTGCCCCACTTTCTTTCCAGGAGGTTCAGAGTCGCGTAAGACACAACCATATCGCCGTGTGCAGCAATGGAACGCGTGCAGCGTATTTCGACGCGGACTTGCGGGTTATCGGAATAGAACTGGACGAGGTGAGTTTCGACTGCTACCATCACCCTCCCTTCGCCGAGGCACTGGCATGAGCCTTTGTACTTTTGCCGTTTTCAACACTTCCCCATGCGTCTGGGTGATTGACTGACATGCATGTTGTGAAAGTAGGGCACTCTGCAGCCTTCCTTCCAGGTCCTTTGCGAGCTCCCGAAACCCATCCAGACGGACGGTGCGGAATTGTTGCAGCGAGAGTACCCATCTCTTGCGTTTCTCAACAGCACGACTCTTTTCGTCGCCGATGGCTACGGCTCGCTATATGCGCTCTCGTTGCCCGACGGTGCTCCGCCAACCCTTTCCGCGCCCATCGATCTAAATCTGGACGAACATGGGCAAGCCGAAATCCCCTTCCGACTACACCAAGTCGCCAGCAGAGACGGTACCGTGGCCGTTGCCCTTCTTTCAGCCAAGCACCACTTGAAACATGCTCCTGCTTTGTCCAAGAGCTCGCATCCTCCTCCCGTAGAATTCGACATCTGGGCCGTTGAGGTCGCTCTTCCCTCGTTGTCCACAAATGAGGCCTCTCCTGCGACCGTTCTCTGGCACCGACGCGGGGCAGACGTTCCACTCTACACCGCGTACGACCCCTCCCGCGCCTCCTTCGTCCTCCTCGGCAGCTCCGCGTACCGACCCGTCGCTGCGGCCGCCGCTCCCGCCTACGACCCCTCTCCCGACGAGCTCGCACCCATCCCGCGCGCGGGAGAAAACCTTGACGGCGCGCCGCCCGACGCCCCCAAGCCCCCGCCCTACTCCTGGACGCAGACGTCGGACACCGTCACGGTCGCGATCCCGCTCCCCGCGGACACCCCCACCGCGCGGATCCGGGTCGCGTTCGCGCCCCGCACGCTCACCGTCCTCGTCGACAGCGCGCCCGCGTCCGCGCCGGGCGACGACCCGGACTCGGCCGCCGCGGCGCTCGCGCACCCGCGCTTCACGCTCCGCCCGCTCTGGGACGCGGTCCACCCGGGGACGAGCGTGTGGACGTTCGACCGCGCGGCGGAGGCGCGCTACGGCGTGCTCGCGCTCCACCTCGACAAGGCGCACGAGGGCACGCGCTGGCCGCAGGTGTTCGCGGCCGGCGCGGGCGGAGACGAGGTCCCGGAGACGCTGGACCCGACGGAGCTGTACGCGATCCGCGAGGCCCTGGAGAAGTACACCGCGGCGCTCGAGGAGGGCAGGACCGGCGCGGGGGGCGCGGGGATCGGCGGCGCGGTCCCGAGCCTGGCGGAGGGCGAGCGGGACGACGAGATCGACCTCTCGGTGGGCAAGACCACGTGCGTGACGCTCGCCCCCGCCGCTGCGCCGGGCGCGGGCGGCGACGGGCACCTGGACGACGCGCCCGTCGAGGTGCTCTCCACGCCGTTCCCGGGCACAGACGCGGGCGGCGACGGGGTCGCGCTCGTCACCAAGAACGGGCTCGACGGCCCCGTCTTCGCCCTCCTGCCCGCCCCCGACGGCGACCCGGCGGCACCGCCGGCGTGGCAGCACGTCGCGACGTACTCGGCGCTCGCGTTCGTGCTCGCGTCCAAGCGCGACACGCGCTTCGTGCACCACACCCCGTCGGCGGCCACGGGCGCAGGCGCGGTCGTCGCGTTCGAGAGCGGGGGCGGGGGCGGGTCCGACGCGGGCGGCAACGCGTACGTGTATCGGGGGGCAGGCCCGCGCGAGAACTGGGCGAAGCAGACGGTCGTGCGCGTCGGGGGCGGGGCGGCGGGAGCGCTGCTTGGAGTCGGCGTGGTCAGGGTCGCAGAGAAGACGGTGGTGCTTTGCTTGTGCGAGGGTGAGCTCGCTGTCTTGCATGGCGTGGTGTAGCATGTATGAATTCGGTTGTGGTGCCGGTGCGCGTGTCTCGCTGATGTCACACATGTTCAAGTAGCCTGAACCTCGACAGCAATCGATCTATGTATCTGTATGCGACCTTCTCCGAGAATACTGAAAACAAAGGAGGAAATCACGGATTCTGGTGGTCCCGGTCAACACCGATGCTTAGGCAAGATAGTCTACTAGTCTACGCCGCCTCCGTGAATCGCGCAGCGTTGGATTAATTGTTTTTGTGCATGAGAGCATGGTGGCGCAGTTTGTTGAGGCACACCACGCGGTCACTCTCGAATGGTGGGAGGAACGAGTAGGGACTGCGCCGTCTGGAGTGGGTAGAAAATATATTAGACGTCGGGTACAGAACCACCGCCAGCACTCAAGATTTTACCGACCGTAACCGTAGCTCTGCACCGGGAACGGCGGTGAGCGTCTCGTCGGGGGGGGGAGGTCGACCAACGAGGGGTATGATGGTAATGACCTGTCCCGTACTGCATGAGAGCCCATCAACTGCACGAACCGACACACGAGAGTGAGAGCCCGCTCACATTTGCCACGGGCAAACATAGATCCTTCACACATTGCAGTGTACTCTGCGATACGCCCAATTAGTGTCGTCAGGTTCTAAGAAGTTTATATCTAGAGATACACACCATCTGGTCTGGAGAACGGCCAATGAGAGCTTACGTGTCGAAGAGCTGCTATCACACTGCGCTCCTTCACCGACATCCCTAGGCGAAGCGACCTGAAAACCAACTGCATGGATCCTTTGATCAGACAATGGCAATCATCTGTAGGAGTGAGTTTTGAAAGCTCACACAACGTATCGTTCTCCAAGACGTAAAATTGCCGCTTCATGCTGGGGTGGACGTAAGCAAGAACCCGAGCGATGTGGTCATATATCCATGTCTGCTGCCCAAGGTAGCCTTGATTCAGACATAGGTTCCGTGTCGCAGAGCACAGGCTGTTGCTTCCTCGTCACGGCTATATGGCACAAGGGCCTCGAGCTGAGAGATCGCAAGTTAACGGGATACATCTTCGGATATTGAAAAATGACACACCTCCAAGTCGGTGACTCGAAAGTTCAGAGTACGGAGTAGGACGCTAGGAACGTCCCCCAGTATTTATCTTCATGTATTGCTTCACTGGGACGAAACTTTCCTCAGGGCTTCAGGCCGAAGCTGCCGATCTCGGAAGGTGAACCTGGTTTATTGCATTGCGTCGGTTTCTATCAGCAACGGGTCGCGGCATGGTCGTGCTCACCTGGTGTTTGGGATCATAGCCCGCTTGCGCGTCCGCTTTTTTCTGCAACCAGACGAGGCGTCCTATCTGTATACGAATGTCCGAATGAGCATCGGGCATCACATTTAACGAGGCACGAACCGACCCCGTGCATGATCAATCGGGCCCGTATGCTCATCGAGAGTGCTAGCCACCGAAGCGCGGCATAAGGACCGCTGCCATTTCGAGCGGCTGAGCGCAACGTCTATGTCGCGCTGCATTTCAGAGAACGGTCTACGCAAAGAGCCAAGTGTCAAAAAGGGTGTGGTCGGGAGTGGACCTGGCCAAGTACTCACTTGATCGACTCGTCAGACGACGTCTGGAGCTCGTCATCGAGCTGACGCGCGTGTTGACCTTCGAGGACTGTTTGGCTTTTGACCAGAAGGATAGCGCTCTGAGCGAAATTCGTGAGACCTTCTGTGTTTTCTGTATCTCAAAAGAAAGTACTCAGCAAGGAGAATGGATATCATCAGTAGGAACGCACCTCGATGGCGTACAGGAGCGCCAAGTGGAGGGGCCCGAGGAATGGAACGAGGTCGAATGTCTCTCTGAGCAGCTCGAGCCCGGTGGTAGAGTCCCCGACAATGTCGATGGACGACCTGGCATTCCGTTTGATTAGCTTGAAAGGGAGACTTTGTGTGAATGGTGGAAACAGCGACAAGGGAGAAGCCGGAAGATGCGGAATACTAGGCACTGACGACCGCATGCCAGTGTTTGTATCGCCTCGGATACAACATGAGGCCGCAAATATAGTGAGCGTAACTCGGTCTGGAGTGCGGAATGCGGTTCGTCCCCCATGGCGAGCGGTCCGTTGATGTGATCGGAGTAAGCTTGTGGAAGCGCCGAGAAAACTCAGGCTCACTGCCATTCGCTCCATTGGCGAGGATGAGCCCAGTCACCAACTTGAAGGCTATAGGCATCTCGCAACGACGCTGCCGGGGCGATGCAATGCGGCCAACAGCATACCAAGGGGAGGGAGGAGGGAAACAGTTTATGAGGCACAGATTATGAGACACGAGACGGAGCAGGACACATGTACAGACATACAGACGATGCATGCGAGGACCACCGGGACCGTTGACTAGGACAGACACTATGGACGCTATGGACACATGCGTTTGCGACACTTGGGCGTGAGAGAGAGAGACGAAGGCAGTGAGGGCGGGACGCAGTGAAGGACAGAGGTGAGGAAGGAAGGAGGACCCGCCGTATATTTACGGGAAGCTGAAGCTTGTGAGAGTCCGTGGAAGCGATCACCGACGCAAAAGCCCGAACGAGGAACACCAATAGTGGAGGTGAAAGTGAAAGGAAGGAAGTGCAGAAGCGGAGAGGCGGCGACGAGTGCGGATATCGGGGGAGGCAGTGGGGAGGGTGAGACGTGAGTGGGAGGTGTGTCGTGTCGCGAGAGAGGATGAATCATCGGGGTGCGAGGAGCGAGGACAGCGAGATTAATACAGTGCTATACTAACCAAGACCAAGCGTCGCGTCGCGACTCTAGACCTTGAGCGGGCTCTCGCTCGAGTCCATGAGACCCTCCGCCTTCACCGCCGCGCTCGGAGCATCGCCGTCGGGTAGATGCTTGAGCTGCGCCGGGACCGCGGCATTCCCGTTTGGCGGCGTAGGCGGGGGTGGGGGTGTCTCGCCTCCGCGAGAGCCGAGAGTTGACAAGCCCGATGAGGAGATGCCGTTCGCACTACTCTTGAGCGTGTAGCTTGGAGACTCCGGGTCTTGCTCGCCGTCACCATCGTGATGCATGCCGTCCTCCTGGCCTGACTCCTCGTCTTCGATGTCATTCATGTTGACGTCGTGATCCGGAGACGCGCCCATCTGGTCGAGCTCTTGCAACTGTTCTCGAAGATTCTTCGTTACGTCGATGCCGGCGGCGCCAAGGAATCCGGCACTACTGATCCCATGGCTCTCAATGTCGTCGTCGTCGCTGTCGTCCCCATCGTCCACATCGGAATGGTGAAGGACCAAGGAGCCATCGCCACTGAGGATGTTCGCGAAGCCACCGAAGAGTGACGTTGCTGAGCCTTCACCAACAGAGGTAATACCGTTCTCCCGATCCCGCTCCTCACGCTCTCGCCTCTCCTTTAGACGCTTCTCATACGCCTCGCGCTTCACGTTGAACGACATAAGCCGGCTCGTGGAATAGAGCTGTGGGAGGCTTTCGGGTGTTTGGAAGCCGATCTTATTCTTCACGCGGTCGGTGACCCAGTTGTACCACTGGTCCTGGGACTTGCCGTTGAGAATAGCCACTATCATGATCGTCATGTTGTCGCAACCAATTCCCGCGCCGGAGGCCGTGTCGGGGGCAAGGCACAGCTCGCAGATGTCCTCACATACTTGAGGTAGACGGCGGCCTTGGGAGATGAGCAATCTTACAACGTTGACAGCCTGTTGAGATGACAAGCAGTCCCAGATACCTGATGAAATGTATTAGGACGTGTGCCTTCGCGAAATGTAGAACGAACGTACCATCACAAGCAATGATGAGGAACTCGTCCTCCTCTGTGACCTGGTGCTCGATAATCTCAGGGTCACAAGTGATGATTTGAGCTTCGGCACTAAGAGAGTTGTTCTTCTTGTACTCGAAATCGCCGAGGGCGCGGGCCAAAGCCAGGTTACCTGTGATATCTATGGGAACAAGCGTGGGGAAGCGTAGGTTATATGCACGTACCATTGACCCGACCATATTCAATGTATCCACCAGCAGCCACAATACGACTTTTCTCCTCTAGAACGAAAAACGCTCGAAGAAAGATCGCAAGCACAGAGAAATGACGACGCACTCTCGTTTTGGGGTTTATGGTCGTAACTCAGAGGCTTCGCATCGCCTTTGACGCCGATTACCGAACGTGAGTCTCCAGCGTTCGCCTGCAGGGCAACAACCAACGATGAGATCGCCTTCAAGAGTCTAATCCGCGAAGAACGTACCACAAGGATCCTGCCATCATTCGTGACTAGTGCAGCAACAGCCGTGCATCCAGATGGCTCGCGAGTGAACTCAGGGCCTGAACATGGAACGCAGCGGAAGTGGCTCAATCAGTTACTGGCATCTTGTTGGAAAGATGCGCTGCAACGTACTCGACTTCATGTCCGCATCAGTCCCAAGGAACGCGTTCTTGAGAGCAAGAGCGTAATCCTTCTTGTGATACGCCTCGTCTTGAATAAGGCGTTTGTGCACGAACTGACCAGCATACTTCGCCACTGCATAGCCTATACAGAGCAAGCGATAAGGATCAACGGGAAGACACAGAGAAGGTTGAAACGCACCGCCGTGGCCATCGTAAACAGCGAAGAAGGTATTGGGATCCGGGGAATCTTCATCTAGATTAAGCACAGTGGTGTGCGCATCCTCCATGCCTGTAGGACGGCATGATTAGCCCACTTGCCACGAGCAGGCACAACTCGGAACGATATTCGGAGCAACTCCGGAGCGCATAAACAGTGCACGTAGTGTGTATACAGAATGTGTGATAGAACGAAACAAAAATCCGAGGACGCTCCCTGGAACAAGGGCGTTCCAAGTGGTAATTGGGACGCAACGAGTACGAGTGCATCCGTAACACAAGCACAGATATGGACGCAGAAGTGACAGCAGATCAGAACGAGATGCTCACTTATTCTCCATCCCTGCATTTCCGAAACTCCGTAGTGATACTTGTCATTTGCACCCTGTTCGGTCGACTTGTCCGTCGCTGAAGACAAAAAAAGGGGAGTCAGGGCGGCAGATGTGGGGACACGAGATATGATGCGTACCCGGCATAGAGAGTGTCTGACCCTGCGCTCGCCATAGGGATAAGGGTGGGGCAGGCGAGGACGCAGAAGACAATCACGCACCATCTTTCAAAGTCGTGGGGCGGGGGAGGCGTGGCGGGGGGTGCGGTCGTTGGTCGTGGCGATCGTGGGCGTGAACGGAGGGCTGGCGAGGCGTGGCGAGGCGTGCGGGGGAGAGGTGGGAGGTGTCGTGTGGTGTCTCGAGTCAGGGATCTGTTGACGGCTGTTTGCGGAGCAAAATCTCTCCCTGCTCGCTGGTGGTGATCCCCGATTAGGCAGTCCTCCCACGTCCGCCGGGATCGCCAGATAAGATCGCCCATTGTTTTGGGCCCCTCCGCCCATTGCTCTTGATTGCTCTCTCCGAGTCCTCCTCCGCCTGCCGCGGAAAGCACCCACTCAGCAATTGCCGTCCGTCTCGCCCCAGTCACCCTTCAAGTCAGCGCGCCTAAGATCCAGCGCTCCACCCCACGCAGACACAGTCAATCAACCTGCCACGTCCTCCCCGCCTCGATGAATTCTGCCGTTCTATCAACGCTGCCGTGCATGCAGGTTCTTGCAATTCGCGGCATATACAGTTTCCGCCGTCAGCGGCCCTCCGTTCTAGCAGGCTGCCCATCACCCGCCCGCTGCGGCGACATGGCGGACCCATCGACCTGCTGGGGCACGGATCCACAGGCTTTCCTATTAATGCTGACACCGACCCTTACGCTTAGGCGACATGGCGTCCGAAGTTCTCCGACCACGTTCTGCCCGCGAACGACGTCGCATAGGCTGTGTACGATTCACGAAGTTATGTAGATAAGCCCATTAATATTGTTATCAGCTCTCCTCGCATTTTCCCCCTTCCGTACTATCGCGCCCAGTCTGGGATCGGACTATGACAGTACGTGGGTGCTCGAAAAATGCTTAGCATCCGCAGTCACCAAATGGCGAAGCACCCACGCATTGAGGCCGTTTGCCTACTTTCAGGCGCAGTGCAGATTAGTGTAGATGGTACAGCAAACTGCTGCACAGCAGAAGGTGAATCGCCGCTGGACCCACTGCAACATGCGTGGGACATGTACTGCTTTGGTTGCGACATCTACACGTTTGTCTTCGTAAGTGATCGCTGTAGTTGATGACATGTCCATTCTGGCCGTTGACGATAGAACGTCAACTAAACTACAACTCTCGCGTGAATAATGCGGAGCCGTGGGTGCCGCGATGGTATCAAGATTGAATATATGGCAACGAGGAGAAATGACGAGGTTGCCCCGGCCCATGTAGATGTCGGCTGAGCGCACGAAGAGCGCGGCAAGTTCTGTCCGCTGTGCGCTGCGTGGTTTGTCTGCAGGAGATATGAGAATGTGTGGTAGACCGCGTCCGACGTGCAGGTTGTCGCTCGTCAGGACTATTACTGCCATCGGCGGTGTAGAAACATATCGGCACAAAAGTCACCATGACACCGTTAGAATACGCATGGGAGATGCGATGGTACCCTGCCACAGGAAGGCTGAGCCTGACCCCATCGGTCGACGTCAAATCGACTTCTTCGTGGACGACGAGGATAAACAGGTATAGCCTGCTGCACGCCCCGACGATGGTGATGACAATTGTGTGCATTTCCGTAGTCCCACGCATGACAGTCACGGCGACACACCTACTCATATTAGCAAGAAGATCGTACAGCTACATCTCTCGTACATGTCAGCATTAGTGTCACACTAGGAACGACAAATGGCAGCATTACAATCTTGTACAAATACGCGCAGCCGTGTTCTGAACACCGGGCTGCCTCACGTCAGACCGATTGCGGGCTGACAGTCTCTACTCTTTGGCTTGTAACTGGCATGCGTGAGCCGCTTTAAGGCCGGCATGGGCCGGGACATGGTCCGAGAAGATGACATGGTCCAAGGATGTCTGACGCACGGAAGGGAAGAAGGGGGCGCCAGCATCACCACTGCGCGCCCCGCGCCGACGAGCCCTTGTCGCGGTACGACGGCGGAGCAGGAGTCTGCGCCCTCTGTGGCGCCCTTCCCCGCGCGGGCGTCGGCGGGCGTGCGGCGACCGGGAGCGGCCGTCCGTTCCTGTACGCGGATGACGGGACGTCCTCGTCGCAGCTCTCCTCTTCCTCCTCTGCGGGAACGAACGCGGCCCGAGCTTTGCCTTTACTCCTCGCCTGCGGCCTTGGCTGGGCCTGGCGCGCATAATGCGGTCCTTGCTCGCTATCGTCGTCGTCGTCGGCGTCTTCTTCTTCTTCTTCCTCTTCTTCGCGCCTCGAAGGTGGTGGCGGCGGAAGAGGGCGATCGTCCGCGTCGAGCCTGAACGACACCCTTCGCCCGCGCGACCGGCTCCGCTGCCCCGGGGGCACCGACGCGGGCCGCAGCATCGGCGACGAACGCAGGGACGAGATCGGCGACGACGGCGGGAGCGTGCCGTCCGAGAAGCCAGAGCCGAACCCGTACGAGTACCCGTGCGCTGGGTGCGGGTGGGAGTGGGCGTAAGAGTGGGCGTGGTGCGTGGGCGTCGCGTACGCGGGCCCCGCGCGCGACGGCCCGGCCTCGGACGACGATGAGGGTGTGTCCAGCCCGTGCGCGGGGCGAGTGCGGTAGCGCTGGTGGCTTGGCGTGTACGGCGGCCGGGGCGCAACGGTGGGGAAGCTGTACCCAGGGCCCGAGGGCGGGGGCGGAGGGAGCGCGCCGGACGCCATGAGGTACGACAGGCTGTGCCACGCCTGGGCAAGCATGAATTGGGCCTGCGGATCCTGGAGCGGCGGGGCGGGGGTCGAGTACATGTGTCGGGCGTCGGGGACGCTGCCGTTGCGACCGTGGCCGCTCGCAGAAGCAGGAAAGGAAGTGCGGTCTCCGTGCCGTGAAGCGTACGGATGCGCCATGTGGGGGTATACGGGAGCCAAGGGTATTTGGGGCGCGGAGCTGCGCGCGCGAGACGGAGCACGGACCGGGGGCATGAGATGCAGAAGGGGATCCTCGTCTTCGTCTAAAAGGTCGTGGAATCTTCCTTAGAATCTGAGGGCGATCCGAGAGCTGTGACAACGTACCGTCTTCCACGTCCGGCGGGTCGGACGATATCCGAGGAGGAATGTCCGAGGAATAACCATCTTGGGAACCAGCAGGAAAATTGTTCCGACCGCGCAGTGAACTACGGACAGAGTGGGTAGGAGACGATGCCACCTGTGCCCTGACTGGAGAGATGTCTGACATGGCAGACAGCGAAGACACCCTGCGACGCTTCTTGCCCCTCGGAATCGATGGTGACAGTGGTTGAGGGGATTCGGGGGTCTTGGCTCGACTGCTCGGGGCCCTAGGTTGCGATTGAGAGCGCCTTTTCGGCTTGGAGGCAACTGGGGCATCTTCAGGGGGCGACGGTTGCGCCTCGGCGACCTTCGCTTTCCCTTTCGCTCTTTTGCGCTTCGGAGGAGGTGTAGATGGGGGCTGCGGTGGCTCGGCCGGGGGCTGGCCGCGGCTCGTACCTGGCTTTCTCGAAGACGTCGTGATCACCACTTCCACTTCCGACCGGGGCCTTCGAGGCGTTTTCTTCGCCTTTTTCGGGGGCCCAATGGGGAACGGTGCAGGGAACGGCCTCGAACTAGGACCCGCAGGGACGTCTTCATCGTCGCTGGGGGTGCGAGGCCGAGGCCGAGGCGTGTACCGCGCGCGGACCTTGGGGAACTGAGGGCTCGGTGACTCACGGGGCAATGGGTTAGCGTCCTGGGCGGGCCGCGCGCTATCCGGGGCAGAGGTCGAACGCGGGGGGGTCAGGAGCTGCTGCACGGGCTCGATGGGTGACGGGGGCGCGGGGTCAGGGTCCGGTGTTTCCGGCCGCTTCTGAGGAGCCGGCGCAGGTGGTTTGGACTTCGACCGCGCGCGCGAACGGGCACGGAACAACGGCCGGCCATGTGTGGGTGGTGGTTGGACGGGAGAAGAGGGTGTCAAGCCGGTCAAGTCGATGACATCGCTTGGCGGGGCGGAGCGGCGCCGGGGGATGGGCGTGTCGTCGATCTTCCAGGCCGCGAGCTCGTCCTCGGAGGACGAGTCGCCGCGTTTTGGGGGCGGCCTCGATTTTCGACGGGGTTTGGGCGGTGGGTTCGGCGACCGACGACGGGGCGGCAGCAGGTCCAAGGGTTCCTCCTCCTTGTCATCGCCGAGATCTGTGAGAGCAGAGAACGGCCCCGGGTCAGAGCTGAACGAAGCCGGCGGGCCCGAGTCTTCCGGCCCGTCGTCGTAGTCCACGTCCAAACCACCCAGCTCCCGCCTCTGCCTCTCTGCCTCCTCAAACTCCCTGAACGCCTCTAAGTCCTCCGGGTTCGCTGCGTCCGCAGGTGGCACGACCCAGCGTTTGTAATACTCGAGCTTCGTCGCCACCGGCGGCGGCGGCGGCGCCTGGGCCAACAGATCGAGCTCATCCGCGGACTCGTCCACCGACTCGCCTTCCTCATCCTCCTCCTCTTCCGCCTCGCCTGCGTGGCTCGCCGCGTCGTCCTCCACCGGCGGGGCCGTGAGGCTCCCGATCTCGTACGTACCCACGGCTGCACGCGTCACGCCCCGGTCCTTGAGCAGCGCGAGGTCGCGGAGGTCTACGATGTCATCCTCGTCCAGGGGCTTGTTGTACCGCACCGCGAGCGAGTCCCAGAACTCGAACAGCCGGTTGCTCGACTCGAGCGCGGGCGCGACGGATGGCTGCCGGGACGTCGACGCGCGGAGGATCGAGGACGAGGAGGGTGTTGAAGACAGCCGGCGTCGTTTCGCGGCGGGTGGGATGTCGCGGGTGTGCTGCCAGGGGCGGATGATGGGGGGAGATACGGAGGGCGTGATCAGCTGGGGGCGCGGGGGCGGCGGTTTGAACGTCGGGGGCCGCGGCGGTCGTCCATGGCGGCGTGGGCGTCGGGGAGGCGGGCGGGAGGTCGACAGCCACCGACGCTGTTGATTTCCCAATCAGGAACGGCTTTGTCGCGTGTTCCTAGGCACGTGATCTCGTTGCTCCGCGGGTCTGCGGGTTGGTGGCGCTAGCTTCAAGTTTTCAACTGGCTCTCTGCCGCGGCTCGGGCTCTCGACATCTGTGCGGAGGAAAGCATCGGGAGCGCTGCAATCGGACGCGCCGAACACGGTCGTGCGGGACAAGTCGGGTCTTGGCCTCCTCACGACGACTGGAAGGCAGGCAATCGAGTGTAGAGAACTTCCGAACGGATCTCCCGTTGGTGCTCAGGATGTGCTGAGGATTGGCGGGAGCGACGGCGACGAGCACTTCACACCGATGCCTCGACGAGTCAGTGCACAATACTGGTCGTGTGACGGTTATTTCCTCGGGACAGAAGGCCTCCGAGCCAATGAACGGACAGCGCGGGCGGGGTTATGAAGTAGGCGTGCCCTGCACGAGGATGTTGGCCACCTCAACCTGATGGCACACGACCTCAGCACTCTCGATCCTGGTCCTCGTTGCAGAATAGCCCGAACACATCCTCCTCTACGCCCACTCCCTCCGATGGCGACACCAAGCGGTCGGTTTCCGACGTCTGAGGTAAAGCTTCCGCCATCGATGACCCTGCAGCCGCGCACAGGGCCGCTTCGTGTCAGGGCGGCGAACTTCCACGAGCGGTAGTCCGTGTGTATCCGCTTCTCGCGTTCATCAGCTGCGTTTGCGTCCATCCGAAGCGAATGGCGGGTGAGGTGGTCACAGCTTGTAGACGTGCTCGAAGCCTCGGGGACGGTTCCTCGTGAAACCCTCCAAAGGCTGTGCCTCTAACCCAGCACGAGAACATGGCCACCACACTCGCGACGACAGCAGTCAATGCCTCCGTTCAGGTTGCGTTCTGTCATCTGTCCATATCTTACGTCAGTTACTTTCTTAGATCACCGGTTAAGGCAAGCACTCACCTTATGCGCTCTCCAAGCAATCTAGAAGGCACCGAGAATGCCGGCTAATAGTAGCCATATCTCCTGCGCATGTCTTGTCAGCTAGTGCATGCTGCGCGCTCGCCAGCTCGGAAATGAAAACGAGAAGGCGGCGGAACGTCCAAAACACCATGACGTGGGGATAGATCACGAGGCACGCGCTTTTCAAACTCCGGGCGCTGACTGACTTCGCCCATACCACAAGCGATGTACTCACGGGGATGCCGAGAGTCTAGAGCATGATTGGGATGGGGATCAACTACTCGTGGGCGGGGCCGAACCCTGACAGGCGAAACGAAGGCGAGGAGGTGAAACGCACCTGAACAAAGCATTGGAGGCCCATGATGCTTGCCGAGTGCAACGTTGTTGTGTCTCGCTCTTGCTCCACATCGTGGTGTGAAGCGCGACATACCCTACTCCAATGTTGCACGCACCCGAGGAAAGGGCGGCGCACGTTCGTGGTGATCCCAGGGCACGACGAGCGACGCTCTAGGACGGGAGTCGACAATGTCGAGCGGCGGGCGGAGATGTCTGAACAGGCGGGGGATCATTGAGAGCATCGTGATCGCTGCACTCGAGGTCGTTGACGTTTGCTCGGTGGCCGAAAAGGGTGACGAGCGGATGACGAGTGATCTGCCCCAATTGTACCGGACTTTCTTTTGAGCAGGCCTCGACGCAAGACGCGCCATGTCATCAGCCACACGCGTGCCTGGGGTGGATCACAATCCGAGCAAGATGCCGTACTTGCCCTACAAGCAACATATCAGCATAGGATGTTCGCAGGCTGACAGACGCACCAGGGATTGTGAGAGACCAAGACGACCTCAGGTACCCCACCGTGTGTCCCCGCCAAAGCATTCCATTAGATGGGGAAGGAAACAAGTACCAGAGGAACAAAGAGTACATCTCCGCAGATGTGTGGCCAAATGGATGCGTCGACGATCCTACGAACGTTCGTTGGCGTAGCTGCGGCCCATGCTTTCCGACGCGGAGGTCGAGCGGGCCGTGGCTCGGCCAAGCTTCCCAGAGGCCCAACCCGGAAGGGCGCACATCAGGCAGTACACTGCACACGACGGCGTGGAGCGTCAGATGGGATGCCACATTGCGCGGTGGAGGGTAGAAGAATTGCAATGATCCGTTAACATGGAGGCAGTTGGCCCTCGGAGGGCCGTTCGTAGGCTCGGAAGGCTCATGATTTGCGCTACCGAGCGCGTGCGTACGCGGTGCTCTAGGATGTAGCCTGCCTGACAGAGAAGGGGTAGTGGCATCTCGAGTCTAGGTCTGGACCGTCACGAGGATCGTTGCTTGCCTCTCGGGGGCCGGAAGATCGATGCTGATGAGAGGGGCGGTCGTTGAACTGGTAGTGTGCTTGTGGTCGAGAGTTTCTGCGCTCCGCCGAATGCAGATATGTCATATGCGAGAAGTCACACGAGCTAAATCGCGACATAGTCAGTCCATACGTAACAAGACTGAGATGGATGGCACAGATAAGCCGTGCATGAGAAGGCGTCGCAGACGTAGTTGTGGCTCAAATGGCTAGGTCGAGAAGACGACGAACCTGGAAATTTTTGGGCTGTGTTCTGTGCATGACAAAGGTCGGCCAAGGTACCCGGTTTCCGAAGTATCGACGAGCACAAGCCAAAAGGCTCTGTGGGTATTCTGATGAGGAGCGATGGGAGAGCGGAGAAAGCCTCGCAGGAGGTGACAGTGACACGGCGGGCGCGATCACCCGCCGTGACAGAGTGCCCGTGACTGCGGGCGGAGCGGCGTTCGTTTGCTTCCGCCACCACGACGCTCCAGGTCGGACGACCACCTCCTCGGGGGACTGAGCAACAGCGCACCCATCGGACGGCCATCTATGAAGGCGTCTCGACAGCCTTGTACGCGAAGGTCCCCGTCGCCCGATTCCCTTTCGGCCTTTTACCGTCGTAACGCGAACGGACGCCCTTTATCATGCTCAATCGTCGGAGAAATCTGGGGCTTTTCGGGGTCTCGCAGTGAGTTCCCGACCTAATCTGTGGCCCACTGAGAGCTCAAGTCATGTTGGCTTCCCCTAGTCGAATCTAACTCGCAGGCGCATGACGCCAAAGCAGCTGCGAGGCCCTCCAAAACACTCTTTTATAGAGCTTTGGATACGGTACTCCTCATTTACACAGCGGCGACGGAGAACACCAATCTCCACTAGGGGGTTTCGATTGTGGCCGAAAGCCTCACCACGCCCCGTGTAGACCCCGGACTCTCTTGCTTCTGGGGCCTGGGCGATTCGTAATCGAGGCCCGCCTGCAATGAGTTTGCATCTTTCTGTGGGGCGGTCACGATCTGAGGTTCGCGACGCGCCGCAGGACCTTCGTTGGTTCAGCGCGCCCTCCAGTGCTTTCTTATCGTCTCGCACCCAATGTGGCAGCCGCAGTTCTGCCGATTGCCCCCGTGGCCTGACGGGGCCTTCCGCTGGCCACAGGGACACGCTCTATCGACTCGTGTGATCCTACGCCGTGCCCAGCCCAGGTTCGCGAATCCTCCGTCACTGCACTTCAACGTATATAAGGACGCCAACTCTGGCCCATCCTTCTGTACTCACCACCTCCTCCTCTGCCTTCCTGGCCAACAAACTGTCTCATCCATCTTCCTCCCCGACCTCAATATGCCTTCCACCTCGAACACCCCAGCCGTCCCTCGCCCCATTGTCAAGGTGCGCTCAACCACTGATATGCCGACCCTCCCTTGAGCTAATGCGACTATGCAGAGGGCTTGCCACACCTGGCCTGGGCACGGACCCATCCAGCCTTTGAGCCACTTCGAGGACTTCCTCCGGAGATTGGCGCCAAGACCGAGTTCGCAAGCGTCTGCTGCGTCCCTCGCCCAAGTAAGTAACTTTGTGGCCACCCAAAGACACGAAGTCTTATCCATCGATCACTAGATGCTGCGGGGCACGTCCACACCCACGCGCACGGCCGAGAGAGGTCTTCTTCCCGTGTAGGCGCAAAGGCCTCGTCTTCGACAGCGGTGAGTAACGATCTCAGATCCTTCACGAGGCCATGAAACTTATCCTCCCCTTTCCCTGCAGCTCGACAAGGCGCGCGCCCCGTCGCAGGAGCCCATCAAGGCCGCCGCCGGCCCTTCACTGCGCCCCGAGAGCAGGTCGCGAACCATGTCCTGCTCGAAGATGTCGGGCTTTCCTCTCAAGAGCCCAGCGGCCTCGATCATCGACCTCGGAACCCACGAAGCGGCTTTGCAAGCTCCGCGCGGGTATTTCTCCGCGCGCGAGTCGCTCCTGAACTGCATGGGCGTGGTGCCCGAGCCCCCCCTCTCCACCATCAGCACTGTGGAACCCGAAGAACGCCGCTCTCGCGCCCTGACGCGCGCCTTCCACGACCCCCGCCACGCCCCCGCCCCCGCGCCGCGGCCACTTCTGTGGCTTCGAGGCTCTCCGAAGCCTCGTCCTCGATCCTCCCCTTCGCCTCCCGCGCGCGCGACTCGCCCTCCGCCAGCCGCTCCCGTTCCACCCGCCGCTCCTCCAGTCGCTCCTCTGTCGACTCCCTCGCCACCGCGTCCTCCTCTGAGGCGCCCGCCACGCCGAAGAGCGCGTCCCTCGTCGGCCTGGACGAGGCACGGGTCGGCGAGCACCGCGACCGCAGCTCTCCATCGCCAAGCGCGAGCGTCGCGGCCCTCGAAGAGATCGAGCGCACGTCGCGCTTCAGCAAGCCGTCGGTGTGCACCGGGTGCAAGCGCGCGGGCGCGAACTACCCCACGTGCGCGCGCTGCGGCGACGACTGGTGCTCGCGCGCATGCCGCACCGGCGCGACGCACGGGTGCCTCGCCGCCCCTGCCCCTGCCCCCGCCGCTGTCGTCCGCGCGTGAGGGTACCCCTTTCCCCGGCCGCGCTCGACGCGCCGGGAGGACCACCCCTGCGTGCGCCGCCGGCCTGTCTCCCACCGCCCACGTTCTCTCGCGCCTCGCCTCCTGCTAGTAGCACGCAGGAAGCTTGGCCCGCGGCGCGGGTACGTGACGGGGCGCCGGGCTGGATGTGGGAGGCTGGCGCGTTGCGGGCGTCCGCGTCGAGGACGGAGATAGGTCACGCCTCCGTCTTCTGCTCGCGTCCGCGACGCACCCTCGGGCCAGAGCACAAAGGCGGGCGCATCCAAGAGGCTCGGATGTGCCGCCTGCCGCTCTCCGCGCACACGACTCGGGCGATGGAATTAGATGAGCGAGGACATCTGCTGTTATTGCCAGTCTATCTACATCATAAATGTATTGCTAGCCACTGGGACAGAGTAAAACCGTTGTAGAGAAACTCGTATCTCAGCAACATTATATCTTGGCTCTCCTGCATTGGTGCGACGTGTTCAGTCAAGCTTCAGATTTGCTGCGCTTATGATATCTCGTGGGAAGCGCCAACATTGTATTGAGCGAAGCAGTGAGAGCGATTGCCGAAGCCCGACTCAGCAGTTTCACTCAGCTCCACTTCAACACTGAGGCCTGAGGTGTAACAGAAACAAGTGATGGATACTCATACGCCCAACGACTATAAGTAGCGTCGCACTAGTGGATGCCTGAACATTTTACCGAGTTAGCCGGCATTACTAGACGCCCAACGAGGGCGTGCGCGGCGTCTTGCTCAGGCGAGTGTTGCTTTCTATCGCTCGCGCTCTCCATCTGAAAAGGACCTACTATATACATGCCTCCAAATGTGCACTGTGTGAGTATGACATTACTCGCAACTTCACCGGTGGGTGTCCATCTGCGTTTCAAGTGACGAGGCTACTGACAACTCACGATTCGTGTCAGGAGCACTCGTGAAGTCCTTGATTGAAGGCTCGTACCTCTTGGAAGAAGCCACAAGGCTCGTAAAGGAACACCACTACCAGGCGGCAATCGCAAAGCTGCACGAGACGGTCGAAGCCCTCGTCGGCCACCAGGTCGCGCAGCTCATCCCGCTCTCGTCGCACAATGGTGGGGGCATGCAATCGCCCATCTACATCGACATGGACGTGGAGTGCAAGCTCAACATCATGCTGTGCTCGAACCTGTTCGTCGAGTGCTACCGCGCGACCGGGGACTATGTGCAGGTTAGACTTCCGTTGTGCATATCTGTCCGTGCGCTCATGAGCCGTTGGACTGTGTTTTTCAGGCGCTCAACTGGGCGGTGGAGATGCACGCCATCCTTCGCAACACTTACTTCACCAAACCGACTCCGTGTTTCGGTCAGAACTTCTGTCATAATGATAGAGACCGTGTTGACGTCGGCATTAACAGAGTGGCTTAACGTGCATCTGCGTTCACAAAAGTACTGGGACGGTCGG